TGTTAATAGCTCCTCCTTAGATCTTTCTACCTTCAAGATGAATCGTTAACGCGCGGGGAAGGGCGCGAGGGTGGGGCGGGGTGTAGGCCGTGGCGTTAGGCGGAAGATGGGGGAAAGCAGACCGGGGGGGGGTGTGGGGGGGGAGCCTGGGTAGGCAAAGGGGTAGCAAGCACGGACGCGAGCGGCGGCCTGTTCTGGGGCCGGTCTGTGCCCCGTCAGCACGAGCGTCCTGTGCGGGCGGCGGCGCGGGGGAGGGAGGGGGGGGGGGGGGGGGGGGGGGGGGGGGGGGGGGGGGGGGGGGGGGGGGGCTCGGGGGAGGAAAAGGGTAAACAAACACGGACAGCAAAAGTACCTTTCTCTGTTGGCAGCGCTTGCACCTTGCATGCTCGTTTAGCTGGGGATGGCCTTACGGTACACTTGCTTATTCCAATGCCCAGACGGGATGACTTACGATATTCGTTTCTGGTTGTTCTTCTCCATGCTCGCATTTCTGGGCGGCTAATCTTGCACCGACCCCTCTCCTCTCTTCTGCAAAGCGAGCGAGAAGAGGGCGAGAAACAGTCAAAAGCTCGCCAAAGGAATGCTCCATTTGCGGGACGATAAACGCCGCGGTCACATGACATAGAGTCCAGCCATCGACACCCCCTGGCATTCTTCAGTGCTGAATGCTGAAGAAAGACAGGGTGCGGCATGTCTCCCAAGCGTTGTGAAAAGGTGCTAGTACATCGTACTTGGGCAGGCATTGAAGTGTCACCTTTTACGAGGTAGACTACATAGGCTCTGATTAGTTGATGGACTTTTGGTGCCAGCTTCTTTCTATAGATAGGTCATGACCTGAATCCTTCGTGATCCTGGCGGGGCCCCGTTGCTGACAATGGCGGGCCTCCAGGGGTTTCTTCCGTGGACATGAGTATCACCGGGGCAACAAGCCCCCGTTGGAGACCGGAGCCGAAGCTTTTTTGCTCCGGGGTGCGTGCTTTGAAAGCAGAGGCTTAGGACCGGACTTGGCCAACCAATGTAAGCCCGGAGAGTTTATTCGAACCGCTTATATTTGTTGGCTTATACAAACAAGCGAAAGCTGTCAGCTTTGCTTGGAAATTGGTGACGAAACAGAAGACAATGGTCGGCGAGTTATGCGCAGAGGAGCGAGACCGATTTCTGTGAAAAAGCAGAGCCCTGTTGTAGTTCCTGGACAACATGCATTGCGATAAGGAGTATTAGAGCCAAAGACTATTATATTCATCTATAAGTGCTCCATCAGAGGACAAATACAGCTTTCCAAGTTTCAACATCCTAGCTACATGTACCTTACGGATACTAAGCAAGCGGTTTTCAACATCGAGCGTTGGAACATGAGAAGGTGTTGAGTTGCCTCTGTACCCAAAGTAAGGTAACGTACACTCCGTATTGGACTCTCAGGTATCATTCTTCCGACTCTTCAAATTCTCCAAACCCCCCTTCGCCAAGGCTCATGAATCTTCTCAGGCCGATCACGGAGGCACTGCGTCGTTACTTGACAGCATAAATCATCACCCCACCCGTATAGTTCCAACGCCGAAGGCCCGGCCGAGGGCGTCGGAAATCAAACAATTCAACCCCGCATGTCACCCCGCCACCAGGCCCGTATCTAAGCTATCAGTGCTATCAACAAGATGATGCAACCATCACCCCTCTCGCGATCTTGGCCATATTGCACATGCTATTCGCTGAGATAACTTTGGACTGAGAGGTTGCTAAAGTTGCTAAAAGTTACACAGCGCCGCACAGCGCCTCCGGTCTAGCGTTGTGTTACCTCCTGCCAGGGCCATCAACTCAGACTATACACGGCCTCAGCATGACGACTTCAACACACGCCGTCTTCCAGAACGGAAAGATCTTTAGATCCAACAACGCACCCCCAGGCCAGCGGACAGAAGCCAACTTTGCAGAAGCGTTGGTGATCAAAGATGGCATCATCACCTTTGTCGGCAACGCCTCCGCACCCGAGGTGAAAGCCGCTATCGACGCCGGCGCAGAGGTCCGCGATGTGGGCGGGCGCACTCTCCTCCCCGGCCTCGTCGACGGACACATCCACCTAACCCAGCTCGGCCAGACGCTCCTCAAGCTGAGCCTCGCCCACTGCAAGACCCTCGAGGACATTCGAAGCACAATCAGAGACCACGCCGCCGCGAACCCGGACGCCAAACGCATCTTTTGCAGCGGCTGGATGCACTTCATGACGCCCGAGGGACCCCTTGCCTCCCTCCTCGACGACCTCGACCCCCGCCCCATCCTCATCACCGCAAAGGACCTGCACTCGACGTGGTGCAACACCGCCGCCCTCAGGGACCTGGACCTGGAAAACGAGCCGGACCCGCCGGGCGGCGAGATCGTGCGCGACCCGTCGACCGGGAAGCCCAGCGGCCTGCTCTCCGAGGCGGCCAGTATGAAGTTCATCCCCCTCTACATGGCCCGGACCTCGACCCTCCAAGACCGCATAGCGGCGATCAAGACGGCCATCAACGACTACACGGCCGCCGGCTTCACCGGCCTCATCGACATGGCCATGGAAGAAGACGGCTGGACGGCGCTGCAGGAGTACCGGAAGCAGGAAAAGGCAGCGGGCCGCATATTGCCCATCCGCTTCGCGGCCTACTGGATGATCCTGCCCAGGGACGACGACGCGGAGAATATCAAGCAGGTCGAGCGCGCCGCCGAGCTGGCGCGGGCGTTCAACCTCGAGACGGACCCGGACTGCCGCCTCGTCGGCATCAAGCTCGTCTGCGACGGCATCATTGACGGCTGCACGGCGAGTCTGAAGGAGCCCTACAGCCACAACGGCGACAACTGCGACCCCGTCTGGTCACCGCGGTACATGGCGCCCGTCGTCCAGGCGGCCACGAGACACGGCCTGCAAGTCGCGCTGCACGCCATCGGCGACCGCACCGTCGCGGACGCCATTGACGTCTTGGAGGCGCACGTCGGCGCGGAACACCGCCCGCGCATCGAGCACCTCGAGGTCACGACGCCAGAGGACGCACGGCGCTTGGGCAAGCTCAGCATCACGGCGTCGGTGCAGCCCGTGCACTCGGACCCGGCCATCCTCCGCGCCTGGCCGGCGTTGATCGGGCCGCACCGGTGCGGGCGGGCGTTTGCGTACAGCGAATTCGCGGACGGGGGCGCGCCCGTGGCGATTGGGTCGGACGCGCCGACGGCGCCGCATCATGTGATTGATAACTTGTATATTGCGACGACGCGGCGGTCTGCGCGGGAGCCGGCGCTCGAGGCGGTGGTGAATCCGCAGTTTGCGCTGTCGCTGTGCGATGTGTTGGCGGGCGCGACGCAGGGCGCGGCGCGGAGTTGTTTCTTGGAGGACCGGGTGGGTTCGTTGGAGGCCGGGAAGAGGGCTGATTTGACTCTCTTTGATCTTGATTGGGATCCGAGCAAGGCGTTGCAGGCCAAGACGTTGGAGACGTGGTTTGATGGGACGCTGGTGTTTTCTGCAGGGAGGTAGTTTCTGTGATGTAGAGGTCGTCATCATGGTATCACTTGGATTTCTGGAGCTGGTTGAGAGTCGTGATGACACGGAGTTGAGATACAGAGAGCAAACATTTTCAATTTACAAAGACGTCAAGGGTGAAGGTCTCTTCTCCCGTTGGACTGCTTCCCATGTGATGTTGCAAAATAACATGAAGTGACAATACATAAGTACACAACCTCTAAAATGCCCAAAGACACTCTACTTCTTCTACGCCCAGATCATGACTGCGACAACGATGCCCATCAAAGTAGCTAATGACACGCTGTATGAAAACGACGCTGCAGTACTCTTTGGCTGGTTCCCTGGACTTCTCCCAGCGGAGGGCATCGTCTGATGAAAGGCCTCGTACGTCTTCTCCATGTCGCTCTGGAGTTTCCTGATGGACGCTTTCCCGCGATACGCGCTCCAGTTGTGGTCAAGGATGGCTGTAATGTTATGTCAGTGATGTTAAAAGGTTTCGTTGTCAAAGTACCGCTGGACAAAGTGACATGGTATAGACTCACCCCAAGGCTCATCCTTGTCCTGCACACCTTCACGCGTGTAGTAGCTTCCGCCCATGACCCAAACCATCCAGCTAATCTGCCGATCAACCATAAAGTCCATCAGACACCTGCGGAACTTGTTCTTAAACGCGCCGCTCTCATCACTCTGATCGTGTCCCCACTCCGTCATAACCAGCGGCGCCCGGTTGCTCGTCCCGTTCGTCCCGTTGCTGCCACTCGTCATGACATCAGACCCAAACGCCGCCAGAATATCCCGGTAACTCGTACACGCGTCGTCGACGAGCCCCTGGTCGTACTGGTGCTGTTCAAAGACGAACTTGTTCTTGAACGGGAACTCGGCAATGGAGAAGTTGAAGCCCGGTTCGCTGCCGAATCGGCCCTGCACGGGCGCCGAAATGTCAAAGTCAAAGATGCGGCCGCCAAAGAAGATGAGGACGTCCGGGTTCGCGGCGTGGATCGCGTTGGCACCTTGCACCATGCGGGTTTTCCAGGTCGTCCAGGTCGTGTTCTCCAGGCTTTCGGGAGGATCCCCGGAGAAGGGGTCCCGGAGCTCGTTGCGGAGACCCATGCTGGTGAAGGTTGTCCAGTTTGAAGCCTTACCCTACGTGAGGGGGAGTTCCTTGATTAGCGACCCTAACCAGGAAAACATATGTGGATGGGAAAAACATCAGTTTGAGCTTACATGTTCTGCCATGTAGGATAGTCCGCGGACCCAGTTGGACGTGTTGAAGTTGGTATCGCCAAACCACCCGTTCCCATCGTACGGCGTACAGCACCAACCAGCCTTGGACACGTGGTTGTCGAGATGGACGTAAATCTTCTGCCTCCCGAGCTCCGCCGCGACAGCGTCCCACACATCGAGTCGCTTGGAGCTCTCGTTGAAGGCCGGATTGTTTTGAAGAATCTGCTTCAGGATGGCCGTGCCGTTCTCCGGGCCCAGCGCGTTCTGCAGCGTCGTCTTGAGGTCGACGTCGCCGCCCTTTTCGACAATGTCGTCGACCATTTCGGTGGCAAAAGTCAGGCGGACGGCGTTGAAGCCCGTTTCGGCGATCCTCTTGACGATGTGGGCGACGGACTGGTACTGCAGGCCCTCTGGGAGCATGGTCCGCTCATGGCCTGCCCAGTTCACGCCGACGAGGGCGACTGTTTCGTTGCGGGCGTCGACAATGTAGCGGTCGTGGACGGAGAGCGGCAGCGGTTGGAGTTCTCTGCGGGATAGCTCAGCGGCGGTGGAGAGTGGCATCGCCACCGCTGCTATCAGCGCCGAAAAACTTGTGAGTCGGCGCATGCTGACTTGGTGGGTGTTATTCGTTGAGATTGTACATATAGTTGATGCTCGTTGAACTGGAGCGTTGAACTATTGTGCTACGAGACCGTGGTTGGTATCGGGATATCAAGAGTGACAAAGGACTCCTGAGACAAGAATGAAGTAATCCGGGGTATGAGCACAAGCGTGGGAAACATGACGACAGAAGGGGAAATAAGGTAGCGAGATCCTTGGCTCAGGCCCTCCCTCCCAGGCACGCCGGGTACTCATACGACGTCGGCCGAGACCTTGATTGCACATGCAGCCGGAAAGTCGTCTGAAGTTTAAGGGTCAATGGCACGGAGGACGTATCAGCGTGCGACGGGCTGTGCTTGGACGCATGTTTAATGTCGGCTCCGGCTTGGAGGAAACGAAATACACGATTGGCCTACAGTGTAGAACGCGGGCCCACGGGTTGTGAAGCGAGTTTGGATGATGTTGTTTATTCATTCATGTTCTGAAAGAATACTTACAGAAGACGACTACGAAATTAAATACATGAAGACGGAAAGGGTTCAACAAGCACTTTTTCTCTATAATGAGAAGTGTCCATTTACTCGTTTGTGCCAAAGCACCATCTACTTCATGTTTTGAAGAAGGTAGCGGACACCAGCATAGGTCTCCTCGCTGGTTGGCACGATCTGAGAGGCGGGCAGAATGAATCCGTAGTTGCCCGTGTCGCGGAGCTCCTGAGTAAAAGTGTAATCGGCCTTGACGACGTCGTTGACGTAGTCGACGCTGTTGCCGGTGGCCTTGTAGATGGTGGTGCAGATGGGGCCGTACTGGTACGAGGTACCGTGGACGGCCTTGATGGCGGCGACGGCGCCCTTTGCGAGGGACTGCAACTCGGAGTTCTTGGCGGAGACGGCGGTGCAGGAGTAGCCGTAGGGGGTCATGAAGAGCTGGGAGTAGGAATGAAAGTCGATGAAGAGCTTGAGGCCCTGGGCGGATTTCGTCTTTGCCAGCCAGGCGGAGAGGGCGGCGGTCTCGGGGGCGTCGCCCTGGGAAGCGCCCTTGAAGTCTTCGGCGCAGGGGTCGGTCGAGGCACCGCCGGTGACGGACCATTGGAAGGGCCAGTTGCGGTTGATGTCGTGGCCGATGCAGTTGCTGCCGGAGGTGCTCTGGCGGTTCTTGCGCCACAGACGGTTTGTGGTCTGGGTGTAGATAAAGCCTTTATGAAGAGAGAGAGAGAGTCAGAAATAAGGTTCACAATGGAAGTGAGGGGAGAGACTAAAAGCGAACTTACCGTCTGGGTTGACGACGGGGAAGATGTAAAAGTCGTACTTGTCGACGAAGCTCTTGATCTCCGTGTCGGAGGAGTACTTGCTCAGGAGGTTCCAGGCAATGTACTCGTTGGCCAAAGTGCTGATCCACTCTCTGGCGTGAACGGTGCTGTGGAGGACGACAGCCGGCTTGGTGCCCTTTGAGGTGCCGTAGATGTGGACGCCGGTGATGGCGTTGCCCTGAAGTGACGAGCCCGAGGTGACGATCTCAGCGTTGCCGGGGTACGATGCGACTATGTCCTTGAGGAACTGGAGGTGGTCGGCGTACGCGTGGTACGAGTTGAACCAGGTCGCGTTGGCAGAGCCGACTGGGAGGAAGTCAGTGGACGAGCATTTATCACACCGAGATGCGTAGAGGGAGAAATGAGCACATCCGACACTGGTGACGAAGTTGGATTCAAGTGTAATAAAGGGCTCGACACCTACCAGCATAAACCGAGAAGCCAGACTCGTCCGCAATCGAGGCGCCGAGGTCCTCATGCATGGTGGTGACGTTCATGCCGGCAACCTCAGCCTTGAATGAGGCGACGTCGGCGGCGGGGACGACAATGTCGGCAAAGGCGCCGGCTCTCGGAGCGCCCTTCCAAGTGGTCAACCGAAGCTTGTCGACGACGCCATTGACCCTGTCGACCTCGTCTCCGACAGAGAGACGGAAGACCTTGGTGCCATCGTAGCTCACGCGCTTGGCGCTCGCGCCGGACCCCGCGACTGTGGCGGCAGAGGCGGCGGCGATGAGGGTGGAGAGGGCGACGAGGGACTTCATCGTGTTGAGCTTGGGAAGATGAATGGAAGAGAACTCTTGAGAAAGAGAGAGTGTGAGAGAGACGGATGTGAGTTAATGGCGACCGCGCGTGAGAGTTCAGCGAGGGTGCACGGAGAAGCGCATCCCCGGCATCTTAGCCACACAGGTGTGGCCTCCCTTTATGTACGATATACGAGTGCGAAGAGAGTTTGGTACCTGAGAATAAGAGATTGAGAGAGAAGAAAGAAGAAACATACTCTCCAGAGAATTGGATACCTCGTTGGCAGGCTGCAGGGCCAAAAAGGAACAGTAACCTGATAGGAACAGGACACAGGATGAAGGACGAGGATCGGACCGTCGGGCATTGCCTGAGCAGCTCTTACAACCTTCCCGTTTTGGTCATTGCGGCCCGCCTTGAGAGTAAAGTATCTCAAGTTGCCCTGTCTGTGTGCCGTTTGCTCTCCTGCTTTTTGACTTTGAGACACTACTACCTACCTATCCCCAGTTACTGGGTCGGAAAGACCTGCCCGATCGAAACAAGGCGAGATGCGGCAAAACATCTGCAAACAAAAGTCCCCGTGTCTGGGGAGGGAACATGCAGATGGGTTATCTTCTCAACAAGTTGTGTTGCCCCAGCTCGCTTCTCCGCGCTGGGTTTGCTCAGAGGGGGGGAGGGCGGTAAAGATCCAAGGCTACCGACGCGACTGGCTGATGATTCTGCGTTTAATAGCGCACAGATCCCGGGTTTGGGGTAGGGGGTAAGGGGTTGGGGGGATCTGGAGAAGGAAGGTTGGAAGCTCGGAGAGAAGGATTGGATGCGGCTGGGCACGTCCACGTCGGCCAGGGGATTTCTCGCATCATCAGACGAGCATGCAACCCCTCGAGACATTAGGCTGCTTACATGGCACAGGTTCTACACTGAGGGGGCGAGTGGCATGGAAAATGGCAGACCACGAAAGACGCCGGATGGTCCTTTTGCATGGTCTGGTCGGCCTTGAAGACTTGATTAAGCAAGTCAAACAAAAGTTTAGATAGATTGGGCTGGTAGGACTGGTGGTGGAGCCAATGCGACCCAAGCAAACAACATGCAGTACCAGACTGCCAGTGTCCCCCCGCGAGTTTCTTGGAGTCTTGGACAGATCCAGGAGGTCAAGTGCCGGATCGCGGGCAGTCGACCTGCCGGAACTGGGGTAGCGCGGCGGTAAGGATTCAAGGATCATGGGGATTTGGCGATCGCGGGTTGGGGTTGGCGAGCTAGACTTGGAGGGCGAGGCCTAGGCGTGGGAGGCTATGATGCATGGGCCGATTCCTGCAACAGGAGCTTGATTAAGATAGGCTACGGGCTAGTCACGACCTGTGTCTTGAAGAGTAGGCGTCCTAGTTCTAGACCATAATTAAGGGGAGGTGGTGTCTTCGATGTATCTTTGGGTTGGGCAGGGAGGGCACAGTCTCACGGCACTCCTAAATCTTATCAACCCATCATCCAGGAATGTCGGTTTAAGTCTAAAACGCTTATTTGGTGGATGGGGCGCTAATCTGGTCCCCCCGCCTGCCTTGCCCAGCATCGATTAGAGTTCTTCTCGGGCACCCTAGCAGCTTCTCCATCTTGAACAAAGGTGAACAGTAAAGAGGACGAATCACATTGTAGTTAGCAGGTAACAGTGGAATTGGTATTCTAGACTTTGAGCAAATTATAGTAGGAATCTGAACTCTTAACTCCTAGGGAAATCGTGACCGCGTTCAATTAGTATGCCCTGCCACTGTCGGTATATCCATTAGGTTCTTAGGGACCTCAGGTTGAAGAGAATGTCTAAGTTGAGTAAAAAAAGTATTCGAAAAAATTGGAAAGCTTTTGTGTTAACATTTGATTGAAAAGTGCCTTTTTATTCGCTACTTGCGTCGGGGCGTGAGCAGGCCTCTCTGCTGCTGTGTAACCGGAAGTACTCTAGAAGACTTGGAGTTGCTAGGCTCTTTCAGGCGGCATTGACGACTTGTAATGAGCAGAACAGAGCCTCTGATCTAAATAGTTGCAGCTACATCACTGCGTCACACCTAGAGCGCCCGCCACGCCCACCCCCACCCCCACACGAACTCTTGCATTAATTTCTTAATATCTTATTCAAAAGTTTTCCTCTTTAAGGCGGCGCCGCCGCTGTTCCCCAGTGATGATAGTGGCTAGGCGTATAGCACGTTTAATTTCTCAGCTCTAGGCCGTCCGGACTTTATTTTACTTGCAATGATTAATCCAGCCGCCAAAGAAGAAGTCGTCGTTGCGGTTGTTCAAACGTATATGGGATAGTATAAGCTGGTCATCCTTTATAGCGATATAGAGCTACGTAACGTATCAAGCCACGCGGTGAATAGAAATATTATGTTGGTGGGTTTTTAGCCGGCAGAGTTCAGCTATTGTCCACCTCTTGGCTCGTTTAATTTCAGTATTGAAAATGAAAAGGAGAAGCTTGTGAGAGACGGCTTTACTGAAGAACGAAATTCCGTCGTGGGATACGTTTCGAGGTGTCTCACAGCGGCACGGTCAGAGAACGCTACTGATGTGGCCAAGAGGGCGCGAGACGTGTGACAGCTCGGCGGACTGAGTCGGTGGTACACATTTGCTTATGTTGGTTTACGTAATCACAGGGTGATTTGTTCGATCCAACCGTGGTGACGAAGGGTCAATTAACTTGTATTGATCTCTGCGTCAAGAGGAAAAGAGAGGTTCCAACCGTGGGTTGGATCGCCGGTTGAGCGCTGATATAGAGACCCTCAGATGGCCCCTGCGCTGGCGCTGACTCGAGGTCGAATTGGGCTTCCAATCCGACAGCTTCAAAACACCTCAGTCTCCGAAACCTTACCCTGTTCGTGGTTGTCACAATCTATTCCTATCGCGGAATACCTCTCCGTTGATTGGAACTCCCTTGATCATGTTGTCACTATCTTTCAGAACATATTCGGTTCATGGAACTCTGGTCAAGGTTCGCAGCAAATCCAATGTTGATCGCTTAGTTGTCTGTCTTCTCCGGCTCCATGTCTGGCTCATCTGACGTGAGTTTTGTGCCGCAAAGACAGCAATGAGTCATGTGTTGTAGACTCCGTTGTCTTACTAATTGCTTTTGGGCAGTAATTATAATTCCTCTGGGTCGTCTCAAAGTCTGTTTTCAGTCCTCTGTGTTTTCTCCATCCTTAGGCTCCAATACTCGAATAATACAAGAGTGAGAAAATTTCGTACTAATATAATAACAACGCTTGATAAAGTCAGGGAGCTTTTAACTTTTCAGTCCCAGAGATAAGGAAACACAGGCATGGATTCGATAGCCGATTGCTAGCGAACATCACCTCTTAATAGCGCGAAAGATGATACCCAGGTGCCGCCAGTTCACATCTCCAGGCCTATTGTGACTGCTACTTCTCCATCATGCGTAGACTCCGTGCGGTCCCACTGAGTCGCGGGGACAAGTAGTGCAGGCTCAAACTGACCCCAAGGTGCAGACCACGCTGTCGGAACAATTTTTCATAGCCTGCCCCCTAGTCATGCGGATCTCACACAAACTCTTTTCCTTTGCAGGTATGGAGTTGCGGATCAGACGGCAAGAAGGCCATGACATATACGGGTCTCGCACAAACTCTAACCTGTGTTTTCACACCATACGACGACAACCAAACTTCACCTGGTTCGTTTAGAATTAATTAAAGATTCTTACTTTGGCTCACAACTGTGATTCGGAAATTGGTTTGGATAGAGAGCCTTGAAAACCCAACGCATGCCATGAATCGTTGAAAGGAAAACTTAGTCAAGTACCTCTTGAGACTGAAAGAGTGAGTCCAAATCCCGCTCCCTTTTTTTCCAAGTATATATTGGAATCCAGAGCACTCTCGGCAGTGCAAGAGCCTTTCTTTCACTCATCCATTTTCTTCTACCCACGTTCACTCACTTCGAATTTCCGAAACTGCCAGTCACTAGTATGTATTTCACCAAACAGTTACTGCCACAGTGGTAATACTAAATGTCGTTTTCGTACTAAAGTCGTTTAGCAGGAAGCATGGGCAATCTTTTACCTTTCGTGATCTACTGGGGCATAGCTGCTGCAGCGGATTGCACCAGGAACGATGTTGTTCGATGGGGTCCGTTTGAACACAACCCAGACAGAAACCTTCCAACGAGTGTCGGCCAGACGGAATCTTACGCTTGGGACAATAACTGGATTACCATCGAGATGCTATCAACAAAGGTTGCCGTAAACCCTTATCACGAGGCTCCAAAAGACTACACCACCCTGAACATTGTCAATCATGGTTCGTTGAACCTTCGGGTCCGCATTGAGACAGGACATGGCGAGCCGTGGGAGTATTTTCTGCCTTCTAACGTCAACTGCGATGTTGGTGACTATTTTATACATGCGGATGCGCCTTACCAGGTGACTTTTGCTTCTTGAGTGTTTTAAGTAGAGTACACTCAACTAGACAGGGTTAATGAAGGATATCGAAAGCAATGCTTCAAGAGAGAGGAGGGACAGTAATGAAAAGTTTGAGGAGCAACACAGCCACTATATAAGCAAATCAGACGGCTTAGCTTTCTTCACAGGTGGACGTCCTGATTAACTGTTTCCAGCCCCTTCTTTGTCGTAAAAGTCTCAGTTATACCGTCCCTCGCTATTTCAGCCCTCCGATGAAACGATGCCTACTCCGCCTGACAATAATATGCTCAAAGATTCCTCAACATCCTTTTGCTTTCTCTCATAATAATACCCAGTGCTACATTCACCAAACTATGAGCTATCTCTGGGACGTGTTTGTAGTCAATATTCCAAGATATCCAAATAAACCCCCGCCGGTTTAGTGTTGAAAATCATGTAAAAGATGGGCAGCCCGCGTCATCATCAATTTTGTCGTCCTCACTCTTGACCTGTTCATCCTTCTTGTCGACATGGTCTGCCTGGAAGTCACTCACATCCGTCTGGCCACAAGACAAGCAAGAATCTCAACACCAAGTGGAGCCCCAAGGACCCATGGTAAAGTCACCGACCGGTTTCTGTGACCCTCATTCTCGTCCGAGGTACGGCTCAATCGAGAACAGCATCTTGACGGGGTTGTGAAATCCAACGACTATCCCAACCACAGCCTATATCAGACTCGGCCCTGTCAGCTGCCGTTGATGATGAGCACGCTAGTATCGGGTTCAGTCGATTTGCGGCCTTCGACAAGGCCCTCTACCATTGTAGTAAGCCCGGCAAGGTCATTATCAGGCTGTCAGGCATCTCTATTCCCCTGGTCATACTTGCCTCTGCCCTTAATCAGGGCATTACCTTAAACATCTTCGTCACCATGGCCAGCTCGACGTTCAGGCAGCACAGCTCACTCGCCGCCGTTAACACTGCCAGCCAGATCATCCATCCCATCAACAAGCCCTTCATCGGCAAGCTCGTCGACATCCCCTCCCGCTGAACGACTTTTATCGTCTATATCGTTCAGTCGGCTTTGCAGACATAACTAGCTCCAACACCTCCACCGCCTTCACCAAATCTTTTTACTTTACCTTAGTAGGAAGTCCGGGCTCAACATCCTGAACGAAAATCATTATCAGCGATCTGGCCTCATTATAGTGGCATTGCTTCTTCAGCACCGCCCTGGCAATCCTATTCGTCGTTACCATGGCTGTTAACAACTTTATTTCATGTTCCAAAAGTTTTTTCAAACAATTAGCAGTGGGTACTAGACGTATCAGCGATCGCTATGCCCTCAAGCCGCTGACGACGAAGCGCATACACCTTCAAAAATGGCCTTGACCATCCTAAATACCTAGTTTGTCCTTATACGTCTGCATCGTTAAGCAATAGACAGATCTCTTACAAATAGACCATTAAGTCAAGCATTACAAGCATAAACTCAATATCATAGGGTCCATGGTCGGTCCTATCAAAAGACCACGCATCGACACAAGTCCAAAATTCCAATTAGCCTGCGGGCCGAGGTGAGGCGGTGGGGGATAAAGTAACTGCTGAGATTTGTCTGGCCAACAAACGTCTAGATAATTCGGCTTAGCAAACATCATTCTATTCGGTCGCACGCGCACAGGGCTCCTCCACACAGTCGGTCGGTTGGACAAAATGTAGCTAAAAATGATTCACATCGTACGGCAAAAGATTGGACGATCTGGGAATCGAACCCAGGACCTACCGCATGCTAAGCGGTCATTATACCACTAAACCAATCGCCCGTTGTTGAAAAGCGGCCTTTTTCAGTGCCTATAGAGTGCTTCTGCGTGAAAGTCAGACCACGCGAATTTAGTACGGTTCGTCCCAAGAGACGCTGCCAGATGCTTTCTCGCGCTCTGAGAGACTCTATGTCGTTCGAGACCACCCAAATTAAATCGCTTCGACCATAGACTGCGCAAAGTGTTCTTCCAAAGTCGTGCACCAAAGTCCCTCGACCGCATGGCCTCAGCGATTCCCAGAGTCAATGCCATGCAACGACCAGCCATCCCACCGCGGAGCGTGATGCCATCGTGAATGAAACGAACGGGCGGGCGTCCTCCACATCATCACGCTTGCCTCAGATTCTTCATTGTGACATCAAACGCCTCCGGATCCCGCCCTATCACCGCCCTCAGCGTCTCCGACACAACGGCAGTCTCCCCTGCGCCAATCGCCTCCCACGCCGTCGCCCACGTCCTCGCATTGTCCTGCGACCCGAACCGCGCCACAACCTGCGGCAGCCGGACATACTCGTCCACGCTCACCTCGCGGATCCGCAGGTCCCTGCCGGCAACGGCGCCGAGGACCCCGACCGTCTCCGCAAGAGACCAGGCCCGCGGCCCCGTGAGCAGGATCTTTTTGTTGACGTGGGCAAAGTGGTCCGGGTCCCAGGAGTACTGCGCCATGAGCTTCGCCGTCGCCTCGGCCAGCTCGTCGCGCTTCACCCACGACACGCCGGGACCGGCGCCGGCGCCGGCGTGCGGGATGAGGATCTCGTCGGTGGTGGCGGTAGGGGCGTTGACGTCGAAGAAGGAGGTGTAGATTGGGTACGACTCCGAGTAGAGGCCCTCGCGGACGGCGGTGTAGGTGAAGCTCGGATCGGAGGCCGCGGCCGCGGCGAGGTGGCGCTCCGTGTCTAGGTGAGCTTGCATCACCTCCGCTACCGAGGCATCTTGCAGGTCCCCGCCAAAAGCTAGTGAGCTGTAGAAGATGTGCTTTACGCCTGCGCGGCGCGCTGCGTCGACGGCTGGTAGTTGCACCTGTGGTTTTTTTGCTTGCTTTTTAGTCGCCGCTAGGTGGAACGAGCTAGGCCGACAATGGACCCGTTGGCAGTTTTTGCAACTCTCTCACCTTTCTGCGGTAGTCGTGGACATGACTTGGGTAGGAAATGAGAAAGAGCACTTCGATGCCTGCGAAGGCGGCCTCGAGATCGGAAGGACTCGACTCATATGATGCCTTGCGTGCGCGGACGCCGTTCTTGATGTGGTCTTGGGGCACGCGGTCCGGGTGACGGTTGATGAGAATGATGTGATCGCTGGGGAGGAGTTTCAAGAGGTAGTCGTACGTGCTGCCGCCAAGAGCGCCCGAGCCCGGGAAGATGCCGATCGACTTCATGATGATGAACGGTTGTTGTAGAATCGGACGCAATGAAGGTGCTTCAAGGACGCAGTCGAGTCTAGATGTTGATCTCGTCAATCAATCTGTCGATGATCGCTTCGACGGCATGAAGAGTGCAGTAGTCAAGAGTCAAGTGCAGATAAGCCCAGGTGAGATCGTGACATGATACGCATGATCACATCACATCACGACCCCCGGAGACTTTTGCTTGGCAGGGGACTGCCCGGTTTGACATGCATATTACGTCACGCCACCCCTTATTTACAAGTCTTATCAAGCATCTTCCCTCGCTTTTTCTATGGCACCTTTGTGAGATCCCACGGTGGAAATCGAGCTCGCCCACCCACCCATCCCCATTCTTTATTAATGCCCGATTTTTAAGTTCCGATCCCGGAGCGGAGCTATTGCCTTTCATATGTTGCAGTGTGACACAGGACTAGCCCGTCCCCGTGTCCCGGCCCCGCAGCACGGCCGTCGTGTTTGCTCGATAGCGGTCGTTGTGGAGTTGGGTTGCGGAGACGTGTGTCACACTCAAGGGATGGTTGAAGTTGCGTCAAGATGAAGCTTAGTTGTGAGGCTTTCTAGCTTGTTCACTAGTAAAAAAACGACGTCTACCCAGAGGCCTTTACACCGCGGAACACGCGCTCACTTGCACCTCGGTAGAAGAAAGCGGCTTCATGTTTGTTTACAGGGAACTACCATAAGCCATCTCAAAATGCCCCTGTATACTCAGTCCCCCCGCGAATGGTCCATCGAAAACGACTTCTGCTTTATTTCCAGGTGGTAGTAGCACCCCTCTTAGCGCCATCAACAAGCACCAAAAAGTCGCTGGGCACAATCTTGCCATTCTTGTCACGTGCACCAGCAACAAGACTAATGTCGACGCTCTTGAAGCTGGCATTCGTCAGCGCGGGCACGCCCAGGACGTCCCACGAGTTGTTGACAGACGTCTGGTTGTTGCGCAGGCTCGCCTGGCCGGCGTAGGTGGCGTTGGCAGCGGCCCCGGGGTTGTTGAGGGCGGCGACGTTGCGCTTGAGGACGGCCGTGGCGTTTACGCTGCGGAAGCCCGTCTTGCCGTTTAGCCACGCGGTGTTGGCCTCGATGATAAAGTCGCCCGTCTGTGAGTTGTCCGTGAAGCCGTTAGCCTTGTTGCCAAAGGCGATGCAGTTGATGACGTCGCGGGCGGCGGGGAGGATCTCGCCCGCGCTGCCGCCGCCGAGCTTGAAGCCGTTTCCGTTGCCGGTGAAGCCGGAGATGTTCTACGCGGGATTGTTAGATGCGGTGGTGGAGAGAGAGAGAGGATGGGGGCTTTGCGGTTGTGGACGTACCCAGCGGTTGAAGCCGTTGCCCCACGCGATGCTGTCCTTGATAGTCAACTTGGAGTGGAACTCCCTACATAGACTACTGTTAGCTCTTGCGTCTTTACACCATCGTCAAGCATCTTTAGACGCACCAAAAGTCGACACCGTCGTCAGAGTTGTCCCAGAATCTGCTGCCAACGACAATGTTGCCCTCTCCCTTGCCTTCCTTGATAGCAAGACCATCGGCATTCTCGCCACTGTTTCTCGGGTCGTGGTTACCGTACGAGTCGAGGTACGAGATGACGTTGTTGGATAGGGCACCCTGCATGTGGAAACCGGACTCGTAGTTGTCCCGCGTGACGATCTGGTTGAAGCGCAAGTTGCTAGAGTCCTTGACGTAGACTCCGTACGCGCCGTGGGTAAAGGTGAGACCGGCAAAGTTCCAGTATTGCACGCGCTCGACGTGGAGGACGCCGCGGTTCCGGTTCAGGACGGAAGCGCCGACGGGGGCGGGCGTGTCCGGCAGGCCCTCGCCGTCGATGATGACCTCCTCGTCCTTAGCGGCATGCAGGGTGATAGGCGCGGCGGCGGTGCCGTTGACGGTGATGTTGATGTTCTTTAGGAGGTCGTAGGTGCCGCCACGGAGGATGATGATATCGCCTGGCTGGGAAATATTGACGGCCGCCTGGATGTCGCTGAAGGGCTTGGACTGGGAGCCGTCGGGTGTCGCGACGCCCTTGGGGGACACGAAGATGTTGGCCGCCAGGGCCAGGGGTAGGCAAGAGACTAATGCCGGTAGGAGAAACATGGTTTGTGAAATGTGTTTATGTACTTTGAAAAGAGTGTAAAGGTCGGGTGCAAATCACACAAAAAAAGAGATAAAGAGAGTGAGAGAGTGGGAATGGTATGAAGGACTACTCCCGCCTTTTTGCAGGCAGTGAGAGCATGGCTCCGGTGATGATTTATAGGTTGAGTGTGGGCATGGCTTCTCAGTCGCAATCGGGGGGCTAATTGAGGCAAACATTGATACCACCGAGATTGATCCCTCTCGGCACTCTGGGCTAGTAGCCAAAACATATTAAGAATGTCTTGGTGCTCTCTAAGAAACTTTTTTTCGCAACTTTGCTAATTCGTAGATAGCGTGGGTTCAAGAGTCGTTGACCCGCAAATGGAAGTTAAGGCCTAGCTTGTTGTGGTGGGTGGTGCTGGTGCTCAATTAACTATACCTTAATGATGCGACACCCCTACCAATGGTATCAAATTGGGCGAGATGGCGCTAGTATGCCAAGATGGGCCACGCACGAGAGAGCCCATGGCATTCTTTTTGGTCGTGGGCCCGGACTCCCGGGCTCTCGGTGCACGAGACGGCGAGCGAGGTCGTTTGTCGCTAGCCCCAAAGAACTCCGTCTATACTCTCGTAACATTATTTTGAGTTCACGATAGAGCCAAAAGTTGGTTCAAGAGTCTAGATCTGGGCCCATGCGGTATCAAGGAGCGTGGGGCCAGTAACGTTGGACAGCACATGGCTATTGCTGAAATGCACTGCCCAAGTTGGCTGATGCTTGTCAAGTCTTCTTATACGGGTCTCAAAACGTCTCTATGGGCCATGACTACTTGACAATCAAACATGAGGCTCAGCCGACACGTCTGCCGACCTGCGGAAGATGATTTTTAGCTCCGTAATCACGCTGAGCATAAAAGCGATGGACGGAGGACAGTTGCTGCAATATATGTTAAACAGCACTAAGTTTAAGGTTTTGTAGCCATGGGCATGCAAGCTCGGTCCATGACTCAATGATTCTCGCCCGCCCGCTGGCCCGGGAGATTACATGCTTCGATGTTCTGTAGTCAGCGGCGTTGTTGGTGGTTCTGGCAGACTTGGCAACGACGTGCCATTGATTGCATCGCATCCGGCTGTTCCCCTCGCTCCTCAGCGCAACTTACCTCCCTACCGCGTTCATCCTTCGTCGTAGGCAAACGCGTTCATCATATTTCAGCTGGCCATCAAAGTAGGAGAATCCGGAGCTTGCTATCAAATCCACAGGACTTCCTAGTCATTCTATGTGTGTAAGGACAAAGAATGAGCGGTGTATGTGAGTTTGGGCAATCTCCAACACATTCCTACTTCCACGATTACTTATAGTTCTTGTATCTGTTGTCGCACCACGGCCCGTAATTTGAATCTTTGATTTGTTTGGATCGCTCGCGTTTTGAATGTCTCGTCCAACAAGAGGCTCGGCCTCGAACTGAGCACCTTCTTTCAGGCTTCGATTATTCCGAGTGCTCTATATCGCCATTGGCCCAAGGTATTAAAGCCCAAAAGGGTTGCAAATCATCTCCTTGATGGCAGTGCATCTACTATAACTACCAAGGGGGATGAGAGACAGGGAGAACAGTCCGTAGACGGTCTTGAGCCTTCTCAACGTCACGTCGCCTACGTGTTCTGAATGTGTCAACCCGACATGTACTGGGCTCCAGAGATATATCAGACACCACCATTGTAATAACCTAGGATATCTGCAAATCTGTTTCCGCTGTTCTTGGAAGAAGTTGAAGTCTTGCATGTGTTTTGACCCACAATGCATCGTCTCTTTGTGCCTTCATGCAACCCGTGACCAGCATCATTAAATCTTGAGGTCCCACGCCTTGCCATGAAAGAAAAGGATCGGGACAGATGCTATTGTTGACAACATCCGTGACGTGCTAAGAGCACTGGGTATGTTTGGGAAGCTGTTGCTGGTTTGTCCTTTCAGGCTCTGTTTGGAAGGATACACCAAAGTTCCAGGGCTTTCCATTGCCGCAAAATCATAACAACTTGAAGGTTGCACGTGAGCAACAGACGTATTGGGACCGAGTTGATGGAAGCCACCGACTCTCCAACATCTTTGATCCATCATCTTCTTCATCTTCTTAGAGCGTTCGACCACCGTCATCTCAATCAGCCGCAGATACTATCAGGCACCAGACCCAACAACACACAAAGCTCCCATATCAACACTGCGAAGATACAGAATTACGTCCAATTGAACGACTCGAAATGGATCATAGCACTATGCATTATTGTAAGGAGGTCATTCGACCTCTTCTGACGAGCAGCAATGGTGTATTGGCGGGAGTCATCATCTCAAGAAAGATGTCCAAGTGGTGCATGGCTCGCCGCGTTCATCGCTGCATTGATCCATACGTCTCCTCTGCAGACTACATTATGTTGTACGCGTATCGTTTTAACATGTAGACGTCTCTGGTCACCTGAAACTACAGAAAAGGCTCGCTGGGAAGCTCTCAAATCGATGAAAGACCCGGAGGCTCGCGGCAGTCAGCTCAACACCGGAATTGATCGCGATACCGAGATCGTAATGAGGCCGAAAAAACTGTCAGTGCCATCAACGAGGCCGAGAATAGAAGCCTTCGGCAACGAAGGAGAACACAGAGCAGTCCAAAAAGAAGATGACCGAGATAAAGGCCGATCTTGATCAGTGCATCAAGAAAGGAGAGAAGCTGCCGGCAGAGCTCGTAGAGAAGTGGGAGGGGTTTGCGAAATATGCCAATTCTGACAAATTCAAGAGATTTTTTAATGAGCATTCCGAGTTTAAGACATGGATCTGGTCCAATAATATAAAGATACCTTCGTCGTTAATGGTGGATTCTTGAGATTGAGTAAGGCAAAGTTGATTGATTCGACATAACGATATGGGCATTCCCATCCTGCTGCAGTCGAATTGTATGATATTTTGATTATGGTAGTTCTACATTATCATGGTACATAGAATGAGCCAATGAATCTTATTTGAGGTCAGTCAATCATAAGTCTTCCATCTTTTATTTATCAATGGGAAAAGGCTCGAGAGGCTTGGCCACAGCACATAACCAGCCCCTTTTTGAGCGTTTGGCTAGGTAGTCAAACTGACTCTCAGCTTGTAAGGTGGAAATTGATCGTTTTCTCTGTTATTTAAAGACAGATATGGCTATTTTACTGGTATTCCCAAGATAGTACCGCTCATCTGAAAGATTTTACGCGATCAGACTCAAGCTCTGGCAGCTTGTATGGGCATCAAAGGCATGCAGCACGGTCCCGAAGGCTCCAGCCCTTTCGTCGTCGCCATTGTGGGCTTCCAAATTTGCCAGGCTTTGGAATATTTCCAGTCTGCCTAAAAGAAAATGATGCAAAGAAGAGCGTGAGAGGTTGTGCTGGCTTCCGGGTGCTTCCAAGGCCGCCGCATCAAGCCCATCTGTCAGAGGCACCCGCCTTTTGCAAACATGAAATCACATGCAGCCACTGGTATTGACCCTCCCTTTCCCACGATCTTTGAGGAAGGGGCAGAAAAGGACTGCTTGAAGTTGACACCGCTTTTCTGCCCTTTTGGTTTTATTTTCCTCAAAATACATACTATCGTCGACTCTGTCGCCCCTCTACTACTCGTCAAGGCATCATCAGGTTGAGCGCCTCGAGAAGCTCCAACTCTGAGAAATAGATCAGCATCACGGGAAAGCATAGCAGACGCGACGAGAAACGGATACGATGGACTTCTTGGTCATCTGGATGAGCGCCTTGATCATGTTGATGGACCTCTTGGTCCTTTGCATGATCTCCCAGCCGATCTTGATCATCCTGGTGTTCACTATCGTCGGCACAATCCTAATATGGGAGATGTGTTTTCGACGTCTTCTCGTTGGCCTGCTCACCCCCGCCAAGATTGATGTCGCAGTACAAACCAAATCTGGTAGTCAAGTGGAAGCCGGAACCCAAACTGAATTGGGCATCGAAGTACACGCAGGAGTCCAAACAGAATCTGTCACCCAGGCCGACGCCGGGGTCCAAGCCGACGCTGGCATCGAAGCAAAAAACGAAGATCAAAATGAGGCTGGAGGCGAGACTGGAGGCCCAGCTGGTATGTCTTTTCAGTCGCCATCTCAGCGGTGAAGAAGACGCTAATGTGAACGATTCCTACCAGCCAAGACGGATGCAGAGAAACTCGAAGACGACAGAAAAAGCTTCGAGCAGAGCCGCCAGACGTTGGAAGCCATCAATGAACTGCTCAAGATGACCAAGGAGGACACAAGAAATAAGGACGAAGCTTTTCTGAAGGAGCTGGACGAAGAAGAAGCCCTACTCCGCAGCCTTGCGGATCTCGTCGAGTTCAACACGAAGGAGTACATGCGCCAAATAACCCAAAACTGCGGAATCGAGCTGAACACTTGGATCCTTGGTATTCGGTCCATCTTGGCAGCCGTCTGGCATGTGCACATTTTCCGTGAATTCATGCATCGGATAGAGATTAACCGCCAAGATGCGGTCATTCGGCTTGCTATGGGCGCATCAGAAGATGAGGAGCCGGATATAGCCATGCTTGAAGCTCATTATATCAACCACATGATGGTGTTTCCGGAAAACGAGGCGGATACGAATGGTACGGACGCAGCTGGAACCGAGAACACCAACACCGATAAGCCCAATGGCGGCAAGTCTCCTGCGGACAAGACGAAGACCAGCGAGGCCAAAATGAATCAACCCAAGATAAGTAAGACCAAGACAAGCAAGACCAAGACGGACGAAGGTGTCACGGAAAAGTTCAACACGACCAAGCCTGGCATCAGCAAACCCAACAGCGGCAAGCCAAGCAGTAGCAAGGTCGATACGGACGAGGTCAAGCAGGACAAGATCAATGCCGGCAAGCTCAGCAAGGGCAAGCAGAAGATCATCATCAGCGTCCCTGATACCGAAAAGGCCGAGGCGCACCCCGTCGATGATGAAGACAAGGAGATGTATAGTCATCCCTTGTCTAAGAAGGAGAAACGCAAGCTCAAGAAGGCTGAGAAGGCTGAGAAGGCTACCATGGAGAATGGCGAGAAGAGTTAGGCTGATGCGAAGCCGCATACGGCGTTGAAGTTCAAACAGCAGTGAGTGGAGGCGTCATTTCGCGCTTTGCCGCGGACATGGTGTGGCTACATTGATGGGAGGCTTTGATACGGGCGGTGAATGATGGAGGATGTGGACGGCTGGGGACTATGAGTGCCTGGGATGGCATGTTGTTTGGTATAGGATCCCTGAACTTGGTTCTTTATGTATGCTATTGTCGAAAGTTGTCTAAGGAGTTCATTTGATCAGCTCTTCGATGCAGTGAGCATGATGGTTTAGGCGTCCGGATGCAGTATTATTGACCCTTCGCAGACGTGTACTTTCTCCTTGAAACCCCCCTTGACTCTGTATCGATGTTGAGATTTACTCTTCGTTGATTGGTAACGAATCGTCTTTCTTGGGGCAAAGTACATCCTTAACTTTCCATTCACTGCATGTGGGGTGTACATGTAAACATGAAGGTGACATCTTCTGGACTAAGATTTTCTCGGTTTCGTTTTCGGTTGTAGCTTTGATGTGTTCATTCGAATAATCAATAAGGTAGACCGAACAGGGAGGCGTGACTTTGAACATGAAAAGGGGAATCTTTGATTATTCTATACTAATCCAAGTCGATCATCAACATCCTTTGCAGCCTCAATACTCCTCTTCAACACACTGGTCTCCGGCCCGCTGAGTTCCCGCGCGTTCATGCCAACCATGCAACTCATGTCCTTCTTCCTCGCCCCCTTGACCCATTGCTGGTCAATCATCCAGTGCGTCGGCACCTCAAACTCGCTCGGGTCGTCCATCTTGTTCTTCAACAGCCCGCCGTTGTACCACAACAAGCTATCCACCTCGTCCACGTGGGCAATGACGAAGCTGCAGACCTGCGTCATGTCCGTCTGCACCCCGCTGAACGGCTTCCGCCAGCCCACCATGCCGCCGTAGTGCCGCGAGAAGCTGTACGTCGACCCCGTGGCCTCGAGGCCGATCCAGTACGTCTCTTTGTCCCCGTACGTGATCCTGTACGTCCACGCGTTGCGCACGGCGTATGTGTTCTGCCACGCCGTGTGCAGCAGGCCCGTGAGCACGTTCAGCCGGCCCTTGTTGAGCACCACGATGCCCGAGTCGCCCTCCTCGGCGTACCTCTCCGTCCACACGAGCGACTTTTGCAGCTCCTTGCTCGGGTGCTTGAACGTCTCGTGGAACCACTCGTGCCGCTCGGGGAACTGGTCTTTCCAGAGCAGTCGGTCGTGGAAGAGGAGCGCGCCCTCTTCTTGGTACGTTCGCTGTTGGAAAAGCTGCTCCGGGCGCTGCAGGAAGACAACGTCCGCGTCCAGGAGGATGACTTCCTCGAACCGGCTGCCGAGCGCGGCAAAGGGCTTGATTGCCCATCCGCCCTCTGCCAGCCTCAACGTCGTGTCGTTGAAGACGGTCAAAATGTCCAAAAATTCAAGGCGGTCGTCATCGCCCTCGGCAGCTTGGACGAGCGTGTCGCGGTCGTCCTCGGATAGGTCCTCGTCACCAGCGTACACAATCTGTATCGGAAGCGTCGTCTGGTGAACGCGCGTCAGGGACGCCACCAAGTGGCACGCGAACCGCAGCGTGCCGTGGCCCGTCGGGATGACGATGCCGGCATTTCTCGGCACGTACTCTGGTTTCTCGTTGCCAGAGGCGGTGCCGCCCACGTGCGATTGCTGGGCCGGGGGCCGCGCGGGGGCATGTTTAGCAGCGCCCATGAAGCTTCGCCTGAGATCGGCCAGAGGTGACTGGCTGTGGATGTCCCTCGGCGGAGATTGCAGGTAGGGGAACAGGGATGCGGCGACGCGCTCGACCTGGGCTTCGAGGAATTCCCTCTCGGCCCCCACCACTCGCAGGCCGTCGGCGCGGCCACCGTCCTTTTCCTCGAGTGCCTCGATCCATGAGCGCAGCACCTTTGTCCGCTCGCCGAGCTCTCCAAACACCTTCTTGTACGGCGGGCCGAGGGGGTACTCGACAAAGTACTGTGCCGTCGCGTTGATGGCGTCGAGGTTGAGGCCGGACGTCTTTGAGGTTCGGAAGCTGAAGCCGGTCGAGGCGAAGGGGGTTATCGTGCCGTGGAACCGGAGCAGGTAGACGACGCAGAGGGTGACAAAGGCAGCGGCGGCGATGATTGGCGTCAACTGACCGCCGTATCGCGGTGAAACCAGGAGACGAACCATCCTAGACTGCCTCTCACATTCCCTTCCGTCTTCTTCTCCTTCTTCTCTTTTCGAGTCGTTCAGGTCGTCGAGTTCGTTGCAGCAAATCGCTCGCAAGAAACCTGAAAAACTCTGCCCTGCGACTGACTGCCTGGGCCCGCGGCCTTTTAAAGAGCCAAGATCTTCAAGCTAAGCCTCCATTTTTGGGGTGTTAAGACCGGCGTTAGGCAAAAGCTTATTATGCCGGTGTTCCTTACTCCCGCGTCAACCCAGTCGTTGCCAGTCAATCTACGGAGTATCTGGCTGGTCACAATTGCGAATATTTACCCCCGGCTCGCATATTCCGAGTTCAGAGATGACTGCGGCTGCCAGGAGAATGATGCCAGCGGCGGCCAACCAATAAGCACAGCCCATTCATCCTCTTTGCCGTTAGGACCAGCGACGGAGGCAGGGCCACGCCAGCAGATCTCCGTCAGTGGAACTCAACTAGTCGTCTCATTGCAAGGCCCTTGGGGCTAGACTCGAGAGGGGTCGCAAGGTACCCCTTGGACCCCAAGCTACCGGAACGATCACGCGTCTTGGATATAGCATGGGCCCGCGTCCAAAGCTCCCAGGGCCCAGGCCACGAATCTCAACAACCCCCGCATTCCAAAAGCTTTTGAACCCCCTTGTTTCTCTCGTCTCTTCACAGGTTAATGGCGGCACGGCATGTCAGATAGGTATATCAAATGGCCGCTAACTTCACACTTCGTCTGCCGTACATCCGTGACAGCGTGCTGAGTATCCATACTACAGTTTCAAACTTAAGTATCTTGCCCGGTATCTAATTTACGCACCCTCGAACTCCAATTCCACGGTCGATCCTCATCACAACTTGTTGTTGCCCGTGAATCGACAGCACTGAGCTTTGTTCGGTCCACCGCGAAAAGCTCAGGACGTGTTGCGCCAATCGAACGTTGCTCTCGCCCACCTCATTTGATTCGAAACTCATTTGATCAGCTCATATTCGAAGCGAGGAGCCTTTCATTTTGGGCCGACCTGCTGTTCCGGGCAAAGTCTCTGTCAGCTGAATCCAGGGGGCATGCTGTCGGGCAGCCGGGCTTCTATCACGAAAAGGTGCTAGCGCCAAGCAACGACATTAGCGTCAATAATTGCTGCTTACTTCCTTAGTTCATATGCCCTGCCAGCGGGGGACCGGGGACTGACTCAGACTTTTCTGCTGGCGGGCGAAAGAACTCTTTCTGGCGCAAGGGTCTTGAAGCATCAAAGACTGCACGTGGAAGCCATGGGAAACGTGGCAACAGTTGCACCTTTTGCATATGCAGAAAAGTAGCCAATGGAAGATTCACAACACTGGCAATATACACGGAGAAGCCATTGGAGATATTGATTGGTGGACTCCCATGCCTCAGAGAGCGGCGATTGGCCTTGCTGAAAGCATTGATTAGTTATCTAACGCAGATTAACTCATCCGAGCTGGCAGGCCCCGGGCCTTCCCGCGAAATGATCTTGAGATACCTTTGGCCAGATAACCTACCAGCTCTCGAAGTTGCCACTCACGATGTCGAGTCCCTGATTACATCAAATGGCATCTGTCTCCTTCATGGCTCCGCGGAACTCGGCAGAACCTGTGTTTGTTGATGCACCGCGAACAAGCCGTATTCGATTTGCTTTCGCACTCTCGAACGAGGAAGATGTGCTTCACAGAGGCCATCTACTTCCCTTTTCTATGCTGCGGGACATGGCTTCATTGATAAGTAGTCCCCCGCTCATCAGCATATCGCCAGATCCTGCCGACAACATCCTTTCCGAGAATCTCTCTCTCAGACCGTGTCAAAGTCCGATTCATGGGTCCGGACCGACCGGCCCAGTGTGGGGGCTTCGTTTCCGTCCGGGCCGGCGGATTGCCAGTGCACTTACCGGTTGCACCTAGACCAATTGCCGAGGCCGTGCGTTAAATGTCAATTGAATGTTTTACATATTCAATGTCTGCTGAGAAGCAACAGAGAGCGTAATTCCACGACTTCATCCTCGTCAACGTATCGACACCAAGAGCTTCCTGGAACATTGCCACAATCCAACGATGCATACCTACATGTATGGGTTCACACGGAACGATGTACCAAGTACACATCACCCTCGTGCATTCTGAGCATCAGCATCGTACTACAGCTTTCTCATTATTACTGAAACTGATCTCGCTCGATGTATTCAACCCTCACCAAACGGCTACAGTTCCAAAGTCATTTCATCGTCATGGTCATGATTGATGGTGTGTGGCTAGTCCCACCACAATCCTCTTTCCAGGATACCCACATCACCTTCGTCACCATCTACCGTGTGGTCTACCAAAGAGGTATACTAACATGTAGTCAAAGCCACGCCCCCATCAACCATCACAGTGAACACTTGTCCGCATAGCGCAACCCGTGCCCAAATCGAAACACAGGGTCCGCCGTATCATACGGCACATCCTCTTTCGCATCCTCTACCGCCTGCTGTGACCGTGGCAGATCGAACGGTAATTTGCCCTCGGGGTTGCTGACACCAAAGAGCACGTCCAAGAAAGCCTCGCTGCCACTCCCGAAACTGCCCAACACAGCAGAAGCGGCTTCAACCACCTCGGGTATCGCGGCCGGGCGATCCAGGATCACGTCGACAATGGTGGGCACCGCCGCGTAGATCGCCGCCTGACGTGCCTTCTCCTCATCCGAGTACTCGAGCGAGCCGGCGTGGTAGGCCGCTTCGAAGCCGCCCGGACGAGGCTCGTAGGGGGCTTCGAGGCGGAGCAAGGCATAGTCAGCCTCGTCTGGCGTCTCGACGACCGACAGGTTGCGCGCCTCGAGGAAGGTGGCGTTGAACCCCTCAATGTAGAACTTGGTCTCGGTGCTACTGTGCTTTAGAGGGAGAATGTCGTCCTTGTTTGTGAGAAGAGTATAGGCCCTGCGCTGGGCGTCGTTGCCGAGACGGAGAAAGTAGTCGTTCCCGACAACTCTAGTCGCGGCCTCGGGGTCGACAGAGGGGTTGTCAAAGAGCCCAAGGAGGAACTTTTCACGAAGGAGACGTGTGACGGAGACGTCGAGGCGGTCTTCAGACACGATGCCTTCATTTACCAGCTGTACGATGAGCTCGGTACGCTGCTCCCCGCCGAACTGGTCACAGCCGGCATCGAGGATGCGGGCCGCGCGTTGCAACTCCGTGGTGTTCTCGAGACCCCACGCGCGCGCCGGCATGTCTTGGCCTGCGATCACCGTGTCAGTGATCAGACCCCAGTCAGTGACGACGATGCCTTCAAAGCCGAGTTGGGTCCTGAGAAGGTCCGTGACGATTTGCTTGTTGAAGCTAAACCCGACGGGCTCGTAGTCGGTGGAGTTGTGAGTCAAGCCGATGGGCCGCGAGTAATACGGCATCATCTGCCTCGCGCCGGCCGCGATCGCCGCTTTGAAGGGGGTGAGATGATACTCAAAGTTGTTTCCGGGGTATGTCTGGTTCTTGCCGTATGTGAAGTGCGAGTCTTCGCCATTCTCCATCGGACCGCCGCCGGGGAAATGCTTGGTCACGGTCGTCACGCTATGCGGGCCAATCTCGTTCCCTTGGAAGCCCTTGATGTACTCGACAAGGAGCTCGCTGGTCAAGGTCGCGTTTTCGCCCCAGGTGTTACCTAGACGCGCCCATCGTGGCTCGGTAGCGAGGTCGACTTGGGGGTGCAGGGCGGCGCGGATGCCGACGGCGATGTACTCCTCACGGGCGACCTCGGCGAACTTTCTGACGAGAGAGGGGTCCCGCAAGGCGGCAAGGCCGAGAGTCTCGGGCCACTGGGAGAAGACCCCGGCCTGGAACCCGGTGCCGATGTTCTCGGTGAAGTGGTGCCGGGGGTCGGTGGAGAGAGTCACGGGGATACCCAACCGCGTGTCGAGGGCGCGCTGCTGAACGAGGTTGACAAACTCGGCGACCTGCTTCGCGTTGGTGATGTCGCCGACGAGGTTGAAGTGCGTGATGTGCTTCTCGACAATCATATTCTCTGTGCCGTTGCGGTGCGCCGTGGCGTTGCCCGGGTCGAGGGTGCCGTTAGGGCCCTGTTGGAGCTGAGTCTGGAAGAGCTGGCCGGCTTTCTCTTCGACTGTCATCCGTTGCACGAGGTCTTGGACGCGCGCGTCGACGCAGTAGGAGGCGTTCTTGTAGATTGGGAGTGACTCTGTGTCGTCCTGGCGGGCTAGCCAGTTGTGTTTGGGGTTTCTGGAGGGGGTGGAGGCGCAGGTTGCTTCCAGGAGCAAGCTGGCCAAGACCAGTGTTGCTGCTTTGAACTTCATAATGGCTCAGGTCTAAACGAAGACGGTCTGAGGCGTGAAATCGAGACAGAGGCTGATATTTCTTGATACTTTTGTAACAATCTCCTGAGCCGGTTGAAAGAGCTGGAGGGGTATTTATCGTAGTACATGGCTGGACTGCGACGGTTGACGGACATCGTCGGTTGATGGGATTGACTTGGCAATGGATGTTGCCTCGGACAAAGGACCGCGACGATGACGGGGAACAAGGTGATATTTTCTCTTGGCACGCTATCCAGCGGCCTTGTATCGGTCAATAAACTTGGTATGGGACTCAATGGTGTGGCCGATGAGGGGTTCCAGCGGCGTGATGTGACGATGTCATGCTTGACTACCCGGGCAAGAGTGCACTCCGCAACTTGGATCCATCCAAGGCACTAGAGTGAGATGACTCGAGCCAATGACATGAATCAATTGTAAGATTGTTTCCCGTCACAGAAGGACTGGCACGCAAGAGTTGGCTTTCGTAGGTGTTACAAGTAGATATTGGCAACTGATAGAGTAATTTTTTGTATTCCTAGTACTATGTACTCTACTTTAGGTAGTCCACAACGATCGTAATATAGAATTCATAACTTCATACTTGTGAGAAATATAATTCTTCATGTATAGAGAAACGTCGAGGTTATTTCGACAGACTGGAGCCAGAAACCCCAAAAGTTCGTCCCATCGAGCGGTAAGAGGTGGTGGCAAGGTCTATGTCGACCGGGATCTATCACAGGTTCGACATCGGGGGATGTTCGGGTCACCAATCCAATGGGACGGATGCGGGGACCCCGGATATCGCGCAGTATCCACGTGGATACATCATGTTACTATTGCAAGCCGTAACAGTTCGGACTGGCGTGATGGGTCGACGTTGAAGACTCCGAGGCTGGGGCTCTCAATCGGCCCTACCTTTGACATGGCGGGGTCGAACAGGCTCCCAAAGCTCCATTACCTGTATCCCGGACCACCAATGAGCCTCCAGCCATGGCGTTGGGTCCGGGGAATAGCAGCGTTCTTTGCTGCTCGGACTAGACAAGCACGAGATGTTGTGTCGTTGGTGGTGTCGTGACTGAGTTGGATGATGCGGGGATTGCGGGGATAGCGGCCCTCTTACTGAACCGGGTCGGTGGTCACCTGTCATTCCAACTCTGACGGCTCCACGTTCGGCACATGTCTTTCGTCTTGGCAATTTAAACCCTGGGCTCACCGCTTATGGGTGTGTTTGTTTCTCCCTGTTCAAGGCTGGTGATGCGGATGAATGTGTTTGGTGACTAAAGGATTGTGCATCCGGCGGGGGGAACCAGCCCCACGACTTGGGCTTAGAGCCCTCCAGTTCGGGAATCACTCTGTGCCAAGCGGCCGAGGTGTAGTCATAGATGGTTTGCTTGGTAATGTGTCATAGCCAAACTAGTCGAGAGGCCGAGAAACTGCAGATGACGGAAAAAAGCCAAGAGCAAATCGTCTGAGCATTCTTCGGCATGGCCAGCGCAAGACTTGGGATATACTTGGCTCAAGTAATTTACCCAGCGCGTGTCGAACAAAGGAAATTTTCCTGATCGGCTTGAAATGGCTCCAGTTGGCAAACTTCAACAAGATGGAACGATGGATGGCGATAACTCTGATCAATGACTAATGAGGAATATCAACTCCGTGGTAATCCTCGGCTACTTTGTTTGTTCCACCGCTGCAGCCTTCGCAGCATCTTCTTTGGCAACAGTCTCCTCATAAGTATCATACTTATACTTGAAGCCCGGGTGATCTGACCTCAATCCCTTCTGTCCAAGACCGTAAATCTGCTCTCTAAAGGTGGGAGCCGAGGCATACTCCGGGATCGCCTCTGCCAACAACCCTCTGCTTCGAAGCTCCGGGACGAGGTACTCAACAGCGTCTTCAAAGCTTCCCGGGGTAACCACGTACCCGATATTGAAGCCATCCACGTCGGCAATATCCACCCACTCCTGAAAGACATCCGCAACCTGCGCCGCAGTACCCACAGGCATGGCCCCATTCCCACCGATTGCCGTCACTGTACCCAGATTCCGGGGCGTCAGTTTCGGCACGTCGTCTCCGCGATAGCGCAGGTTGTACAGAGACGAGTGGATGCGCTGGAGGTGGCTCGCGACGTCCTTCTCGGTGAGCTCGTGGTCCAGGTCGAACTGGGAGACGTCGATGCCCGTCGTTGCGGAGAATTGTGCGAGCCCGCCTTCGACGAGGACGTATTTGAGGGCTTCTTCGTACTTTTGCTTGGCGTCCTCTTCGTCTTTGCCAATGATGGGGGTGATCATGGCGAAGACTTTGACAGAGTACGGATCTCGGCCTGCGGCGATGGCTCCTTCGCGGATTGCTTTTACTCTTGGTGCTACGGCGTGTGGGGAGAGGCCGGCGACGAAGATGCCCTCGGCGTGAGTTGAGCCGAATTTGATACCGGCACTTTGCAAGGCGGTAAGCGTCTCGGGGTCGATGAACTTGTGATTGAGGTAACTTACGGAGATGTACCGGCCTGGAATAGCACTGGGGTACGTTGGGGTGAAGGATCTGTCAGGAAGGGAGCATCGACATGAAATTTGCCATGGTGATGAATGGGACGGATTTGGGAGTAGTCGGAGTAGATGCCCTTCTCCGCGTCTTCAACCAATGCTGTGTCTGACCATGATCCTTCCCATAATCTACAGAGATTGAGTTAGTGAATCCAGATGAGCAAACATGATTGGAGCCAAGACGTACTTGTACAAGACTCGCAAATACTCGTCTGCATTCGAATACCGAGTATCATGTTCGACCAATGGCAGGCCCACCTTGCGTTGAATGTTAGATACAGCGTGAAAACAGAGGCAAATAAGAGAAAGCTCACAGCCTTGGAAGCTGATTCCTTCCAACTGGTGACGATGTTCCACCCGAATCGTCCTTTCGTAAGGTGATCAAGGGTACTGAACCGTTTAGCAACCACGTACGCCTGCTCGTACGAAGTTGACGTTGTGATGGCAAAACCAAGATTCTTGGTGACAGCAGCCATTGCGGAAACGGGCTGATTCAATGTCAGCGGAGCGGAACACATATTGAAGGATTCACGAGCATGATATCGTGATCCAGTTGGTACGTACGATGACGGGATCAGCCATCGGCCATTGGGCGCCAGTCCGAACCGATGGCTCCGCACTGCCCTTGTAACTGGACGGATGATTAGCAAAGATGTTGCTGAGTCGAAGTTGAGATGAGGCTCACGTGTCGTATGGTCCGAACGTATCGGCCAAGAACAAGCCTACAAACCCTCCCTTGTCAAGGAGCTTTGCTAGGTCCGTCCAATAAGTGAGATCACGGCGTTTGTCTTTGGCTCTGTCCTTGGGGTTTCGCCATTGACCGAAGGACAAGTGCCCTACGGTGAACATGTCAAAGGCGTTCAGAAGAATTTGCTTTTTGGGCTTGGCGCCGGAATCGGCGTTTTGGTCGTTCAGGGAAGCCATGGCAATTGTTTGGAATAGCCAAGTGGCCCAGATTTCGATATCGTGCAGTAGATAGCCGGAGCAGGAAGAAAGACTCTTCTTGTTTTCTGAAGTTCTGGATAGCCTAACCAAAGCTGATACTGAGCCCTTGCCGCCTTGATTAAGTACATGCTTAGTTTATAGCTTCTATGCGTCTTTGGCGTCATATTATCTGCATGTTGCGTGCGGAAATCCTACGGGTATTCTCCGAGGGCTACTACCTTGGTCTTCTCAGTGTGAGGCGTTGAACTCCTTTATCGGACCTGGAAAGGATTACTTGGCCGGGCTGAGTATTTCCCTGACTAAAGACAACGTCTGCAGATACATGACGAGAATCCGGGGATTAGCCGGATCAGATATGCAACAATACCGTCGTTGTGTTGCTGAAGGACCGTTGAGCAAATGATGGAAAGGTGGGCCGTGATTTCGCCATCAGTCCTCGGCGCACTGCAGCGAATGACCTGCAGATGTAGCAACGATCCAGTAGCACTGTGCATAAGCTCACCACACTGACACAACCCAAGTCTTATATCGCCATCTCTTCTATGAGCACATCATACATATGCCCCCCTGGACCCCCGCTGATAAGGATATCTGCATCGGCTTGTAGATGGCGAACTTTGCCGGCATCGGGTACTGAGACTTGTTAGCAGCCACTTGACTGACTTAAAGATGACCTCTCTTGGAGAGTGGCGGAACATTCCAACGATGAAAGCAGTACACGTGTGGTTATAGCACAGGCTTTATGATGAGTCTGCCAATTCAGCCAGATCGATTCCGTATCGACCACGATGCAACGGCTGCCAGCCGGAAGCAGCAAGCCAACGCGGCCGTGGCTCGAGCCAATGTCGATAACCTGCGAGATGACCCCGAAGCGCGAGCGGCATTCCTTTCGACTTTTTCTGCGGAGGAGGAAAGGTCCGTCATCAACAAAGTTGACAAGGCCTTTTTGGTTCTCATCGGAGTAATGTACATGATCAAGCAGGTAAAGTTGTACCAGCTAGGGCAATTATTGCAGGTCATGAGGCAGAACTTGCTGATGATAGGTAGATTGACCAAACAAATGCTGCCAATGTCCGAGTGTTACAAGCAGGGGAGTCTCGCAACATCATGAAAGAGCTCGACATGACGTCTGATCAATACAATTGGGTTGGATCCATCTACGGGGTAAGTGCTTGACCGGAACTAGGAGCATTGAAATTATCGTTTTATGACGCTGATGGACGGTAGATTGCCTACATCATCTTCGAAGCGCCCAGTAATCTGTTATTGAAGCGCATGAGTCCTCACTTGTGGCAGTCTCGTATTTTCTTCACTTGGGGCATCATCACGGCCTGCCATGCTGCAGCTCAGAACCGGCATCAACTCTACGCTATGCGGTTTCTGCTTGGGTTGGTTCATATATCAAGCCTATACAACCTGCTATGAATGCTGACGCCTAGTTAACACCTTAATAGTACGTTCGAAGCTGGCATGTTTCCGGGCATCATGGCCCAGCTGTCGAGCTGGTACCGCACAGACGAGATCGGCAAGCCGGTAACTTGGTTCTTTGCAATGTCCAACCTCGCGGGCATCATCGGATCTCTGTTATGTTACGGCATCAGCTACATGAACGGGATCCGCGGCATTAGTGCCTGGAGATGGGTGTACCTTCTCGAAGGGTCAGCGACCATTATCTTCTCCGGCGTCGTCTTTTGGCTGCTGCCGGACTACCCAAAGTCTCCGCGTAGCAACCGTTTCCTGACCGAGAGGGAACAGGAGTTTGTCGAGGCCAGGTTACCGGAGAATGCGCCTTTGACGAATGATCCCGATTTCGCCGGCAAAGAGATTTTGGCAGTGTTGCGAACACCGCTGATTTGGTCCTTCATGCTGTCGCAGACGCTCATTAACATTGGAGGATACGCGTTGACGTGGTACTTACCGACGATTGTTACCAATCTGGGCTTCGTGGGGTTGCCGAGGAACCAGCTGCTGAATATGCCTCCTGCGTTTGCAGCTATCGTGGGCTTGATGTTTTCGGCTTGGTTCATGTCGAGAGCGTACATTGTACGACCAGCGTACATCATGTGAGTGTTCCCTTGAAGAGATGGCTATAGTATGGGTTGATACTAATCATGCACGCTTTCAGGATTCTCATGTCCGGCATGGTTGTGTGCTTCGTTCTCTTCTTCACAATCACCAACCGATACGGCATCTACATTTCCTGCATCTTGGGAACCTTGTTCTACCAGTCATACTTCATCCCGTTCTGGGCCTGGAGATCTGCGACGCTCTCGGGATCAACGGGTACAGCGTTCACACTGGGTCTTCAATCGGGTATTGCCCAGCTGGGCGGCGTCATCGGTCCGCAGCTGTTCCAGTCAAAGTTCGCGTACAACGGCTACAAGACGAGCTTCGCGATCGCAGCGGCGACGACGATTGCCTCTTTTGTCGCCAATCTCTGGACGTGGTGGCTGACCAGGAACACGGAATACGACGTGATGAGGGTAAGAAGGAAGATTTTGAAGGCGAGGAAGGCTGGCAAGGTCAACTTTGATGATGATATCCGGGTGTTTGAGGAGAGACGGTTTTATGACGGATTCAAGCGACAGGGGAGAGATGATAACGAGGAAAGCTCACAAGCTTGATGACCTGCGACCTGTCAGAGTGGGATTCTCGACGCTGCTGACACACCGATCATCTCAAAATTCAGAACCGTAACAAGAACATCTCAAGGCCGCTGAAGCTGTGACGACTATCTACATGTAGCTGTGACCACTGAAAAGCTATGTGGTATAAAGCACCTTGCTAGATTTGAGTTTCGCGTTGTGAAGTGATGATGAGTTTGAGTTTGACTCAATGAGCATCCTCGCTGGTGGATCAAGGGAGAGCCCGTCAAGAATGTGTGGGGGCCGCTCCGTAGCGTAAATTCTCTCAACTTTACGGATACTCATTCTAAAATAGCTCACTCCAGTCCTGACTCAACACTTTTCGAACAACCTCACGCCACAATAACTCACCCCAAGTCATGTCGGCATCACCAGCTCTCATCCAGCTCTTGAAGCAAGTCATTCCCCAGGAAGACCGATCGTCCCTTCGTAGCGATGTCATCCCCGCAATCCTGGACGCCATTTCCGGCATCGCCAAGACGTTGCACGCATCCCAGCACGTCTCGCTCGCCGGCACAGCGAATGCCTTTGGTGACGACCAGCTCAACGTCGACGTTCTCTCCGAAAACGTGATGCGCGAAGCGATTGCGAAATGCCCGTCGATTCACACCGCGAGCAGCGAGGAGGACCCGGTCGAGAAGCCGGCGAGGCCACAGGCGAGTACCGGGATAAACGAGACCCCTGCCACGTCGGAGGAGTACACCGTTGCATTCGATCCCCTCGACGGCAGCTCCATCATCGCGCCCAACTGGACAGTCGGAACGATCGTCGGCATCTGGGATGGCCGGACCGCGGTGGGCCAGTTGCCGGCCAAAAGGCAAATCGCGGCTATCATGGGTGTCATCGGACCCCGGACCACCGCCATCGTGGCCGTGCGGATCCCCGGCGCCGACTCCGCTTGCTTCGAGATCGGGTACGGCCCGAACGGCGTCACGGATTGCGAGATCATCCGTCCGGTGGTGAAATTGGCCGACGGACCTTTCAAGACGCGGTACTTTGCGCCCGCGAACCTCCGGCACGCGGCGGATGACGAGAGGTACAGCGCTCTCATTACGCGGTTTATCAAGGAGAAGTACACGCTGCGGTACTGCGGCGGCCTTGTCCCTGACATTGTGCATGCCCTTGTCAAGGGCCATGGCGTCTACGTTATGCCTGTTACACCAGGCGTCCTGCCCAAGCTTAGGTTCCTGTACGAGCTGTACCCGATTGCTCTGATCGTGGAGTGCGCGGGTGGTCGGGCTATTGACCCCACGGACGGCAGGCCGCTCCTTGAGAAGATTGCGAAGGATTGTGATGGGAGAGCAGGTCTGATTTGCGGCACGGCGGAGGAGGTGAATATTGTAAAGGAGATTCTTCTTGGATGAGATGTTACGGCATTGGAATTCCAAGGCTCACGATGTTATGCTATCTTACATGTGCCTACCTACCTGACTTGTAAATGCAGGCGTCCCGAATCAATCACTCATGATCTATGTACCGGCCTCGCTATGCTGCAGTTCCAAAGTCCTCTCCTCCACTTTGAAGATACTCCTCCTCTTCTTTCGTCAGTGTCCTCCCTAGCTGCGCATTTCGGTACGGATACCTCCCGAACCGCTCGATCAGATGCTTGTGTTTCTTTTCAGAATCCAAGCTCCATCCAACGTAATCCTCGCTCTGTTTGTCTCCGTGCTGTCGAAACTCTGCCTGCATCTCGCTCACGACCTTGATGTACGTCTCATGATCCTCAATGTACTCTGAGTGCATCAACGGCATATAAAACCACATGCGTCGAGCCGGTGCCAGCCGGAGTGAAGAGTGCATATCGAGTCGCGGGTCGGAGCTCATAATGTTGCGGAGCACTGCCCGCGCCAGCCGATCGTAGTGTGTGTAGATAACGGCCTGGCGCGTGCGGAATATATTTCTTGGGATCTGATCGAGCAGCAAAACGAGAGCGAGGGCTTGTGAACTTTTTGTTTCGTCGTCCGTAGTGTTGTTGATGTTTTTCATCAGTGGAGCTGCGATGCTCGCGGCGGCGGCAGACTCTTCATGGAAGTTTAGTGCAGGTGGAAGAGGGAAATTGTCCGGTCCAATAGACTCCAGAGCGGCCGCAAATTCTTTCGAGCATGTTTCGTCAAAGGCTCGACGGTCCTCTGGCGATCCTTGGCCGAACCAACGCGTCATTACCTCTCGTGAGGCAATTTTGGAGTTTGGTGCTACGCCTTGGAACCAGATATTGTGTACGTTGGCGTACAGAGACGGAGTAAGAAGAGCGCGTGGGAGCGAGGATGCGAGGCTAGCCATGATGACACGTCAAAGTAAACAGAAATGTAGGCGAGCTACGAGCTGTGAATAGCTGGAGTTATTGATGCTGTACAAATAGGCCAATGTGCTGTTTATATGGCCCGGGTACCTTAACCAAGACCCATTTGCAATTGATTGAGCTAGTTTTCCATTAGGACTAGCCTGGCAAGCTTCTGTGCGTGCCCTGCGCTACTATAATACATGTAGCTAGTCCCTCTGCTGTAACGCGCGGTAGAATAACACGCGCTACTTTAGATGCGAACGAGATCACCACATTAATAATGCAATCGGTGTATTCGTCCGTTAACGGCTCAATGGGACGCCGACTCGCCGACTGCGTGAAATCTTTCGTTCTCCTTTGTTTAATATCTTCGTGCGAGGACTAGTGGAGACTGGAGCAGACCAGACTAGCCCAAAGATTTGGCGGAGTAGCCTGTGTGTACGCGATCATGTAAAGACATCAATGTCAACGGTCCCCATAAACGAGGAAAGCATGGATCTGAGCGACGTTGGGCACCAGAAGTGCGCAGACGAAGGCCTGGGGTCAAGCATGGTTCCGTTTCCCGTCTACAGGAAGACTGACAGCGGTGAAGAAGGAATGATTCATACTCGTAGTTACTCATGTCAAAATTCTGTAGTCGAGGCTGCATATCAACTCCGCAAAATTGTTCCTCCTAGGCTAATGTCGGCTTTCAGATGCATCCAGGTTGGCTCAGAAGAATTCAATGCCGTCGATGCGGCTGTGCAACTTGTAGAGCTCATACTCGTTCTTGTTGAAATCTTCGACCTTCCCAAATCGAGGAGCCTTGTTCAAGTTGCCGTTCATGCTGTAGGAACAGCCTGTGATTAACGGCTTTTACTCACAAAGAACCGCTAATCCTCGAAGGATCAAACTGCGAAAAAGCCCCAAGCTACCATACCTCCAGGCAGTAATAAAGGAGGTAAGATTGCATCCCGCCACTGGTCTTCCTCTCGAGAAAATCATTTCTGAAGGAAGGGCAACCATTGCCGGAAAATTCTTTCCCGCTGGGGTACATTGACACTCTGTTGACATTCAACACTGCTGGACCTTGGCTGAGTACAAGTGTTCTGCTAGACCATTGTGGGCATCAACACCTGGGCTAAACACCAGGCGGGTTGTATATCGTCCTGTTCCTGAGATAGAAAAGGGTCGTTCCTTGTATGTCGCAAAAGAGATATGTGGAGGACGTTGTGTATCCCAGGTGGCGTATCTAACCTGCACGCGTGTGTCCTAACGGCCTCTAGGACCGTATACTTCGCGTTTACCCAGTCCAGCTTCTTTGATGGTCTGTCCGACTTGACGTTCGTCAGTCTAAGCCAAACCTTGTCACTCTTTCTGAACTGATCAGACGGTTCTCGCTTGACATTAGCATAACGCCCCTGACGCTCCTGCGCTGCGGCTATAGCTATTTGTGCCCCAGTAGGTGAAAGCAATCTCCTCATAGATTTGCATTTGAACACCTCCATCAACACTGATAGGCAAAGATATGGTCTCCTTAGCAGTGAATCCATTCTTCTGGTAGAAAGGGGCAGCTTCCATTGTACTCTCCAGGTATAAAGGTGACCCGTTCCCGTGGCACTGCTCGATGCCCCATTTTAGGAGGAGGTGGCCAGCCCCTTGATGACCATAGGCAGGATCAGTACCGATAAACGTGAGTCCTGGTGGTTAGAATATCAGCGTTCAGGTTTCAGATAAATTTTATTCAGGAGCAGTTAGGAGGGATAATTCATTGGGTAGCATATAGATCATATAGACGTACGATAGCAAGGGGCATCTCCAATGGAACGGCTCTCTGCTTCGGCGGCTTTAGCAGTCCAAGCTTCCAGAACCTTGAGATCGGTGCCTTCTGGCCAAACCCAGGCCGGTTCCATGTAGTCTTCGCCGGGAAGGACAGGGTGTGACCACTTTGCAAATGCAATAACTATATCAGCATTCTTTTCCTTGTCTGACTTACTAACGAGGTTAGAAATCTTCTTATCAAATAGAACCTAGAATTTTGTATTTTTTGGTCACGGCTATGAATGCGTGAAAGTGATTCTTTGGAAGTGACACTTCGACAGCAGCCAGCACTCACCCTTGGAGCCCGTTACCACGAGAACGGTCGTCTTTGAGTCGTCGATATCAGCAAGAGCTTTATTCTCAATAGACTTCTGCAGCTCCTGGCGAATGATGGGGGTTGGGAATTGGGCATGAAGCATTGCGTTGGGGCCAAATGCAGCCATGTGAATTTCCGCAATCCGGGACGCATCTTCACGTATCGCAGTACGCAAAAGAAGTTGTTCCAATGGTGCAGCCATGATCTCGCTTGCACACAATCTTTGCAAGTGATAAGATCAATGGCGGGGAACGAAGTGGTGAGTGAGCAAATCCTGTGCCGATGCGATGACTTTTGGGAATGAGGGGGGAGGGGGGCATGCTACTTACTGATCCTTCTAAGTGGTATAATCCTATCGATATGCTGTATACCAGGCATTAACTTTTTTACAAGGATTTCCTTTGTGTCGCTGAAGAAATTATTCCACAATCCAGAGGAACGAAAATTATTCATGATCTGATAGGTCAGAAAGACGGAAAATACCCCTGGACGCTACTGCACTGAACCGCATACTCAGGGCGGGATAAGGAGATGCATGTATTAATCGACCATGGCGCTGACCCATCGCTACTTTCTGATCCCGGCACCAATTTCATTCACGCTGCTTTGAATCAGACTTCGATAGATGCCTTATTGCTGCGGTCGAAATATGGAGGCGGTGTCCCGAGATGAAGATCAATCAGGTCAATGTTTGGGGTGAGACTGCGCTTCATGTCGCTTCATGCATCTCAGCCTCTTGCGTTGAGCTACTACTAGACGCTGGTGCGGACCCAAACGTGCAGGACGAAAACGACCAGGTTGCCCTCCACTTCGCGGGTTAATCAGAGAAGGGTGCTGAGAGGCTGAAGATTGCCTCTGTGCTGTGCAGTGCGAAAGACAAAACATATATGAACATGAAGGACTACAACGGAAGACCACCAGTGTTTGACTTTTTGGATGACGCCAGCTGCATGGAATACTTGATCAGTCATGAAGCGAAGATGATGTGATCGACCACACGGGAAGAAATGCTTTTCACTACGCTTGCATTCACGGAGAAGACGCCTCGTTACAGACTATGCTCCAACTCTCTCATGCTCACGATACACTAGTAGCTACAAGTAACAACGGCAACAAACCTCTCATTGAAGTGCTTTCAAAGTCTCATGTGGGATGCGCAATGACACTGTTGCAGCTCAAGGACGTGGGGCCACTGGTAGGGAATGAGCCTATCCACTACGCGGCTCGAATCGATGACCCAGACCTGCTCAAGCTCGTTTGTCCACATCCCAGCTTCAAGAAGTCAGTGAAGAAATTAGACGGCAAAAGTACCAGCATGGTTGCTAGGGAAGCTGAAACCTGGAAAGGAGTGATTAAGGATCTGATTCGCGAACATGACTCTTTTGACTGGGAATATTAATGGTATTTTATGGGGTTTACGATTTGATTTGTCTCATTCATGTGTGCGGGTGGGAAGCGATAGTCATGATACTAGTTGTTAAGGCGTTTTCATGGGAAATGACATGGTGGGCCACAGAGATATATTTCCAGCAATGCAAACAGCGTGGTGCGTCAGGTGGTATTACATCAAACAAAGCCCACGGCAGTCACAACATCCTCTTGATAAACATATTGAAGCTAGATTCAGGCATAGATAGCATATTTGCACAAACGCCCAAGCGATCGCTCAAGGACCTGTTGATTAGATTATGAGGTACAATGCTTGCACTAGTGCTGTCCTAACACCATGCATAATGCTCATTGTTGATCAAGATTGGATGATCATCTTGTACATTGCCGCCTTCTTCGAACCACAATACACTAGCAATGCTGTGACTCTGTCTCTCAACGTAGACAGGATTGAGATTGCTTTGTTCAAGAATACTCTGTACCATGGGAGATGGCTCCCACAATTGCACTTGATCCAGGCCCCAATCCGCCGCCTCTGCCTGAGCAGCTTGCATTACAGCCTCCAGCGCTGCTGCTTCTTCTTTGTTCCCGTCCATCGCAATCGTGAAGTAAGGCTCGCGCGGCTTGTTGGCAGTGGCGTCGCCCTCTACCACAAGGCGAAGAATATAGAGAACATTCTGATCGCCCTGCTTCTCTTCATTGGGATAATTCGGATGCTCGTAGTAGCGATGGACCCAAATGGCCCAAACCTGTTTCCCAGGCACGCCAGCAATTGCTCCCTTTGCCTGAGCCGTTTTACCAAAGATATGATTGGTGGCGAAGTCCTCCTTGCGGATGTGCCACAACATGTGATCCATGTCTGGCAGAATCACCACCCTCTTCCGTGACGTACTGGGCATTGCCATGGCGTTATATATCATGGCCTCGTCTCTGGAGCACAGATGCTCCAGGTCTGACTCAAGGATCGGCTGAGTAGCCGCTGGTTTCTCCATCTTCGCAGCTGGCAACACAAAATGCCCGTTAGTGAGATTTGGCGGCCAGCCCCACCTCGTATAGTATTCCTTCCCGATGTCTGAGTACAGAATGCTTCCAATACTCTTGCCATACTCAGACTGCCATCCGTGCAGGACCTTTGCGAGCTCCTTCATGTGGCGAGCCCCGTAGCTGCAGCCTCGAAGCTCTGCCGGGCAGAATACACTTGCGATACCATGAACAATGCCCTCCATGATGTTACCGTTGACATCGCTAGTCAGACATCGTTTTCGGAAACTCTCGCAAGAGCAAAGAATCGTACGCTCGTTCGGAAGACGATCCTTCTCAACGAGAACCCACGTGGTCATGCCTCCATCCTTAGCAAGCGGAACTGTCGTAAGATACTCGGCCTCGTGGATGTACTTGGGTATGGTCAGAGAATCTTTCCATGAGTCTGCAGTTTCCGACCAAATCTGGATGCATTCTTCGACGGTGGGATGGTCGAGGTGAAGATCAAGGGGGGTGGAGCTTGGAATTTGGATATCTGACTCCATATTCGTCAGGGCCATTGTTTATCTCACAAGGTTTGGTGACAAGTTGTCCGTAGCGATATGGCGATCTAACCTCGGTGGCAAGATTCTCGGCGATTCACGATGAAGGATCCGGAAGCAAATGGCTATGATGCGGAAGAGGTAAAACCAGAGGAAAGGTCAGCGGTAAAACGGAATACGCCCTTTTGTCGCATTGCATATCTTCACCCAAATACGTACCCTTGTTGCAATTCGCAGCCTCTTTAAAAGCATAAGTGGGGTGTTTGACACTGCACATGTGAGGATTGCCTCCCGTCGCCGTCAACCATCCTCCTGCTACTGATCTATGCACTCGAGAGCGGATCCGGTCTCTCATCTCCCCTGATTTATCATGGTAGAGAAAATTCAGCCGCCTCCGGCTTTGGAGTCTGAGCCATTCGATCTACCAGCATCAAACCAACGGCAGCTTGGGCATCCACACCCTCCGGTAACAATTCCTCTCGCGTTGAGACCATCCCAATCCGTAACATAAGAAATCAGTCTCAACGACACTATTGCTGCCGTGAAGAAGCTGCAGGCGCAGGACCAGAGTGTCACCAAACGACTTGCTTCACGCGGCGCAGTCCTCTTTCGAGGCTTGCCGATTCATAATGCCGACGACTTTAGTCAGTTTGCCCACTCATTTGGGTTTCGACCACACGAAATAATTGGCATTGTCATCAAACGACCATAACTTGCCCCTAATATCTCGCTTGCGAGTGAGGCGGCGAAGGAAGTGCTCGTCCATGGCCACAATGAGTCGCCACAAGTCCCTTACGCGCCTGAATATATCTTCCTGTATAGCCATAGGGCGCCGTTGCGAGGCGGCGAAACACCAATGGCCTCCTCTCTTGAGCTTTTCAGCAGAGCTCAAGCTGAAATGCCTGATTCTGTCGCGGATCTCACTCAGAAAGGTCTACTTAGTAGACCAACCTATTTGAAAGGTCGCCAATATCCTGGTGGTTCAACGTTGAAAGAGGCCTTTGGCACGAGCATTGTCGACGAAGGGTACATCGATTAGTCGATCGAAGGTCGAGGCTTAGCTTTCACGCTATAATCGAGGTGTTCATACAACCTGGGAGTGGTTTGATAACGACGTAGGTATTGTTGTTACTCATCATCTGCCTGCGATCCGCACGCAGTCCGGTTCAAACCTTCCAACCTGGTTGACAGGGCTCGCACTCTTTTACAAAGATACAACTGTGAACAATCTAACAACTTCTGTACGAAAGAATGTCACCGTCCAGCTGTTTGTTGATGGTTTTCCAATCCCAGAAGGGTTTCTCAAACATCTGATTACTATCACGGATGAGATTCGAGTTTTACATTGGTGGGAGCAGGATGATGTGCTTGTGTACGACAATCTCATTGCTCAGTACGGAATAAAACCCTGGGAAAGAGCTCAGACTGATAGAGTTGTGATGGCAAGTCTGGTTGATTCGGATGAGGTTCCAGGAGCTTATGGAACCGTGGAGTGGGCACAGGTGGTTCGAGCTCTCGACGAGTGAGGACGCATTTATTTAGGTTTAGGCTTCTATTAGAGAAATGACATAGTATTTACTGGTTCCATTATCTTTCGTTAATCATAAATTTTACAGTTATTTCCAGGTCATAGCATACACGCGTCATAATTTGCAGTTTTGTGGAAGATGTGCAGAATTACAGTGCGTAGAACGATCCTGTGATCTGCCATATGCAATCGAAGGCGAGTCCCTCTATAAATATTAGATGCTTCAAGGAAGGGTATCGCCACAGGGACACAGAAACTCACAAAGTTGTATTACATCATTCGATTGCATACGTAGATCAATTGAGTCAGATATGCGAAGCTCAAGCGAAAAGGGGTACAGGAATAATCTCGGTATACGATCATCGTGAATGAAAGAGGACAATTTCTTAAAAATCAAGGACAGACAAGCGATTGAGCCAATGTGGAGAGCCAGGAATTACAGACGATTTACGACCCGCGCGTCAAACTATCGGGTGCGGCCAATTCGAATACCCACAGCCCAAGCATTGATCCTCTACCACGGATGGCTCTGTCCACATATTGTCAGCGTTAGAGTTGAATATGAGACTCGGACTACTTACCCTTCCATCCCAGCACCAGAAGGTACCAACGCCGGCTTCACCCTTCTCCGAAATGACTTTCAGTAATCCAGAGACACTTTCCTGAGCGCTAATTGATCCCTTGACCTCCCAGCCCAACTCAATGTCGGCCATGTCACTGTCGATAAGGTTAGTCGGATCCCAACACCTCCACAATGAATCACCCACGTTTCAACCTCTCCAGGATGGAGTGCTAATATCACAGTTTCCCGCTTCTTTTCTTCGGATCGTCCCAGCTCCGCTGCCATATGCCTCAACATTTGGTTGAGAGCACTCTTGCTTGCCGCGTAGGCACCAAATCCGTCCTCGAAGTCCATGAACTGCGTTGTAGATCCTGAATCCGATGAAATGAAAACAACTTTGGGAGGCGGCGAGTGAGGACTAAGGTTGATGAGCTTTTGGGCGCAGACGATCGGCCCAATGGTGTTGGTGTACAAGTGCAAAGCAAAATCAGAGAACGTTCTAAATGAGGAACTGGTAATCAGCAATGTCTTCGTCCATATTTAAGGTACGCGTACATCTCGGTCGCCCGGTTGGGATACTTCAACACACCCGCATTGAGGATGACGTTTCCCAATGTCATGCCGTTGTTCACGGCTTCCTGAACTTTGTGAACGAAGTTCTACTTGCCATTAGCCTCTCCATGAATATTTCTGGGTTATGATTGATACAATTGCATCTACGTACGGTGATGCTTTCATTGCTGGTGATATCACATTGTTGCACAACGCATTTTTCTCTGGCGTTCTGCGCGTCGATCAATTCGAAGAGTTTCGGGGCTGCGGACACGTTGCGGACTGCTGCTAAGACGTGGTGACCACCGTCGAGCAATTGCTTAACGAGCTCTAAGCCGATGCCACGAGAGGCACCTACTATCACCCAAGTCAGAACTGTCATTTTCGTTGATTTGGAGCCGTGCTGAGGTGGATAAGTGACGCTTTGATGAAAGAATCACTTGACTTACGTCAGCTTTAAATATACCGGGCATGTGTTGAAGATGACATAATCAACACTTTGTTCGACAGGCTCTAGGTTGATCCTGTTGACGGTGTCAACTAATCATACCTAGGTAGCTACGGGAGTCACTTGTGCAGTGTTCAAGATTTTGGCAGTGTCGGTCAAGAGGGACGCCCCCGTTGCCGCCCAGTCTTGCGGCGAAAAGCAAGCAAGCGTTGCTAAGAGCAGTGTACAGTAGCGCTTACGAAGGTTAAAACTGTATAGGAAAACAATTTCAATACTAGAAATCTCAAAACTAATGGCACGATTACTGCATAAGTTAATTACGAGCTTTATAGGGAGGCCCCTTGAATGACTGGGGATTGCTAGGCGTGAAACCTGTTGGCTTCAACGCACGGTCATCGCAACAGCGGATAGATGGTCACGTTAGTGTGTTCTAGGCTTCTTGAGGCCTGGATGCTGAGCGTTGGACCGCCTACGGCAAGGAATATCCCGAGATTGACCAGAAAAGCATCGTGAGCGAATATGCCCTCGTTTAATCAAGCAATTTGAACTTGGAAAGATCTCAAGTCCCGAAACTCCAAATTCTCGTACCCAGTATGATCAAAATTTTGACCTCGCCAAACGATTGCCAACTTTCCAAACCCCCGAGGCTATGCTATGATTTTCAACGCCATCGTGCTTCAACTAAATACCCGAGCAGCAATTAGAACTTCGCTCTGCCAACCCCTTCCCTCCTACTACATGTATATCGTTTGGAGTTTTTGGATTTCATCCTGTATTTTCCGTCAGTGGCAGTCTTTTGGCTTGCTTTTTCTTGCAGGGGTTGCAAACTGGTGAAAGGTCACGCGGAGCACGGATCACGTAGTAGTTTTTTCTCGACTCCAACTCGAACTGTTGATTGAATTCTTCTCTTAGATAACGGAGTAATCTGTCCGGCGCGATGGAAGATCCAGGTATTCTCTGGTATCCTTGCTGCTTGTTCCGATGTATGTTGAAGCTGCTATCCATGATGTGATGTTGTTCTTTTCTTTTATGTCTTCTAGTCTAGAGGGTTCAGCCAGCAGATGGTGAGGACAAAAGTGAGAAGGGCCCAGGACAGATTTTGGCATGGAAAACGCCCACACTTAAGGACCGATGAAGGCCTGCAGTGCTCTACTTATCCGACAGGACCTGTTTGGTCGGTCCTACTACGTGTCACAAGCTGTATCAATATCTGCAGGTTTTCGGCGCAGTTGCCTGAGTCAAGCCAATCGCGGCCATCCGTTGCTGTACAATGGTAGCTGTTGTTTTTGAAAGACGACGGCCCATGAGCCCAGCTACCAAATGCGCAGCTAAATTTTGTGTCTTGGTGTTAGTAGACAATTCTGGCTATGGCCCAGATTGTGGTTGGTAGGAAAAGGTGGAGAACCTTTTCGATAATAAAGCCGGGACCGACGGAGGAGTGGGAGGCTGTTGGCCTGCTTACTTCAGCAGGTGCACCGCCGAGTGGGAGAGAGACTGAACGCAATGGAATAAGAAGGGCGGGGGGCCAGACGGAGGCAGAAGGTGGACTGGCTTCCTTCGTTGTCTTTTCTTTCCTTTGTTGGTACCATACCCGGGGGCATGGACTGGACACCATGGGAGGTGTTTCGTGCAAGTGGCACGACGCCTGTCGACTTCTTTAGTTTGTTCGCGCTGGACAGCTGCAAGATACTTTCGGCTTTCAGCCGAGTAGACGGTGTGGCTACCGGACCTGAACTTCTTGTGTTCATGAACAGTTTGTGGAAAGAGCGGGAGCTCTGCAAAGACCGCGGGGCGGTCATTCTGGATGTTCTTTGTTTTGGGTACAAATCGCGAACAGTTCTCCGAAAGATGCTGGAGGATTCTGCCTATTACGAGAGTCAAAGTGGCTGTCGTCATATACTCGGAGCGTGGAGTGTGGTTCCAAAGGGAAAGGTGACGTGCATGGTGCGCGGAGAGTTGAACAGCCGGGTTGTTCATCTGATTGAGCTGCCTCGACCGGTGGTGGAGGTCGCGCTTAGCCGTGTCTACGGAGGTGGATGTGGAATCTACTTGACGGGGAGCGGGAACGTGTTTTCTTTGTTCCCCAAGATGACGTTTGAAACGCATCAACTTTGGATGCCATGTAGGCTATCCCAGGCAGACCGTGCTCGACTGAAGAGTAAACATCAAGGTTGGACCGCTATGGAGTCCCCCGACTCAGCCGGAGGGAATGTCGAAGTCGGTATGAAGGTTCGTAGGACGAATGACCAACATTTTTGGATTGTGGATATGAATGCCAAGGGAGGCCCGCGGCAGGTGCAACAGCCCAGTGGTGTTGAAAGGTGAGAGCGCGCCGTCCGCAGTGGCTGAGGTCTGGAAGAGTAGCTGACATCGGGTGGCAGCGGTAGTCAAGCTGAGCATGGTTCACGCAGTGCGGATGGGGGAATGTCGGAGAACTTCCCTCCTCTATTAGCTTCACTTAACTCGAGCAGTCCATCTGCCGGTTTACCACTCGATGAACTTCTCCGACAGCGTCATCAGAGACATCTTCACCCTGAAATGACATAAGGTCACCTCCCAGCTGGAGTTTTGGTGGAGTTGATTCGCCCCGAAGCGGTAGAGCAGGAACTCAAGGGAGCTCTTGACGATAACTCTGGTATAGACCGAATCGCTCAACAGGTGTACGACAACTCTTCACAGGGCAGACCCTACCGACAGGTCTTTGCTATCTTTTGCCTTATCGAGAGAGCAGGCTCTGTCAAGACATTCTTGGATTCCGTCACAGGAGTTTGTGATTCAGATCTGCCTCTACAAAAAATAGAATTAGATCACAAGGTAAGGTTGATCTCTGGAAGATGAACGGCCCGGATAAACCTCTGGCATGTTTTCGAGGATGGACAGCATAACTCACTGAAATCGTTTATTGACTGGCAATGGACATTGAGAAGCACTTTCCTCAAGGGTATTCAAGGTATCGAGGCACAGTATCGAAAGTTCGGTGATCGATTCATATCTTCTTTGACGTATCAGTCCGATCCCGATGGCGACGGAGCAACTAGGGGGTTCAGTGAAGTCTTCAAAGTTAAATCCCCTCCCCTTCATCATAACTTCAATCCAAACAACCCAAATATAAACAACAATCATGGCAAGTGATGAAATTATAAATTTATCTTTGAGCTTCGGAACCAGATTATGTTTTCTGGCTTTATATCCCCATGGCGTCCGTACCTTACAGCACTCTTCAAGGTTTCATCAATCTTCCCTGGGTATTCATGGATCTTTGCTAGGCCGTCGGCCATGCCTGTAGCTTGCCTTGCAACCCACAGCACAAGATCTTGATTCATCATTGGATTGCCGTGAATCTCACAGTATCTGATCAAATTGCACTCGGCCCACGTATCGCCCCCCAGAGTGTGACATTTTGGGTGCTATGATTTCGCGATCATGGAACATATGGACTGTTAGGAAAAGAGCAACTTGCAAGGAAGTTTCCGAAGAGCTGCGACGAATTGAGAGGCGATGCGTGGAAATCGAAGCTGACTGCGTGGATTCCGTACCTTGGCCTCTGCCAGCGTCTAGCGAGGAGTCTCCGGACGTCAATATCAGGCTGAGCGACACTTTGATCGATACAAGTGCTACTGAGAAGAGTCATCCAATTCTCCGCGCTCACCAGGGCCGCGTATAGGAGCCGCCAGAAGCGAGAGGGGGGCGTGGTGGTTAATTTCTACCACCTATTGCACCAGAAGTTTATCGGTCGACTGCAACCACTTTGGACGAGGGACATAATTCAAACTGAGTCGGAAAATGTTCAACATGCCAAATGATTGTGGATGTACCTCACTTCTACATGTCCAGTGTCCATCCCTTGGAACTCTCCTTAGTCTCTCGCTCCACCTGAGTCTCCCGCCAAATCAGCTTTGTGTTTGTGTAGTGAGCGATAATAGTTGCGATGATCATGCTTGTATTCTTTGGGCTGGCCGGGAATCGTCAAAGCCTGTGCCGCTAGGCTATCCGATGGAGGCAAGTGATTTTCTAGTTGGGCAAAGGCTCTTTGGTATGCTCAAAGGAGTCTATGTCGGCTGTCGTTAGGCGCTGGCGCATCGAATCTCGCTATCGATAGGCTGAAGGCTTTTGGATTGGAGGCAGGCAAAGAACCGTCATTGGAGGTGGTGTCGAATGCCCTGCATCACTATGGGCATTTTGCCGCCAGCCCGCAGCCAGCTCTGCTCTTTGGCTGGGATTTTCAACCTGTCGCAGCATTTCCCATGCGCCGCACACCCGTATACATTGTACGCAGCGCTGTTTCCAACAAGGCAAAAATGGGTATTGGTCGTTGACCTGCAGGAGAGGTGGAGACTTGCAAATCCCAACAGGTCCTTCATGTATCGAAAAGCGCTTGGGCTAATTCCTTGCTAGTCTGTTGTAATTGGTCTGTTCTGAGATGCCGTGACGCTACTCGGTTGTTGGAGACTGCTATTTCCCATGGCCTCTGGCCTGCTCCTGTGATGTCCTCCTTTACCCCTTTCTTGCACACAAGAACACAATCTTCCATTCCTATTCCATCAGGAATGGATTGGCTTCTGGATGGGTCTTGTCTTAGCGACTGCAAGACCGACCTCAACAACGTATACGCCTACCAGCCAAGCTTAGTGAAAGTTGTAGTAATAGACGGCAGCGATGAGGTGGGATGCGATACCAAAATAAAGCTTTATTCAGCTCATAATCTAGCAGGACCCCAAGGAATAGACCCTAGAGGACAAGAACTGGGAGGAATGGTTTCTCGAGGTTTGTCGATTCCCTTCTTGGTGACGAGTTTTCTAGCTAAGTTTGGCGCCAAGAATCAGACAGAACTAGACCAGATTGATCAGCCTAAGCTCACCTTGATGTACGAATCTCAGCAAAATACTTCACCTTGTCAGAAGTCGTAAGTAAGTGCTAAATCCCGTTCTAGCTTTTCGCGGCGAGGACAGAGGAGCCCGTCAGCAATTCGACCTACACACATCCGTTATCTTCCATTTGCCCAAGACACTTTCAGGTTAATTTCGAACGAATTGATGATTCATAGCGGCATATCTCGCGTCATCAGTCGCCAGGATGTGGCAACCTTTTGTGCTGGAGAAGTGACCATGGGCAAGCTGAAAGAACTGGCGATTGGTGAGACCAAGTCAGAGCTTGCTACTACCTCTGAATTATTGACTAATCCGTGCAAGTGTATCACTGTAGAACATCTAGTGCTTGGGATGGCGATTTAGCCCTCTCTGTTACACACAATGCAAAGAGAGGTTCGACCAACGCCATAATCTTCGGTACCGATCCCGAAAATGAAGATGAAATTGTCGGCAGACTCAGCTTCTCCTCCAAAGCTTCACAGCACCCATTCCTTCTTCCGGGAATATTTGCCGAGATAGAGAGAGAAAGGCAGCTGAAACGACTAGTTGGAAATATCCAAGTCGAGCTGGAAAAAGTGATTTTGGACGTGAGCTCTCAGGGCGAAAGTCAAAGCAATCAAGATTCTACCCAGCACACTATTGACCTTTGGCTTGATACCACGGAGCTCCGGAACGGACTAGTCAACTGGAAGAAGCAGCTGGAAGAAATGCTGCTCCATATCGAAGAGATGGCCGGAAAATACTCCTCATCAAGAGTCTTGCATCAGCCTGCCGCATCTAGCAGTGCTGATGCAAATACGGATGTGATGCAGCAGCAAGCAAAAGTGAATGACAAGATCAGAAACCGATTGAGGTCGATAATACATGAGTACGATGAGATGATCAGAGACTGTACGATGAGACTAGATGGAATGTCAATGGCAAATCAGCTCGTAAGCCCGCTTCTACTAATGGTCTCGCATCTACGTTATATCGCTGACAAATGCCCAGTCTCATGCAAAAACAAACATGCAGATTGCAATCGAAACCAAACTAGATGGAAAACGTATTCAAAACATATCCATTTTCTCAAAGGTCTTTTTACCCAGCATGTTTGTCGCGGTAAGCCAGGTCTCTATCGCCCCATAACATCGTGCTGCCTGCAGATGGCCAGTCAAGCTGACAAGACATCGTCCTTACAGACAGTATTCTCGACAGACTTCTTCAATTGGTTTCCTACTGAACATGAAGCAATGATTTCGCCATACGTCTGGGTCTTGGTAACCTTCTGTGCTTGTCTGAGCGTTCTGATACTCGGTGGATACTACCTTCTGTCCACACGGCTAGCCTGTCTTCGCAGTGCGCACCAGAAATCTCGGAAGTGGTTGTCGATGGTTTAACTCGAACTACATGCGCCTTGGTGGGAAGAAATTACTACTACTTTGATTATGCATTTCATGGCATGTTTTCTTGTCGAACCAAAGGCAGAACCTTGGAGGATATGGTTGAGATCTTTGGTGTGTCCGTCTACTCGAGCAAGGCCATGATCGAAGGTCATTACTAAGGGACAGAACTCAAAGAGAGATTTTGGACAGGACATCGGCGATAGTAGTAGTGTGGTCAAGAAAAAACTTAGCAAGCCCAGTACCCGGGAGTAGTGTTGGTATCCGTATCACAAGATAATGGGGTTCGAACCGTAGTTCTAGCGTGGTGACGAAGGGTTAATTGATTATATTTTGATCTCTGCATGACGTGGAAATGAGAGGTTAGCCCGTCAGTTGGAAGCCGATATAGAGGTCCGTAGAAGGCCCCTGCGCTTGCGCTGACTCGTGGTCGAATTGGACTTCTAATCCGACAAGTAGACTAGATATCTTCTTGAAGCCAACGACTCAGCCGCGATTAATTAGTTTTCAGGTACATTGAATAAGTCTCGGGGAGATGGGTGGATGACGATTGGAAGGGGTATTCATCGCAAATACGATGCTCAGGTCCTCATGATGCTCTGTTTACCATCGGTTGCTAGACGACGACTTCCGTACCGGACTTCGAAAGTAAGACAGCCAGCCAGCCATGACGCCACCACCGCTTTCTAGGATTGGAATCAGCTACCTAGCGTGACCACGGCGGAGTAGGAAGAAAAACAAATTATTCACTGAAATCGCATTTCTAGCGCTGGCAACAGCTGCTGTCGGTGTCGATTTGTGCCGTTGTTTCCGCGCTCAGGCACGGGGCTGAAGGTTTGCGGCCGGCGTTAAGAAGCGCCATTTTTGGAGGCTATTGAGTGCCACAACGGCGATCGTGAGGGATAGGAGGCACTCAAGCACTGAGGGGCCAATGGGAAAAGTCTATTTCTCCTTTGAAAGACGAAGCGCCGATCCATCACTAGTCGCGCCCTAGAACATCACGATTCAAAGCACACGAGCTTGGGGTCAGGGGCGCTCCACGTTGAAAGCTTCTTTGAAGTGGAAGCCAAACTAAACTTCATCGAGTCATGACGGTTGCTATGTCCAAGCTATAGTCCGGGGCCATAACATAGTTAGCCTTTCAACATAGCAAGCCAAGTAGGTATATATGAAGCCATCGCTTTCTGCTCTTGGCATGGAGTTCTCGTCTGCTCGTTGCTACCCACTTCAAATATTCCCAGGCTTCTAATCTTAATCCTAAACTCTTGTAACATCAACTGTCGCTCGTTACAGCCCCTGTCCACAACAGCATCGCCATTATGAAGATTACTACCGTCACCGGCGCCCTCGCCTTTGCCCTCTCCGCCGCCGCCGCCCCCGGCGCCGTCACTTCCACAAGCAAACGTGGCGGCAAGGCCACCTGCCCCGTCAACGCCGCCCAGCCCGATGGCAGCCTCGGAAGCTCCTACGTATCAACCAGCCTTCTGGTCCCCATCTCCAAAAACCTGCCCAATCTCGCTTTCCCGGCGACTCAATGGGCGCAGGTGACGCCCAACGATGTCTGCACCGTCTTCAACCTCGAGTTACCCGTGGCTCAGACTCAGGGCAAGGTGTGCAACCTCGTCTTCGACTTCCCGTCCTGGGACCAAGCCCCCGGAAAGTTCGTTTTCCTGGGCCCGGGTACCTTCAAGTTCACCGGCTACGCTATCGGAGTCGGGGCCGTCGCCGGCCAGACCACGTACAACAAGCAGCCCGCTCCCGGCCCTAGCCCGCCGAACCCCCCGCCGACGATGACTCCGGGACACAGCTATGTGAGTCTACAATGCTAATTGAGCAAAATGAAGCCCGCAATGAGTCTCGATGACTGACAATAGCGTCTGCAGATTGTGAACAGTGCCCCGTGCGGCATTCCGGCTGAGGTGCCTGGCAGCGTGACTGTTTCAGGAAGTCTTTGCTCGCCGGATACCACTTTCTCTTTCCAGCAAAGTCACAATGGCTGCCCGTTGGGATTCTTCGTCGTCTTTACCGATGCGTAAATGGCGGAATTGCTATGCCCGTCGAGGTTCATCCATGCCAATGGGCGATGACAAATCCATGGTGAAGAGACCAAATTCAAGCGCGATGAAACTTTGAGGTGAGGTCATCCGCGATGTAGTTTAGTTTTTCGTTGTCACGAGATCGAATAATTGTCTGGTGTTGTCAAAACACTGTGAGGAATCAGAGGGATATCCGGTATCGTCAAGCTTTGACATATGTCGTCGTTGGCACGCTCGTCTATTGAAATTATTACGATGCTCAGTATACCAGTCCATCCTCTCTCCAATACCTGCTCCTTCTCACCATTCTCTCGGGATGTACCTGGGGGTAATGTCTTCTTCATCCGCGGAAGTCTTCAGCCCTAACCCCTCCAACACCCGATTCTGGAGCGGCAGCAACACGAGAACAGCGCGGTTAAACCTCCATCCAATGACAGGGACCATCGCGCCGATCATGGCGTCCAAAATGAAGTGATTTGCCGTTGCGACAATGGTGAAGAGCATGGCCATCGGCCACAGGGGCGCAATGAGACGAAGCGGACGGTGGGGCGAGAACCGGCAAATGCTCCAGGCGAGGAAGAGGGCGGTACCACAGTGAAGACTCGGCATCGCGGCAATGGTCAACTGGAACTTGTTGTGTGTCCACGCGTTGCCTCCTCCCTTTGCTCCGTGGAGCACATCTTCGAATCCGTATTCGGCCGGAAGCATCCGCGGCGGCATGCAGCGGTAAGCCGTGACGATGACGAAGGCGACTGCGTTATCCACGGCAATGGTCCGTCGGATTCTCTGAAATGTACTCGGTGGCAGAAAGGTGTAGCAGTAGATGAGAAAGATAATTCCCAGGCTGATATGAAAATAGTAAATCCTGGCCAGGTAGGGCATCAACCAGGGCATGTTATTCAGGACATATCGCTGTACGCCGAGTTCAATGTCGAATCCGAGAAAGTGCTCCAACTTCAAAATGGAAATCGCATGATCGCGTGCTATCGTGAAGACGGCTTCGTTGCCGGCTATCATGCGTGCCGAGAAAGCTCGGAGCAGTTGGTATATCCTGCGAGGCAAACAAGCTAGTCAGCGCCTGTTCGGGAAAGGTTACAGGAAGCATTGATGCGGCACAGATCATCTCATACCAGTATGTCGCATTCCAATACCAGATTTCAGCAAGAAACGGAAAGGTATTATAGAATCGAACAATGAGCTTGCTATTGACCCGGGACACCTCGCCCGACTCCGCGCGCATCCCCGCCTTGAGGAGCGGAGAGGTGGGGCGGGAGGAGGAATCCTCCGACCCACGCTCACACGATTCTACGTCATCGTCGCGATCCAGTCGGCGGCGGTTGATGAGGGTGCCTATGGTGAAGGCAAAGACGATGACTAGAAGAGGAAAAGGTGTTAGAAGAGAGCTTGAGTTCGTGGAGATGATATAAACCTAGTCCAGGTACACTGATAGTCCGATCCAGTCGCATGTGAGAGACTTACAAGCCGGTTCGACTACATTCCTCAAGGCGCCAAGTGACGAGGCCATGATGGGTTAAACAGAGAAGTAGAAATCTTATAGAGTATTGAGTGAGTGAGCGAGGTAAGGGGACAAGGCTGTCCCTGACGAGAAAGCAGAACGAAAAAACAGCTCGTCTCCCTAAAGGCAGACAGAAAGAAGACGGGAGTGAGTGACGAGAAGTTATTACAACAAAAATGCCAAATCCGCCAGAAACCTTTTCACCTGGGAAAAGAGGAGAGGGGGGTGACTTGGCTAATAAACATTCTAGGCACAATGCCACCCAGAGCCCGCTTCACCGGGACAAACCCATAACGGGCGGAAGGTGTCCCAAGTCCAACCGCAGCATTCCGTGGCCAAGCATTGTCAGATCGGCGCCCCAGGCATTGGATATCCCGCCCAGCCTTGAAGGTTGAACAGGACCACACCTGTGGGTGTCATGGCACGGAGCCGTCTGATAGGTTAGAGTTGGGGGCGTCGAACGTCGAAGGAGGAGGGCGGAGCGGAACTGGAGACACGACGACCTGACGTCCCACACCACCCCATCCCACATGTCCACCATCCATCCATCCATCATCCCAGGCGAAAGAAGGGCTCGGCGCGGGAAGGAGGGCACGCGACCGAAGCCCTCCCTGACGCGTGTGTGATTACACCTGGCAACGTATAGCAAATGGTAAGCAAAATAACAGCCCAGTTTTCATTACAGCCTCCTTGCTCGCCCGGTACCCACGCTGGATCACTGCAATCAACCATGAACTGACGGTGGGTGTCCGAAGAACGTCCAAAAAGGTATGTGGGAATTCCTCTTCTGGTGGATCATCCAATCGTTTCGCGTCGGACTATACCCACTCGCCAGGTACTCGTAGGGGTTGAGTCGTTGACTTGCTGTGGTTTTTCTCGGCAGCCGGAACAACCGGAATCAGCATCAAGGGGTAGAATTCGGGCGCCAAGTCGAGTCCGAGGGAAAAGTCTTGCCATCAAATTTAGAGTATGGAGATCAACAGAGCGTTTCTTTCTCCATCTAACAAATGGGGGATGCTTTGGTAGTGGACCCGTCGTTTGGCCAAGCGTTGGAAGCTCGTGGGACCTTTTTGGGAACCTTGGAACTGTCATAATAGGGTAACACAAACTCAATCGATGTTATCAAAGCTTGCTGTGGTCGAGTTATGCCTTGGGTGCTTGCTTTAAAGCTCTTCCAAGAATAGGAGGTTCGCACGGAAGCATGCATCTTGTCGCATGCTTTTCATGTTCCCACCTCCCAACATCAGCACGAAGACGCGTCCGAGCGTGGGGGGAAATCAGAATAGGAGTAAAACTTCCGCTTCGAAAAACAACCTGGAACCCAGCTTTTCCATCTTTAGCTTGCACAAGCGCCAGGGTCAACAGACGAACAAGGCTCGACGGTAGTAAGCTGCCCGATTGGTAGCTAAGATCAGAAGCTTGATACGCAGCCACCCTTGGCGCTAGCTGGCACGCCGCACGCACAGCGCACACGTTCAAGCAACTGACAGTGCCAGTGCCGGGACGGCTGTCGTACGTTTTGTCCGTGAAGGAGCTGCTGCTGATGTGAGAAGCGTCGTGTCTGGGCGTTTAGACCATCATCCTCTGCACGTCAATCACTCTTCTGGGATATATACGTATCAAAGTGAACTTGCGAAGACGATGTAGGCACGAAATAGACCCAAACGATTCCCAGGAAGGGGTAAGGCGAATGAACAAGCGTGGCCAGAACATTGTCCCAATCAGAACGAAGACATCGGACGTCGGACTGTTTATTTGTTTTGCGGAAAGGTTCAACCCTCCATTGGGCCGTTGGCGAAAAACATCGGCGTACGGAGTTCAAAGTCCCCGGCTTCGGCCGAGGTTCGTTACCAAGGATGAATGCAGCAGCTGGGGAGGAACCCGGCGGCGGAGTTCGTCGACCTTTAAAGCGATCACCACAACCTTTTGATAAAACTCTTGGCAACGGTCTGTGTCCACTCAGATCAAAGCATACCAGGTAATCACTCAGGACTAAGCGGCCGCTGATTAGAAAATTGCGGTCAAGTTTACGCTAACGACAAAGCCCCCTCGACATTAATGAATAGACCACCACAGAGCCCCGGATACGCCGGATCCTGTAGGGCCGGCTACTGAAGTGATATTCAGAGCTCATCGAAGCTCTCCTCAATCTCCTGGCAATCAAACCCTTCATCGCCTTGGACGTTTTGGCAGAGCCATTTATCCAAGACGGTATCTTGGCCGACGGGCCTTACGGAAAAGTTCTCTACCGTCAGGTTGTCGCACCCACCGGCAGCTGCACTGCACCGGAAGAAGCCCGAGCTGGCCACGTCGTCCGCCATGGTGCCGCTAAAGTCCTTCCAGACGACGTCAGAGATCTTAAAGGTCGACGTATCGCACGACTCGCCCGCGTGTCCAGAGAAAGACTCGCACTGAGTGATGAAAAGTGGTTCTCCGCGAGTGCCGTCGAGCTTAATATCCTCTAGCACAATGTTACGCGCGTATCCCGTACCGCCTCCGCCGCCATTGGGCGGATACCCAATCTGGATCCCGCTCCACGTCTTGAAGTAGCAGCCCCGCAGGGTGTCGTGCAAAGTCACGTTCCGTGCCAAGAACTTCTCGATATACTCGAACTGACCCATGAACTGGCCAATGGATCCCATGGCTATGCCAGTGCTCCCAAAGAACTCGCTGTCGTAAATGTAGATATTGCTGGAGTTGGCCTTGACGGCGATTGCGTCGTCGCCGTTGACGACCACCCACCGGCGGAAGGTGATGTTGTCCGAGTACATTGTGTCGGCGCCGTCCGTGTTGAGAGAGTTGTTCTCTGACGACGAAGTGCTGTTCACGTAGATGTCCTCAAAGACAATGTTCTTGGAGTACATGATGTTCATCGTCCACATCTGGCTCTGCACGAACCGAAGGCCTTTGACGACCGAGTTCGAGAAGTAACGAAAATTGATATTCATCGGTCGGTGAGGCATGTTGGATCCACCCGCGTTGAGATCGTACCAGACCTGGCCATTGCCGTCGAGCGTGCCGACTCCGTGGCCCTCCCAAACCACGCGATCGCCTCCAAAGTGCCATACAGTGCTCTGGTTCTGGAAGTCCACGGGCATCGACACCGATAGCCAGTACGTCGTATCATTGCTCCAGAGCAGTCTTCCACGCTGATCGATCACAACATCGTCTAGGCTGGTAGTCACCATGGTCGACTTGATGTTATAGACGGGACCGGACAACACGATGATGCTCTTGGTGCGGCACTTGTCGTTGAGCGCGCTCAGCAGCGCCGGCGCGTCGTCCCCGCCATTGGCGTCCGGCTCGAGGATGCAGAGGCTCCGGCCTTCCTTCTCCGCTCTCTCGGCCCAATCGCTGGCGCTTGGGACATATAGTTCAGATTCTGCGAGAAGAGTGGCTGCCGAGAACCGAGTGCCCTCAAGCCCGAGCACTATGCTTGCGGTTAATAGTGCGAAGACTGCCAAGCTTCGCATGATGGATGGTTGCTAAGGCCTCGAAACCCAATCAAGGGATGGAATGAAATGGATTGCGAGCTTCGGTACACGCGAACAGAGGCTTTTGCAAGTATATTGATGATGGCTTCTGACGAAGGAGACAGAGACTAGTGCAAAGCAAATAAGTCTGTGGCGTCTATCAAACCACCAGACAGGAATGGTGTATGAGTTCTGAAACTATCTCTCAAATATGAAGTCAAGCCCATCGATGAGTGAGTGTTTATTCTGTGAAACCCAACATTGCATCAGATGATGGAGTTCAGGGGGGAGCAACCGCTGTCAACGAATGACATGCGCCAAGTTTAGCGGGGTAAAGCCCCGGATCATCCCCCGTAGCGTCCATTCCCCGCATCAATTACGTCTTCTGCCCGCATGACGCCCTGGCAATCTGACCCTGACATCGGGCATTTCAAGGCTTGTACTAGCTGATCTTTGTGATGTTGCATATGGGAATCAATATCCATGTGTTTCTCCATGGCAAGGGCGAGTAATATTGAGAGATATTCATATAGGGCTCTTGCCGATGGTAACCTGCGGGTTGGTCTGATGATGGATGCAAGTTATCACGAGTCCGGATCAGGAGTGTTAACGTTACCGTTACATGCATCCATCCTGATCTTTTGAGCGTCTTTATTTATGATAAACGTCATTTCTAATTATGAATCACCAGGTGACCTCGCTAATGCAGTCGTTCTCGTCTCGGCCGGCGGGTGGATACCCGGCCCGTCCAACCCGGCCCGAAGGCCCACTTGGATCCGGCCAACAGGTAGCTCAGACATCACCATTGGACGCTATAATGAAACCTAATTATAGGTTCCCAATTACTTGGATTATCGTAAGTATGAGAAGAAATAGTCCAATATACTTTGAGTTCCCCAGGCCGCAAAAGCTGCCCTTTGACTAAGCGTTCTATGAAACATCTCTTGCTCAATACGAAACCGTCTCAACATATCACCTCCAAATTTATGTAGAAAGTATGTATCTCGGCTACATTGGAAGTTTAAAGAGGCATCGGCTGTTCTACTGTGAGTGAAGAGGAACTGGGCCCTTCCAGGCTTATGTATTATGAGGATAAACTTTGACGTCCGTCTAAGGCAGGAAACTAAGGAGACTATACAACTCGACGTCATCATTTTCATTTGGCGACGAACTTTTCGATATGAAGTTCATTAGATCTTTGATATCTGTTCAAGATGTCGTGCTCAAAATTCTCTGTGAGTATCCACCACAAGAAATTTGACATTGCCCGGCTTGCGTCGCGCCTTTGCTCTAATGACACCTTCTATTTGCTATGAAATGTTTTGGTCCCGCGTAACGTGCGTCTGATCCCATTTGGGTTGGTTCACATTTAAACGAGGCAGGCTGAAGCTGTGAGGCACATTCAAACGTGGGAGATTGAAGCTTCCCCGAAGAGACAAATCCGGGCTCTGCTTGGCTTCTCGGAGGCCAGACCCGAGGTCTGAGCGTCGAATCTTTTCATCCCCCACAGATAAGTCGTCACCGTCTATATGTGAAAGCGTCTTCTTTGACAAATTTGGCCGAGAAAACCGATTGAAGGCAACGAAGGTCTCCTTGTCACCCTCGACAGCGTTTGACGGGGAGACACGCGAACAGACCGGCGCCGAATCGCCACGGCGTCTTCCTGGACAGGCTGCACATCCATGTATCCGTAAATGACATTGAGGATCGGGATCGACACTCCATGAACAAAAGTGCAAGCCAATACACAACGGGGACGATAGCCCGTATCATATCAATCACTTCGCTATCGCCTGCTGCTTCGGGGACTGTGGGAAAGAGGTGACGGGCATAAGCTTGTACGTGAGAAGCACGGCGGGAATGCGGCGTAATACGAGAATAAGAGCGTCAAGACCAAAGAGTCGGCCAATGCTGATTCCAGTGATGTCGGAGTTGAAGTCACTCCGTGGTATGATGGTCCCTAGGTAGATGAAGCCGCCAAAGTTGAGGAGCACGTCTATGTTGGCGTTGACTTCGTCGTGTCGCTTCTGTGCCTCTGCGAGGTACTTGCCGTCCCAGTTGATTGCACTGCCAGCGACGAAGCAGGATAGCAGATCGTCGGTTCCAATGGCTCCCGAGGTGCCCATCAGGAATAGCTGACGAATTGTTAGCCAACTATGTTTGCATGCAATGTCTGAATAATTACACCAATCGCCGTTGGGACGAGCACGTAGCTTTCGGAGTCGATTCACTTCCTGCGTCTTGCGTTACACCCTAGTGTCAGCATACTACATATTCAAAGATAGATGGACGTACTTTCTAACCGACTATCTTAGAGGAATTCTGATCAGCGTTCCAAGAATGATCTCATAGGGGGAGCTCGTGACAACAAAGTAAAGCCACGTCTCCAGCAACCAGTTCAGCAGCGCAATACCAACGCCTCCACCTTAGCGGGCAACATCCCCGGCTCTGGGAAGGATTGCACGAACAACTTCGTGTAGTGTCGTAACATCGGCGTGCACCTCGGATCCCTCTGCATGTCGTATGAGGTGTGTCGTAAGCATTAATATCGGGAACCCGAAGCCGTCGTTTGCGCCACTCTCGGAAGAGATTCTTTCACGCAACGAGCGCCTAACAAACTTGTCGGCAAATGGCCCCTTGGCAACCGCTTGTGAGACGACTGGGTCGGTCGAAGTAACGCAGGAGGCGATAAAAAGGGTCAATTTGGGAACAGTTGCGAGGATACAGGCTGTCGTGGCTAACCGCATGAGGGTCATGATGGGTAACATGAGGATGACCATTTCTTTCCATTTCTTCTTCTGGTACATTGCCGGCAACTGTTAGCCAGCCATAATTAGTTGACTACCGATCATCACTCTCGTGAGCCCCTGCAAATACAAGGCATTTATCAGTACATAAGCGCATACCTTCGTGTTCCTGTATTCAAAACTTGTCACGGCCACTGGATACGCACGAGAGTGATGTCTTTGGTCTGTCCCTCGACGGCTGATCCCCATCTCTCGCTGTCGACAAATCTTGCGGCTATTGGACCAATGCATATGCCAAAAACGACGGCCGGTACTAATGAAAGCAATTTGTCAGTAGGTATTGCCGGAGAGTCTGCCACTCTCCATGTCCAACGCGAGAATGAAGCAAAGGAAATGATGGAGGATTGTGTTACAGGCCTCGCCTAGATACTACACATTTTTGATCTTGACAGAGGAAATGCCAAAGAGAATGATGAATGCGCTTGCATGTCGAACAAAATAATCGGTCATAGCTAAATTGTTTATGGCACGAGATACCCACCGAAAACAGCGAGAACGACATTCAGCTCGCTAGGTTCAAGGGTAGGCATTTCGGCTTTCCACATGTCGCTTCACCTCCAAAAGTCAAAGAGAATCTATGCACCCAAAGGGTGTGTTGTGCGTTTGCCGAGAAGGGCTGCCTTGGCTGGCAAGGAATTTGAAAAGGGTTATGGTCTCTTTAGCTATTACTCACACGACAGTTGCATGAAGTTGCTTGGGAGAAAGAAAAGGAAAACAGATACCAACCAGGCCTCGAGGAGAAGATGCAGAAACGTCAAAGTATTTTCTGAAGAGCTGGAGAAAATGCCGCAAAAGACAAAGTCAGAGAACGGAGACCTGAAATGACAAAGGACGGAAACAGCTGGTTTACTCCCAGTGGTATGACGGTCACCTGGTAGCCCAGCGCTGCTGATGAAGAGTGGTCTGGTGGGCGGCGGAAAGGCATGTGGTTTCTCTGCAGTGCTGAGAGTCGGATTATTTAAGAGTGGTATGTCACCCAGGGACATATTTGGCCGCGGACCAAAAAGGAGAGCCTTAGCTGCAGATCTTGGGCGGCCAATGGAGTAGCGCGCCGGTGGACGCACCAGACGTGTTGATGCCATTGGTGAAGTTGTGAAATAAATTGCTGTGAAACGGCGCATGAACCAGATACGTCAGCTCATAGGGAATAGAGACAATTCTCTTATTCTTTGCAAGGGTTTTCTATAGAAAGACAGGGAACAGGCTGGCGTAGCCCGACTAACGTGGCACCGCATATTCTGGCTAGTGTCCGTAATACCGACCTTGGCCTTCCGAAGGCATCGACAATTGTGGAAGGGGAGAGCGCAACAGCCACGAGAAAAAAGCATATAACACACATTATTGACATCTCCACTTATTTGGATCTCTACTACGACATTGCTATGAATCGGTTGGTATCACCAAATTCGCATGCCAGACCCAATTGCTCTCACAGCGGGCTCATCCTCGGCTAAAAGACCACTTGTGTATGACGTTTAAAGAACAGTTCCCATGGAGGCAATCAACCTTGGTTGCCTCTTTAGGCAATCGTTATGGTGAACAAGGTTTACATTAGCTAGAAGACATGGGAAACGGTGGTCAATGCATTGCCTAATGCAACCACGTCCGTCAACACTGTCACTCTACCACAGAAAAGCTGACAGGATGAGCATGTCAATTGTCCTCAAGTTGCTTCATCCGGAATGGCTCGAGCTGTCAAGGACTCTCACAAGGCGTCCGATATCGGATCTTATCAGCTAGAGCCAGATATTCATATTCCCTCGAACCTCTTACGGAGTCCTGTGTTCATATGTGCAGTTGAACACATGGATGCAAATTTCATTTGCCAGGAGACAAGTAGGTCAATATCGCGATGGAAAAGCTCGTCGCCGGCCAATCGATTGCCCACGCTCCGTCCGTTTTTGTTAGGTACGTATTCGAGTTCCGCGGTGTTTCCGAAACAACGGAGCATATCTGCAGGAGATCGGTTCATGTACGTTAGCTTTGCCAATGGTAAATATGTGGTCAGTCGATCAAGATATATTGTCTGGCCATACGCTGTGTTGACTTCTCAAAAAAATCGCAAGTAATGTAGGAACCTAGTGGAACTTCGGCTCGAAGTCGATTCTACGTTGCATATATCAAAGATAGAAAAGATCGAGACGAGTGAGAAAGTATTTGGGTGCTCTCCAGGCCATAGTAAAAGTTGATATCCCCGCAAGCGCGGCGTTTCCGTCACTCGAAACCTGGAAGTAATTTGTCAACCAAAGGCAGTACATTAGTAGAGTGCATTATCGAAAGCGCATGTTCCACCTACATGTATCGATTCGACCCTGCCAATTGTCACGAGTCTTGACTCAACATGCGTGGGTCATTATTGATTAAGAGTCTTTTCCTAGCTTTGAGAAGTATTGCGACTTTGCTCTTCGATTCGCCGACTGGAAACCTGCGTATATAGGTTCCAGCGAGTTGAGGCTCACGTTCAACTCCTTAGCCGTGCCTCAAAAATATCAATAAAAAGGGATTGTAAGTCAAGGCTACATTGTAAACCCCCATGTTAGCTCATACTCAAACCTTTTCGCGTGTCACTCTCCGAACTGAGTATCTCCGGCTCCAGTGTTGGGTATCGAATGCAACAGACGGTCGGCATCAAAACTAACGGGATAGGCGGAAAGATATGAATGAATTAATTATACGCAAATGAACAAAATTTCTGTGGCTAAAACCTGTGCGTACTACACAGAAAGACTCAGCCACGAATGTCCTTGCTTTTATGATTTCAAGCCCAACGTTGCTCAATTTTGATCCCCAGCCAACGGAAGAGACTTGATTCGCTCATAGATCAGCGACAATAACTTCTTCAAGAGGTAATTCTGTGTTTCACGCACGTCTGCTGTTCACCACCAATGACTACGTGCCAACGAGTTTGCCATGGATCTCCCAAGGTCGAATCAGCCGAGCTTTCACGCGGCCCCCACCCCCCAATAATAATGCCACATCGAGTCTCGACTCTCCAAGACTCTTCCTACGTCAACCATGCCGTGCGACGCCAACGTCTGACATGCTTCCAAACGTCCTGCCATGCGCTCCACCGTGGCACCACTGACAAGACCCGGACCTGACACCATGTAGCCACAGCGAAAGAGGCAACCTCATGAGCCGCCCCGTGCCGTGCCGCCGGGCTCCTGATCCGTTCGAACCTCCTCATTGAACGTCGCCATCCGATTCTCTCTCCCCCCCGGCCCCCTCTCTCTGCCGCGTCCCCTGCAGGTTCCGACAAATCCGGCTAGAGATGCATTATCCCGCCGCCAATTGAATCAGACAGTCCAAAAACAGACCTCAAACGCCCACTCAATGATCACACACAAACACGCACATTCAGAAGGAGACGAGCCGCCGTGCTCCAAAAGTGACAGCGGGAATCAGGCTACGCTTCGGCCCTGCGTTTGCTGTGTACCGACTCGCTATGTACCGGGCATCTCTGTCCAAGCCCAGCAGGCTATTTAACCCATCCTACCCGGGATTATCCCGCGGGTGGGTGGGGGGGGAGGCTGAATGCCAACTCAGAGTCGCGACCAGACGAAAGTGTGTTCTCTGGCACGCCCTTGCCGTCCCGTCGTCCCAGCCTTATCGGCACTTTAGTTACCTCCACCGGGATCTATCTGTTTCTCATGTCTGCCCAGTTGGCTGGTTGCCTTTACGGGTATCTTCCTAGTCGAGGGGTCTTGCCCGCGGGTGGATTGTTGGGGGGGTTTGACAACCCATCGAAACCCGCGCGGAAATGGGAAGGCTTCCGGAGAGAGAGAAAAGGTGAAGCTTATTTCCTGTCGAGCCAGGGACGCGGGGTCTGGGTAGAGACTCTTGTTGCATCGGAACAGCGTCGTTTTGCGCGCTGGTGCTATCCTGGGTAGTCTCCCTCGCCGAGAACAACACCCCACGCACAGCTTGGCCGCCGTCAAAAAAGAAGTTCCAGGTGATTACCATGAAATAAACCCCCTCATAACATACCAGCACCCCTGCTAATAGTAAACCACAGGAACAGTCAGATAGTTTTGCCCAATAAGGTACAACCACATCATACCCAATCTTATGGGCTCCCTACTGTAGCCTGTTCACTGCAATTTTAACCCCCTCCAGAGGGATAGAGGCATTTTACAGCACCCAGGCCACGCACGGAACAAGGTAGGCAGACACAAAAAAAACGAACCTGGCATTCCCATAGGCACAAGGCAACACCGCATCGCCGCCTACTTTTCAAATCTCGCATCCCATTTGGCATCCCCAAGGTCGCTAGTGGTTTGACCGCCAGCCCAGATCAAAGCCCCCGATCATCCCGGTCACCCAGCAAGCTACAGCACTAGCTAACCAACGCCGCGCCCGCGCCGCCGGCCCTCGGATAGCTCCTCCCCCTAACTACCTACTACCTAAGGTGGTAACGAATCGCCGCCAAACCACACTGGGGCAAAGCTCGCACAGTCGCGCGCAGTCGCGGGTGGCCAACCCCCCAATCACGAGCCCGCTGTTTCTACCCGCCTCTCATGATGCTCCATCTCCCCGTGTGTACCGTACCAAGCCACTCCTCCTCCAACGCATCAATCAGCCAGCTGACAACAAAACGCCCTATTCATACAACCAACAAACCACACACACACGCACGCACACACACAAATGCCTCACAGGTGCATTGATTCCGATGACCTATTAACCCCCATTCAACCCCCCCGCACCTCTGACCTCCATTCGCTCCAACGCCCCACCCGTCAATTTTGCATGATGAACATGAAGCCACCGTGCCAACAGGTCTAGACGCCTTGGCCAACCCCCAACCACACCCCGTCCAGCACATGCCTGCATGAACCTCGATTCCGGGAGAGGGGCGCGGAAAGAGACGCCGAGAGTGGAGGAAGAGGAAAGAGAGCAGACATTCTCCAGCTCTCTCTCTCTCCCGCGCTCATCCTCAACTCCTCCCGTTCCCGTTCCCGTTCCCCTCACAGATTTTGGAGACGAGGGCAAAACTGGAGCTATTAGGTATCCGTATCTCCGTACATTTTGGCCCGCTTTGGGCAGGCATTCGGCGGCGCCGTCCGCAACCTCCAAAAGTCCCCACCCGAACAATCACAAGGCATTGAATCACTTACTCACAAGGAACCAAAGCCATTCACAAAGCTACTCATTACCCACATGCTCACATTCAAGCCCAGTACAATAGGCCACATGGTTATAGGTACCAGCAGGGGTAAAATTTTCCCGGGAGTCAAAAACACTCGTAGTTCGTATTGCTCAAAAACAAAACTATCATACCACGAGACGAGAGAGAAAACATTGGAAAAGAAAAAAAAAGGATTCTCCATCTCGAGTCCCAGTCCAACTGCCAACCAGACAGACAGGAAAATCCTCTGCCGTGTGGCCGTTCTCCACAGGCTAGAGGATCTTCCGTTTCGGCAATCGTGTTTGGCAAAAATGAAACTGGTTCCAGCAGTCCAGGATCCACCCCAAATCAACATCTTACAACCCTTCCACTCGATACGAGAAGCATGTTTTCGACTGGAGGGCACACAGCTCGATTTGAATATTGGCTATTGGCGAGCGAGCCGCTTCCGGGTTGTCCAATTTGATGGGAGCAGAAAAGTCGTGCTGAATTTAGTGCTGTGAACATCAAAAGTCAGCATCCGAGAATCCAATATATATATCAGGGTGATTTGGCTTACGGAGCAAGAGCCGCAAGAGCAGGTAGTGCAGGAGCCAGCGCAGCTGGCGCCGCAGGAGGAGCAGGAGCTGTTCGCATCAGATTAGCTTCAAGGTTGGACATATCTCATAGAGGCAAAGCCCATCCGGCGGAATCGAAGCTCAATAAGAACCCGAAGCATCCAGAAAACTCATGCGTATCGTAGATCCAATCCGTGGAAGATGGAGCAGGTGAATGGTACTCACCAGGGGGCCATTTTGATAGTTTGGTGGTTGAAGCGAAAAGGCTTGAGTGTTTGTTTGTTGTTGAAGTCTGGAAGTTGAAGCTGATGAGTCGGATGAAGAGAAATGCTCAGTTCAACCAGAGCTGATATGGGCTTATATAGCCATCTTCGAGCCATGTCCCCCCACGTATCAGTCAGCCAGACATCAGGCGGCTATCTGACGAGGAAGCGCGATTTCATTCGCGATTACGTGGAAGGGCACGGGAGTCCTCGGAGACGGGCCATGCCTATCCCTGGACGATGGAACAAGTACCCCATAGCGTAAACCGCGAATACCGCGCGAGCTTCGTTGGCGGCAGAAAGCTGACTTGGCGGTTGTGTGATACCGCATCAGGCTGGCACTCCCACCGTTTGATCCATGATGGCTCCCTGCGGCCTAGAGAAGGTGGAATGGGACCGTCGAGGAGCGGGGTCTGGGACCAAGTCTACGGGTGCAGAGCTGTGCAAGCTTTGAGACGTGTGGTCGGCTGGTTATACGGAGCAGGGTGCCATGTTCGGGCTGGGAGGAGGGGGAAGGGTGGTCCACCCGACGACGGGGAGCTGGACTCTTGTGATTGGATCAAGTGAGGCAGACTGGGCATCCACGCACGAGGTTTCGATATAGCGAACAGGGCGGCAGGATGAACGTGCATGGCTGCTGTGGTCGTGTGAATGTGATTTGTAGGCGGGCTTGGGAGGATCGTCAATGTTGAGTGGATGACAAGTGCCCGATGAGGGTAGCCCCGCCATTCTTCGGTCAAACGTTCGGGCTAGGAGGAGCGTGGGAGGGTGGGCAGAGCCGGTCTGGATTGTGGATTATCGGATGCGTGAAGAAAGGCTGCTTTGGGGCCAAGGGCAATCGGAGTGGACGCCTTTGGGGCACGGCACCAGCCTGCCAACGGCGGCGTTGGGTGCGTATTGGTGTGAATCCGATTGTGTATGCATGACAATGTATGTACAACGACAGAGAGGGCAATCTGCTTGTGATGCGCTTGGCGGCGGCACCCGCGCGAAACAGAGTTTGTACCATTTCACACCAAAGGCTTCAGGTGATGTGACGCAGCCATCCCGTATTGGCCAGAGTCGGGACTAGCTGTCTGTCCAAGTGGGATCCGTCTGCTTACTAGGCAGCCTCGACCAAAAGGCGGAAAACAACAGACAGAAAGAGACCAGGCGATGGACAGACGACAGACTTCTGCAACACCAGATGACCTTGCCATCTATCGTCATGGCGGAGTCAAAAGCCCCAGGAGAGTGAAGGCAAAGAACAGACAGCTCAGAGATGGAGTCTCACCAGTGAGACTATAGGCTCTTTCCCAAACTTCAACTTTGCCTCGGCTCCGCCACTTGGAGAAGCTTCAAAAGAACCTTGCCAGGGAAGATAACCCTAGTAAAATCCCTATCGGACGATCCGTAAAGAGAGGAGAGCCATAATACCTCTTAGCTAAAAGGCGTGGGTTGTCCAATCATTGAGACGGGCCGGCGGCGACGCTGGGCAACTCGTGATGGAGCAGGTTGCCCAATCGGCCATTATCTCCGGGCTCCAGGTGAAGGGGTCGGTGAGAGGGGCGAGGAAGCGAGACACGCGAAAGAAATGAGCAAGGAAAAAGAGAGAAAAGGAGAAGCCGTGGCTTACTACCGTGGGGGGGCGGTTCTCTGAACAGTCTTGCCCTGCCTGAGGGCGAGCCGGGACCCGAGAGGTATACTGTATGTAATCACCAGACATCATGAGAGACAAAGATCAGAGAGTCTGACTGATTGATACAGTGTACAGGTCTCCTTCTTCTTTTCCTTCTCCCCGGTCTCCTCAACTCGGGACTATCGTCGCGTCCCTGGGTCGACTTGTTTCGGGCCTCAAAGCGGCCAATTTGACGGTGTTGCAGACACTTGAATGAAGAGAGAACAGGAAAGGCTGCCGGTCGAGGAAGACAGGATGAGCGGCCCCTTTTATGCCTTCACCCATCTCTCTTATTCTACGGCCTCAGAATGGCGGTGCAAGGGAGAGACGGCATTCCCCCGGTGGAAATGATAGTGCGAACTGGCTGGGGAAAATTGGCTCATCAAACCACCTGGTCCATCAGCGTCCGTCGCGTGTCGTCGATGCTGAGTACTGCCGCCTGACCTGTCCATTCCATGGTTCGTGGATGCGCTGGCTATCTGGCTCTGCTCCAGCAACGACATCGTGGGTGATGGTTGGCGGCATGGCGATGGCGGAGACTGATTTTGTGTGAGAGGCTGGGCCATCCAGGTTGGCCATCCGGGTTCTTGAGACACTCCCAAAATGGCCTTATCAATGCAGGCCATCCAGGTTCTCGATGCCGACTTTCACTCAGCGGCATCTCTGGCACTTTGCACCCGACAGGGCCACAGGACCAATGGACCAAAGTGTCAGAATGGGTTCTTTTGAGGCGGCCAGTCACTCCGATTTGAAGGTCGAATATCAGCCCGAGTGTGGGTTGTGAAACTTGTGACTTTGTCGACGTAAGAAGGCCAAGCCACAGTTGCGTTCGTTGGAGCCGAATCGGCGCGACACAATATTTCCGACAAACTCTGAACAACTTGACCGATGCTCGAGAATTATCGACAAGAAATGCCGTCGTTCAAGCTGTTCAGGTTCTGGAATTTTCTGCCACCTGAAAAGTCTGACGAAATGGTGCCGCGTTGAGAAATGCTACGCGTTTGTTCACCGCGTGGCGTAGAATTGTTGCATCAAAGCCGAGGTGTTTCGGCAACATGCTCGTGCGGGTGAGTGGCTCTTGACAGCAAGTTATCGCCCCTCGGTTCTTGATCTTCGCCATTCCGGATCAACTACCAAACAATGTCTTGGTGGTTTCAAGATGGAAATCTAGCTGGCCCGAAAGTTTGGCCGATCAACAGACAGTCTGTCAAGGTTTGAGTCGCGTCATCAACGTGATAATCAAATTCTGGACGTTTGGTCTACCAAGCGGCTGATCAAAGTCCGAGCCTCTTCTGAGACCTGTCGTTGCGCAATTCTTCGGCCATCGCGCCAAGGTCCCCATAATTGCGCCATCTGGGGAAAGCCGCAAGCGCCTTGCCGAGATCGTGACCCTTAGGTCCGATCCGACCCTGGTCCCACGAGCGACCCCCCTCCCCATCAAGAAGCGCGGTGGGCTCCGCTCCCGCCGGGTCGAGTCCCCGTGAGCGGGCCGTCCCGCTCACCTCATCTCGTCCCTTTCGCAGAGATGCGGCGATGATGGAGAAAGACCACTGTCTGCCCGAACCGTTTCTAGGTGGCTCGATACCTGCCTTGCATGGCCCTGAGTCGACTCGATGCCGTGTGGTTGCAGACATCCGTGTAGCTTTCGCAGTCCGCTGTCGCTCTTCGTCCCCGAGGCCGGGAAGCCCCTACACGAGCAGCACGCGGTCTGATAGTACGTGGTGCTATATGTTCCGACTTCGACGACCCGACTTACATGATGGCACGTCGCTGTGAGCCGTGTTCATTCCTTAGAGACTTTCTTGAGAATCAGCGGATGAGACACCGTAGAGGGAACTACGGGATGTCCGACAGCGATGATGGACATAGGCATTGGCAACGACCACGACCAGGTTAGCCCCGACATACGAAGTTGCAACGAAGCCATGGGATTTTTGACTGAAAGATGACCGAGCCATCGACATCGAGATGATGGTAGCGACATAGCGGTGACAAGGCCGAGCAGCGGGGGAAAAAAAGAGTCAAAGAGCAGACGCGTTGATTATAACATTGCAAGGAAACCTCGTTAGCTCAGGTGCACCTCTTTCAGCAGGATGTAAGGATGTGACCGTAGTAGTACCAAGCAGCACCTGCACACTCTCAACCTACCGGACCTGCCTAGCCTGATCTTCCCATCGCCAACACGGCTGCATTCAGACATTGTCGCAATGCAATGGGGGAGGAGCCGCCTGTCTGCCTTATTCCTGTCTCCCCGGCTCTGGAGTCTGGAGTAGCTCATGCCCTCAGTCAAAGGCTCGTCCCGCGACCTTGTACAACCCTTGTCAGTTGCGCGGGCTCAGCCTCCGTCACCTCATTATTGGCTTCGAAGAGCTTTGGTCGCAGGTCTGTCCCGACAGGAACAAAATTTTCGTCAGATAATGTATATTGCCCATGATGGCAGGAAGCTGTCGTCACGGTGTATGGGTATTGTGATGACATTGGACTCTTCGGGACCATAAAGGGACAGGCAGGCTGCTTTGGGTAGTAGCAATCGTCATGGCAGCTGCCTTGGGACCATGGATGATGGCAAGGCATGAACATTGAAACGACGGACCGAACTCGGAAAAGGATGTCGGCAGATGTAGAACGTCTGTCTGGACCATACTACCGCACCAGTGCTGCCTGGGACGACTGCTGATAATGCACCGTCACGGTTCAACGGGCCAACAAGAACATCGTTTGAAGAGTTGAAGTTGAAATTAAATTTGAATTGCAAGTCTCATTCATTGTTGATGCAATGAGGAACCATGGTCCCAGTTGCCAATGAACTCCGAGCCTATGTATGTATGATGCCGCATAATAGAGATACGAGTCGTAGCTAATCCGCCCTGGCATCAAATCGCAAACAAATCCCTACTTTGACAGACACAACCAGGATATCCACGACGTCCGTATCATGATTTGCGCTATTGTCCTCGGCCACTTGGCCAAGATATGCCATCCCTGTAACCCTTACGCCAGAAATTCCACAATGGTTCATTCATAGTGCCACCCTCTAGGTCTACTTCATAGCGCTAGGACTTCGTGCAAGTCTGACCTCACTCCCCGCAGAAGTGCAGCTTGGAGTACCGGGCTCCTATGCCCCGCCAGCTCGGGCCGCAAGAGGCTGCTTATTTCGCCTGCCCAGCAATGTGGCGCCGTCGAGGCTGAGCTCAAAGGCGCCCTTCTGTCTGTTCCGGTCTCTAACCTGTTGACGAGCGGCAGCTGTGACGGTTGCAGAGTGTTGACCATAACCCTTCTCGTTTGCCGCGGGAGCCTGTCGCTCACGCTCACGTCCACGTTGGTGCTCCTGCTGATCTCTAATCTGAGCATTGCGCATGCTTTGCTCGAGCGCTTGCGTCGCCTGTGATGGCTTGTGGACGTATTCGGCTTCCTTATTCTCGGCCATTTCCGCGTCCTCATCCTCTGAATCCTCGTTAAGATTGTTGAGGAAACGTGCGGGAACACCGCCCTTGCTGCCAATTTGTTTTCGGCGCTTGGCCTCTTCCTCTTGTCTGTGAACGGCGTATCCAACATCGAAGACCTCGCGCAGGTTGACCGCACCAGGGGAGCGGAAGTCGTAGCGACGGTCGCCGTCGTTAATTCTGTTAGCATCGAACGCACGGAGCATGTCGGGCTGCGTCTTTTTCTCGTCACGAGGCGTCGGGCCAGAACCCTTGATCCAGGGATGGGCGAGGAATTCGGTGATGGTGTATCTCTTCTCGGGGTCCACAGTGAGGAGGTGAGAAATCAGGTCTTGAGCAGATTGGGAAATATCATCCCACCAAGGTGACAAGAAGGTGTACTGGCCCTTGGCGACCTTCTCCGTCAAAACCTCAATACTCTCGTCATAGAAGGGGGGGAAACCACAGAGCAGCGTGTAGAGAACGCAACCCAGTGCCCACATGTCGACCGACTTTGAATAACGCTCATCCTTGACGATCTCGGGAGCTGTGTATCCGACAGTGCCGCAAGGCGTCATGGTCTGGTTATCCCACACAATCTTGGATAGACCAAAATCGGCAATCTTGATCTGACCAATGCCGCCTGCACCAACTCCGGGAATGAAGTCGCCCTCGTCGACCTTGTCTTCATCGCCCGGCTGCTTAGGCTTAGGGTTCTTGGACGGAATGACGGGGATCGGGCTGAAAAGGATGTTTTCCGGCTTGATATCGCTGAAGCATCGTGGGTTAGCATACAATTCGAAGGGATGACGTCACAGGCGCTGATGCAATATCGGCACTCCCGTCTTCCACCGCCTCGTTCTCACCAGAGTGGGCCAGTGAGAGAGGAATGGACTGTACATACCGATGGACAACACCCCTCTCCTCATGCAGGTACTCCAAAGCTTGGGCAACCTGTACGATGACGTGCCTCGAGAGCTCCTCGCTGAAATACGTAAGGCGAACAATCTGGTGGAAAAGCTCACCGCCAGGCGCCAATTCAAGAATTATGTAGTAGTACTGTCTAGATTCGGAAAAGTCGATGAGCTTAATAATGTTCGGGTGATCAAGCTGTCGCATAATTTGAACCTCCTTCAGAATGTTTGCTCTCTAGGTCGGGGTCAGCAACGATGTCCAACAAGTAAATGGAGAGCCATCCTTGACGTGACAGTGACTATTAAGCAACATGAAAGTGTCGAAAAGTGAGGATGGCCCGAAGAGTAGACAATGAAATATAGAAAGTTTTCGCACCTCTGCGGCCTTGGGGACCTTCTTGAAGTCCGGGTGTAAATGCTTGTTTCCCTAATCACGCCCTCGGTTGGTATGGGAATACTCGAAAAGGCTCGAAAGAATAACGCAGAAAATAAGAGAGAAAGAAAACGAGAAAATCATGGTCGCGGCCGTAACCACCCAAGCGTCAACTCACCTGCATGCTGTTCATTTCATACTTGCGGACGACCTTGATGGCACACTCGCCCGGTTGTTCGCCAGTGGTATCGCGCGCACGGTAGACATTGCTGAAAGCGCCGTCACCCATCTTCTCGACCAATTCCCATCTCTCTAGGCCAGGATATCTGGGGAATTTGCCCTTGCTCTCGTTCTCCTCGGCAACAAGCTTGGCCAAGTGCGTGTTGTCGATGTTCTTGCCCGCCTTGGACGTCTTGTACTGGTTCGGCTCGGCGGCGTGGGCGGCGGCGTGGTTTGCCTGGGCAGCACGGTTCTGGCCATCGCCGGCGACTGAGTATGCCTCGGGAATCGCCTGAGCAGGTGCGGCGGCGGGATACGCAGGCTCGGATATGCCTACGTGTGCTTTGGGCGGCGGGGACTGCTTGGCTGCCGGCTCATCGTTATTTGCTCGGGCTTGCTTTCCTGTACACAAACAAAGTCAGGATATTGTTATTCAGCGATAGACTGCGGAGTCGTCGCGAGGGATCGAGAGATCCACAAGGAGCGACTAGATGAATGTGGGACGGTGCGAAGAGATGCGATATGTGGGCAAGGCAGGAGGAAAGAGGGATTAACGTACCGTGTCGGATAAAGTTCTTAAGCTGCTGTATCGTCGACATGATGCTAATTTGGGCCGCTACGACGGGCGACGAGGTGTGAAGTTATTCACAAAGTAAGATTTACCCAGCGCACGTCGCAGTAGTCGGCGGCTGAGTCGGTCAACCAGCCCTGTGTAAAGGGGACGCTGGACGTTTGAGTGTGGATGATACTGCGGAGGCAGCGAAGCACGAGTCGTACAAATATTACTCGGTGGGCGATCTGATGGTGTTGAAAGCTGGGCAAAGTGGAAATGCCTTGTATCACGGGAAAAGAGAATTGAGGTATGTCAAGGTGAACAGGAGCGGATGCAAGGTCGTTACGTTGTGAATGAGGAGGGGGAGGGGGGAATCAGCGGCTGAAAGGGAGAAATTGTTGCGAGGAGGACGAATTTGTGGGCTGCGGCGAGTGATTGTGATGTCGGCGGAGGGGCAACGTGGGCTTGGATGACGGAAGTTGGAGGAACAGGCAGCTGGAGATCGGGCGGGAAGACGGGCAGCAGCAGCAGTAGCACCAGCACCAGCAGCACGTTTGTCTTGGTTTGGAGAGGCCCGGGGACCAAGCGAAGGGGAAGAAAAAAAGGGCAGACGGCGCTAGGGACCGCACCAAAGCAAGGTAGGAGGAGAAAATGGGGATTTGGAGCCGGGGAGGGGTGTTGGTTGGGTTCAGGTTGACAGGGCCAGGCGAAGAAGAACGGCAGACGATGACGGCGTGTTGTTGCTGTAGCCGGGTGCACCAAGTGAAGTTACGAACAGGGTACTTCGTCACCCACTCGTACCGTGCGGCGGCAACTTGCGAGGACTTGGAATTCCGGGGGTGCGAGGGGGAAGTGTACGTCGCTGCGTCCTGGTCCTCGGAACTGGCACACAGAGACGGGCTGACTACCGTTGCCAAGGTAGGTGTCTATTGGACTGGATTTGAGCGATGATGATGACAGAGGTGGTGGGCAAGCGTCTGATGAGGAACCGGCAGCAGAGGGAGGGCGTGTGAAATGTGGCAGGTTGCAGGTTGGACAGTGCAAGCCGCAAGCCGCATGACAGACTGCGGTCGGGAGCTTGGGGCTGCAGTTGCGCAAGGTGGTGATGATGTAAAAGGTCGATGGACCTTATTTTTAAATTTTATTTTGGAACCTGGTTGAATCAGAGTCTCCAGCGTACCAGTGCAGCAGAGTGAGGAAGCTGGAATGGGTAAGAAGGGCGACTTGAGGCAGCGAGGTGCAAGGCCGGGTGAGTGGAGAGGGCGATTCAGGTAGGACAAGAGGAGGAGTAACTTTTGACGGTGCAATCGTAGTATCGTGGCAGCAACAAGTAACTGATGGCAGGATCAGTCATCAGTGGCATCCGTGGACAAGTATTTTTTTTTCCCCTTTTGCTTTTTTCTTCTCTTCCTTCCCCTCCCTCATCGTATGTGTCGTCCCATTTGCTCCGGTCACTCATTGGGCGGGATACCCAGGCGAGCACGTGAATGATGAATGATTGGGAAAGGGCACGGCGAGAAGACGTCTTTTGTTTCTTTCCCAGTCCTCTCCTTCCCAATCCTTAGTGATGGCTTGTGTGGTGTTTCGCTCGTCGAAAAAAGTATCCGTAGATCCAATGGAAGGTCCAGAGTGGGCATTCCCAGGTTCTTGGCCATTCTGATCGTTACCTATCTTAACCTACCTTACCTTGCCTCAGGGTGCCTCCCAGTTGACATGGAGGTATCATGAGGTACCTGAGGTATGCATGTACCTTGAGGTAGTCGTGCATGAAGTGGCCTGGAGAAGGAGCGTTGTCTCCCGCCATGTTCAATGAAGAAGGGCAGAGCAGCATCGAGGGCAGCTCTCTTTCCGGCTAGCATCATCGTAAGGTACGCACTTTCCACGTCTCATTGCCCTCACCTGCCGACGTCGACGGGATTTCGTAATCATGTACTCTGTACTTTGTGATTTCCAATCATCCCGTCGGCCCTTAACCCCCTTTTCCCCTTCTTTCTCCCTGTCTTCCTCCCACCGTACCTAAGCTTCTCAACTCAGTTCTCAGGATGTTTGCAGTCGAGTCGTTTCAACCTGTCGCTCTCTTCAGTCTTCACAGACCGGCCACCCCAACCCCGGACCCATTCGGCATGCACCAGATCCAAGATTAGGCCTCGGATGGGACAGGGGAATGGCTAGCGTCAAGCAAGGGACATGAGGAAGACTCTCGTTGATTATCCACGGGAACCACCATACTATAGCACTCAGGGCGGCTCAGTCTGCTACGCTGGACCATGTTTCCTGCGACAGCGAGGTTCATGTTCGGGTGCAGGTTCCGGCAAGTGATGACAGAACACTGAAGACGAAGATCGGCACACGCACAGTTGACGCACAGTGTAACGAGCAGTACTCCGACTGTGTCTCGACCATGGACGCCGTTACGCCGGCGCCAAGAAACCAGAGTTCAGGGCGCTGGACGCGCTAGAGTCGGCCACTTGCGTTGAAAAGTTGGGATGATGCACAACATTGCACTGTGCGATTTCTGACAGTCTCCCAGACACACGATACTTAATCACGGTAACCAGGCAGGGCAGAACGATAACCACCAGTCCACGAGCCATAGCAGCTCAAAGACGGGATTCGGGAACATTTGGGGCTATAGTTGGGCCATCGCCATCGACCTGTAATTATCCGTATATCTCAGCTCATTCCCCCTCAACCCCATCTCCATATTGGTCATTCACACAGTCGCACTCCATTGCCCCCCCGGCCGAACCGGGATTGCAAGATGCAAAACTCGCGTTTGCCCGTCTGCCCTCCCGCTGTTCTATTTCCCAATTCCATGATTCGGCCTCCCGGTTGCAGCCAGACTGCCAGCCCCGGATGCAAAAGAACCAGGTGCCAGGAGCAGGGCCCGGCTGGCGTGGCCAGCCCATGGGCTGTGACCCAAGTTCCCAACCCATCCCATGTGCGGCGTGCCTACCTTATCCAGGCTCAGAGCCTGTTCCACTCGCCTGGATGGCGTGGGGCCCCCATTATGACGTCTGCCTCGTCGTCATACCCGCTTCTGGCAGGGATGGTATCTTTGGAACCAGACGCCCTGGTGCATCATTGGGAGTTTAAATGTGGACTCGACCTCTTTTGCGATTTGCCTGAGGCCACCAGCCAAATTGAGGTATGGCCAGTCAGGGCCCATGAATCATTCGCATTGCACCTGCAACACCAAATGCCCATTGTCAGATTATCGTCGTCCAGAAATGTCCTCTACAAGGGTTGGCCGCTGCTTTTCTCCCTTCCTCTTCGCATACGGAAACTCCGGCCTGTCTTGGTCCCTCTCCTCCAAGGCTGCGTCGATTCTGTTGTCGATTCCCGTCCTCCCCTCGCGTTCTCCCGCACCACTGCCAAACTGCACGCTTGCATTGCCCACTATACTGGCCGACTGAACCAACCAATCGTACAACGCACTTCATCCACACACCGAGTCACTCCGCGACTAACCATATGCCTCCGAGATGATGATGGGCGATGATGCGCAAGCCACACACGCCACTGGCATTTTCCTGACGACGCTTTTCCTGACGCGGCATGTCTCTGCTTGATTATCAGTCGGACGGTCCATCACTCACTAATCAGTGATATGCGGGCAATCGACTAGTCAGATAGACCAGCCGTCCTCCCGTCCGTCATCCACGCGACGCGGGAGTCTCAGTCACGAGCTCGGTGGGTGCCGTCCCATTTCTATTGAGACTGACTAAGACACCTGCCCGATGTGCGAGCAGTGATCTCATAAGGTAGCTCGCCGTCCACGCCCCGAGGCCAATCTTTCAGTGCTCGAACTGCGGCTCAAACTGTTCATCTCTAGACCATGGCCACTCATTGGCCAGCCACCTGCAGCACAAATATTATCAACAATAACAACATCGTCATCATCATCAAGCTTCTTTCTTGACGCTGAGCAGTCCTTTATTCTTTTAGCCATGTTAACCTAACTCATGACCACAAAGCTCGGCATTCTGGCGATTAGATGGGGCGCCAATCAGTGGTGCTCAGCCAAAGATATCGCCATTGCGCTTATAGCGTTCCCAAGACCGCAAACGGAGAGAAGCCAGAAAGCCTAAAGCCAAAGCGCCGCATGGACTGATCCAGACCATTGCTCTGCACGAGCCATGTTCTGTCGTCATCCGTATCCGTACCTTCCTACCTTCCTTACCTTACGTGCTTACGTTACCCGCCCTCGTCCCTTCCATGTTTGGCACGGCTGTGGCCGAATTAGATTCCAGAGACGCTTTCTCCAGCATCAGCCACATCGCCTTCGCATTACCTCGGGGTGCTTACTACGGTATCAGGCCAAAGTTTAACCCCCCTGTCAGGTATCTTCGGCCGTGCTTCCAGAGATTATGTCAGCAGCACAACTTTTGAGATCCGCGTGCACGTCAAGCACAATTCTGGCCATTGAGAGTCACTGCTTTGCCTGGGCCAGACCCACACTACCTGGTAGGGAGTTTAAACTTACCCATACCACCATTGTAGGTAAGTTATAAGTCCGAATTGGTCTGATGTTCCAGCCACACTCCGACGTTGTCGACGATCATCCTGCTCAGGGACATGAGTCGGTCTGGAACAGGTCGTTACGTTTCCCGGAGAGTGCTAAACGCACACACGCAGAAGCGCGGGGCCTGCGGTCCAGGGGGGTTCCCATTACAAACCTGACATCGAGCATTACAAGGCTTCCGCCATGATGAGCAAATGCAACGCGCCTGTTTTTCAGCTCGCTTACTGCGACCTCCGAAGTTTAAGTCAGACGACCCCAAACGGTTACATGGCCCTGCTCCTTTGGATCGCCGCCGTTGGGACACGCTATCCATACCATCACGATCATTACACAGTAGAGAGGTGCGGCTCACTGTCGCGGCGTCCTCAACGCCGTCCCGAGATGATCGTCATATAGGATGGAACAAGCCCCCCCCCCTGGTGCAGCCTGCTTCTTGCTAACTCTGCAGGTTGGAAGTTGTAGACGCGCGCCGAAATTGCAGAGAGGGAATGCCGCAACGCTCGCTCCAAAGTGTTGCGCAACACCCCTTTGACGTCATGCCTTTTGCCCCCACGCCTATGGCAGGATGGCGACTAGAAGAGGACTGCACGACGCCGGAGTCGGGCACGTGGCACGTCACATCATCACTCCGTCGCCGTTGGCCACTGGCGTCCCGAAATAAACGGCCTTGAATCATCTCCCGAGGTGACCGTTTGGATGGCACCACGGCATCTGTAACACGGAGCGCAACGCTGATGAGCCACCCGGGCTGCCTGCCTCTTTGATATGCGGCAATGCATATCCTGACGTCGCGAGATCACCCCTTGCGGCAGGTCCTCCGAACCCATTTGCGGCCGGTTGGAAATTCTTTTTTCATCATGGCACGCATGGGACCGTTTGTCCCGGCACCTTTTGGGACAACACTGCAGACCGGGCGTGTTTCCACAAATTTCGAGGGCCGCAATGTCCACTATGAAGTCATTATGGTTCAGAGCGTCTTGGGGCCATCTTGCTTCCCACCCCCGGAAAATGCACCTTGCTAGGATCTTTAGATCAGGATTGGGGTTCCCCGACCAACCCACACAAGGCGCGGGCCTAGACGAGGTTGTCATTGGCATCGATACGCTGGCCCCGTATCTGCATCAAAGTTGATCAAGTTTCATCTGCTGCTTCGAGGGCTTGGAGAATCCCAAATCAGCTCCGTGGATGGCAAGTCGGATTGCCATGCCACTTGACTGTTGGGTAAGCCTGGCGTGCTGTTACAATTTGCTCTTCTACTTCTACCGGTTGGGCTCCAATCAACAAAGCAATAGAGCTCCACAGTTTAGGCTCTGGTGGTTGGGCTGAAAAGTGCGGACAACCATTTAAACAAGATTTCAAGTCAAGTCGCAAGGATATGTTGGCCTTTTCTGCGGTCATCAAGGCTATTGTAATCTTCAAGAGACTGCCTATTAAAGATGAGGGCCTACCCCGTTCCCCATGGCTGGTGATAATGATCAGCGCTCAGAGCGCATAGCATGAATGCCTGCCTGTGCCATACCACCGCTTCCTCGCGGGCAGGTTCTTGTATCCGGTACGAATACATCCAGGTATTGCATCCCTAAAGTCAGAGACTGAAGTGGGGCATGAATCGTGGGTCGCCTAGACACTTGAATATCTTCTTCCTTTCTTCCCGCCGTTTCCATAGTCTTGATAAGTACCTCGGTGTTCTCTTGCAGTTGCAAGGCCGTGGAGAAGATAATGCCAGCGTCTCAATGCGGTCAAAGTACATGAATCCTCCAAAAAACCCCTCTAAATCAGGGATGAATCTGGATTCGACTTTTCTCCTTTGCGGCGTTATCATCAGCATCCAATTTTTCCAAGTTGTCACTGAGGCTGATCAGGGTACCGAAGAGGTGCGTGCCCATGATGAGACGGTGAAATCATGGGGCATTGTCATCCTCTCTATCCATCTACCTCACCCCGGCGCCGCCAACGCGCGCCCAACGTCATACGGGTATTTACAGAGTGCACAGGGCAATCATTGCCCCGTATCGAAAGCCCTTAGAAAGCTGGCTTGGCTAGTAAGGGCCCGGGCAAACAGATACATGATGCATCCTGGCAAGCCCGACGGTCTGATGTTCGTTTTTTTTTGGTATCCACCCGATCACCATTCCATTTGCGAGTTTTGGACATGCAACTACCCCTTCGCTCCTTCCGAGTCTCGGATAAAGTACAAACATTGAATGATGAGGGAAATTAGGGTAAGATCTGCTCTGGCGGAGTGGAGGGGTCAGATCGACTGCGGGAATCGCCATTCTTGGGGGGGCACTGGAGATTGCGGGGGCGGGGGCGGGGACGCGGAGTTGCGACGTCTGATGGATGGATTTTGGGATGTGGAAATGGGCAGGTGTAGAACAATTCGCAGGCATGGAATCGTTTGGTGTGGAATCTGCGCTTGTTGGTCTTGGTCTTTGCTATTGACTCGTGTACTGCCACGGGCCGGTGCCTATGGCAGTACACGGGCTGTGCCCGCACATAGATGGATTACTGAAGTGCAGCCAGGCCGCAAGTGGTAGTGGAATTTCGTACCTTTTGAGCGAACAGCCTCAATGTGAGAACCATGACCCAATGTGCAGGTTTGACGGTTGTTACTGTTGCCTACATATGTGGGCGAGACCTACTATGTGTACCAACGTGAGTGAACCAGAGGGCAACTGTTTCGGCGGCTCGCCTTGGGAGGTTTGTGGTTGTCAAGAGATATCAGCTGTGCGAATTTAACCACATCTTTTTGCCTCGACATGAACTATGACTGGGTTCAATTTTCCGAGAGGTGGTGCTCTTGCTGCTCTCTACCTGTCACATCACTTGTAGCTAGAGTGATGGTTTTCGGTTCCATGGACTTAGAGGCCCCTCTCTGTAACTAGGATGCTGTTGAGAGCGCTCGATTTACTAGAGACAGGAAGATGAAACGTAATGTAATGCTATATGCCGAGAGTAATTTCATTGGAGACACTACGAATCATATGCAAACACTGAGAGAGAAGGTGTTCGTATACAAGGACTCGATTGTGACTGAAGACTTTGACACTTCAAGTCAGTTTCAAATGTTCAACTAGCAAAACCACTGTGTCTAAGGCAATACTGATGTGGTCAACTGGACTCTACTGCCACGTCGGACTGAACTTTGATGACGCCGATGTGAATCCGCAGGTTCCCTCAAGTTTATGAAAATGAAACTTTTAAGTGATCTGAAAAGCGAAGATCGTCACTGTCAAAGTTGCCGAGCAGTTAATCCTCACAATCGACCGTATTTAATGAAACATTTCTTATCACAATAGAAACAGAATTCCTTACAACGGTCACCTACTCAAGGCCTGCGAACTGACATGTCTGAGCTGATTCCTATACCAATGTATTCAAGTCAGCCCTCATAGCTAATTCACACAGCCTGTAAGCAGGCCTTTGTAGTCGCTGTTCGCTGTCTGATTCCATGATCGAACATCATTCTCATGATCAAAAGGCATTGCCCATGGACGCCTCACTTGCCATGCTAGATAAGATACGCCGCGAATACGCATGAATGCCAGCGGGGAACTTTTCAGATAAGACTATCGATGTTAATCCGTCAGTTGAGTTTTACCGGCACTATCTTGTGCTATGAGCCGCATATTGCCTGGCGGCAATCAAATTGAGAAGAGCAGATAGATAATAATAGACTTCAGGACGGAGTGGCCGACGAGGTCAAAACCTTGTGCGTGCTCTACAGTCAACACTGAGGGTGCTAGTGCGGCCGCTCCGCTCACCGCCCCACGCTTCAAAAACGCCTTGGACTCCCCGAAGGGTTTATCCTGCGCCGACAGGTGGAGCCGTGGAGCCACCACCGGGGCTCCATAGGCTGACCAGACCTACCTATAGGCACCCGACATCGGGGACGGGCCCGGACCCCCCAGACGCGCTGCCGTCCCATTGACTCACATAGAATTCATTGGTCTATCCATCACCTTTGACTTTTTTTTTTTTCCCTTTCCCCCTTCAAAGATACGAATAATCTTCCTTCTTCCGTACAGCTCTCACCTGGTCAATTGCATCGACGCAGACCTCTTTCGTTTCACCAAACTTGTCTATTCCTCCCAAAAAAAACCCCCACGTCCTCGACACAATGGCTGGCGAGAAAGGAAAGGTCTGCTTGGCGTGAGTGCTGCCCCTCCTCCCCCAATTTCACCACAGTGCCTGTGAAACTCGGTCCCAAAGATTTTGCGGAGCGAGGTTCTGCCGGACAAGGTTTTCACTGTCACGTGTGCTGCGCGGCACGCCACATCGTTTCCAGCCACATTGTGGCTGGCACCGGACTATCTTGCGAAGATATCCCCAATCTTGCGATACGACGTCAATGGAGCAGAACAAAACGGCACAACACCTAGATACTAATTGCCACGTGATAGCTACTCGGGTGGTCTCGATACCAGCACGATTCTGGCCTGGCTTTTGGAGCAGGGGTAAGTCAATCGTCATGATACGAGTATTGGCAAGTCGAAGCTAACCTGGTGCTCAGATACTCTGTCGTGTATGTGCTTGTCGGTCGCTGCTCGCGCCAGTTCCAAGTCTCGTCTTGTCAAGCTAATGTGGGAGCAGCTGCTACCTTGCCAATGTTGGGCAGGAAGAGGGTGAGAAACGATGTGCTCCGTACCTCGATAGTAAAGCTGACTGATTGCTAGACTGGGCCGCTGTTGAGAAGAAGGGTTCGTTGGGCATCCCCACTCCCGCCGATTTGGACGAGGATCGATGCAAATATGAAATCCGTAAACTGACATTATTAATTAAACAGCTCTCCAGATTGGCGCTGAGAAGGTTTGTAAATCCCATATTCACAGACTTTTGCCAGAGAATTTTAAAGACCGTCGCTAACAAGCCGCTCTAGATGATCATTGATGATCTCAAGCGCGAGTTCGTCGAGGAGTGAGTTGCGATGAAATCGTTCAGATGGTACGCTGCTAACCACAAATCAGGCTCTGCTGGAAGGCTGTTCAGTGCGTGAGTAAATCCTGATACACGGCTTCAACCATGCCAATTAGCTCACAATCTCGCCATAAAGAACAGCATTTATGAAGACCAGTACCTTTTGGGTAAGAACATTCAGCTACCGAAGACAAATCAAGGCTAATTTTCTCATCAGGTACCAGTCTGGCCCGCCCCATCATTGCTCGGGGTCAGATGAAGGCTGCCGCCGCCACTGGGTGAGCTTGAATGCGACATTTCCTTGAAATAGTACTGACATGGAATCACAAGCTGCCAATTCGTTTCTCATGGCTGCGTAAGTAGCGGATATGTCTCACTCATTTTAAGTCCCTGACAAAACTAACTTTGCTCGCAGACCGGCAAGGGGTAAGTTGTGAATGGCTTCTAGAAGCATGCCCTCTTGTTTTTTGTAAGGCTGGCCTATTGACGTGCTGAACAACAGTAACGATCAAGTTCGTTTTGGTAAGATGGCTGTCCTACTTATCTGTTGTTTTCACGACACTAACGGTAGCAGAGCTCGCTTTCTACACAATCAACCCCGAGATCAAGGTCATTGCTCCGTGGCGCGGTATGAAAACTCCCTGCATTGTCTCCTACACGTACCCCCGACTAACGAGCGAGCCCAGATCCTACCTTCTTCAACCGTTTCCAGGTAAGCCAAGGGTGTCACACAATAAGCTCATGGCGCATTGTGTCGCAAGTATTGCCGCTGACGCTGTCTCGCCACAGGGACGCAACGATCTCCTCGACTACGCTGCCGAGAAGGGTCAGTTCATATCGCTCTGCTTTTCGAGCTTTTGCTGAAAAATAATATCTAGGTATCCCCGTGACCAGCACCAAGGCCAAGCCTTACTCCATGGTGAGAATTATCCCATCACCACCACAGACATGATCTACGGTCATTGACTGACTTGACCTAGGATGACAACTTTGGTAATTCCCTCCCCGTCTCGGAAGCACAGCACCCAGCTGACATGGAAAGCCCACTGCTCGTACGAGGCTGGCATGCTCGAGGACCCTGATGTCACCCCTCCCGAGGACATGTGGACCAAGACAGTGTCTCCCCTCAAGGCACCCGATACCCCTCTTGACATCACCATCCACTTTGACAAGGGCATTCCTGTCAAGGTCATCACCCCCCAGCAGACCGCTACCGACGCCGTCGAGCTGTTTGGTCTGCTCAACGCTATTGGCAAGGAGCACGCCGTCGGCCGCATTGTGAGTCGCTACCCTTTCCAAACCATACCATGTTCCTTGGAGCATTTAGGTACTAATTCTAGACATAGGACATTGTCGAGAACCGGTAAAGATGCTCACCTATTGTACAATAAAAACGAAAAAACTGACTTGAATACCAGTATGATCGGCTTGAAGAGCCGTGGATGCTACGATTCCCCGGCCATGACCATTCTTCGTCTGGCTCACATTTCCCTCGAGGGCTTGTAAGTAGAGTTCAAGATGGACGAGAGGCAAGCTTTTGCTCACGATATATCTAGGGTCATGGACGGAAGGGTTCGTGCCCTGCGCGACTTGCTGTCCAAGCAGTGGTCCGAATTGCTCTACAACGGATCCTACTTCAGCCCCGAGCGCGAGTTCTTGCAGCGTAAGTCCAGTTCCTCACACTTGGGGGAGAAAAGGAAAACAGAAAAAAATAAAGCCGAAGCTAACCAATGTCGATAGCGAGTCTGGACCACTCCCAACAGCGTGTATGGATCACATTCGAACACCCACCCCCCCCCCCCCCCCCACCCCCCCCCCCCCCCCCCCCCCGCACCCGCCGACGGCCACACCTCCGCCACTCCCGACACGCAGCGGTAGACCAATCATATCAGCCTCCCGCCCCCCCCCTTCATTGAGGTTGTTGTATCACGGCTGACAAGGTGTTCTTTCTAGGTCAATGGCGAGGTTCGCCTCCGCCTGTACAAGGGCAACGCGTACTGCTTGGGCCGCAAGTCCAACGAGAAGCTCTACTCCGAGGAGGATGCCTCCATGGACTCACTCACGACTTTCGACCCCTCCGAGACGGTGAGAAAACCCCCGGGTCCACGATTCGTTAAAGAACTTTGTGAAACTGACGAATTGCACGCAGTCTGGCTTCATCACCATCAACGCTATCCGCCTCAAGAAGGTACGTTTACAAACAAAATATAGTCTCGACCCTTTTCGTGTTCAAAAGCTGACAGTGCAACAGTTTGGTCTCCAGAAGGCCGAGGCTGGTATCGAATTCTAGGGGGTTGATTGGTGTTTGAATTAGAAAAAGAATGCTCTTTGGTCAATCTTCTGCCTGAAGTCAACGGGTCGCCTTAGGCCTGGAAAGCTATTGGTAGAAATAAACGGATTCTCTCCGTGAACGCTTCTGACTCCGTAGTCCTGTGCTTTCACTCGTAGTCTTGCTCTATTTTCAGTCCTTTTCTGCACTCATAACATCATCCACCCTCTCTTGCCACCATCCACCTCTTCTTTTCTCGCATCATGAGACCTTGTTTTTTTGATCACCCCAGACTCTTCAGAATACGAGTGAATTGGGCTTCACTCTCCACCCCGGCACTGGCATAACGCTTTGACACCTTCGGAGCTTGTCCAACTGTGCGCATTAAGGGGACCGGCGCTCTCAGAGGAACACCAATACGCCAACAAGAAAGACACGCGCCATGGCACTCTTTCAAAGCAGAACAAAGAAGACCACACGGCAAGCCAATCTCGACCCGCATCGTGCCGTCAACAAGTGCGTCTCCCACAACGTGCGAGAGGAACAGTGAAGATGCTGAAGATTGCTCTGGTTGACGACACATGTAGCTCTAGATCAGACAAAGATCCCTGATTATAAGGATGACCTCCGGAGTTGGATATCTGTCGCACTCTGTAAACTTTGGAATAAGCAAGCCAAGTTTACATTGCCAATTCTCCGAAAGCTTTTCGCAACAGGCCTTGATTAAATAAATATTGCAAAGAGCAGAGTAACGCGGATTTAGCGTAGTTGCGACTGACTTGGAGCCCCTGGCCTCTTCAGCAGACAATCAAATTTAGAATCCAAGGCCATGGGAATTCGTCAAAGGCTCGCTACAAAGGCGGAAATTCACTCTGTGGAGTGAATGCAGGTTCGGAAACTTCCTCCTTGGCCTCTCATTGCCATGCGTCAGTCACCCAAGAAGCCGATTGACTGTTAAAATCATTACATTCCTGCTAAAACCTACGCTAACAATTTTCAATGCCAATCCGCTGCACAGTGTCATGATCCTTTCGTCTACTCAGTCCTGTTTTCTCCTGATGAGAGAAGATTACATCTCCTTCAAGAAATCATCAAATTCGGTCTTGGTCTTCATGTGTTGGGGTAGCAACATCTCCTCAAGTGCAGAGGCGATATTATGGAGAGCATCGAGTTGTTCCTGCTCAACCAACATGTACACGTAATGATCCCTAATCATTTCTTCACTCCAGCGTTGGTGACTATTAGGGTCGGATACAAGGTTGCAGATTTGCTTCAGGCGCGTCGTGTAATCCCGGAGCATCGCAGGATCCAGATTGCTGAACTCGGCATGGGACAGCAAACCAATGTGGGCTCTACCCGAATCGCTCTCCAGCCATTCCGAGCCGTTGTTGGTCAAGGCGAGGGACGCGGCGTTGACAGTAGACCTCAGACATTGAACAACACTAACGGCTGTTTCCGATGCAGGGTGGGGAAGGAAGTGGTTGCTGACTGCGAGGACATGGATCGTATTCTGTACTTGGTCCTTGAGGGTGTACAGAGCTTCCCGCACTTGAGACAAACGATCTGTGGGACGAGTTGGAATACGGCCTGAACGTCCAGGACTGTTGGCGGAGTCTTCCGCCGTTTCAATCGGGAACTGGATGTTCTGTGTCCGGTAGCTGTTGAAGTCGCTTGGTGCCAGTCAGGAATTGGGATTACTTGTAATAGGGGACAACGACTTACGCTTGTATGATGGGCAAAAACTCCTGCATCTGCTCATCTTGCTTGTTCAGTGCAGCAGCATACTTGGCCAAGCTCGCGCGAATCTTGGCCTCTTCACCCGCCGAATGCTGCGGCCAGGCTCTGGCTTTCCTTCGAAGCCTCGAGATCACAGTGCGCAGTGAATCCATCCACAGCGTAAGACTAGGATCGAGTGGTATGTCCTTTTCAGCACCCGTATCCCATTGGACTGCGTAATCAGCGAGGATGGGACGGAGATCATTGATGTTAGCCAGAAGAGCCTGACAACTGTTGGCGATATTCCCCGCCATTTCAAAGCCAGTGAGCTCCTTGCCGGTGCGGTTGAATGTGTCGAGGATGTATTCCCCAAGTGACTCCAGCTTCTGACTAATGACGGTGGGGTTCATCGCGGAATCGTCCAAGTCCAGAGTTTCACAAAGGGTGCCGATATGTTTACTCGATGACTCAGCCTCGTCGGCGTACTCGTTATCCATTGTCAGGCGGCTGACATCTCGATCCAACTCTTCGATTTCCTTGCCGTTGCTTGGTTTTATCGGTGTCGTCGGAGTCTGCTGTTTGTTCTGGTATGAGGTCCATATCGGCGATATAGCTTCTCTGGGGAGCAGGGAGGTTCCAAGCAAATCTAGGAGTTCGCGCCTTGGAGGGGGATCGTTGCCTGTTGCTGTTGAATGGGATGTCTCCTTAGCGGAACTCGGACGAGAGGAACTCGTATCTTCGATCTTAGAAGGGGTAGCAGCGGTGCTTGAGGCCCCCCCAACCTCAGCAGCAGTTGAAGGCGACTTGCGGACTGTCGTCGCTGATGTGAGGGAGACGCTACCTTCTTCATCATCGGACGACAGAGACACTACGGAGTAATCGTCGGCGACCTCCTCCCACTCATCCAAGCCCTGCTTGGCTAGGCTTTGGGTTCCGACCATTATGTATGTGGTATCGTATAGGGTTCGGTCGATGTTGATGGGGAATGTAGAAAGTGATGGAATCTGTTGGCTAGCAAATCTGCTGCAGGATATTAGCTAGTGACGGAGAAGTCAGCGTGATGCTGCGGGGAGGGAAGCAGTACTTGCAGTACTTTTTAGTCGGTGGGAAGAGTATTCAGACAGTGCGTATGCGTCCAACCTGTATCTCGTAGGCAAAGAAATGAGGTTGACGGGAGCAGAATGTTGTTGTGATTGCAGGCGCGACGTTGGTCGACGTGGAGGTGACGCAGAAAGGGCCGCCGGAAGGAGGTGCAGCCTGATACTGTCGGCTTACGCAAGGAAGGGCAGATAAGGCAATCGTCGGGCCTCAGGTAGATGGATATCGATGCTGGAAGGTAACAGTCGCCCTCAACAGTTTCCGCATCCAGACCAGGGGAAATGAAGTGGGAGGTACGATGACCTGAGGCGGCCCGGACTCGTTAACCAGTCGAATACCAGGCGGCAGCTGCAGCTGGGTGCCCGCTGGAGCTCCAACGTATCACCGAGCTTATGCGGGGTTGATGCCAACGATCATGCCTGCTTTCGGACCCGGTCGTCCTTCTGCAGATCGTGAGCCCCGCCGAGGAGGTCCCTGCTGTGCTTTTGCCTCGCGTATTTTATCTTATCTTTTTAGTTTGCTGATAACGATAACACACCTTCAAAGCAGCATCGGCACTAGACTTCCGTGCTTGTGAAGTTACCCTAGGATCAACCTTGTGATGCTCGGAATTATGGCTCTGATTTCTATCTATCCATTTGCATCTGTTATTCAGAAAAGAGCAATGTTTCCCATCTAAAACCTACATTAATCGCACCTTTGTAACTCTTGTCATTCTGCTGCGTTCTCGATCGCGTCGTATCGTCGCGAGTCCCATCGACCTACCCCGAAAAACCGCTATTTCCAACAAAGGAAATGCTCAAAATGACTTGGATGGCCTCAGACGAGCCAACAAAACTCTGAGCAAGTCTAATCATCAAATCAATCCGGCAACGCTTCCCAACCCAGCGCCTCTCCCGGTGCTGGCCAAATTCCCTGTTCCAAGTCGTGGGAACTTCTTTTTAACCGGTCCCCTAAGCACTCATGCTGCTGCTCTCGTTCTGGATCTTGCCAAACTTCCTGTTCATCATCACAAGCTCGACTCCGTTCTTGATGGGCGGCTCGCCGCGGAGCAGGAGACCAATCTCGCTAGGGTGGAACCAATTCATCCACACCATTACGATGAACATGAGCGTCGCGTCAAAGACGTAGACATACACCTCGTGGGTCATCAGATGGCCCTTGTTGCCCTCCAGGTATTCGACAACTCGAAAGACACTCCTGACCCAGATCAAGACGCTGGTGATGTAGAGCGTCAGCAGGTAGTAGCGCCAGCGGATCTCGGGCTGTTGGGACTTTGCGGTCGGTACCAGCATCATCTTGCGGTGGAAGAGGGCGGCTGTAATGATGAAGAAGCCAAAGACGGCGAGCTGGATGAAAAGGCCGGCAACGATGGTGTTCTCTCCAATCTCCATGAAGTTGTTGCCTCCTCCGGCCGCGGCCATCATACCACCACCTGCACAATGCTTGGTCAGCGGGCATTGAAGGGGACAGGGTGCTCAAAAGAGAAACATACCACTCGATTGCATCAGAAGCGACAAGACATCTCCAGACACAAAGACCTTTGTCAAGAAACGCCTCCTGATCAACGCGTGGCTCTCGCCGTCGGTCAATATGATGATCCGGCCCAAAATCATGTAGATGGAAGCTGCCATGAGCGCCGGGGCGATGAGGATGAGGACATTCTGGATGATGTACGGACCGAGAGTCCAGCATCCGGCCTCTTGCGTCGTATTTTGCGCTCTCGCGGCGTATCCGACTACCTCACCTGCATGACACATGTCATTAGCTCACGATCAGGCCGAGGGTGGGGGCAGAAAACCGATGTTTCTTTTACAACACTTACACAGTCCACCTATCACAAACGCGATCATGTACCATGTCTTCGTTCTGACAAGTTGGAAGACGTGAAGGCCAGTTGTGAGGATGAAAACGACGCAGAAGAAAACCGCCGCTGCAGTTGAAGGCTCGAATCTGTAAAACGACCAATCGGCGTTGATGTAGTCGGGGGTACATGTATCCATCTCTGCAAGCTGGAAGTGTGACTGTGCTTCGGTAGAAGAGGTATTTGAAAGTCTGGAGTCGAGCCTGGATCGGCAGAAAATCGGCAGAAACACGACAGCCGTGTCGACGCGAATGAGAGCCGGCGAGCGTTGCCGACAAAGAGCGACGTTGCAGATTCTAGACGAAGGCTGGTTAACTTGCTTGGTCTGGTCTACAAAAGGGATGATGGAAAAACTAATTCAGGCTTTAGAGTAGCGGCGCAGGTTATGCTTATGTGTTTTTCACGAAGCGATGATAACGGCCCACGTTCTATTATGGTCTATCCAATGAAGGAGTTGTTTTCGTCGTATACTCTCCCACACCCAGCCACAAAAACCACCGTTGTTGCTCACAAACGGCAAGTCAGGGCACTTGGCGCGCCGTTCGCCAATATCAAGTCTGTCAGTCAGTGTTGTGGTTCTGCCTGGGATGCGAGTATCCTTGCACCCCACTCGGTATCCCGAGTGTTCGTCTCGAAGGAATTCTGGAAGATATTGGACCCAGCCGTGCAAACGTATTGAATACGGAACCAATCAGGGAGTTTGGAGTACGGTTTGGCGCCTCTACCGGGTGCAGGGGCTGACGAAAGAGACCGGGATACGGACTGTTTTGGGCTGCCGGTGCGCCGGGAAAGGTGGGTCGCACATGACAAGCGCCGGGAGACCCGCTTTACTTTGAGACGGAGGGACCCGTAATTGCGAGTATTCGCTTTCTCTGCTTCGTATTCCGCTTCCACTCCCATTTGATCCAAAGCTCGCTGCGAATTGCCCCATGTCCGCCCTCTGCCATCTGTAATTTTTTTCTATTTGTTTCGTCATTCTTATTCCATGTGAACGAACCCGCGTGTTCGTACTACGTTTCTGTCTTTCTGCCTGTTTGATTCACTAGCTGCTGTGGCATCTTCTCAACGGTCCGAAGAATCAAACTCAAACTTCACTGGCCCCAACCGGATCCGCTCGCACACTCCCCGCGGCGCCGTAACCGACATCCATCGTTGCGTCAAACGCGGGGATATTTTGCATTGGCAATCGACCTGGGACGAACACCCCTCCCTCTTTTCACTCGCTGCCCAATCTATCTATCCAATGGCAACTCGCCGTTCTCATACCAAGTCCCGCACAGGCTGTAGAGACTGCAAACGGAGGAAAGTCAAAGTGAGTGGCAGACTGACGGCTCCCCGGCCCTCCCCCTCATTCTCGGCTGGCTGCCGCGTATCGAATACGCGGCAGAGGATTCAGATCCCATCTCCAATCAATCCAGGCGGCTATCAGATACGGGCCTTACATTCTTCGCGCTCCGTTCACTGGCCCGTTCACTAACTACTGACTGTCAGTGCGATGAAGCATATCCGTCCTGTTTCAACTGCTCCAGACACGGCATCCTGTGCAGTCTCTCAGCATCACAACCTTCGCCAGCCAACTTCACACCCCAACGATCAAACATAACACCATCCGTCAACGGCCTGAGCCCAGAAGCACCATATCACTTCCTCGACGCCGCCGTAGACCATGGCAGACTCCGATCGCCGGCTCCCTCAATCAACCACTGGGGCCACGGCCTGGAGCTGATGCACCACTACACTCTCGTCACCGCAAACACCCTCTCCATCCGTCCCGACATGCAGAACGTCTGGCGCGTCACCATACCCGAGATCGGTTACGACTGCCCGTTTGTTATGCATGGCATCCTCACCATCGCCGCCCTCCACAAGGCTTACCTGATACCCTCCGCGCGGGATAAGTACCTCGACCTCGCGACCTCGCACCAGAATGCGGGTATCGAGGGCTTCCGTGCGCAGCTTCCCACCGTCGACGACACCGATTGGAAGCCCCTTTTCTGCTTTGCCTCTCTCGTCGTCTCCTACGTAGCCTCACTACCCGTGCGCACGCAACACCACCTCGAATCCGAGCCTGACATCCTGGGCGTCTTCATTCTTGTGCGAGGTGTACGCACCATTCTTGAACCGTACCAGAGGAGACTCGTTAACACGGAATTTGCGCCTATGGCAACCGGTATCTGGACCGCTGACCCGGATGATCCGTCATTCACGTGTGTTGACAGCCCTCGTTACTGGGCCATCCAGATCTCCCCCTCCCGTCGCGCACTTTGATGCTAACAGACGGAGCAGACACCCGCCGCTACACCGGTCCCCGCTCCCGCCCGACGTTTTTGAAGCCCTTCAAGGCCTCTACGACTTTTTCCAAGAGAACCTCGACGACACTGCGGGCGATGAGTACGGGACCGCCGTCAAGGAGCTCGAAAAGGCTGTATACTTCATGGCGCACGCCGGCGCCAACCCCGAAACCGGCATGATCTTCTTTTGGCCGTACGTCATCTCGGAGAACATCATGGCCGATATACGCGCCAAGAACCCGTATAGTATGGTCCTGTTAGCCTACTTTGGCGTATTCCTGTGCGTTCTGGAGCCCAGGTTTTGGTTCCTCAGGGGGTGGTCCAGGTGTCTCTTTGCCATGGTCGATGTGCAGCTGGCGGGGCACCCTGTGTTATTGGAGGCTGTCAAGTGGCCTCGAAAGCAGGTGTTTGAGTTTTACGCACAAGTCTGACTGGCTACCTTGGTCGGATGGAAAGATGTCGTTGGAAGAGACGCTGCAGCGTTGAGGCGTTTTGACCATCATTGACTGCTTCCGAGAGTCGGTTCCGGGAGCGCCCCTTCCTCGATCGCCCGGGTGCAGTATGAATACAATGATTCGACGAACTCATTACGAGTAGTCCTCTTTGCGCATTGCGGTAGGTCGAGGTTCGTCTTGTATTTCCACTCGAAGTACTGCTGAGAAAAACCCTCCCGCCGCGGAGCCTCTGAGAGTTACGGACAATGGCTAATTAAAGAGGTCGGATACTCGACGTGCATGGTATCAGAGGATGGTGGAGTCATAAGCCTGTTGGCTTCCCATTGTACCAAGTCGTGAATATCAGACTTCAGTCTTCCAGAAAGCACTATTGGGGGTTGTCTCTCCATGAAACCTTCTATCATCCAATCCATAGTCAGATCAGCATGATGTCGATGACGAATATGAGTGTCTTCATGACAACATGGGTCTTCTGGTTCTGCCTCGCTTTCAGAATTTATGACGGCAAATTCAATTTGCATGAACATCAAAGCGATCCGCAGATCCAACTTGTTAACAAGAAGCTCCTCGGCCATTATGAAGGGTCTCGCTCCCAGGGTGGGAATACCACGATGTTGTACAGTTTGACATCGCCATGAACAATGCCGCATGCGTGCAATGCCCTAATGGCTGATGCGACATCACCGAGAAGTATCTACATGTGTGCGAAACTCGGAGATTGCTTCTGGAGATATTGCCGCAGAGTTCCAAACGGGGCATACTCAACAACCAGAAATGGCATGATCAACTTGCCTCGAAGATTCCAACCGTATCCAATCACAGAAGGGATGTTAGGTTGGGCTCTTAGAGGTGGGGGTTTCATGATCTGCGCCTCGAATGTAATGGCGGTCAGTCGACGGCGAATTACCTTATCGTCTGCTATGTTGCTCATCTTGAGATGGTCAAGGGGTCATTCATCAATGAGAACACTGCTATGTGATCGCCTTCTCAAACTCTACGAACTAGGGGGAGCACGAGAGCAAAAGACCTTTGCCATAATGCCCCTTTGATTCATCCGTTTGGCTGAGGAGAGACTTGGCGTTGTTTTGTCAGGCAAACACACATAATCGCGCGATGAAGCGTCTTTGATGAGCAGGCTATGTCACCTCAGGGGAGGCATCCATTGGCCTGGAAACGTTAACGCGGGCGCCAGTTTGTTTGCTCTCTCGCTACCAGGATGCAGATTGACCAAATGAAAGACGACTGCTACGTGGAGAAATACTCTGCCTTTCCCGCCTCGATCTCAACCGCAAATATAACGGCGAGAGCAACTTTGAAGTCCATGACGGGCTTCCGTGAAACCCGACGCATTGAGAGCTAAGCGCAAAGCACTTGAATACCATGGAGCCTCTGAGCATTGCAAGATTGAATATTGTAGTCCTCGATTAACTGTGGAAAATTGGCGACCGAACAGCGGAACTGGTCTCCGATTATCGAGACTATGACACCGTAGGCCACCATTTGTTGAGGCAGAAAGGAAACCCATGGCCGCGCTCCTGAACTGACTACTCTGAGCAGGCCACGAGAGTGCTGGAGAATGAGATACGATACGAGAACAATCACACCCGAGCATTGCAATTGCTACTGTTTGACAAATCCACCTTAAGTATCAGAACACGCACTCCCCATGCTTGCCTACCTTGTCCTTATGGCGTGTGGACCAAAGACCTACGAAGGCCAAACGCTGTTCGAACAATTTGACAGGGATGTTCAAGGCCAGATCGTCGTCTTTCTTGAACAAGCATTGGATGTCTTAGAGTTGGCAGTATAGACTTCTCGATCACCCACAGAAATCCGACACCGCGGATAGAGGCTCTCAGTCGCCCACAGCCACAGCCTTTCTGGCACGGACCTTGCTCAACTCTTTGTTTAGCAATTCAACTCTCTTTGAGTCTTTAAAACCGTATTGTTCTAACTTAGGACCAGAGTTCTTCAGATTTTTGAACATCTCAATCTTCGCCTATCACTTCCTATGGAACAACTTGACTGCAAAATATTAACCGGCCATAAACCGCTTTGCAAACAGTTCTGAACAGTAACCTACTCCAGCAACCTCCCTCCCTGACTACAGTGGCGACTTTCTCAGGTGTACGGGCGTCTGGGCATACACGCAGAGGCTGTCAACTTTCGAACGCATGCCCAAGAAGTTAAGGACTCGTTGTTTGCTGAAGGCAATTATCCTGATGTAGAAGATGAGGACGGCTCGTGGGATATTTCTGCTGTAGACGATTTTGCAGCGCCCCAGCTTTGAGAATAGTCGATGCGAGGGATATCTCAACCTCGACGGTTTTGATTAATCAAGTATGCATTTGTCAAAGCCATATAGTTCCTGAAACGAATGAGCAGATCCTCGGTGCATCAGATCACAAAACGTCCCGTATGCTTCTCGGGCACACTCAGCATCAACAGACAAAACTCTGTATTGGTCTGCAGTCTGAATAAAATTGTCCCAAATCATCGATATGCAACAGAAAGCGTTCTCTGCATCTCTGCAGTATTGGACCATGAGTGTGAGTGTTGCAAAGAGGACTGGGTGGAGCCAAAGATGAATGTTGCGACACTTTGATAATCTCATCCTTGGCGTCTTACATCTCGCTATCTCAGGCAAGAAGAGCCTTTTGTAAATCCACAAGGCTGGTCGTTTGCGGCTCATCCCTACTGTACACTTTGGCCGTGCATAGATAAGTTCGGACTGTCTTTGTGCGTTGCAGATTGGAACGCAGTCGAGGTCCAGACCGCGGCTTCGGACGCAGCTGGCCAACCACGGGGATTCGAATCTGCATGACGCTGCAGACATCGGCCGAGAAGTGGTTCGCAGCGCCCGTGCCCAACCCGCACCACTTGGGATGCTGTGCGGATATTTGGGAGACTGGACAAAGTCTGGAGTTCGCTTGGTCGATATACGATTGCAACTCACACCGATGCTGGCCAAGGCCGTAATAGTAATACTAGGCGCTGTGCTGCCCGAGACGCTGTTCATAGGGGTCAGATTCTGGTTGCGAGTGTCAGCTTACCTTCAGAAGTCCAATTAATGAACATGGCGAACATTGGACCTTCACCCACACAGATAAGATTCACTTTTCTCATAAGAATCGGTAGCTGACACAGTCAGGTTGGTCTGAAGGGTGAACTATTGGTGATGAGCTTCAGCCCAAGGACTTTGACATAATCGCCGACCAACCAACCTTCCTTGACTGGCACTAGCGCTACTTACAGCGAGCCGTTGAATCTTGATGATGAGGCATTAAGACTTGATGTGATGGACCCGGCGATCCGGTCAGCTGCGGCTGGGGATCGCAGTTGTCGAGGATTTCCTGCACGTTGATTCTTCCACTGGAATATACGACGCTAAGACAATGCATGTGTCTGTGTAGTCTAAACCAAAGAGTAAGAGAGAGAGCGGTCTTTGAGATCACACGGCGCGCGCTCTGCTTCTGCGTTTCACCATCGAACCCTCTCCCGTTTGTTGTTCTTTTTCATGTCCATGCGATTCCCTTTACCCTCAAACTACTCTGCTTGTGGCAACGCGGTCCCTCCAATTGGCCCGAGGATGATTCTGGCGTCCATGTGTAAGCGCGCTAAGGATCTTAGTGCCAAGGGAGCTGTTGGACCGTCTCCGAGGATGCAATGTCCGTTTCGCATCCCGTTGGACGCTAAAGACTTCGGATCCCGTAAGCTTCCCAAGCTGTCGGCATCGACCAATCTGCGACGCTTTGTAGTATGTTGAAGCCTGGAAAATAAGCATGTCAGCGGCGATGGCTGTCCGAGGGCTTCCGGTTTGCCCATGGGGAAACCAGACTACCGGCGCCGACATGATGGCTTGGCCTTACCACCGGACTTCTTGATGGTCCAGATCGGATTGGAAGTTCATGTAACATGGTGAGAATATCTGAACATAAGAGGCCTATTACTATCATCTTCAGATTTATAAAGATGGCGTATTCACATCTAGAACCCTGACTTCTTGGCACCCTCTCTCAAACACCTTCCGCATCAACCACCGCCAAGAAGCTGCACGTCTTTCTTGCCGTTGGTTGCATTATCTCCTCATTTTTCCTTCAAAATGCACACTTCAGGCCTCCTTCTGGCTGGCCTCTTGGCATTTGCTAACGCTGCGGTTCTTCCTCACGCTGAAGATGCCTCCTCTGCCGCCATTGTCGCCAAAGACCTCGATGCCCGCGGCGGAGCCAAATGCCCGGCCGTGTGGAAGCAGGTCAACACTGAGCTCAACTCGCTCTTCATGGCAGGAAACCAGTGCAACGACCTCGCGCGCGCGTCTATTCGTGCCATCTTCCATGACTGCGGCTCCTGGGACACCTCCCAGGGGCTCAAGGGCGGCTGCGACGGCTCGCTGATTATCGGTGTCAATCCTGATGTCGAGCTCAACAGGAGCGAGAATAGGGGACTGCAAAAGGTTGCCGGTGTCTTGCAGGATCTTGCGACCAAGTACAACACCACTGTTGCGGATATGATTGTCTTTGCTGGAAGTAAGTCTAACAATGAAATAACGGTATGTATAATTTGCTAGAGTCCTGTCACTAAACGCTTCCTTTTCAGACGCTGCGATCTTCCTCTGCCCTGGTGGACCCAAGGTTAAGACCTTTATCGGGCGCGTAGACAGCACCACTTCCGCCACAGCAGGTGGCTTGCCTGACGTCTTCGCCTCCGCCGATGTCCTCGTGACACTTTTCCAGAAGAAGGGGCTCGATGCCGAAGCTCTTGCCGCTCTTCTTGGCGCTCACAGCACCTCAACGCAGAACTTTGTCGATACAACGAAGGCCAACGCGTCCCAGGACTCAACGTAAGTCACTCCACACAGGTGTAATATTGTGAATGATCAAAAGCCTAACAAGTTTGACCAGGCCTGGAAAGTGGGATGTCAGCTACTATAAGGAGACGTACGACTTTGCGACCAAGGGCACGTCCGCGTCGGGCGTCTTTGTGTTCCCTTCAGACTCCAAGATTTCCACTTCTACCTCCGGAGATATTGGCAAGAAGTTCCAAGGTTTCATCGGACACCAGAACAAGTGGAGCAGCAGCTTCACCAACGCGTGAGTTACTCTGTACTGAAGAATTTGTATGCACGGTAACTGACGCCAAGTAGCATGGAAAAGATGGCACTGTTTGGCAACGATAAGAACAATTTGGTCGATTGCACTGATAGCATCACCCGGCTCTGAGCAGCGGATTGAAAGGCTCTTCGTTGATCGTATGTGCTGGATGCCATGAGGATGTGATGTTTATATATTATTTCTCAGGGGACTACGTTAGCTGCCGGTGTAGTAGTCTTCCTCATTTCAGGAAGTTCGTTTTGTGATAGACTTTTAATGACCTTTAATGATTAATGCTCAATATTGTAAAAGATTGAATTCAGATTTTGGCTTTGGATCAAACGATTAGTACTTGTTAATCGATTCTAAAGTAATCAGATGATGCGGTTTAATTTGTTGGGAGTAAATATTGTTAAACCTAAAATTAGAGTTGTGATCTTGGAAACACTGATTTCTTCAACGTAAAATCTAATCAGTAGGACGAAACTATGATCCAAATAGATCGAACAATCGTAGAATCAAATAGTTGCCAGCTATTTATGTTCTTAAACCCTGCATGAATATCGGAGCTTGATGTCATTAAATTTTTCAATAAAGTACAAGCGTGCCGAGACATTCAAAATGTCTTTGTTCCAACATCAACATCGACGAGGGTTGATCCATTGTAAGAGACTGCCTACAAGACCACCGCCTATCATGTCAGCTCAAAATTTTTAAAACCCTGCTGCTACGGCCCCTTTCCCAGACTATTCGTGAAATGGACAAAGATTTGATACATTGACTCCATTCTCAAACACCCCACCCAGCAAGTGACTCTTGCCCTTCATCCGTGAACATCATCTTGCCATTAACATACCCAACAAACCAAGCCCCTAAATACCGCCAGTGCCACCACCAGAAATGGCTCTGGGCACCGAACCATCCCAGCATGAGGTCCAAGTTGTAGCACAAGATGTTACACGCTCCCAAAACTAAGACGCTCAGAATCGCGACGAAATGAACAGCTCGCATGCCGTAGATGCGATCGACGATGAAGGCGTTGATGAGGCCTCCCATCGCGCCACCCATGCCTAGAGGGCAGAAGACGATGGTCCACATGAACTTTGGGAACATGTCGCGCCATCCTGAGAAGGCGACTATGCTGACGATGAGCATTGCGACTTCGAAGATGAGGGAGTTGAGCCAGAATAGAAGGAATGGGCGGAGGTAGATAGCACGTCGTTTCGAGGCCGTTTGTTTGTCCTCATCAGGTGTTATGATTACTTGATAGGCTGGGTGAGACATGGTCGATGAGTTCTTTTTAACGATTTCTAAAATTTGCCTTGCTGGGATGTGTAAAGTAGTGATCGGAGAGTATACTGGTCAGATTGAACACTGCAAGACTATGGAGGTAGGGGACAGCAGCTTTACAGAAAAGAGATTACATGTATATATGGGTGAATTCTATTTGGATCAACCTTCCTATATATGCTTATTGACATGTCTCTCACATGTCTTTGGGGTATCATCATGACGGTGAGTACAGTATTTACGGAGACGGATTACTCAACACGGTGATCGGTGTCCTCGGTCGTTTGGCCACCTGCGAGCGTACGTGACCCATTCCTATTTGCCGCCATATGGCCCATACCCCGCGATGCCGCATTTTCGGCTGATATATCAGACGACTAGTGTCCCGCTTGTTTGATGAACTCTTGAATATTACCTGTTAGGCTCATGTAGCCCTCGGATGACAATTAAAGATTACTATTCCATCTTTAAGGATGGGTTGATACACAGCTTGACGATCTCTGGCTCCCGAAACATTTCGATGTAGTTTCGTCACGTCACAAAATTCATTGTATCACTCAAGTCTATAATAAGATATGACTGTAGCTTGTGTGTAGGTCCCAGGAAATGCTGATGAACCTCTGATGACTCAATAAGATGTGCAAGATCGTCAGGCTGAGAGAGTACCCATTCTATCAAAAAGACAATATTCAGTGCAGGATGCACCGGTCGGATCAAGGTGCCTTTTCAGACTTGCAAAAGGCAACAACGTGTGATTCACCTAGTTGGAAGGACGTGATAAGTTCAAGTTAGCATGGTTGGAACAAGTGAAACTTTCCATCACGTGGTGAATCTGAGATAATATCTGGCGTACCTTGAGACTGCGAGTCACTACTTATTGGCTGCTACACGCGAAACGTCACTTACTCTGTCAATCAACTTCATATTTCAAAGTCAATCAGTTCGAAAGGGCAGAATCTGTATTCTAAAATTGGATCACAATCCCAGTCTGAGCCGTGACTGTTATGCAGCGCGTCTGAAAATCAGAGAGCGCGTGAGACCGACACAGCCTGCGTTAGTTTGGGATGCGCCCAAAACTTCGGCATCTCATACAGAACCGAATGGCTTCTGAGTAATGCGTAAGCCACTTCTTTCAATGATATACGGCTCTATCTCTGGCTTGCCCAGTCTACCGAGACTTGCATGGAATTGGTGCTAGATAGCAAGCTGGTCAAGTCGAGGAGAGAAGAAATAACAACGGCCATGTGGCACTCGGAATCATCCGTGGCTTGTGTAAATCCATCCTTCTTCCTAAACTTCCTAAGATTACGTGTTCAGAGGCTGCGCAGCCGTGGTATTCGATGGGCTCGAGCGTGTAGCTTGGACAGTAGGATCCAGACACATCTGCCGGACGAGCCGCTTGTCTGAGTCAAGCTGACAGAATCCAGAAGGAATTATTCAAGAGGCCAGTTTCACGAGGCTGAATCGACTTCTTCGGACGGCTCTTCGGACGGCCAACACGCTGACAGCCCTCAACCTTTGTCCGTGCCAAAAAGGTCTACAAGCCTCTGGATTTCTAACTCCACCTGCATGTTGCAAAAGCGGGTGGTTAGCCACAGCGGAAAACACCGAAACGAACCTCAGCCGCAAGGCAGCGCCATGATACCATTGTTCACTGCCGACCACCCTTTGATCGGCCTTATGGTTTCTTGCTTGGAAACAATTAGGGGGTTGAATCGGGGGAGCGGCTGAAGTCCTGTGCACAATTGCACTGCTCGGGTCACGAGCAGTGCAACGACGATGTGCACAGCTCTCCCGCAATAAAGTTTCCAGAATGGGCCGAATTTCAAATGGAAGCTACCGCGACGCGCTTATTCTGAGTGTGTTTGAGGTTGTTTGCCGTTATTTGCAATCAGGACAACCACAATAGTCTGACTGTCTGAGCGAGCCTCGAAGTAAGGCCTAGAACAACGTGAAGCCAAGCACTCTGCTCAGTGCCATGCTGGCCAAGGCAATCTCATCGGGTCTTTGCGCGAGCTGAAAGCCTGTCTAAGTCGCCCAGTGCAATCCTTCTGAACTGTTCGGCGAGACAGCTGCCAAGCCGCATGCAGTCAGTCTCGACGCCAGTGTTCGCCCGCGAGCACCTCGACGTGGAAGCCTGCGAGGAAGAGCGTATTACTGCTAGACATGCATGTAGACTAGCGCTAAGAAAGAAATATCCCCTCCAATTTCTCAAAAAAATGACTCGGTTGGGGGACGCACAGGACGTGGCGCGTTCCTGATTAATTCCCCCAAGTTCGCGCCATGTCCGCATAAAAAGAAACGGCTCTGTCTAGCGTGCGTGGTGGCGCCCTCACCACCCGCCGTTGCTCATTTTTCGCGCAGCAAAAGTCGATCGTGGTCAGATCCTTTGCTTGTCCGAGCACAAGGCTAGAGGAAGGGAAGGGAAGGGAATCACAAAAAATAGCACTCGGCGCCGGCGTTGTTTGAGAAATCTTAGTCCCTATCGCCAAATATCCCATACACGTGAGATTGTATCTGGCGACTAAGATTATCTGGGGTAACTCAGGGGGTCGAGAAGAAAGTCAGAGCGATCAACGACCCCGAGATGGCCAAGATGGCATGGATATATAAACACTGCACATGCACTGTCGATCTCCCATCTCTAGATCAGCAGTCAACAACATCAAAGCAGCCACCCGCCTTCAAAAGCCAGCGTCTTCGTCCTCTCCTACGCCACTCGCTACTACCAGTCACTCGTTCAATCTTCTCCTCTCAACGACAATCAAAATGAAGTTCTCTACCCCCATCGTCCTCCTTGCCGCTGGCGTCCTTGCGACCCCTACGCCTGAGCTCTGCGCGCGTGAACTCAGCCAGGTCGACACCATCATGACCACTGTCCTCAACGGCATCCAGAGCCTTGATGGCTCCATCTGCGCCTACGGGGGTGGCGACGGCAAGGACCTCGAGGATGCTTCATCCACCATGCTCACCACGATCCGCAATGCCACTTACAACGCGGTTGCCATGTTGCCTCTGACCATGGACGAGGCCATCGCCTTCCAGCCGCTGTCCGACAAACTCAACGCGGCTGGTGACAAGCTCCTCGTTGACCTCAGCGCCAAGGTCCCTCTGTTTGCTCAGGCTCGTATCTGCGACAGCACTCTCTCCTGGGTTGCTCTGATTGGTAAGTCAATCCCTTATCGCTTTCTCACATACCAAAGACAAATATGTTAACATCTTGTAGGCGGAAATGTCCACACCCTGATGACCTCCATCTCTACCAAGTTCCCTGCCGGCGGCAAGGGTGGCGATGAGATCACTCACTTCGACGGTGTCTTCCAGGAGATGCAGGACAAGCTCAACACCTGCACCACCGGCGGCAAGAACTCCACTTACGGCTCCCCCGGATATTCCGGATCTTCAGGAGGCTCCTCCGGCGCTGGCAACGACAACAAGGGCGTCGGCTCGGCCACCGTCGCCATTCCTGCTGCCACTGCCACCGCTTCCTTCCCTCCTAACACCAACGGCACCAGAGGTGCTTCTCCTACCGCCACCACTGTCGTCACTGCCGGCGCTGCCATGATGACCTTCTCCGGTGCCGGCTTCGCTGCTGTCATCTTCGCTCTCGTCCTCTAAATCTGCCTCGTGCTGTTTTGATGGGACAACAAAAATAGCCTGGGCGGGGGCTGCTGGAGTTGAACTTTGCACATACGTGACCAAACTTCTTGTTTATACGGGGCTGCCCATACACGCGCACACCTCGATGAAGTCATGATTTATATTCCTGGAGGGGCTTGTTCTTGCAAATAATGTGTAGTCAGTCACATAGATACCAACGAGAATTTCGAACGATTTAATCCACCAAAGAGTTTTCGTTGAGTCGAAAAGGATTGGCATGCTTCGTGCCTGATGAACACTGTAACTTGACAAGGAAATAAGTATGGGGTAGCAGGACGTGTGTCGCTGCAAGGGCAACAAGTTTCTGATACACTCATGTACAGCTTGGCTGCATGCAAAAAGACGATAGGAATAGCTAGCAAAAGAAAAGAAACGCAGCAATGATCACTACCAAGACACGGCTTGAAACGACATGGACTAGAAAAGCGGATCCCATTGTAAGACAAGTACATGTCCGCTCAATCCTGGAACAGCGTTCAGAGCAGAGACATCCTGCTAAAGTGCCTTATCGCCCCCTCGAGCATGTCGGTGACTTTTCGTCAGCTGAAGAAAGTCTGATTCAAAACGGGCCACCAAATCAGCCCGTCTAAGCCATTGTGCTTGCCTGAGTCAAACTGTCTGGGCCCCGTCGATCTCACCCGGTTACTTTTGGCTTGGTGGTCGTTGGGCTTCTGCAACCGTCCTGATTCACGCCTCTATTGCTTACAACCCAGCCCCGACTGCGACACATCACCAATGTCCAAGCCCACACACGCTCGTTCTAAGAGATTTCCGGCAAATCTAATTCAGCGCCGATAAGAGGATTGAGTGCAAGTAATACATCGTAAACAATGCCTCCAAGGGGAATTTGAGGGATGCAACGTGTTAGACGCCGCCATCTCATCGTACCAATTGTACGTTTGTAGTCTTGTGACATCAATGGATAGAAGTCTGAATAATATTAATACATGGGAATTGAAAACAAATCTCCCCAAACACGAAATACCTCACGCTGCAGCATTGCTGGCGCATGTCCAAGGCTTTGCAGCAGATCCCCCTTTGGCGATTGAATCAATTGAGACCCACAATCCAAGTACACAAAGCAGGATTCCCACCAGCAAAAGCAGTGAGGATCCCGCAAACCGACACTTCTGTTGCCAGGTTGAGAACCAATTGCCTTTATGCATCCAAAGCCAGAAAATTCCTGGTAGTCCAAACGAAAACCAACTTGCAAAGGCAGCAGAAACGAGACCCAGCAAATCGTTGAAGACGGGGATGGACTCGGAAATCACCATGCCAATGCCCCAGATACACAGCGTAATGAGAAGCCATGAAATGGTTGACACTCTTGTTCTTCTCACGACGTGCTTGGTATTGCCAAAGATACGCGTAAAGACGTACTGCGATGCGACGTGAGCGTAAATGACGGCGGCAATGGCGATTGTGGGAATCGCAACACCCCAAATCGCTTTTCTGATGGTTGCGCTGCCTGCTGCAGACAACGCGGGAGAGGGAACATCGGGGCCCACGTAAACGTAGATGATGACGGCAGCAATAATGTAGAGGGTTGTATCTGTGATCTGAAGGAAAGCCAGTGCTTTGGGCCAGTCATCGGGGTTCTTGAATTCGGCAATGACACTGAAGAAGATGGAATGGCTTGCTAATTGGAGATTATATAAGTCAAAATTATTCATAGCTTGATGAATCCGAAAAAATGCTTACAGAATGCGCCGGCGATGTTGGTTACAGCCAGAAAAGCAGGAGAAAAGCCGAGAGATTTGAAGACGTCAATTGACCCACTGCCAATGGGCTTCTCGATGGCGACGTCAATCACAGTGATGAGAACAGCCACCACAATAGACACGCAAGCTTAAAAAGGTTAGCAACCATCCAGAGTATATCCCCCAACCGATTAATGTACTCACACGTTGCTGACATCCAACTCGTCCACTTCAAGGTCCTGGGGACGTTAAAGACCCAGAAAACCAACATTCCGACTGCAGCCCAGACAACGGTACATGTTGTACTGTTCGTGAGGGTGTTCATGCAAATGGTCCACATGAGAATGTGGCCTCCCATGAGGAAAACTTGCAAAATAGTCTGAGCCCATCCAAAGACCTCTCGAAAAATGCCACCCATACCAATGGGTCTACCGATCAGCTCAACCGCATCGCCAAAGTGCTGGACGAAGGGATACTCTTTCCGGAAGTCGGCGAGTAGGAGACCAGAGTAGGTAGCCAGAGCGCTGATGACGCAGATCAGAATGACTCCAGGGACAAGTCCGAGGGTGGCCAGAACAGATGGGAGTGAGAGAATTCCTAGGGAGACCGTCTCAGCGACGAGAACGATCCCTCCTTGTCTGTGCCAAAGTCAGCACGCACAGCTCAGGATGATTGATGCTAGGGGAGAAGCCTACAGCCAGTGTAGTGTCTTGAAGTTGATCAATTCGGCCTCTTCCTTTTCGACGATACCGCCCGAGCCAGTCGAAAACGCAGGTGGCGCAATCGGATCCTGCTCGTGGCCTTTGGATCCTGGGAGGTGACTAGGCAGGTCCTGGCGCTCAGGGTCAACAGGAGACCTGATGGTTTCCGCCTCGTTCCCCATGCTTGTCGTATTGAGCAGTCCGAGGTAAGATTCGGTTGGAGCCGAGGGGGTTGAGTAGGTCTGGCCTAGATCGTGATTCCCTCACGATTCGGCTTGCTGAAATCGCGGAGAAGGTGGAACCAGTCACGCTGGGTGGATCTTTTGAATCGAAGAAACCAAAATCAATAGGGCAACGTGGAATGCAGGTCGGATCGGTGGAGAATTGGCGTGTTCCTGCGGCGGTTAACTTCGAGGGGCCCCGGATTCTGTGTTGTTCGGGAACGGTTCTCGTCGGCATATGTCCAAGGGAAGAGTGTTTTTGAAGAAGGACGACATTCCCATCCCTCTCACATTCGGCAAGTTTGGATTGACTCACGCGGCCTTCATTCCGCGCCACCTGACCCTCTGAGGCACGAACGATAGTCGGCACCAGGTTTTCTGATACGATTGAAGAAAAAAGGCATTACTGCATCTGGAACCTCCGACTTGAGAAGTAGACGGCGGGCGAAATTTCAGCAGTTCTTGTTACGTCTTTCAATCCACTTTGGGCCCGCACGGGGACTGGGACGCCAAGATCCGCCCTGTTCTCTCGCATGCGCAGCGGTGCCATTTTGGCTGAGCTCGCGTCGCAATGAACCATATTGCTACACTTCCTGCCGCTGGACTGCGTTGATTTGAGATGTAGCGTGTTGTATCCATAGAGGGTTGGATCTGCCTTCTCGTGCGGTGCTTATTATTGCTTGGGCGGAGTCATACATCATGAGCAACAAACTCATCAAGCAAACCTTAAATTCCCGCCTGCATAACGTACAACTAGAAACCGCAACTTGACATATAGCTAGCTGGCCGTCAATCAAACGTATATATGGATTGCAACCTTATTGCTAGGCATTCTGGACTCAATCTATGGAATAGGGGCTCGACAGCAGCATGATAAAACTGACAAACATCCAGCTACTCCGCAGCTATTACTCGGTCTCCCTGTCTGTACGTATTCACCCGACTCGTACGACGCTTAGGCATCGGGTGATCTGCCGGCTGCACGTAGCGACAATGGTGGGGTGAAAAAGGCACTAGCCTTCAACGACCCAAATAGTTAGAGTTCAAGTCAGGCACGGGGGTCTAGCAAGCTGGTGAATAAGGTCGCCTTTTGACGAACAACAAACGACATTGGTGAGCGATTAATCTGCCAGAAAGCTCTTAGTCGGTTAGATCCGACCGGGGGAGAACAGTCTAGCGAACGTAGCTGCACCATTCGCATTTCACATGTAGGATACTTCTTTAGCGTGAGATATGCTTTGGTTTAGAAAGTAAACGCTTCAGACTGGTGTTAGATTGAATAGTCCATATAGCAGCTCCAAGCGACTGTCATGGTGTCATTCACTTACGAAGCGCGAGATGACTGAAGAAGCGCATATCTTTCAAATTCAGTGACGGAAATGCTAAGATGCAATACTAGATATTCAATAGGACCTCAAAGTCCCCTTTGGGGACTTACCACAGCAGAAGTTTGCTCAAATTCCTTTCGTGTCCAAATCAACCCTCCGGGTCACTAAGGCCTGATTGAGCTGCTCATACAGCGCATTTGACTGTCTCCCAAAGACACGGCTTGCGAGCCTCAGCGCAGTTCGAGCTGTACGCCCACGTATGATCGGTGGCCCCGCAATGCATCTTGAAAAGTCGTCGATGATAGCAGGTTTTTCAACTGAATTCCCGAAAAAGGTTATTTTGTGCTTTTCCAAACACACCATATGTATTCCGTTTCACTCGCATCTGATTAGGCCAAGTATGTCGCAATGTGCGCCTGGTGGTACCCCACAGTCAGGCGTAGAAAGAGCCAGTTTAGGCGAAGCAGAAGAGTGCAAAAGGAGTGGATTTTATTTTGACACCAGATGATTTCTTCTGTAACCCCAGTGTCGGCTCTTTTTGGAGAAATCGGTAAGGCATATTGTACAGCCGACTTTGATGAGGGAAGAACAGAGAAATCTTGACGAATATAATTAGGATTGTTGTTTTAAATGTCTTGGGATTTATTTTGATGTGAAGAGCAGTGCTAAGCTTCATACTTCGTCACGTAGACGGCGGATCCTCTTGAGTTAAGCTTTCCATGTTGTCAAACAGCCGACAGTAAGTTTTTGAGTCCTATAAAACTATTTGTGAATCTTCTCTCGGCCGCCATCAGTGTCAGATGCCTGCTATTACCGCTTTAGTCCTAACTCCGTAACATCTGCAACCGGAGCTTGCTAGTCGTCAGAATTGTGAGATGCCAGTGATACGAGAAGGTAGGTTCTGAGCCTTACAACCAAAACACTTGTGTGCCACCTTTCAAGTTGTCAGCATTGGAAGGCACCGGTGTTACGTAGGAGTAAGCACGATCGCAGCAGCGGTAGCAGCAGAAGGAGGAGGAGGAGGAGGAGGAGGAGGAGGAGGAGGAGAAGGAGTAGCGAGACCCGCAAAACCATTAGTGAGAAAAGGAATTATAGTATTGTTTGACATCATCACGGACGGGAGGGGCCAGTCCATAAAGGCGCCCGAGGGCGCATGCTCGAAAGTGTTATAGTCAAACCCAATCTGTACCCCGAGTCAGTTGATGGGGAATGCCCATTACCTCCCAGATTCAATGAAACTACATGCGAAGTATCTTCAGTTATGTGAGCCCATGCATGCGAGTGTCTTCCTTGAGGATGAAACATTCGATTGGATTATTGTAATTCAAGGTAAACTTCAGTAGAATACCAAACACATCTTCTCATCAGGGTGCACTGCTATGAGTGCCAGCAGCGACCGCGATAGAAGGAGTTTAGTCTCTGACGAGTTTCCATAGCGCGTTCGATTAAAGGATGCGGTCTGGTGATAGATCAGCCGCTCCAAGAGGTATCACTGGTTTTGCTCCGGAACCTATCTGAGCTGCGAGCTCGATCATGCGGCACTGTCAGTACCGAGTACCTCGGACTCTTGAGGGTGGTTATTGAGTCACTACAAACTTGAGACAATTTATAGCTCTACGTCCTATTTGCCACTTTCAAAATCAATTACACTCAGCCGGATACTTCGTATCACTCAAGAACACGCCTCAAGGTTGTGCAAAGCCCATAGCACTTCAAAGGGGAATGCTTCCTGTGTTGGCCTCCAGCCACCTCTTGGTACCCAAATGAGAAATGAACTCCCCTCCTCTCCCATTCTCAAGGCTCGAGTCGTAGATGACTTTGATAACATCATTGACAGACTCCTCCGGAGTGGCGAACGAGACACCCGGCGCATATTCGTTGAAAATGGCACCAGTCTTGAGGAAGTACTCTTGCTGCTCCTCGTTCACTGAAAGCAATGATGGTTAGTCGCGGGATAGAAACAAGGCTTGCATCCATTTTCAACGTTGGAGAACTCACAGTCCTGGTTGTGTCCAGTGTTTACGATTCCGGGACAGATGCTCATGAAGAGAACCCCGTCTTGGGCGTATTGGGCGTGGAATTTGCTCACGGCCATGTTCAGGCCGGTCTTGCTGATGGAGTAAGGGGCGCTGACTTCGAGACGGTACTGGTTGACCAATTCTTGATCAGCCATACCGGAGCTGATGGCGATGACTTTCTTCACATCTCCCTTGAGAATAAGAGGTAGGAAGAGGTGGAAGAGGTGGATGTTGCCAACAACATTGATCTGGAAGCTCTTCAAAAGATCCTCGTCAAGTTCTTGCGGCTTTTCGGCTCTGGTTAAGATGTTGGGTCAGCTAATGCAGAACTACCGCAGATTCCAGTCCGCCCCCTCTTGAAAGACTCACTGCTTTCCAATGGGCAGCCAGCTCGAAACCGTCGAGACAAATGCTGCGTTGGCAATGATGTAGTCGAGTTTGCCCCCAGTAATCTTGGAGACTTCTGGAACAGATTTCTACACCGGTTGTATTAGCCTTCTGGGACCGCGTTTACAACGTTGCGGGCTCATTGGAGTTTACAAACCTCAATGCTATTGTAGTCACCTAGCTCAAATTCGACAATGTGAATGTTTTGTCGATTTCCAAGCTCATCGGCAATTTTCTTCTCAACAGCAGCCTTGTCGCGAACACTGCCAATCACGGTATTGTTCGCATCCTCGGACAGTTTGCTGAGAAACCCCCACTATCGATTTGGTTAGTCTTATCTCTGCAATTTGGAATTCTAGAGAGGCTCGAGATTTCTACTTACGCCAATGCCGCGATTCACTCCTGTGACGAGGTAAGAAGGCATCTTCTATAGGGGATAAGATTGGGAAAAGGTCGAATACTGTGATTGTGCTGGCTTTCAAGATTGATAGTTGATTTTGAAGCTGCAGTTGATGTGCCCAAAGATTGAGATGGACATAGGCATCGAGACAGTTTATATATCCTCTGGATCCTCGTATGTTTTCCTCTCCATTGTTTCCGTACCCCTCCCGAGTTCGAGCTTGCCGTGGGTAATGTGATTGGGCCTTTCCCAAAACGAGTGCAACTCCCAACAAGATTATGCAGGTTGAAGGGCCTCTTTCCACACATTCCCCGCCACAATCAAATCGTCTCTACAACCCGAAGCCTCGTCATTGGAAGTTGATTACCCTTGTAAAAGTAAGTGTTGCCACTGTGATGGCACAATTCATTCAGATCATCGTCGAATTCTACATCACATGAGTAAGCAATCGCATACAAAATGACGCCAAGAAGACTGCCATCGATTTGTCTCGCAAAAAGATGCCCACGCTCTTTGGTGCTTATGTTTCACATGCATATCTGATTGGCTGGTCTGTGGAGGCGCTAGGGTGAGCATCCTTCGCAAAAAGTTGCCCAGTGAAATCGAAAGTCGGAAGTCTCCTAGCGTCCAGCCAAGGGGGGTCGCACTAAGATGGCGTGCATCTTTGACCCCCTGGACAACGGGCTGTCACCCGCTTAGAAATCAAAGCGGTACGGTGGTCGGCTTGTTCCATTTTGAATGCTCTCTCTAAAGTCCAGTCAGCAAGCAACTTTTTGCGAATGAGTTTTGTGATCAAGTTCCCGTTTCTCCCTCATTCCACGTTTCCCTTACTCTCTCAATGTAGCGAACATGCCGAAATCAAAGAATGCGGCTAGACCCGCAACATCATCCATGAAGCGATGCGGGACGTGCATAGGTAAGTTAGGCTTGATGTGTCCCAACCACCACAGCAGACCGTCTGGACACATTTCCTAGCAACTTTTGTTTGGACTGTGCACACTACTACGATGAATCTGCTAATGGATGAACTCGGCAGATCGCAAAGTCAGCTGTGATCGCCGGGTTCCACGGTGTACCAGCTGCATTAAATCCAACCGAAGATGCCAGGGTTACGGACTTCGATTGTCTTGGCCAAGGACCGTTGACGGCAAGCGATCACTCATCAGCCGAGCCGTGTTGTCTTCACGGAGCAGCAGTATGCCACGTCGGTTCCACATGGTCAATGCGACCTCTTGGGATATCGAGGTATACAATTTCCTCGCTGCTCGGCGCACGATACATCCCATCATGGGGCATCCGTTGCCATGGTCTTCGTCCGGCTCAACTGTCACCGATCATAGCCTTTTCCGTTTCTGTAAATACCATACTGAAATACCCCTTTGAAACCGGGATGACTGACGGTAGCCCCCTTTTTACATTAGTTCAAGAGACTCTGACACCGAAACTTTCCAACTTCGGCAACCAGCCACTGGGAGAAGCATTGCTTCGGATTGCTCTCTCGGAAGTCTCGCATGCCGGAAAAGCCCTGCAATGCGCATTGCTAGCCTTTGCAGTACAGTTCCGGTATGGGCCGGGATTCCGTGGAGAAGAGCTGAAGATATCAGCTCTACATGCCCTATCTTTGTCAGCTGCGGAAGGAATGTCGGTCCATAAGGCCGTCCAACATGTAGCAGCCGGAATGGTTCTTTGCATGTTTGAGGTCTGTCACGCATACTCCTATGTACTTGCAAACAAGCTCTGGTGTAATTACCGGCTTGTGAAGTCTGCTTCCTATTCCAACTAACCATTTCTGTAGACTCAAAAGAGCTCACACTCAACAAACCATTGGCTATGCTATTTACGTTCTTCGCGAACACTCATTGAAAGCGTCTCACTGGAGAAGTTTTGGAGGGTTTCGGACGCTCCTATGTTGCTGGAGTGGGTGTCCTACCACGAGATATTGGCTCGATTCAGCCTCCGTCACTGGAGAAAACCCGAAGCCGAATTACCAAGTCAGGCAATCTGCGACACGAGACCATTCACGTCACCAGAAACGAGGCAGAAGGCGCAAGTCGAGCTTTCGATGATTATTGGTCAAGCATCCTTCGAAAGCAAGCGATTCTTCAAACCTCTGCGTCTACTCTCCGAGGTGGTTGCGGAAATCCTGCCGGCCGGCAATCCCGAAACCCCTACAGAGGAATACCGACGCAAGTTCGAAAAGCTCAAGGGAGATATTGAAAGCCTCCAAATCTCGGCGTCATACAGCCTGACGGATCTCAAGGCAGACAGAATCGCCGCCAAATCCGAAGTGTATCGGCTTTCAACGCTGGTATATCTAAGTCGCACCACCAACCAAGGTGAACGAGAGGATTCAGAAATAGCTGCATTAGTCGAACGGGGATTGCAGCTCCTACCTGTCATGGGCACCTGTGAAAGACCGTTGCCGCTACTCATATTCGGCTGTGAAGCTCGTACTGACGAGGAAAGGCTTCGCATCTTGAATCTTGTTTCCAACGCGGAAAACACTCTACCGGCTCGCGAACTCCACTCCGTGAAGACGTTGCTTCATGCACTTTGGACACAAGACGATCTTCATGCCGATAACATTCTCAAGCCGACCTACATAGAAAAACTGTCGGCTGTTTTCAGTGCTAGCGACTTGCTTCCTCATTTCGCCTAGCTTGGTTGGACACGTGCCATATGGCTTGCCTGCTATTTCATGGCATCGAACCAAAATTGATTTCCTTTCGCGATTGCTTTATAACTAGTTTGACGTCGAGCTGTATGTTGTTTGTAAGGACTATCACGGGAGGGCTGTTCATCGTTGGAAATGTGTCTTCGAGCGACTAATGATGAGAACATGAAGTGTAGCGCTGGAAAATGGGTACAAGAACATCGAGTCTCTGAACTATACTAGTAGCCTCATGGTGTTAAAATTCCCACCTAACGTATTAACGATAACAAGGCGTTGCATTTGTCGGTGTCGCGACTCTCCGACCCAACTCTGTTCATGGGCAAAAGAATGTGGCTTCGTCTGTGGAACAACAGTTTTTCAGCGATCCTGCTGTGACCTCCATTGAGGGGGCATTGCCTAGGACTGGAATTCTGACGGTGAATGCTTACATCCGACACTCCCGCTCAAGTAAGAAAGTGTACACATACATACGAGCGTCCTCGATTTTTTAGGATGCTGCCGCCGGTCCACCAATACACTACCAATGAAGTCGTCCGTTCGGAAACCACGCCAAGCTGGCAAGAAACCTTCCCCGCAATCTCACCAAACCTTCCATCAGCCCAAGTAAGCAGCAGGAAGTCTAGAAAAGTCGGCTTCCATGTAGACGAATAGACCCCGTCCTGAAATCGACCGGACCAATCCAGCCGAAGAAGTGGGCCCGGGTGGAACGCGGAGATCTCCCGGCATCTGTCCAGGTTCGGACCAAGCTGCCGCAGCCAGCTTGAGCCAGTAATATCTCGCCGAACCAAGGTATCTAACCTCCGAGCTCCCCCCCAGCTAGGCGATGCTACATACCGAGAATCGATGACGTTCCGTGTCCGAAGAACCCACGAAACCGTAACGGGGAGTAACTGCCATGTCGCACGCTGACGATCCAGGATTCGTGACGTAAGGTTGATACTTTTCGTTCCAAATGGAGCAAGGATTGAGAAAAGCATAAGAAGTCAGCCAAAGGTCGGGCTACGTGACACATTAAGCCAGTACAACTCATGTGGATTGAGGGGCACACACTTCAACATGTCGAAACCAGTCCTCGTTGTAATCGGCACCGGCTGGGGCGGCTTCACCCTCACCCAAAAAATCGACCTGACGAAATACAGTGTCAAGGTCATTTCGCCCATTCGAACAATCCAGTACACCCCGCTGCTGGCCAGCGCAGCATGCGGGCTATTCAATTTCCGTCTGGCGGAAGAACCTGTCAGGAGAAAGCACAGGACGGAGATGGACTACTACAAGGCCATCGCGGAGGACATTGACTTTGAAAAGCGAATCGTGCGGTGCAAGACCGACGCGGCCACCGCCGGCGAAGACCCAACTGCTTTTGAAGTAAAGTACGACAGAATCTGCATTGCGCCAGGATGCGAAACGCAGGACTTTGGTACGCCGGGTGCAAAAGAGCATGCTCTTTTTCTGAAGACGACCAACGACGCCCGCTTGATACAACAGCGCATTCTCCAAATGCTCGACAAGGCTTCGCTTCCCACGACTAGCGAACAGGACCAGCGAGATTACTTGAACATTCGAATCGTCGGTGGCGGCGCCATTGGCATTGAGGCGGCCGCCGAGCTATGGGATCTCTGGTTCGAAGACATGCGTTTCCTGTTTCCTCACCTCGATGGCAAGGTGACCATCACCATTCACGACGTCGCGTCCAAGATCCTCTCCACCTTTGATGCCAACCTGAGCGAGTACGCCACGACTTCGTTGCAAGGCAAACACGTCCAGATCAAGACCGGATCGCACATCCAAAGCGTGGAGGCCGACGCAATCTTTACCAAAGAGGACGGCCGGCTGCCTTTTGGATTGCTCATCTGGGCTACGGGAAATAAGTCGAGCGCCTTGGTCGAGAAGCTGCCCGTGAAGAAGCCAGCGAGTGGCCTGCCTCGTATACTGACAGACAAGTTCCTCCGTGTCTTGCGCCCGGACGGGAGTCCGCTGGATGATGTCTACGCTCTCGGCGACGCTGCCGATATCGAGGGAGAATCTCTGCCCACGTTGGCTGAAGTAGCTCTGCAGAAAGGCGAGTACCTCACCAGCGTCCTGAACTCGAACGCCGATCCCGTACCCTTTCATTACAAGCAGAGAGCGCTTTTGGCCTACCTGGGCCGCCACGATGGTATTATTGGAGGTCGGCAGGAATGGACTGGGATGAGCGCATGGTTGGCTTGGCGTTCGGGTAGTCTTGGGTGGACGAGGAGCTGGAGGAGGAAGATTATGATTTCAATCAGCTGGTTGTTTATTTGGCTGGCGGGTCGAGATATTGCGAGACCATAGGATGCGTGTAATTTTGGAGGAAGCTGCACTCGGATCCATGACTGTCAATGACTGAAAGAGAAAAGAATGACACAGATCGTTTTATTGACTTCCTTCGCGTAAAAGTAGGATACATATTTAGCAATAGTTCTGGCTTTTGATACCGATTCTAGGATGAAAGATTGTAAAAGGGCTGGAGCAAAGTTTGATCAAGACGAGAATGCCATTAGGGATCGACATCTTGTTGACATCCGATGTATAGCCTGATCATAGGCAAAAGAAAACTCTATTAAAGTCTATGAAGGTTGTAATCATGCGCTGAGTCGATTTCTACTACCCGTTAGCCATTCCGCTTGACACCGACTTAGTAAGAGAGGTGTTGAGGTATCTACTTACACCACCTGACGCAGCACCAGGCAGTTCCGCCGCTGATCTGATCGCATCCGAAATCGGCAAAACATCCCTGGAAGTCGCAAGCGAACTGAGTATCGTAGCAGGCACCAACTTCCTTGGGCTGCTGTTGACGAGCTTCCAACTGCTCCGCAGGCGCAGCGACGGCGGTGGCGGACAGCAGTCCGAGGGCGAGGGCAACGATTTGAGTAGGCTGGAGAAGCATGATGGCGGTCGGTTGTGTGTGAGTGAGTGACTTGAAGTGGAATGGGATGAGAGTGTAAAGGCTATGGTGATCCAAAGTCAGGCTCAGCAGCAGCATCAACCGTTCCTATTTAATACCTTTCGAACCAGACTGTCTCTGATGATTTGGCAACACTCTGCAGTACCCGGAGTTGGCCGAGCGGCGACCACCTCGCGTGCGCTCCACTATCATCAACTGAGCTCATCTGCGCAGATGAAACAGTCAATATGGTTCAACAATGTTCTCCTTTTCACATTGACTCATGACGTCGAAACTTAAACTCCTTGCTGCAAGGACTGTCCGTCACGGGAGGATACTGTAGTAAATTGCCAGTCTCACAGAGAAAGATGGAACACCAGTAGTGATGTTTAGTTATCCCTCGGTTGTCTTCTTCGCTTGTAAAACCCAGGTACAAAATATTTCACAGTCAGAAAGGGAGAGTCCTTTCCCAAGTAGTAAATCTGCCTTGCCAAGGTAGCAGCATATCTACCTTCAAGTTGGTTAGTTACAATAGCAGAGAAGAAAGTCTCTAGCCGGGTGGTTAGACTTGCGGTCGCAGACCGAATCGTCTTCCCTGCTCCGAGTTTAACATTGACGGGGCCGAAGACCCTCGGGGTCTGACAGGCGCGTTGAAATTCCCGGCAGGTTACTATAAGCAAAGTCCGATCGGCAGGAAATCTTTCCAAAGTTAGATGGAAGGGAAAGGTTTGAGTTATTGGCCTTATATATGCGCAGCAGAGAGCCGACGCTAGAAAATGCTGCAGTGAGATCCCCTACTTGTATTTACGCGTATTCAACTGGAGCCAACCAGTTGCCAAAAGCTGCGCTTGCAAACTTTGCAATGATCGCTCTCCTTATACCTATGTCACTTGCAGCTTTTTCCATAACATAAAAGGCCTTCTCCGTATCTCTCCATCGCAGACGACGTAAAATCTAGGAAGAAAATGAAGGAAAAAAAGCACCCAAGTGAGGAGCGAAGTTGGGAGACGGCCAAAAGGTTTACCGGCTGCGTTGGCCATGACATCAATTTGAAAAGACAACAAGGACGATTGAAAGCACAACACCATGGCGCACTGAGACTGTCAATATAACAAAGTTTTGATTGAGGCCCAGATGTTGACACACAGAGAGTTAAGATGGCTGGGGAGACTACTGGAGTGGAGGATTACGTCAGGCAATTTTAACCCTCTCAGGGTTGAAGAGTTAAACACCCGCACTGCGTAGAGATTGGAAGAGGGTGGGCGATAATGAACGTCAACGAACTAGCCAATCATTGCCGCTAACTGAGTTATCAAGGAATTTTTCTGTTGCTTCAGATGCGAGAGTAGGTTCCAAAGACCCTGGCGTTGGTCGACTAATTATGAGTTGCCTCACTACACATGAGTCGACACAGACCCATAAATGGCGGAGTGTTTTGCTCTGCCTTGGAAAACGAAGTTGCCAAGGGTTGGGAGTTTCAATGACAAATGACAAAGTCCGTTGCGGTCGTAACTTGATAAAGTTTTGAATTTTTCGAATTGCAACAGAGTGACTCGTGTTTATACACACTTGAAGATTCGAGCTGTGCAAGACGTCCACCGGGCAAATCGACTTCATGCGCGTCAAACCCAATTACGAACCTGATGATTTGCTGGGGTACTCCGCAGTCCTGGTCATGGACCCAAATGTGTAGTCCTGCCTCGTTCCGCTTGGCTGATCGGCGTGGAGAACGGCAGGAGTCAGGATGCTGAACCGGCCACCAGGGAACCCCGAGTCCTTGGACCTGGGGAGCCGATCTTTATTTCCCCGCGAAAACCCTTACCCGCCGCCCTCGCGAGTCGCTGGATTGTTATCAAGGCACAATGGTCGCATTCAATTTCCGCCCATTTTGCCCCAGCCTACAGATGCAATAGCTTCCAGGACACAGAATACGAGATTGCTGGGGAGGCTGCTGTCAGGGATTGTGAATCCCCGGGCTGCGGCGGACGGGCCAGATGCGAGTGAGATTCATACTCTATGGATCCAGCATCCCGCTTGCCAAGACGGGTGAGTCTCGACATCAAAGCTTGTCACTCTGATAGTCCTTGCGGTTACTTATCCAAGTTTAGGCACTTGCAGCTTCACTCTATCGCGATTCAACATTGTCACCTCGGTAAATTATGTTCAGATGCATCCTCTTTATTGTCCTATCAAATACGTGCCCATAATGACACCTGCAAATCTCAAAAAGGGGGAGGAGCCATGGCCTAAAACCAAGGCAGCGAAGTCTTATAAACATCTCATTTCCATCGTAAGAAAAAGCCCCCCTCGCTCATCTCTGCTGAGGGAATCCCAACTCCTCCATGTGCAAAAGTGAGCGAGCAGTGCTCTTCGCCGGGCGAGTAGCGGAACATCTTATCAACCTCCCCACCCCGCGGCTTTCTTTCGGTTCCTCGACGAAAGTCAGATTCGAACCGCTTACGCGCCGTTGCCGTTGTAGGCAATCAGGTTGGGGCTGCTCCGGAGGGTGCCCGTGACCTTGTTGGGGGTAGCCAGAGCCTTGATGCGGGCAATGACCGCGGCGGGGGTGCTCAGGCCCTCGACGGACTGGATGTAGTTGACAAGGCCGGCAACGTGAGGGGAGGCCATGGAGGTGCCGGAGATGGTGTTGGTGGCGGTGTTGGAGGTGTACCAGGTGGACAGGATGGAGGTGCCGGGGGCGAAGATGTCCAGGGAGGTTCCGTAGTTGGAGTACGAGGCAATGGCCCACGCGCTGGTGATGGCACCGACGGTGACGGCGTTGGGGGCGTTGGCGGGGGAGGTGTTGGCGGCGTTGGCGCCGTCGTTACCGGCGGCGACGACGGTGATGACACCGGCGCTGTAGGCCGAGTTGATGGCCGTGGTCCAGGCGGTGGAGGCGGGGCCGCCGAGGGACATGTTGATGACGGACTTGCCGGCGCGGCCCTTGGTGGAGATGTCGTTGACGGCCCAGTTGTATCCGTCGAGAATGACAGAGGTGGAGGCGGAGTTGCCGATGAAGACCTTGACGGAGATCAGGGAGGTGAGCTTGGCGACACCGTAGGTGGTGGAGCCAATGGTACCGGCAACGTGGGTGCCGTGGCCGAGGGTGTCGGTGTGGGCACCGCCGGCGGCGTTGTAGCCGAGCGAGGCGCGGCCGCCAAAGTCGTTGTGGGCGATGTTGATGCCCGAGTCGACGACGTAGCCAAAAGTGCCGGTGCCGGCGGTGCTGTCGTAGACGTACGACGTAGAGCCCGAGGTCTTGTGAGAAAGAGTACCGAGACCCCAGGGAGCACCGGTCTGGGTGACGATAGCGCTCAGGGTGTAGATCTCGTCACGCTCGACGGCAGCAACCTATTATTCCCGTGTTAGCTTTGGTCCCCCTTGAATTCGTGTCCGAGCATCAAATCTCACCTCGGGGCTCTGTCGGATGGCCTCAATGGTGGCGTCGTCGAACTTGCCAGAGTATCCCTGGAAGCTGTTGAAAGAGTAGGTACGCTCAGCACCGGTGAACTGGCGCTTGTCGAGGCTGCGGGCGTGAACATCGTTGACCCAGCTCAAGTGAGAGGTGAGGCCCTCGGAGCCAACGGAGCTCTTGAGGGTGATGATGTAGGCGTTCTCAGCTCTGGTTTGAACCGTAGTCACGGCGGGTGACTCCTTGGGAGTAGGAGCAGCGAAGCTGCAGGTAGCAGCTGCGAGCAGCGCGAAGTGCTTGAAACCGACCATTGTGACTGTCGATGGACCGAGATGCAGGAGTTGGAGTTGGGATTGTAGGAGAGGATGAGGAGTGAGGAGTGAAGAGAAAAAGATCTGAACATCGTGGGTTGTCTAAAGACGTTATATAATTTTCCTCCTCGTCATTGAGACTGATTGAGGCTCGATGTTCACCCGTTACATATCATGTAAGTGACTGGGTCATCCAGGCCCTTGATGGCGCATTACTGCTTGCAGACAAAATTCCGGGGTGTCTCTCGAGAAGCAGTACGTACATTATTCGGAACCCATGCAAGAGAACCGCCATCGCCGCAGGGTCCAAGTCGGGATGAACCTGTCAAGCTTGGCTATGTCGCGAAAAAGTGCAATGGTGGTTGCACGGCGAGTGACCCAAGTCGATAAGAGGATGTGGTCCGCAGAAAGGGGAAGGAGAGGACAAATGGCACCATGTGGCGACATAAACCAGCCATTTCAGAAGCTTGTGGGACAGAATCAAAAATAGGAAGTTGATTGACAACGATATTGGTGATGCAGCAAGCTGGGGGAGTGAGGAGGCATGCTAGACCGGCTTGGCAATGCAACGGAGCTATCAGATGGTCGCAAGCTATTTTGAAGACTGGGCAACACCACGGCTTTTGCAAGCATCTCGAGCCCTCTGTCGTCACCTGTTCAGATACAACCAATAAGCTTTGCAAGATACCAGGACTTACTACGGATAGACGAGAAGCAAACATTGTCGGGGATCAATACCGGTGGAGAAGCGCGTCCCGCCGCCGCGGGCGGGAGGCGGATAGAGCCTCGATAAACAACTGATGTGGGTGCCGTTGGCAGCGGGAATGCGGCGGCGACAACACCGGCATTTGGACGATGTACAGTAGACTTCCAACACCTAGTGAGAGAGAAAGAGAGGGAGAGGGAGAGAGAGAGACACGAAGAGAGTTGTCCGAGCCAAAAGCCACCAATAGGATTGAGTTTTGTGAACACTAATGGCCATTAGCAATAACCCTCCACGTCCAATACCGGACGGTCTTCGGAACGGCAGTGCCAAGGCTTTTTTATGCATAAATTGAGGATGCGGTGGATTCCCGAGCTCTTGCGCCAGACCCCTGCCGAGTGGCTGAGAAGCGGCAGTTCCTCTGTTCTGGTGCTAGGCACAAAGAGTCATGGACCCGAAGTAACGGCAGCTGATGCGTATGAAGTCCCTTTGCAGGTCGGTGGTGGCGACGTTGACGACCTCAGCACCTTGTGCTTCTTGTCCTTGTCTCGACAGAGCCTGGGCTTCAACTGAATACATCGGGGTGGCACACGATATCGCAGGCCGTAGCCAAGCCCTGGTTCGTCAGAGAAGAGGGTTGATCCTCGTGGGTTGAGGTGATGCTACCCCAGCTGAGATATCCCGCCTTCCTAATCTGGAAGTTGGCCGTGGAGCGTGACAATCGGCGATCGTGGCTGGGGTGACAAACTAGGTAGTTCTGGAGGAATTGTGGGCTGCCAGCTGCACCCCAGCAGAGGATGGTGAGGGCGAGGTAGCAAATTGCGAATCAGTTGTGATAGCTGCTGCTGATGAGTGAAGTGCTCCAGTGCTCTTCATAAGGTACTTGACGGGGAGGTTGTGCGGCGGTGAATCGCGTGCTGCGGTTTCATGGGATTGAGGGCGGGTTCGTTGGCGGCAGGGCTATAGACATCTGACATGACCCGGGGGCCGCTTGTCTGTGGCCGTACGTATAGACTTACAGCACTTTACCGGTGTGATTCTTGATAACGAACAACAAGTGAGCGATGTGTGTGTCGTCGTTGATTGCATGGATATGGAACCATCCGCTGCACTCTATCCTGATTAGGGTGAGTCGAATTGGCTGTGAATTCCTGTTTACTGCACGTAAATGCAAGCAGAGCAGGGGAACCCTGAGGCTCTGGAAAGAAAGATGTCGCTGTCAAGGATAAGAGCTCCTGTGGGGACTCTGGAGGGGAAGACGACACGGACTCGCACACACGCAACAGAGAATCCCTGAAGCAGCTCATCGAGGCCCCTCAGTTGAGGATCAGAAATTCCAAACTTGATTAAGCACGTAATGAAGGCCGCAGCTTCCTCAATCCTCCCGCCTCGAGTGCTTCAATGCCCTCCGAGCCCTTTGGGACGTTGAGATAAGCTGGTTGGTCTACAGGAGATCTCGGCAGCTGCTGCTGGTCTGTGCTGGGCGCGTCAAAGGTGCTGGTCAGGGATTCTGGACCTTAACGCAAATACTAGCGCATACCAGCGCATCGCATCCGTGTCCAGGTGAGCAGGTGTAGTGTTCGCTGCGGGTATTGCTCGCCTCTAAATGGACGGCAATGGTGGGTAACCCCTGGTTCCTGATCAAGATCCCAGAAAAGACGAACACCTGTACGCCGTCAGCAGCCACCCGTTTCTTTGCACGTTCAAGTTGAAGTAAAGCCCAGAATAGGATTGGCCAAGACATGTGTGCGTCCAAGCCATTCGTCGTGGGAAACGCCACATGATTCCGTGGCTCTGCAAGTCATCTTGAACATTGAATATTTGCTGCCAACATTGGACGGCTGTCGGTCGGGAAAATTACCTTACGGGGGGGGACAAGAGATAAGATAGCTGCCAATCCTGGGCAAGCCACCGTTATGACTAAGGTTCCTCAGGTATGCGATATACGTGTCGATAGACGGACGTACTTTTCAAGGACCCGTTTTCCCAGACGGGCCTCTCCGAAATTCCCGCCGGCAAGTGGGTCTCTCGCGGTAGGTACCTACCTGACGTAGTAGGTCGCAGGTGGGTGCAGTCAGCGATTGATTCGTGCGCCATTTCAAGGCGCCGATAACGTGATAAGCTAGTGGGGTCACCCTCTGCTTTAGCGACGCTGACATGATCCAAGGTACCAAGACCCCTCCATCTCTCCACTACCGGTACCTTCTCGGAGCGCATGTGGTGGGATGGCAAATGCCCGACCGTCACCTCTGGTTTCTCTCTCTCTCTCTCTCTCTCTCTCTATCAGTCTGAAGTCAAGTCTTCTTATCTGGTACAGTCCAGGCAGCAAGAAGCAAGAAGGGGGAGCACACAACGCTCCAGAAATCCTGCCCGTGACCCGGCCTCGGATTCAAGATTCAAGATTCAAGCTTCACTTTCACACCTCTACCGTCAACATCATACCCATCTCTCTCAGGTTGATAGTTTGCCATTCAATGTAACCGAGTCAGCAGCTACGGAAACCTTCCTGGCCCCGGACTTTGGCATCCACCACGCACCGGTTTTCTAACGTCCTTCCAGACTCGTCGTATCCCGCAGGCCAGCCAAGACGGGTAACAGCCGTAAACAGGACAAGGTTAAGCGCTATATCGATTTTGGGGAATTCCTCTGCTGGGTCTCAAGCCTCGTCATTTCCACCACCCCTGTCATCCCCGAGGCTCGCCGGTGCCGCAGAACAGCAGCCGAGATCTTGCTTGGTGTGGGGTGATGGTTGAAAGAACCTTCCCTATTCTGATGCCAAACTGTCGACTTTGTCTTTTTCTCACAGACTTGACCGAGGTGGAAAATAGGGCATCCCTCGTCCCCACTGCCTATGCATTGCCTGCCGTCAGTCCATAGCAGCTACAACAACGCCCTGGGCCGGAATAGTCAAGTCACACAACGTGACAACACCGTTTGAGTATTATGCGCACAGTTGGGCCATGCCTGAGTGTACCGCTCAATCTCCGCCGCCGCTAAAACTGCCCACGATGGGCCTCGCTCACTGAAAAGAGGAGGTGGACACCAATGTGCGGCTCTGAACAAGGTAGACCAGCAAGGTTGCTACGCTAGTGGTCTTCTGGAAGGAGGTTGCAGCATCTCGTTTGGCGACAATCACGCTTTCCTGCCGATGAATGGTGGCATTCTTTGCAGAACCTGTTGGACCTGGTCTCCCCGTTTCCACTCACCTGCCACACTCGGCAGCCCCAGCCAGGAACCACCGGCATTCCAAGAACCTACAAATGCTTGGCTCCCGTCTCTGCCAAGAGTCTTCAGCACTGCCGCCTCGCTGCTGCAAGATCACCTTGGCCAAGCCCAATATCTGATGGCGTAGCTTGCTCACCTTCCTTTCACGATCATCACTTGGCAACCCCGCCATGAACCGCCCATGGCCACAGAGACCCCAGGTGCCGGTACACACCCGGTATACTATCGGAATTTATCGATTTCAGCACGACCTCAACACCGCGCCAATAGCTACCGCACCGTCACACGATCTCGTGCCCCAGTGGCATCATGCCCGATGGCCTGAGACTTCGGAGATATGAACGGTTACGATATGCCTCAGATGCCGCCAAGACTTGGCTTGATCCATCTGGTACAGAGACTTCCAAGCCGACATCTCCGAGTTTGGCAAACAGTGCAACGTTCGTGATCCGGAGGGTGATCCGGCCGAGCTCCCCGTTACACTCAATCGATACCCCATAAGCCGCAATTCCAGCCCCAGCGTGCGACGCCGCAGGGGAGCTATGCCGAGGGCGTGCCGCCCAGCTGAAGCCTCGCCACCTGCTCTATAAGGCGAGCGGGCGGCACGCTACTAGAACTTGCAATGTCTCGGCATAGAGCCGGGATGTGATGGTTGGCAATGGAGAACACCATTCGCCTTCCTAAACCTCACCCTCTCACGCACGACAAATAGCCCAATGGAGCCGCTCGCCATCTTCGGAACTTATGACGAGACGCTGCTCGTTTGTCTTGCTCCATTCAGCTCGCCGTACCTGCCCTTTCTGGCGACTACGCAAGTAAATGCCAAAAGCGACTCACCATCATCGCCGCCGCCGTCGTCGGGACTATTTCCACTTCCTCAGACTAACTCTCCCTCCATTTCCTCAGGCTCCTCAGGCTGCTGGTTCCGTCGTCTCTGACGCTCTGTACGGCCCGGCTCATCTCGCCAGATGATTTCTCCAACTCTCAGACCGTCTCCGCGGCAGTCCCGACAGAGCCCTTGAACATCAAGGACACCGTTGATCCATTGGTGAATCCAGGTGTTCCGTGGACAGGCTCTGCCTCCGTCCCTGACGCGGCGACATCTCTCGTCTCGGAAGAATACGCCCAAGTGCATGCATTCGGCCTCGCCGGTGAAGTAATACTTGCGGCACATTCTTCTACTATCGCTCAAGCTCCGACGAAATACGATATGGTTCAAGGTCGCCTAGCCTTTGTCGCTGCGATCGTGCGTGTAGTTTGAAAGAGTTGATGATACCGGGGTAAGAACACCGCATGTGCGGGCAATGATACTCTGTGTTATATGTGAGAGGGCCAAAGTCAGGTTTGCTTTGTGAATGTGTTGAATTACCGCCTCCTCATCAGTTCAACGGCAACGGCCCATTCTCATTCACTTCGAGTTCGATCTTACAATGCGACCTATAATAGTTGGCTGCTTATTCAAGCGGTCTCAACCTGGCACTCGGTGCCTGGCTCGCAGCTGATATGAGAGGAGTCTTCTCCGAAACCTTCGGCTGGATGATGCCAAGCATAGGAGACTGATCAACGTCGATGACACCCGGTGAAGGAGGCAGGGTCGCAGAGAGGCTCCTGGGCCATTTACTCACGTACCTGCGGGGAGGTCAGGAATCGCCCAATTTCCGAAAGTCTTTTGCGCTGTTCTCACTATTCGTAGATCACTTCCCGCTTGCTTCATTTCTTGTATATTTTGGCTGTTATATGGGCACTGATATCTGGAAATCCATCATGGACGGTTATCCACCAGAGGTATGAGACATGAGCCTATCTGTGGTCATGATGTTTGCTAAGATGTTACCACCCAGTGTATTGTAGAATTGGATTTCGAGAGTCGTAAGTTTCGCGGCGCTCAAATTTTCTACTGTCATGCTGATTATTTTGACACTCAGGTTTCTTCGGTCTTGGCCGAGCTCTTTACAACGAGGTCCGGAATCCCAGGGGCTTTCGACTTCAGCAGGCAGATATGCTTCACCCGAGGTTCGCCGAGGAATATCACGGTTTAATTCGCAAGTTTGATTTGGTTCCCACTCGGGTGAAGAGAAGTACCTCGATCAATATCTTTTTATTTGTAATAAAAATTGTAATAGAAAAAATTAACGTTTTAAAAAAAATTCTGCAAAGTATAAAGAAGGGCGTTTTTATTTAATTCATAGACCTATATATTGATACCGTTAACTAGGTGGTATACCTTGTCTTATCTTGGCACGTCAGCTAGAATTTTTTAATAGCATCTCTGTACAGTGATCTCTCTTAATGAATGCAAATAGAGAGACGCACGGAGCGGCCGTCTCAGGGGGCAAGGGGGACGTGGCTACGCCGGGAAAGCTGCGGGGCTGGTAAATAAGTGTTGGGTTACGTATCACAGGGTCTTTTGTTCGATCGAACCGTGGTGACGAAGGGTCAACTAACTTATATTGATCTCTGCGTAAAGAGGAAAAGAGAGGTTCCAACCGTGGGCTGGATCGCCGGTCAAACGCTGATATAGAGACCCGCAGATGGCCCCTGCGCTGGCGCTGACTCGAGGTCGAATTGGGCTTCCATTCCGACAATAAGGCTAGAAGGAAGAAACATTATGTAGGACACCCTGATGCCCCAAGTTCACGCAGCAATGTTTCCTAATTCCTTCGTAAATTTTGTCACGTCTGAGCAGTGACAGTTATCACAGATGTACCGGCAACCCCGCGGAATAAAAATGGCTGATATTTTGGCGATCCGCTCGCCAAACGCACTGTTAAAACAGCTGCATTATCTCGCCTAGCTCAAACGAAGGAGTTGAAATAACTACGAGAAAACCGCCGATAACCTCCACCGATGAAGACCGCGCGTTTGAATCGGAACCGCCGAGACCACAAAACAATCAACAAAACAATCAACGCCGGGGGCTCAACAAGTATACGGTCCGTCGACGAGTGTATAAACCCTCTCAAGAACCTCTCATGTCGGCATCAAGCAGTGCGACATCCCTGCCGCCCTAATCATACCAGTATTCGGCGGCTATCGCTTGAAACCCCAGCCGCGCAGATCTTTCAGTAATACCTATCCTGTCCGCGCTGCCCTCCTATAATACTTAAAACATGACTTTACGGCCCTTGCGTCTGCTCTTGAAAGCTGCGATAATCCGCTACCAAAATATACCACTTGTCACGCTGATTTTCTCCTAAGCATGCACGATGCTCAACACTAGATATATACGCCAGCCATTTATCAGGGGCGTTGATCTGGATTTGTCGCTCCGGCTGCCATAACGTTTCATGATCTGAATAAAAAACACGAAGTACTATCTGTCCTACCAAATGAACGATCTCAGTACCTACGTTGGGCTGGGTATCGGCAGACGCGGGGCTGCGGCGCGTGGGAGGGTTCGTTCGTTTGAAATGGAAAGCATCGCCCGAGCTCTGGTTCTCAGGAGAAGGGGGTGGAAGTATTGCGATGTCGTCGTCTCGTCCGAGGCAACGGAGTCAGAGACCCGGGTACGCTCGGCTTGTTCTTATAGGCTTTAGAGAGTTATGAAGTCAGGATACCACTTGATCCTATTAAAAAGGAGTGATTTACTACTTAAAATTTTTCTATTTGTTTCTGAGCGTTCAACGTAGTAAGCTATTACTTTTTCGATTTTTTTGCCGAAAGGTGTTTAGGCGGTGGCGCGGGTCTCTGGTATGCTCCTAAACTGCGGTGCATTACCGATTATGGATGTTTTAGGTAATGCTGGTTGGGTAAAGGCTGGCGCTCGGAAAGAAGCCCTGAGTTGCCCTGCCTGTTAGACCGATCTGTTTTATTAGGCGTTTGTTCTGCCCCCTGTGGAGGGGTCCGCCTGCTGGTTTGGTCGCGGAAAGTCACATGCAGGTACAATCCTACGCCATCCAACAACCTCCAGCACTCGTTCCAGCACTCGTTCTGGCACCCGCTGTAATGGCACGCCATTACAGCGACAGAGTACAGTCGCGTTGCTGGTATGTAGCACTTACCACGCCACGTACAAATATTGCCATGGAAGCAAGCTGAGCTAACATCGTGAAGCTTTCCGGCCAGATCAGCCATTTGCGAGGAAGCTAGCCATGTTTCGTACAATGTAGGCAACGCAGAATTGCAGAACGCAAGCGAAGCGAATAGAATTCATATTTCATGTTGTTTTGTTTGTTCCAGGGCTGGCGCCTACTGCATGATTGACAGTGGCTGAAAGTAGCGGTCAGCAGCCGCTGTAGCCCCAAGAACGATCAGCGGTGCAACCAGCCGTTCTGAAAGACAAACTACAAGCATGTGCATCTGAGGCCCGAAGACGCAATGGGTGCACAGTCGCGCATCACCACCGGCCTCTTGTCACTCTAGCCACTGCGTTGTGAGGCGAGGTAACAAACGCTTCTCCGCGATGGCTCGTCAATAAACCAGTAAAGGTCTTGGCAGCAAGCTTATGCTGAAATTTGAGCCTCCTGATGAGACAGGACAATTCTGAATAAAACATTGAGTTCAAGGTTTCGAGTTAGAACCTTCTATCTGTGTTCCCCCATACTCATTATAGGGTTCTAGCTTATGCGGACTGGATCCGAGCCCAGATCGTCAACGATTCTCGCTTCTACTGCTTGCACGAACTGAATCACCATGCTTCCTTTGAAATAGATTAGAATGAACGTAATGCACGTACAAGTGCACTTTATGATTACATGCATTGACCATCTACCACAATAGTACATTTTCGCTCGAAAGGGCACCATTTTATGAAACATCGCAGCAGCCATTATGGAAAATGGAAAAATGCCATCCTAAGCCGGCCTCATGCGTCGGTGATCACGAAAAACACAAAGAGGAGAAAGCAAACGAAATATCACATTAAATCTATTTTCCTCCCCTCGCAATTGGAGGTCTGCCAAATCTAGCACGAAAGTTTGCGGCCTGCTGCCAACTGCAGTCTCATCGCTCAACAAACTCAAACCCAAGTCTTTTTTGGTGTATCAGCGATATCGATGCATATACCATACAACAAGTGGTCTTGGCAGCTCGTCGATGAAATGTCGCCGGGGGTTCGGATAATTGATATCCGAGCCGTAGAAACCGAATGGCGCAAGTCTCCAACTACGCAAGTGAACTTGACCTCTTCCATTATCATCTCCAATCCGGCAAACATGGGTGAATCGAGCATCAGCTGTGCGCCATCATGTCCTCTCGAAAGCCTTCCCGCAGATCTGCTCCTAGCGATTCTTCCTTTTCTGGAGTCTTTGCGCGACTTTGGCGCGCTCATCAACGCCTCTCCCTCGCTGCGGAGATTCTTTGTGGCGGAACAGCGGCGCGTCATCCAACAGATTGTCCACTGCGATGCTGCCCCCATGATAAAAGGTGCCGTGGCACTTGCCGTCACCCCGAGAGCCAGCACATCTCTCAGTGTGCATGCAACGGACGTGGTGGGCGCTACCAAGGCATACGCAAGTTTTCGAGAATACCTCGACGCAAATGCGGTCGACACATCTATCGTATCTGCTGACCACTTGACCACGGCTATTGAATGCGACGCGGTCGCTCGAGACTTTGCCGACCTCTTTGCCGTGGTCCAGCGACACCAGCTACGGGCTGTTGACTCGAAGGCAGCCAACGCGGTCACAACAGACGAACGAGACCGTATCGCCCTGGCTTGCTTGCGGTATCAGTTGCTCACGCAAACTATTTGTGCCCGGGTATGTGAGGAGGTGATGATGGAAACACGGACGCTTTTAAATTCTTGCTTCACGGCTTGTCAGATGGAGCAAATCGCCGGGATCCACGACTTCATGGGCAGACTGCACGGATTCTTGGTCTCATACGATGACACAATCGAGCCGAACACGCAGCATGAAGTCTACGATGTTGAAATGTTCCGACAAACACTCAGGCGTGCACTCCGCAGAGGTCCAGAAACTGTTAAAATCTTCGCCGCTGCATTGAAAGACGTGAAACATGTTTCAGCGCCCGAATATATCAAAGGAGGTTACCACGTACCCAGCGACGTGATTCCGGAGGTGCTCCGACGGCGGAACGTAACCGTGTACTCGGCGCTGTCTCATGATTATAACGTCAGGAGGCTGCGAGATGCTATCTATCGCCATGAAGAGAGCCTACCTGCCATCACCACTGGTGGCTCGGCAATTGGTCCTTCTTTCGCGTGGGTCGATGCATTCGACGGTTTGGATTGTCGCCGCTGGGGCTCAGAGTTGTTGCGACAGTCGCCAAACCATCTAGCCATAGACAACACGCGTTTGGATCGAGTGGAAGCCACGGTTGGAGGGTGGAGGCAGTATGGATTTGTCTATTGGGACCAAGATCGCGTCCAAGTTTTGAAAACGAATCTTTTGCAATATCGCACGGGGTGGCTAAGAAATGTGTGGGATCGAGCAGAGGTTTTTTAGCCAAACGCCACGACGTTATGGACTATCATGACATGTAAATGGCCCGAAGCAAACGTCTTCGTTTAATACCCAAGTTTGATGAGATATTTTCTCCGATGTGAAAAAATCACTTTTGGGACTGGAAACTTGGCTTATTTAAAGGCTGACTTTTGTGGCGTAAGTTAAAAAGGTTGCAAATGTTTGAAGGGTACGGACGTAATCAATATGGAAATAGCACCAGCTTAGGTCTGCTTAGCAATTGCCAAGAGTACGTTGATACTACTCCAGACTCTGGCCCGAAGACTTTGATGTAACCTCATACAAGGGGTCTAGGTCTAGTGTGTTGTAAACGCTCAGCCTCAAAAAGGCAAGGTATTACGTGCTAGTTGGTTGTATTCTAGGAAGTTGGTAATTTTGTCCTAAGCCATCAAGAGTCTACCGGTGCACCTGCGTAACGCTACTAACTTTGAACAAGGCCATTTGCGTTTGATCCTGGCGTTGGAAAGATCGATGCCGTCGTAGACAAGTTCTCGTAGGCAGAGGGCTCTGACACCGGTTTGCGTCCTAGTTGAAAATACGGCATGACCTTTCACACTTCTTTGGGAATCATGAATGCGGCATCCTACAAAATCTGTCACCTACTCCAAGTTTTTCTACAGGAGGCGGCTACATTTGTTGTTGCGAAGGATAGAGCGAGGCAGTACCTAGAAATGCCAACCTCCATACGAAATTTTAAAATGCGGAAGCCGGAAATAGATGTGCGACTTCGGCGTGACCGTCCAACCTTACTGCGTTGGTGGAGTAATAATTTGGCTGTATTGCTCTTTCTAGCCGGAAGATCAGAAGCCGTTTTTTCCTCAGTCAAGTGCCCAGGGCAGAAACTCAATGTTGTGCTCTGAGCTCGCCCCGTCTTTCTCTCCGAATCTTCACTGATAGGAGCAATAAGCTCGCCGAGTCATCGAACGACGCATGATGATGAACGGGACCCGGCACATCACGTGTCGTGCGGACAGTGACATGACGTTGAAGACAGCGAAGCCTTACTTTGTGAGAATGGGGCCAATAATGCCCTTCTTCGAGACTTGGTTTTTCCGAAATGATCTGACCGCCGATCGGAATATTCGAGGGTTCACAGTACGGAAATCTACTGTGATTGCTGGCCAAAGTAAAAATGACCCCTTGCGAAGTATCTAAAGGGCGCGACGAGGATATTTATTAACTTTCTAAACCGTAATATTTTGACCTTCGACGGTTGAGCTCACTGCAGCCTTTCGTGGTGCAGCTTTTCAAGACCAGTGGATCACCGCCCGCAAACACACGACCAGGCATTAAACTTGCCTTACCCCTCATCCCGCAGCACAGCCACAGAAAAGAATAAGCCTTCTGCGGCCGAGTCAAATATTCATTAAACCAGGGTCACCAGTCCCAGCTCCTTAGGCAAGCCGGTCGAACCGTGAAGTGAATTAATGTGATGTGGTCCCTGCTAGGGAAAAGGCTGTTGTATCCGCTAGGAAAGTTAGGATAGTAGTGGGTCGCTATTCAGATCGACTACGTCGGAGGTCGAGCCACGCCCGCCCGCCTATTATACACTAGACTCCGAGACATCACGTCCTGATAGATGGCTTTGGCTGCTCAACTGACCAACGACATCCCTTCCACATCGACATCGCATGACGCGCGGTATAACAAAAAAAAAAGCGCCTACTGCAGATGCGTTCTCAGCATTAAAGAATGAAGACAAAAATAAAATAAAGATAGTAATCACAGAGTTGTATAATTAAGTTTCTCACATCATGACAAATGACTCGTTGGGTGTACGCGCTCAGTCCGACTTACAAGGGTGATGCTTTGAGACTTCAGTCAAGTCAAGAGCCGATTCCCCAACCTAAGGTTCATGGTGATTAGCCACGGGACGATGGCCCCCACTAGTGAGAATGAAGCTCATTTCGAAATACGCGATGAACTCGGAAGCCGGCGAACGTTGAAAAATCTTAATTGATGAGATTCGTACCATCCGGTCGGGATACGCAGTCTTGGGTCCTATTCGTCAGCTTTTCAATCGTTCGTGTTCGATCTCAGAGCTATGGGGGAATTCGTATTTAGGTCGCGATCGTTGCTGCCCGCCAAGTCTTTTGATGCTGTTACGACTAACCCACCTTGTCGTTCTTTCACAAGTCTATATACCACTCCTGGACTCTCCAAGTCTGTCCACTCGTTCCAACACATAATCACCAATAATCTCCTACCTAATTACCAACAAACGTCAAAATGCGGTTCTCCATCTTCACCGTTCTCGCGGCTGCTGCCAGCTTCGCTGCTGCTCTTCCCGTAGGCCATATAAGCGTGAAATAGCCTTGGAGTCGACAGTTTGCTAACAGAAGCTCGCAGGCCACCTCCTGCTCCGCCCCTGATGCCCGTCCCTCCGAACCCTGCGGCAAGCTTGGCAATTTCCACGTAAGCACCGTGAAGGTCAACCAGACCTTGGGGTACTTTGCCTATCGCTACAATTCTGGTATCTGCGACATCGCGAATGCGAGCCACATCGCGAATCCAGACGTCATATTCGTTGGCCAGCGCATCCTCATCCCCGTCAACGTCTGCAAGCCCGACAACACCACTTGTACTACGCCCCCCGGTTCGGCCACCTGTATTGAGGCCGACGTGTGGAAGTCCCTTGAAAATAAAGCCAAGGACAAGGTGGAAATCGATGGCAATGTGGCAAAATATCAAATCAAGGGGGGTGATACTTTCTACGCTCTCTCAAAGTCGTGGAACATTACCCTCGCTTCCCTGACCGGCGTCAACGTCGGTGTCGAACCCACGGCCCTCCAGATCGGCCAGACCATCAATGTTCCCATCTGCTAAGTCGTCCACGAATTTGCGACAAGAACCCTACGACATCCATGCTCCACGCGGCTTGGATCAGGTTAACAGTATCCTATTTTGAGCAATGCGTTTGGAATAGGGCACAGTAAGAATAGATAATGTGAATACAGATGGCACCTTCTGGCATACCCATGAATTCGCATGACGTGACGTGACAAATTTGATACTTCACAATTCGAGCCCATTGTCAAATGAATAAGGAAACATCCACACTCGAGAAGTGGCTGGGATCAATTTTAGTTAAGAGTGCGTCGTCAATCTACCTTTACTGCACCTGCGTTGTTCTTTCCCTCTCATTTTGATTCATTGTTTTATTTTCCGGCTTGCTGAGGTGATATACGCTCATGTTGCATTGTCTTGTTTCCCCGCATCATAGAAATTCGAGGGCAATTTACCCCGTTCCAAGTTTCCCTCTTGCTCATCCTCACGCTTCATAGAGCGGATTCCCTGAGAAAATTCCTCCATGAACTCGATTCATGTGATCATAACATGGTCGTTCCTTAAGGAAAACCTCCAGACAATCCCAACAAATGTGTGCTTTGCAAGCGCTGCACGTCATATGATTGCAGCCTTCCGACTTTTGAATCGAAGTTTTGCATCTAGGGCAGTCCTTAATTCCCAGCCTCTTCTTGGCTCCATCGAAATCTCTGTCCGCATTTGCAGCTGCCCCCGAAGTGATGTATCTATGCTCGGCACACGTCCTACCACAGTGATCGACATGGCATGATGGGCAGATTTTCTTCGAGCACCCGCGACAGTTGAGGATTTTTGGCGAATCTGGCAACGCTGGTCTGTATATGGTTTGGCAGTCTGGGGTCGGACACCATCGAAACTCGTCTGGTCGGCTTTTGATGTGGTTTGTCATTGCAGAGGCGAGAAGCTCTTCAAAAATGAGCGATGGCAAGAAGTCTTGTAGCTCCTGCATTGTAAATATGGCATTACAAGCGCCTTCGTTTGCCAGGCAGCAGAGACCAGATTCTCCGCTTCCGATGGTTGATTGGCAAAAGTTTTCGAAACAATCACGACAGTACACATGCCCACATCTGACTTTGAGGGGGTTCTCGGCGGTTGTCCAACATACCGGACAATCATCTTCGGTCGCTGCCGAACTATCATGCTCCCGAGGTAAACGTCTTTTGTCCAAGATGTCCATGGCCGTATCGAATGCAGCTGGGGGACCTATAATCTCCAACCTTTTGGGTGTCTCGAGAATGTTCAGGGATGCAGCTTCAGGTCCAAGGGCTTCGCAGATGGCCTTGAGCCCTCCCCTGATAGCCCAGTGTAGACTCTCAGAGGTCAAGAAAATGGAGCGGACTGTGGAAGGATTTTCGCTAAACGACTGTAACAATGCGTCACAGGCTTTCTGCGTGGCTTCCAACGAGCCAAAGACGTGAATCTCGGCTTTGGACGGGAAGCACTGAAACGCCACTCGGTGCTGTTCCTCAATGGGTCGAAGCCGTCGATTCGCAAGTGCCTTGTTGTTGAAAGACGGACTCCAGAGCGGCTTCTTGCCTTCGGCGGCGTACACCAAGCGGCCTTCAAGGATCTTGTCCATGGATATCAAGGCTTCCGAGAGAAAATCTCTTCTTCCGCTCTCCAGTCTCAATGTGACGTAGCCATTTGCCGGCGGAAATTGCTTGAAGTTGACGCGCTGGGCGCGGAAGATTTGCGCGGTTGTCTCGAAATTTACAAGAACCGTGCTGAAGATTTTGCACGTAACCTTGTATGTGGCGCAATGAACCAAACTAATGCTGAGCCTGTCATCCTTATTGAAAGGCAGTGTTTTGAGGTTGAGCGACCTAGCAGCAGTAATAGCATCGGCTTCATTTTGGAAACGAGCCCTCGCCTCGACTCGATTGCCATCCTGGTCTGCCTTGGCTGTCAATCTCGTCTCCAATGGTCCGATGTTGACGAGCAGAGCTTCAACCATGTCAAACTCGCTCTTGGTGTTATCCAAATCCTGCAGCCCCTCAAGCTTCACACCTTTGGGTCGCTGGCCCTGAGGAATCATGCTAATGATATCGGCCGTCGTAGCTTGCGTTGGGATGTACAGTCTCAACTTTGGTAACGAAGCGGGTAGATACCGCCCTCCCAATCTGCTCCCTCGTTGATGTAGTAGGGTGCTCGACCTCGGAGCGCAGGAAACCTTCGACCCTAGCACAGTGTATTTTCCAGTACCAAAGTTGCTACGGACCAAATTTTCTGCTGAATCGGAGCCGAAGGTCAAACAGGCAATTTGCTTCGCCTTGTGCCAAGAGCAAATGACCTTTTTGCAATTCACCCTGTGGGTGAACCCCTTGTTGTTAGAATCGAGGTTGGGGGGCTTGTGAACTTCGACCTTCAATCCCGGCATCCCAGACAGTTCTTCGACTTTGGAATCTTTGAATTTATCGCTGAGGGATTGTGCAAACTCGGGGTCCTCTACTCGGATGCTGGCACACACCAACCCTCCCAAACCCGGCGGTCTCATGCGAATGCCAGTACTCGGAACGTCAAACCCCAATCGATTCAGCAGGAGACACACGGCTGCAATATCGGTACGAGCGGGCAGGTCTAGAATGCTGGCTGTGGAAAAGTCGGAGAACAGCGAGACTTTCTCGACTGATGCACCAGAGCCAAAATTCACCCAAGCGCCTAACAATTCTCGCGTGCACTTTTGTTCAGGAATGACGGACTAGAAGTAGCCATCAGGATCATCACTCATTCGATCGGTCTGAGGTTCCACATACCACTACTTCATCTGGGGCTGAACCTGCTTGTTTCGGGGCTCCAGCATGAGAAAATAGGCAGTTACCTCCATTCCTACAATGCCCCTTTGCCAAAAAGGCACAGGCAATCTCGGAACGAGAGTCTCCCGTTGCCAGTCTCGTAGGACCCGAGCTAGGCTGTGGCGTTGTGGAGCTTGAAGCAGAATGAGGATCGTGGGAGAATGCGCATTGTTCGCCTCGGGAGCAGTAACCCCTTGCAAAAAACTTGCAGTGCATTGGTGTTGTGGCCAGACCGGCCTTCTGAGATATGGGCGAATCTCTAGATTCTTCATGAACAAACGGGCAATCGGATCCCGAGCGACAACCTCCTTTCAGATAAAATCGGCATCTTGTGGCTGGCGCTGGCGCCGCAGCTCGGGGTCTGATTTCCAACAGGCTGTTCATCGTAAAGAAGCTTTGCTTAAAACATTGAAAGTAACGATCTTTGAGTGGACTCGAATGCAGTTTGATTGCTTGATGGCCCGTGGATGCGATATCGAGCCGCAATGAAGTGATGAAAGAAAGGAAGATGGAGAGGTAGCGGGCGAAGGACGTGGGAGATGGCCGATAAGTGGCAAACGTCCCCCTTTACTTGAGGAGGGGTAATCCAAGGTACAACCAGTCAAAAAGCTACAAGTATCTACATGCACAAGAACCCAGCGCAGTTCTCAGAGGTGAATGCAGGAGGCCGACCACACCATCAGAGTTCAGCAGATCGTGAGTGGCTACGCCAACGTGCGGGCAGAAGCAATTTGCATGTGAGAATCTTAAAAGTTTCAACCTACCTTTACACCTGTGGCCATTCAGTTACACATCTTCCCAAATTATAAAAAAAAACACCCATCAAGAACGGTGCCGAAATGACGCTTGAAGCGCTGGTGGCTCTAGTTGTCCTATACGCGGGCAATTATTCTAGTTTGAGTTATTGCAATGAACCTATGGACTCAGTCTCATCGAAATCGCCGAGACTCATTCTCTCGTGCTTAGTTCAACAGATGGCTCAAATTAATCCGAGAATCAATTTTGGCATGTCACATGAAGCATTACTGCAATCTTTCTGGACCAAATCAATTCATGCTTTTGAATGATGGAATTCAACGAGAGGCTGAAACGACGGACTTGAAATGTTTGACTCAGCTTTCTCACGATTTCTGCCACTGTCAATGGTTCATTTTCCAAGCTCGTTCGTGGGATGAACTTGATTCGTCAATTCTCATCATAATCACCTGACTTCTTTCAATATCTCGAAGGATACGAAAGAAATTGTTGTACAGTCTGTTCAATGTTTACAGACCCGTACCTGTCCTCATCAATGTCCAGTCGCAAGGTCTGCAGCGCCTCAACAAGTTCCACTGTTGGTATTTCCAAGACATTCATTAGTCGACAGACCATTGAGACCCTGTTGGAATACCAATCCTTGTGAAACGTTCCAGTCAAGCGTGCAGTAGCTCCGTGGTGGTATTCGTGCTCGATCCAAGCAATGTAGTTGGCCATGGAGGACTTGATTGCTCTCACAGGACTTTTCTTGAAGTATCCCGGAAAATACTGCGTGAAGCAATCACGCTTATAGTCCACTTGGTATCTACTCTATTCCAAAAAAAATTAGCATTGAGGTGATCCTCAAAGTTGGGAGCGGGTTCGTAATTACCTGTGCTCCGCTGACTTTTCTTGCTGATTCTTCGTTTTCTTTATTGGATTTCTCACATGACTTTTCAAATCTCTTCTTGAAGTGAAGAAACCATTCACAAAGTAGATGCTCATAATCCTTGGCGCGTGAGTCTTCCATCTCGCGCTCTAGAATGGCAAGAAATTCGGATTCTTCGTCGATTATAGCTTCGATATTCTCGTCTGATATTCGTGTCCTTTGATATGAACGATGCCGGCTGTAAAGCTCAGTCGAGGAATGCCGTTCGCAGCAAACATGGGTCATTTCAAGCTGCTCGTGTTTCTCCCATCTGAGGAAAGAAAGCAGCAAGGCTTTTGCTTCTTGGGCCCCTCTATGATCCAATATGAGAAGCAGAAGCTCCAGTGCTCCGATTGGTGAACCGATCCCATCTCTTCCCCACGTAGAGGTGGCATAATTCGTAATGCCAACAACCGGGAGACAGCCTTGGGATGAACAGGTACATCCGCAATCATCAGTAGTAAAGACGTCCGCCCCTTGGGCAAGCAATATCCGTAGATTCTCCATGCTAAACCAGAAGGTGTAGCAAAATCTCCTTTGATTGCCGGAAAGAGCGAAATGAAGTGCTGTGTGGTGGTTCAAATCTTTGAGGTTGACGTCGGCCCCATTGTCGAGCAGTCTCTTGACCAAGTCAGGTTTGAAAGACTTGGCGGCAACCATCAGAGGAGTCTGACCATCGCTATTTCTTTGATGGAATAGCTTGAATCCACTACTCAGCAAAGCCTCAAAGTCCGTGACCCTGGTGGCGAAGTGCAGTAGACAATTGTCTCTGGTACCCTGCTTCACTTTATCGAAAGTGAAGTTGGCCGAACTGCACTTCATCAAAAGCTGATGGAGCGAAATTTCGCGTTCTCCAAAGTGGTCAGGATAATCGATGTGATACAGAATGACTGCCTTTTTGGCCCAGCTCTCCACGATGCTTTTCTCGGCAAGGGTTTCCAGTTGAACAAGGAAGTTGTAGATCAACTTCCAGTGTTTACGGATGGCGGCGTAGTCCAGGAAATCGCGCCCATACCGGGTGTCCCTGACGTTGATGTTGGCTCCAGATTCAATGAGCAGGGTGACAGATTCTTCGTGATTTTCTGCGGCAGCGTACATTAGTGGTGTGATGCCATGGGCATCAATACTGTTCATGTTGTGCCCCGACTGAATGAGTGCTTGCATATGCCGAGGATTCGATACAGCCAGGTGAAGGGGTGTCTGCCCCAGGCTATTTTTCTCGTCTTTCTTAGATCGACTGATCCATTTGCTCACTGCCTCTGTCGACCCAAATAGTATAGCTTCGTGGAGGGGTGTCATTGCAGCGAATCCTACGTGTCGAGTGTTAGGGTCCGTTTCACTTCATGTTCCTTGCCATTTCTCATACAGTCAACGAGAATGCTGCAGACTTGCCTTGGTTGTGTTCACATATATTTGCAACGTATGCAATAAAGAAAGGGTCAGGAGTCATATCTATTATCCAATTTGGCGAGGACGGTTCCGGCCAATTTTGGAAATCACCTTCAACTTGGGATACATCGTAGCCAAGATCGAGGAGGGTTTCTAACAAATAGAAGTGGGGGCCTTTGCCTATCCATTTTGCACACTGGACAAGGAATCTTTCGCGACAAATCAGTTACAATGGTCATTCATAGTACCGCCTCATGAATGACGTACCTTGCATTTTCAGTCCCTTTGGTCATAGAAAACTCCCGCATGAAGAGGTCCAACAATGTCCATTGATTTTCTTTTAGTCCTCGATTGCATGGAAACCTCAAAAGCTCCTATACCGATTGTCATTTCCGAGAAGGCAAGAGTTTAGACATTGGCAAACTCACCTCAATGTAAGACTTCCCCTCCGGGTTGACGTGATTCCGGAAATTTGGATTTGCTCTGTAAAGCTGCCTCAGCCCGTCACAAGCCTCTTCATCCGTGATTTGCCGAGTTTGACATCTCCAAATAATTTCGAATCCCGGAGATGTGAATGGCACAATTTGCTCCACTTCGAGATAGGGACGAAGCGAGAATTTGCCTGCGGCTGCGACGACATAGACCTCAACTACGGCGGCCCATCTGATCCCGAATTGCGAGAGGGCAAACCGTAACGAAGCGCCGTATTTTCTTGCGTTGCAGGTAGCCCGATCGCAGGTTTGCTGGAAAGCCCCCCAAGGAGAATACTCTAGTGCCCAGAAGCGTCGGGACGTCCTTGTCGTATGATGGCAGACGCATGAGCACGATCTCGAGAGGCAGTCAATATTTGGCTTTGCTCTTGGCCTCTCTCTTCTTGATATTATAGCGGCTGCGGCGGCTGACGTCTGTGTCAAGTCTGGAGAGGCAGTCGGTGCCAACTCTGATGTCGGGTCTTGTTCGGATTCTATTGCCGTTGGGGTGTGGAGCTGACTGACTAGAGCCAGCTCTTTCAGCTGGTTCGAGTTTCTGTACGTAGTGATCCTAATAGGAGTTTGCATTGTGAGTAATTTAAGCAAGGTCAAGGCGCGTTGGACGCATGAGAATACGCACAGAATCAAGTTGACCTTCGCCCCCTGGATACTTCGCTGCAGACTTTCTACGTTCTCTTTCCAGTCTCGGAACGCCAGCAGCTTTAGCACATTCGTCTTCGTAGTGCTTCTTGACGTGGGTGGAAGTTTCGTTAACAGCGACTTCAAGTCTCGGACAACTTGGTCGCAGTCCGCTCGACAATGTTGAATGACAGAATCGTTGCGAAGGGATGTTTGCGCGTCAACGTCCTGCATCACATATGTCAAAAGATCTAGTTCACGGATGAGGGTGCTGATGTCGGTCGCAGCCTGGCCTGCGCTATCGCGAATAGTTCGCAGCTTGGTGATGCCTTCGCCAATCTGCACCGACAGAGATGCAAAGCCCGCCACTCCGGCAAGGATTCCGAACAGTTCAGCCATCTTTGGAAGGCAACATAGAAAGAAAACCGCAACGACTCGAGGCTCTTGAAGATAGGCTGGTTTGAGAGGTCCGAAAACGCTGGAAAGGGGACAGGAGGGGGGTAATGTGAGACCAGATAGAAATCAGGCTTCGCCAAAAAGCATTCTGCCTTCCGATTCGCCTGGTATGCTGCGCCGTCAGCGAAAACAAGGCGAGATGGCCTGGCCAATAAAAGAGTCGGCGTGCTCACGAACATCAATCCAGCATGAACTCAGCTTGGCAACGACGGGCATCTGTGACTTGTTGGCTGCGAGCGCTTATCAAAACAGGTTTAGCGCACGCGGCGCTGGCACACACGCTTGACCAAACGTTCTGAAAGACACATCGCCAGTTAAAACGGCACAGGGATATCGTTCAGTAAATCCTTGGGTCGGTCCGACGTCACTCACACAAAAGGCACATGGTATCCATAGTATCCATTCCCCGGATACACTGCCCGGAGACAGCTCGGGTCGTGCCGGTTGAGAAAGTCGGGATTTGTGGAGACACCCGAGCGGCGATATTCGGCCCCGGTCTCCGGCAACCGGCAGGACGTGCGCCCTCTCAGGCTCATAACACTGCGCGGGGCAGCGAATCCCTCCACGGGACTCCACCCCTTTCTGCGACGTTCACATTGATGAGGGCCAATTATGTTTTAAGGATGTGTTATTGTCTAAATTCAATACTCGTCTACCGAGATCCCAAACCGAACAGATAGGAAACAAAATGCAAAAAAAAAAAAAAAAGTGATAACGCCAAGAACTCACAACGCTCGTGTCATATTTTTAGGTTGAGAGAAAATCAATCCACCACGTGTGGAACACCCCTCTTCCACTTGAGTTCCTTACCATGCTTACTCTTGTGGTGCCTCGACACGTTATCCCGCCTCCCCTCGTGGTCGCACCCGGCATGCGGGCACGAGCGGATCTCGGAGCGCACGTTGGTCTTCTCGGCGACGTCCTTGTGGCGCGCCTGCAGGTGCCGCTCGAGGTCCCGCACCTGGGCGAACTTATGCTCGGCGCGGTGTTCGGCGCGGCAGATTGTGCAGACGAGGGCCTTGCGGTGGACGCGCTGGTGCTGCTTCAGCTGGGCCTCCTTGCGAAAGGATTTTGTGCAGCCGTCGGTGGAGCAGCTGTAGGGGTAAGGGCTGGCGCTGGAGCTAGAGGGGGGGTTTGTGTTGTCCGAGCCGGGGGAGGAGGTGGTCGTGCCGAGGGGCGAGCCGTCGGCGCTGGCCGGGAACATGGAGTACGGGTCGGCTTCGGGGAAGAAGTCGAGGGCTGGCTCGAAGGGGGAGGTGTTTGTGCTGCCGAAGTAGGAGGAGACCTGGTCGCCGGAGAGGTAGCCTGAGGCGGAAAGGTCGGGCAGAGGGCCGTTAAAGTCGAAGGCATCGGGGCCCAGGCTCTGCGCGACATCGTACAGGACGGTGGGGTCGTTGAAGATGTCCTGAGGAGAGTTGGTGGTTTGGTAAGTTGCCTCGGTGGCGGAAAGGTCAAAGGCGTCCATGTCGAAGTCGCCGGTGGCGAGCATGTCCTGCTGAATGAGCATTGCCCAGTCATCGCTCTCGTCCGGCATTTCACAGAGATCGGAGAGAGGTGACATTTGATACATGGTGTCATTCATGGTGTCGGGTGCAGCACATACCGGCTGGGCCCCAGAGGGCCAGCCTGTGGTAGTGACCGCCATATTGGCGACGGAGCGGGTGAACTCGGGGTGGTGTGTCATTTTCTCGCTTGGGTATCTGCCAACGGTGATCGTTGCAGCAGACAGGTCGTATAATTCCGTCTCAGAAGTTGAAAGTTGCTGGTAGAAAGTGTCGTTTTGGTAGAGGGTTGTTGACTCGGCGATTTGCTGAGCTAGCTGGTTTACGAATGGTTGCAGTTGTTTGAATTCTTGTGGACAGGCGCTATCAAGTTCAGATGGCCGATCGAGAAGTTTTACGACGTACTCGGGTCCTTGGCCAACCTAGGGGGCAAGCGTTAGAGGCAAGTCGCGCGTGAGAGGAGCGTAGACACAATGTCAGCAAGCTTACCGGTGCGAATAACCAACATCATCTTCGACACATTAGACAGACGACGACTGCGTCATGCCATCAGGTTCCCGAATGGAGACCTGTTGGCACGTCTCAGTAGTGTCCAGGACAGCAATTGTTGCTTCGTCTAGAGACTCCGGAACTAGAGCAAGGAAATCTGGAAGGCCGCGCTGATCCATGTTTGCAAGGTCCGAAAACCGGACTCTCGCCATTGCCTCACTTGGTATGGGGAGGCGGAACGAAGCAGTGCGTTGATTCTGGCAGTCACCACAAGAAATTGATGCGAGGCGGGACTGGGCGGTGTATGTTAGCCTCTCGTCTTGAGAGAGAAGAGCGTCTTGTATTTAGTCGTTCACTAACCTTGCGAAGTAACGACAGCACAGACATAGGTTGACGTCTTCCTAACGTCGACAGTGGTGTGGGCGAATGTCCTCCATCGTCGGAGCTGCCTCCCTCAAGAGAGTACAGCATCTCGTCGGATCTGACTGGGGTGAAGTGCGTCTCAGAAGCAGAGGCATCTCCCATGTCAGCCGAGGCCGTGACCCGAGGATCAGGAGTTGCCAAAGCATCGCTGCAAATCCATCGGCAGCAATGAGGGCCGCCGTCGAAATCGTGCGAGTTCCAGCGGTCTTGGACCAGTGGATCCTTGAAAGAAGCCATATTGGCTGCGTGGAGAAACGTTGCTGCAACTAGAGCATCTCACAGTACGAGATCGGCAGTAGTGCGTGGTTGTATCAATCGGTAAAGTTAGGTTTGATCGACGTATAATTGTTAGGTAAGGGTGAGGTGAGAAGGTAGGTAGAGGTTGAAGGTATTCGGAGCGGATGAGGAAGGAAGAGGTCCAAAAGTCGAAATGCTCGAGGGATGCCTGGGGATTTGAACTGTTCAGTGACTCAGGCCCGCTCCTTCTGAGTGGTTGCCTGTGCCGGTGTCCTGAAGGCGCAGCGATTTGGCCTCAGTGGCCCGTGCGTCGGTCGCTAGCAGGGATCGCCAATCTGCGGGACATTCAACACCGATTAAATGTTAGAGCTGCAATGTTCAATACTCCACGAAATCCTCCCACTGTGGATTTATCGAAGGAAAGAAGGTCATGGTAGCTCTATATTCTATGAGATCTAGGGAAATCATTCAGTTGGTATCTCTCAGCGAGTACGATATATTGCTGGATCTACGAGACTTTAGCTCAGCATCGCGATGGTCAGCATCAACGTACCCATGCGGGTAGGACGGGGCTGAACTGTGGGCGGAATCTAAAAGGTGGATCCATTGGCTCGCTCGCTTGGAGAAGAGCCCCACATGGCTCGAGAAAAGGTACAAAGTGACTTGAGGCCGCCGCAGCCTTCCCCGTGCTTTTTCATGCCAATCGCGCCGTTGCGCACCTCTCGACACGGAAATCTGGAAAAATAAGATGCAACTTTTTCGGCGACCCTTCATTTGGTTCAGTTGATTCACCATTATTGGCTGCCCTATTTGAGTCAGCCGAATAGATTGTCTGAGCTTCGATTGCCGTGGCTTTACTTTACGCATAGACCGAGGGTCAAATTGTTCTCTGCGTCGCTTTCGAAAGACTACCTTGCTTCCGACCACACGTTGCATCCCCGCCGACGACATCATTGCTCGAACACGCTCGCCTCCCAAGTCTCACGGCGGCGCAGCTCAACGATCTGATGCGACATGTCTCTGGCCCGGGGCCCGTGTCAACATCTTCGATAGCCATGCCCGGCATCTCCCCCAAATCTTCCTCTTGGCCGCCAACATTGATCTTTTGCACGAACGAATTATTTCTAAGCAGTTTGTCCCTCGGGATCACGACACTTCGCCGAAAGTCATTCAATCCTCCCGATGCGACACCGAATGTGGTTTGGTCGAACTCCTTAGAGCGGATGAACATCACGAGATGATTACTTAGTTGGCACCGACTGAGCATCAAAATGACACGATGATGAAGGCGTCAGTCAGCTCCGCAGAAGCAGGAGTAATGAAAACCCCACGCCAGGGGTCTTCCTAAATGCACCGAGCAAAACTAATGCGTCGAGAGGGAATCGATCCCATCAGAGTTGGATGTGGAAAGCACGACAAATAACTGTGCGGATGCCAGTAAAATGATACCCGGGCCCTCAACGAAGTGACTACCTCGGGCCATCCCGGATTCGTCCTGTTGATAAATAATGTTGGATTCCAAAGTGCCGTGCCAATTCAGACGAGATATCGTCCACGGTCTGATCCAATGCTGAGGGTTGCATCAGCCTTGCCCGTCGAAGGGAATCAAGGGTTGTCTTCTCGATTCTCGAATACATGTCGATCAGATACTCGCAAGCGAAGCAGCCGAAGGTAAGACTCGAAATTGATAACAGGTGGTGAAAGAAGGGAAACAACGCTACGCCGTCAAAAACGAGGGGGTGACAAAGCGGTGACGAAGTGGTGACGATTGATTGGAAGCTTTTGGCACGGCATATGAGGGTGCTGAGGTGGGGCTAGGTGGAGAAAGGTCAGTCGGAGTCGGACATGTTGCGGCCAAAAGCGATCTCTGCATAACATGTTGCAGAGAATCCAATCAATCCATGCCGAGTCTCTATGCTCTCAACTCAACTAGACCTATCCAGTCCATGCGTTGTTGCTCATAAATATAGTACTCCCCTGCGGATCATTGCCGGCGCGCCGGCGAAAATCTACAACGTTGAGACTGGCGTGGCTCTGCCTAGGAAATAGAGGACATCAGCTACCTTAGGGCGCACACCAGTCTCAGAAGACGACCCCGCACTAGGGGGATGCTAGATGCCTCCACCGCTCGCCTCATTACCTACAAATGTGGGGACGGCCTTGCGCAACAACTCTTGACCGGGCGCTAAAGACGGACTTCGGGAAGGGCAAAGAGCGCATTTACCAGTGGCATACGGATACTCAAAGGCCTGACCTAGGAAACGATCAAGACTTAGCTTTTGTTCTTGCGTCTATATAAATCCTCCCGCCTCCACCAGGCCTAAATCTAACTTCGTGTCTACTAATACCTCTGGCATCTAGTCCTTGCTCCTTTTCAAAATCGATCACTTCGTGCATCTCAATCATTAAGACATCATGACCATCTCCTCTGAATCCAGTGCGCCTCTCATCGCCGTCGTCGGCTCAACGGGCCTACAGGGCGGCAGTGTGATCAACAACCTTGCGGCATCGGATAAGCCTTACCGTATTCGTGGCCTCACTAGAGATGCGAAGAAAGAGAAGGCTCAGGATCTTGCCAAGCGGGGCGTCGAGGTTGTGACCGTTAATCTGTCCGCTGATAATGCTGAAGGAATCCAAAAGGCATTCCAGGGTGCAACCTATGTGTTCGTCAGTATACTTCCTCCCCGGATTGCTGCTCTAGTGTGACGCGGGGAAGACGCGCTGATTACCGAACTCAAAGATCATGACCAATTACTGGGAACACGTCGACAAAGACCGTGAGGCCGCCGAGGGCAAAACTTTGGTCGAGGCGGCCCACAAGGTCGGAGTGAAACTGCTTCTGATCTCCTCCGCACCCAATTGCACCAAGGCGACGAATGGAAAGCTCACAAAAGTTTATCACTTCGACTCGAAGGCGGAAATCCCCGATCACGCGCGAGCCGTGGGTGTGCCCTTTGTCGACATCCACGCCGCTGGGTACATGAACAACTTCACCACATTCACCCGTCCCAGATCTGCTGGGGATGGCTCTTTTGCCATCGACGGTACCTGGCCTGAGGACATGCGCATGCCGCTCCTCGACACCTACCATGATTTTGGTTTGTATGTCCAGCTGGCTATCGAGTCGGATGAATTCAACAGAGGAGATGGCAAAGTCATCTGGGCTTCTGCGGACCTGGTCACGCCTCCCGATCAAGTGAAGACCATCGCTACCGTCACGGGCAAAAAGATTGCGTACAACAGGGTTACGGAGGAGCAAAGCAGGGCGGGTATGGCGCAGGCTGGCCTCCCGCCTTTTGTTGTCGATGACATGATCGAAATGTTCAAATTTCATGAGATCTGGAACTCCGCCTATGAGGCCGGCAGTTACATCGACCCTGCCAAACTGGCACGTCGACCGCGCACTTTCAAGGAATATGTTGAGAATGAGGACTGGAGTACCGTGTTCGTGTGAAAGTCTCTGGGGGTTTCGAAGCATGCTTTGTATGTATCGTAACACATACCGGACTGGTAGGACCAGTTAGGTTTAAAAATCAAAGTCCTCAGTCAGGGGATCCACTTTTCGCCAGGCCAAAAAGGGTGCTATTAAACTTACCCAGTAACTTCCACTCGTTAATTCACTAAGGTACCTGAACTTACTACTTTAATACAATCGCCAGCCTTACTAAGTAAATCGGCCACGCTAAAAGCAGCTAAACTATCCTCACGGTCGCTGAACTTAATTTATGATCGCCTTTCGTTTTTATAGCCTCTACTTTTATGAGCATAAACCCTCATTGTCGATAAACTGGTCGTAACAATACTATAAGCGTGTTGTATATGGATATGTGATATTGAGTATTTGGCCCATATGAGGAATAGGAGTAGGCGTAGAGATGAGTACGGCGGGTGTCCGAATCCGGAATTTTCAAAAAGAACCTAGCCTGCTCGATGTGTTGGTCCCTTGCAGCTCGTCTAAACATGAACCACGACCAACAAACCATAGCTATTGTCAGTTGCTTGGCTTACAGTGCGACGACCTGCAAATAGAATATCCAGTATATGCAAGAAGGCAATACTTTGCCCTTATCGAACGTGTTCATTAGCTTTGCTTTTTTTACACGAGACATTCCCCGCCTTCAAACGAGGGCACTTTCGCCTAGCATCCCTCGTCTTTTCCCGAGCCAACCGCATCAACTCTGATTAGCAGTCCCCGTATTCTTTGCTGATCTTTGAAACGTCTCTGGCTTATCCTTGAAACTTTGACTCGTTTTTACGAGGCTAAGACCATGCACTCAACACGCGAGGAGATCAAGGCTGCTGTTGATGCGTATCGTGCTCATATAGCTGAACGCAATCGCCGTGCCCTTGAAGTCTACGGTGCGTGGGCATCGAGGACAGTCTTCGTGAAGTCAGACTGATCCAAATATCTAGTGCAAGTTGCCACGCAGGCTGAGCTGGACCCGGAAGATTGGGGAGATGTAGCCGAAGACATGAGGATAGACTGTTTTGGGAGCGTCCTAGCTCGGAATGATGCCCGGACCTTGATATCGAGTCCAGAAGATATACTCACGAAGTTCGATGAACTCGCACCGCTCTGCGATCTTGACGGTTGCGGGTGGTCTATTCCGACTAGCCATGATCGAGAGTTGTACTTCTCCCGTCTAGAAAGCGCTCTGAAGGCAAAATGTCTTGAGGAAGTTCGCGATAGCATCACCGCTCCTTCTGAGCTTCGCATTCTTGCGGAGTACGTGGGAGCATTGACTGGACCCGGGATGGGACAGACCAAGTGGACGTATCAGGCCATGTTCTGGACCGGGGCGGGCGCTGAGACGGGTGATTTGATCGATGCTACGGTCAGGAAACCTCATGAGCTGACAGTCGATGGTTGCTGGGAGGTCGCTGGTGGGTGGGAATCTGGGCATGGCGTTGAGAGTTTCTTTTATATAGTCTACTGCCGAAGACACCAGCCCAACGGCGAAGTTGAGCCCTGGGCTTGGCGGTATATGGCTTATGGCCTGGACGATTGCAAAACCTTTGATACGATCCCGGAGCTGCTCGAGTGGTATAGTCGATATCGGGAAAGAGAGGTACCTAACATTGAGGACTTGGACGTGGACGAGGTACTGGAAGGGCATATGTACTAGTTGGAATACAAACTCCATCGATGACACTCGATCGGTGGTTTACATAGAAGTACACCGCTGGTTACCCAAGGCAGAGTATGTTTTTGCCTTCGTGAATAGATAAAGAATATATCACCTTACCAAGTCACTCGGTGAGCGGATAGGTCGCAGTAATGAAGGTCTTGTCTTTAACTAAGTTACTTAGGCACCCAAGGTTAATCTACCGCAATTTTCAAAAATAGTGTTTCTTTATGCTCGGACAAGCCGAGAATATGAAGAAGGAGAAAAGTGCTACCCCGTAACAGAATGGTCAGATTACAGGACAAGAGACGTATGAAACGGCTCAATCCTAAGCCCTAGGCCGCATCGCAACCTGGAAAACAGCTCGAGCACTCGCCATAAGGCTTGGAGACGGAATGATGGCGGGCCGCGTCCTCAAGTCACGTCTGACGTTTACAGAACGAGCTTTTCGTCGAGCTTGAATGCTTCAAAGCTAGGGATGTCGTCGGCCGATGCGCCTGCCTCGACAAGCGAGACAAGCTCCTCGGTGGCCTGGCCAGTCTCGGCAATGGCGGTGTAGTTGTACTGGGTGCCGTCGGCGAGGTACAGGACGTTGGGCTGGGCGCACCCTTCAGTCTCCTCGCCATTGCGGGCGTCCAGGGCCGCACCGCGGATCATCTTTCTGTTGTTGAAACCGTAGCCCAGCCCGCCAAAGGGCCCGTTACCCAGGCAGACATAGTCGCGGCCGGCGCTGTCCTGCTGCCCGCGGATGGAGCCGCAGTTGGGCCCGGCGTGGCCACGCGCCTGGATGTTCCAGTTGCGCGGGATGGCCCGGAACGAGCCGCTGGCGAAATAGGTACCCGCATTGACGCTGCAGCAAGTGTTGGGGTTCCAGCCCTGGCAGATGTACCCGCCGCCGCTGGTGCTGCAACCGCCCGCAAACTCGAGGTGTAGGTCAATGGCCGAGGCGGCGGTGGCGAAGAGGCCCGAGACAAGGCTGACGGCGGCAAAGAACTTCATTTTGCTTGGTAAAGACGGAGTAACGATCTTGAGAGTGAAACTGTGCAGGTTGCTTGATGCAGGACTGGTTTCTTTGCTGAGAGGCCAAAGATATGGAGGTGAATGGGGATGGGTTCAATAGCTTCCAGACAGAGACAGGATCGAGCCTTTTATGCATTTCTGGAAGACTTTCATCACAGACTTTTTTGACATCTCGTCGCCGCGTCTCGTCTTCTCATCCAGTCTCGTCTGCTACTGCTCTCCTCTGTTGGCTTCTCGTGTAATTCATTGTTTCCGAGGCTTCAGGGATTGAAAGCGAGAGTGGATTTGTGTACTAGCCTTCTTTGAATGTGTAGGATGAGGCATGATGTTGCAATAACGTAAACGATGTTACAATACCATAAGCACAATGTTGCAATGGGTTCCTTTGCTGGGGTTACTAAGGCTGATTGCATTCATCGTCTCTTGGCGGAAGAAGACAAACGTTAAGCTATCGTGGGCGCGGCCCTTGGCGCAGGATCGTATTGCGGCGTACGTCTCGGACTCATGCACTCAAAAAAACCTCTCAGTGGAGAGGAGCCCACGCTTTCCTCAAATCGTTTAGGCTAATTGGATTCCAAGTCATTTTAGTCCTCTCTCTTTCCCTATGTAGCACTAGGCTCTAATATACATTATGCAGAGCCCCCTCCAACTTGGGTTGCCGAGGCTGACTGCATTCATCGGCTCTCCCCGGAGGAAGAGATGGCAAAATCATCGTCGGCTCGGTCCTTGGTGCATAGCTGTCAGGAGCAATGTAACGCTATTGAGAGGCTCTGCGCCGTACGCTAATGCAACTTGTCTAGGAGTATATCCACCTGGTCGCCCGAGTGCCCTATGTATACAATAGCGCAATATAATTGGGAGTGGATACGAGGTGCTGCATAGTATTATACATAACATAACTTGAACGGAGTTAGAACTAAAAGGCAACGGTTTTAGAGTTGAAACCGGTTGACCACCGAGTCATTTGCTATTAGCAAATGCATCGGACTCGACAGTAAGCGAGGTGGGAGTAGCCGATTGGCTAAGACTTTTGCTGGGGTGTGGAGGGGGGCTGTGTCCCACTCTTATTATGTTCGTCTGGCTAATGAGAAGCCAGAGACTATTCTAACCGCTTTGCCAAGTGAATACCCGATTAGAAGCCGTTATACATATCCTCGAACTCTGTATACTCAGCCGGGGGAAAAGAATCATGTTTTTGCTACGGTGGCTCGATGGTAGATGTACCTGAGAACTGCGTGGGAATATCCTTGATGATGGTTTAATCCAATCAACAGTGAATGTCTGTTCTTCTTCCAGAACAAGTGCTGATGGCATATTTCGCTGGGAAGTGACATCCAGACCCTCCGGCGCCGGGGCCGGCAAGTGCGGGATTTAGGATTCCCCAGGAAAGGCGACTGGCTCAACAGAGTGTTCCACAATGAGTTCATCCTCCTCGTTGTCTGTTTGCGATTGGACATTGTCCACCTCATACTCATTTGTCCCGCTGATGCCGCCGCCGGCAGACCTGTCCGTGTGCCGGATGATTCGAATCTTCCACGACCATGCTGCTTCTCCTGCAAATGATCACAATCTTTGATCAAGCACTTCTGGGTCGAGATCAGAAGGCTTGGAAGAAAGACTGGGTGTTGGTGCAAAGTCGTCCAAGTTGCCCGTCCAATCTGTAGACGGTTCGGGCAAAGTGGAAAACTCAGTGCAAGAATCCATAAATTCGTCCAAAGAATCCACAACTGAGCTTGGCGAAAGGAAATGTGGCTATCCTCATCATTTCGAGGTCCATGTGTTATATCAGGAATTATCCAATCGGAAAGCAGGCCTGTATGGTCCGACTCTGCTCCATCGTGCGGGAGTCCCGTCCTCGAGCTGAGTTTACAGCCTGGATCAGTCGCCCCAGGGCTTCCGTTTCTTCTTTTCGCTTCTGCCGTCGGAAAGCCTGACCCTGTTTCAAACCCTCCTGCTATCAAGCCACGTTTACCTATCGGAGAGGTCCTCCATTGTGAGCATTGGAACGACGATAGGCAAGACGAGCTTATTCCTTCTTATGACGACGCACTAGGCGCGTTTTACTTTGGTCAGGAGAAACTTGGACGGAAGATTTAGAGCGATCACACGAGCCGCCATGTGTCCACTACTAACCTAGATGGACGCGAGGTTTATAGAACAAGCTTGGACAACCGAGGATTTAAGCTTAAATAGGGAATGGACAAGAGTTACTATATGGCTCTACCTGGGTCACACATCAAGTTGAAGACTCACGTTTGCTATTTTGATCATCAGGTTCAGCCCAAAAGAGCGGAAAGCTCAGAGACTTCCCCTCCGATTTCTGCAGAGTGCCAATTTGTAGAAGTATAATCCCACTTCAGAACTATCACAGAGAAGCTTTTCATCATAGCCGTGTTGTGTGGCCGACAGTTCTTTAATCTTAACTCAGGGTGGTCTCCCCAGGACAGGAAGGTTTCTTTTTGCATGATGCGGCAAATGGCGCAGGCCTCCTAGGCAGCGACATGCAATTGATTAAATGTAGCATTCGAAAGCGGAAGTCGTCACCGGTCGCTGAATCGTCGGGTGGATAGAATAAGGCGTTGTCGAGGTCCAGGCATAGTAGACATGAAGTGATGGTCATAGCTCATTCGGAGGGTTTAAGGAGCTGTCGAGCGTTGTCACTAAATGCTTGAGTGTCTTTCTGATCTCCTGGTCTTAGATCTCGGACATGGTGGAGCGAACGACACTGGGCCGACGGCACATCGAGTGTTATCGAAGCAGATTGATCAACGACAAGAATGTGCGTGTGCCATGAAGTAAGTCCAAGGCGGCATCAGGCCATTGGCATTAGGCGGCAGTCCCGCAATAGATAGAAGCACCCCAAATGACCATTGCTTGAATTTGATTGGCAGCCCAGTTCCCAACTTGGATGGTCGGATCGATGTGAGTTGTGGACGTGATTGGCAGTCTGTACCTCATTATATTTGGGGTAATCACGTTAGGCTGATAACTCTGCATAAATGCTGAGTACGTTGTCCGGGCTTAATAAGCGGCTTGCCTCGCCGTGCCTAAGCATCATAATTCTCAAAAAGTTTGATTTATAATCAATCTGCTGTCTGGCCACGACGTCAAACGGGATGAGATTTGGGAACTGATCAAGTGCCCCCTTGCCTTAGGAAAATTTGCTCCACCAGGTTTCTCGAAGTTGCTTTTGAGAAATAAAGCATTTAGACCCAAGCCTTTCGAGGGTTCTTTTTGCAGCCTCTCCATTGGATACGACAGTTGCACATCACGTCATGGATTCACAAATGGGTTCCCAGGTACAGCCAACTCATGGGGGAGGGGGGCAGCGAGCCACTGTTCGTGTGAGTTGACCCGAAGAGTTAACGTCATGTCGCCTCTCTTAACACTACAATATAAGGCTTGTGACATGTGCCGCAAGAAAAAGATCCGCTGTGAACCTACCTCGCAAGGATGCGCTCAGTGCACCAAATATCGCACAAGGTGCCACTTTACGCTAATTGCAATGAAGAGGAAGCCTCGCAGACCAGCTGGGTTAGTCTGCTACTCTACTCCATGGAACTTGCACCTGTTCAACGTTCCGCAGCTTCAAATACATCGCACAGCTTGAAGAAAGGCTCTCAGCACTAGAGAACATGAACTCTCAAGGAGAAAAGTCTACTGTGCCAGGCAACAATTTGCGTGAAGAGCAAACCAATCCCGCAGTATCACCCAACACAGCGGCACTGATCAAATTCACGAGGGAAAGTAATTCATGGATTCCAATGAGCGAGTCACATATTCCGTCACCAAAACACACCGGTAGTCCAGGAGTTGATCTTGACGTTGCATTGCGCGCACACAACTACGGCCAACCCGATTTTTCCGCGATCCGTGGTTTTGTAATTGACCCCATAGCTGGCAGCCCGTGGCCTCATCTTTCCCCAGAGTCACGACCAGTTTCTCTACCAGGGCGCGGGCAGCTTCCCTTAAAGGCAGTCGCTCTGGAGCTGGTCAAGGAGACTTTCAACAACTATAACAGGTTCCTTCCGCTTTTTAACGAAGAGGACTTCTTGAGAGAGTTCCACCTCAAGTACTCGACCTCTAACCCCGAAGATGCCAGTTGGTGGGCGTGTCTCAATGTAGTGTTGTCGATAGCTCATCGCCTCCGTGGCCTGCGCACATTAGACCCCACGCATGAGAACAATCTAGCTGATGTTTACACAAAAAACGCCCTAGGCGTCGTCTCCGAATTGAACGTCGCTAGCATCTCTGCCGTCCAAGCTCTAGTGGGTATGGCTTGTATTCTCCAGGGGACCCCGAATCCGGAGCTGGCGTCGATGCTCGTCGCCGCCGCCCTGCGACTGGCACAGGCTATGAATCTGCACAGAGAGGCTTCCGACCCAACCCTCACGGAAAAACAAGCCGAAATACGGAGACGAGTGTTTTGGAAGGTATATGTTCTTGACAAGGATATCAGTCTACGGACCTGTCGACCCTTCAGCCAAGATGATGATGACATGGATGTCCGACTGCCATCAAATACAAACCTTGAGACATGTAACGTGGAGCTCTTCAACCATCGCGTAGGACTTGCGATTATTCAGGGTCAGGTGTATAAACAACTGTACTCGATCCGGGCCGGACGACAATCGGAGGCACAAAGGGCAATTGCGGCACAAGATTTAAGTTCTGTGTTGTCCTATTGGAAGTCCAGTGCGCTGCTGGAACCCCTCGAAGACTCCCTGATCTTGTCAGGATCCCAAGTCGCAGGCGAGATGATCCATAAGATGGTTTTACGACTCACATATATCCATTGTCTGACAATGATTGATCGCCACTTATCCCCGACGGCGCGATCTCCCTTCGACCAAGAAATCAGCCGGTCTGGAATATTATTACACCCGGGCAGTCTGTGCCTCGCTGAGTCACGCCAAGCGATCCGTCTCATTGAAGCCATCCCTCACGGAGACTGCTCCTGCATCTGGTAAATAGCCTCTTGGGATCCACAACCGTTCTGCATCCTTTCTCTGACTTATTATAGGATGCTTCTTCACTCTTTCTTCGCTGCAGCCAGCAGTATGCTCTACAATCTAACACAAAACCCGACATCGCCGAGCGCACTCTCAGACCTCCATCTCCTGAAGCCATTTCTACGTCTGCTAGATACACTTGCCAAGAATCCAAGAGCATACGCACAATCCGAGGAACTCAGACAAATGCATAATACTTGCACCAACTTGCACAACGAGGCAAACAAGGCTGTTCATCTTTTCCGTCTAGAGTACACAGCGTCCTTTGCATGATCATTTCAGCGTAATTGTTTGCGAACAAGACCACATTGGGATTTTAACTCACCCACAGAAGCAGTATGGATGCTGTAAACCCAGTGCCGGTCCTGCGGGATGCTCGGGATGGCTGGACTGGCTTCTCGCGACCCAAATAATTATCACGAACCGGGAAGCAATACTGAGGTTCAGTCTGTGCCCGCAAAGGACCATAGTAACGTGAAATACTGAGGACGAGATATACAATACAGGACTCACTCATTCATGGCACTATTTTACAACTCTGTAAGTATAGAAGTGACCAAATTCACACCATCAACCCTCAAAATACACTCATGCACAACACGAAAGATACGCAGAAGGCAAATGAAGTTTCCCTAGATGATTTGATTCTATCCCCAATACGAACAACAGCCCCTCTTCATTTCTACTCGCCCTCGCAGCAGTGACTCGCCCTTGCAAGACACACAATCCCCCCTCTAACCATGACTCACTGCAACCTAATTGGTCTCTTGAAGCTTCAGAACCTTCTGCACACTCGGGCGTGCAAGCATGTTGTCGTGCCACTTCTTGACGTGCGGAAAGTCATCCTGATTGAACTCGGCGTCCGGGATTCGCGGCGAGGCCGTGTGCTGCCACATAAAGAAGGCGATATCCACGTACGAGATCCGCCCGCCCAAGAACCAATAGTTCCCTTCCGCGTCCGGTGTCTGCTTTGCCAGGTGTCCCTCCAGAACAGAGGTCACGCGGTTAACCTCCTTGACATAGCGCTCGCGCGCCTCGGGAAGTGGCTGATAGATAATAAACCACATCGCCTGCCCGTAGTACGGTCCCTGGCCGGTGGTCTGATAGAAGAGCCACTGACGAGCGTGGTAGGCCGCAGCTGTGCCCGGCTCGAAGCTGAGCTTGTGAGCCGTGTCGTATTTGTCCGTCAAGTACTCGATGATTGCGCCCGACTCCCACAGGGTGAGGTCTGTGTTGGGATCCTGGATGGACGGCAGCCGGCCGTTCGGGTTAATGGCAATGTACTTGGGGTTCTTGACGTCGTTGAGGGGGATGATTTCCGTCTCGTATGGGAGTCCGAGCTCCTCGCAAAGGAGAATGACCTTACCCGCGTTAGGCCCATGGACTCCCAAGACTTTGATGCTCTTCATGTCCGCCATATTTGTTAAGGTGTATCGGGTTATATAATAACTGATTGTAGAATGAAAGCTTACGAATCCCTTCAAGTGGTGTTTAATTGATAAAAAAGCGCAAGATGAACGGACTTCTTATCTCTTTTTATATTCATCACCGCCTTCTCCCTCACAGTTCAAAGTATAATGATGAACTCTACTGCTATTCCTCTTGAAAGTATACAATACTCATCATGTGCCGGCTTGCAAGTCGGGAAATGTTGACAATGCTACACGGGAGGTTTAACTCAACCCAATACACTCAAGGAGCCAACGTATAGCAAATATCCAAGCTTACACAACCACTGGTCGAGAAAGTCAGCCAGGAGCGGAGGACTCGAGACAGGACTCCTATTGGTGACGAACGGAATTGGACATGATGCATGCAAGTTCGGACCCTCCGAAGGGTCCGGGTCCGTGATTACACAATGGATTCCTGACTGTCTGATCCGCGACTGGCTTGCATCCCTGTTAGGCCTAGTAATTGAATCTCTGTAAGCAGCACAACACCCACGCAGCCCTAGGACAGACATCACTACGATAGGAATACCGCATGCTTACAAACACTACCAGCGGAAGCCGCGCCGCCTTGAAGCGCTTGAACGATTACCAATTGCGCATTTCAATCACCCGTTCCGATCTTTGTCTCAATGAGAAGATGAGCATATAAATGAAAACACAGGTCTCCAGCTATGTTGATTTCTTGCTCTTCTGCACATCGTCAGACATCCCTCTCACATTTCCAACCATGCCCGAAACATCTCCTGTCGTTCTTATTCGCGGCGCGGGGCCAAAGGCAGGCATACCAGCCGCTAAGGCCTTTGCCTCCAAAGGCTACAAGGTTGCCCTCGCAGCCCGGTCACTAGACGAGGCAGACAGCACAGACGATCAACTCCGCATCAAAAGCGACTTCGCCAACCCTGATGATGTTGTCAGAGCCTTTTCAAATTTCAAAGGTAGAGCTGGGAATCCCCAGCGTAATCATCTACAATGTTAAGTCTTGGCACCAAAGGACTGTAGCTGAATGCCCTGCTAAGGTTTCACGGCCGGCGCCGCAACGTTCTCTCCCCCAGGTGACCCCTTTGCTATATCATTAGATTCTTTCCAGCGAGACATGACCGTCAACAACACCAGTGACTTTGTCGCATGCCAACAGGCTGTCCTCGGCTTCGCGGATCTGCCTGCCGATGGGCCGAGGACATTCTTCTTTACTGGGAATATCCTCAACGTTACAGCCATCCCGCAGTTCCTGGAGTCGGGCGCTGGCAAGTCGGCGTCTGCGCACATGATGATGGCTGCTGCCACTGAATACAAAGAGAAGGGATTCAAGTATGCCCTCATCACCTTGCTTTGGCGGCTACGTAAGCGTGACTAAGAGTTTGTAGGTTTTATTATGTTGATGAACGGAAGGCGGACGGTTTAGCAGCTTTCAAGATTGATAGAGAAGCGCATTCTAAACTCTTCTTAGCGCTAGTAGAGGGAAAGACGCAGGGCCTATGGTTATAGACCTTTGTCAAGGGCAATGGATATAAGGATTTCGGCCATTATACCCCTTGTTCGCTATTCGACCACTTGTACCTTGGCCCGTTCAACGTCGCCATTAAAATCTACATCAATTATATGTTTCGTATTATTACCTATTCGGACAATGGATCTAGATATCCCGTCGAGGATTCTACTCGCGAAGAACTTCCTGGCTACCCCATTCTTTTGGCCGCGAAAAACGATTTCTCGATGGGGTTTGGTGCTATCCATGTCCAAAAGGAACCGAGTAGCGACTATTACAAGCGAGTCGGCTGGACGGAGTTGAGGCATCCAGCGGCTGACTCAACTAACTCCAAGAAGGAATTGAAGAACAAATATCAGGAAAATGCGGCCACTGTTAGAAGGCTAATAGAAGATCTACCAACGCAAAGGGCTAACTTGATCTAGGGAAAACGCCCGCTATCGGAAAAGTCCGAGGGCTCACTTATCAGGAAAACTAAGTGACCAGTTCGGCATGAGTCTATGTCTTCTTCGATGCTTTGCAATGAGTTTCTCTGAATCAAAGAGCAGGGGACAAGAAGTTAAGGTTCTACTAGCATGTGTGTCGTTTTTGTGAAGAACTACAGCTGTGTTGATTCCTTCACAATGACTAGATTACCTCAACCTCCTATGTTTATGATGTGGTCCGCGATCAGCTTTCACAGGTTCTTCCGCATCACTATGTAAGGTAGTGTTAACGCATTACATCACCTTGATACTCATCCTGAAGGCGCTGGGGTATCTTCGAAAACCTTCCATTGCGCCTCAACGACATTCCTCTATGTACAAAGAGTAATCAAAAACTACCTAAAGATTAAGCAACCAGCAAAGGTTCTCTACTTATACGCACGTGACATTAAACTCGCGCCATCGAGTCGAAGGGTGAGCAGCTGACAGACCGCCCTCAACCGACGGATTGCCTCGACAACAAACACATTGGCTCATTCCAACCGCAAGGATCACTGCAAAACTTCCTGCTCTCCAGCCAATCCCGGCATGCCATCTGCCCAGCACCAAACGCCCAATTCAGGAGCCACGAACGGGGGGGAGTGCGTGAGTTTGAGCAAGATACTTGCATCCGCGCTAGCGCCCGCCGCCCCCGCCATCCGTCGACTCTGATTCGTCGCCCAGGCAAGGAGACTATTCCCATCTTGAGCCTCTCGCCCAATATCAATGTAGCAAGGCCACTGTCTTCCACGCGAAAAAGGAAAATTGAGTCCCGCTCAAAGACCTGCCTTTGACATCCATCCCCTCGCGAAACCTTGGCACCTTGACTTGAAGGAAAATAAACTTGCTCAATTGGCGCCCTCTATTGGCCTATCTTCCCTGGGCGGGGTTCCTCTCCTCGCGGCCTTTCACTCCGTATCGTCTATGCTTTCTCCCCCTCAGTCAAGATGAATGGCCTCCCGTGTCATGGGAGCCTTTCTGTTTCTACCGCACACCCGCCAGCTAGCCACTCCTCACAGGACGACAACATGGATTAGTACAAGTTCAGGCCGTTTCTGTTTGCATTGTGGCGTCTGAGGGAGTTTTCTTTGCGCAGGAGCTGGGCTGGCTACCTTAGTCAAACTGCCACGATGCATACAGCTCAGATCCTTGTTTGCATGGCATCCCAGAGGTAAGGATAAGCTACCCATTTAAGGTATGCTGCAGGTGTCTCGCGCGGAAATGATTTGTTTATATAAATGCTTGCCTCGCAGATATCTCCCAATAACCCCTTCATCCCTCCCCTTCTTCATCTTCTTGGCAATACCCTCCCATCGTTGATCCCTTCCTCTGAACTCGCTGTACAAAGTTACAAGCTTCGTCGATCCGATAAAACACCATGGCCCCCAAGACCCTCCTCCTCGCCCTCGGCGCCGCTCACTTTGCGTCCGCCCACTTCGGCCTCGCCTACCCGTCATGGCGCGCCGATACCCTCAGCGGAACGAACTTGACGGGTTACTCGCAGTGGACATACCCCTGTACGGCCGTCTTCCCCCTTCTTACCCTCTGTCTCTCACTCCTCCCTTGACTTCCCCGAGCGCAAAAGTGACAAAGTGGCAAAACCTGACTTGGTCAAACACAGGCGCCGGCGTACCCTACGGCAGGGGAAACGTAACAGACTGGCCTCTCGATGGCGGCTCTATCGAGCTCGACCTGCACCACGCCTGGACCTACGTCTTCATCAACCTCGGCCTCGAGTCCGGCGGCAACGTCACGACGCACAACATCACCCTCACCCCGCAGTTCTGGAACGCCACCGGCTCCGGCACCCTCTGCGTCGAGAAGCTTCCGCTGCCGACACCTGCAAAGGACGGCCAGAGGGGTAGCATCCAGGTCGTGACTGTCGGCGAGTCTGGATCTGGACTGTACAACGTATGTCACTACTCTCTCCGTGTGTCAAGTACTTGAAAAAGCCGTGATGGAACAAAGGTTCAGCAGAGAGAGAGAGAGTATGATGCTAATGCAGGTGGGTAGTGCGCCGATATCCGCTTCACTTCGAACGCCACCACCCTCCCCTCGGATCAGTGCAAGACCGAGGGCGTGACTGTCCACACTATCCAGGAGCAGAGCGCCAACGGCACCAGCGGGAACAGCACCGGCAACTCCACCACCGGTGGCGGTTCCAGCGGCGCGGCGGGCAGTGGAGCCCATATGCTCGCCCTCTCATCCGTCGTCGGTCTCAGCATGGCATTCGTCTTTGGCATGAGCGTATGAGACTGTCGCTGAAGAATAGAGACTGCACGGTGAAGGTGACGGTGTTGTGTGGTGAAGACATCATGAAGGAAAAGGGGGTGGGCACAGCATGAGAAATGTGTTTGTGCTTCTAATGTACATGAATGATTTGATACCAGTTCATCCTCTGGATGCCGACATGATTATGAAAAAGAAAATTCGTCAAAAAATGCTATGCTCAAATATATGGGTGTATATGTGAGATGCGACCAATGTGACCAAATGCAATGCTACTTGACCTGCGTCAATGTTACTGAACGGGGCCGGCGTGAATCTTCCCCCCCTCCCCCCCTTCCCAGAAAACACTTACTCAAAAACCATGCATGCTACTTTCTCAACAGCAGTGGTATCTCTCGCAAACCTCATGCAACTTCATGCGCGCACTGCTGTGGCAGTGACGTCTGTCTCGACCAAACGACATGTGTACGTGTATATCCAGATTAAAATTGACGTCCCCCCCCCCCCCCCCCCCCCACAAAACGGCAAAAAAAAAACACAAGGCGAAAACAGAAACACCCGCCCCACACACTCGTGCACCCCCCCCCCCCCCCCCCCACCCCCCCCCCCCCCACCGCCCCCCCCTCCCCCCCCCCCCCCCCCCCCCCCCCCCCCCCCCCCCCCCCCCACCCAGAAAAAAAAGGGAAAAAAAAAGCAAAGGGGAGCAAAATGATTACCTCTTCGCAAGAGCTTGCTGCTCCATCACATACAACTCCCTCACGACACGGGCCATTGTAATCCTCTGGCCCGGCCCGGGAATCAACATATCACAAACAAGCCGCTCCAGCTTGTCGCGCGGGTACAGCTTCTCCCTCGCCAGCGCGACCTCGCTCAGCCAGACATACATCAAATCGACGGGATGCGAGCACGGGAGCCTGTGCTGCCCCGGCTGCCCCGGCTGCAGTGTCGGCCCGGGCCGATTCACGTCGGCAATCATCCAGTACAGCGCGGGCTGCTTCCCCTTGCGCGAGCGCGCGTCCGGGAAGGGAATCTTGCCGAGGACGTAGAGCATCGTCACGCCCAACGCCCAGACGTCGGAGGGCGGGCCGCGGAGCTTCTTGCCGATGAACTCGGGCGGGATGTAGTACGGCGTCCCGCCCGTCGTCACGGGTCCGCTGGTGTGGGTAGACAGGCCAAAGTCGCAGAGCACGGCGCCGCGGGTGGGCGAGTAGAGGATGTTGGCGGGCTTGATGTCGTTGTGGACGAGGTTCTTGCTGTGGAGGTAGTGCAGGGCGCCGCTAATGTCGCGCGCGATGGAAAAGGCGTCGGCGCGGTCGCCGAGGAAACTGTGGTCTACGTGGGAGCGCCAGACGCCCTTGGCCGAGAGGTCCTTTGCGTCGACGTGCTCCATGTAGAGGGAGAGGTAGCGGGCGTCGCCGCCGTAGAGCTTCACGATGGACTCGTGGCGGAGATCGTCTTGGGACTGGTACTCTCGGAGCCACATGTCGGCCTGCCGGATCACGTTGCGCTCGTTGTCCTGGGGTTTGGAGTTTGCGGTGGCGCTGTTGGCGTTGGCCGGGCGGGTCTTGAGGACCTTGACGGTGACGATGCCGTCGGGGACGTTGGAGTGCTCGGCGGTAAAGACGGAGGAGAGGGTGGTGGAGGCGATTTGGTCGCGCTTGGAGACGGTGTACTCGTCAATCTCGCAGCCGCCGGGGATCACGACCGTCTCTTCCTTTTGCATGTCGAGCAGAGCGTGGCCGTTGGTCGCTATGAGGTCTCTGCCCTTGGCTTCTGTGGGCAGGGGAAACACGAGTGGTTGCGCTTGTGGTCTGAGGAACATAATAACGCCGTCTTCGTTTTCCTTCTTCGCCATGCCGGCCTCCTCTGTGGTGCGGGCCTTCTTCTCGGACCGTAGCTCACCATCGTCGTCGGTGAATGATCGTTTACCCGAGGCGTTGAGGGCATCCAAGTTTGAGCTTGAGGGTTGTTCGTCTTTGATGTCCGACTCGGCCTGTTTAAAGTAGGCGGGCCGCTTCTCCAAGATCCTAAAGTCGAGGACTTCGACATCTCTGACATTGATCCTCCATGTACCTGGTGATAGTGCCTTGGGGGTTCCCGGGTTGACACCCCAGCTGGCGCAGGAACCGGGACCGTCAGAGATCCTCGTTAAGGAGATGGGCACCTCGGACCTGTTCAGCAAGATCTGGTTGTCGCTCGTCGGGTCATAGTAGAGCTCGCACCACAACGGCGGGCGGGGCGTGTTGTCATCCAACCGCTCCGGCGGGATGCGCACAGAGAACTTGATGTCCCGGGACGTCTGGGAGACGGCGAGGACCTTGTGCTGGGGTTCCTGCTCGGAGGCGACCTCGGCGCGGAGGGCAAGCCACTGGCAATTGTAGTTGCCCGGGCTCACCGAGCGGCTCCGAGTGAGGGGTCGGACGAGGATGCGGATGCCCTGCTTATGGTGGTGCTCCTCGACGCGCAGCTTGTCGAGCGGCACGGGGTCGGCCTGGACGAGGTCAAAGGGCTCCTCTACGCGAATGTTCCTCATGCGGGCATCGATTTCAGATTGAGAAAATGGTTCCGTCCTTTCCTCCGACGGCTCCTCCGAGCCGCGGACCCGGCGATCTCCCATCAAGCGAGGGAAGGGATGACGATGTTGCCTAGCCTCCCGTGGCCCATGCGCGGTTTGATGGACGATGACCGGCAGCTACGGATGGATACCTTACGGAGGGAAAGGGGATGACGCCTGGCACTACGGACGGCGGGTTCTGTGTTGGGAGGTGAGTCGTCGTCGTCGTCGTCGTCGTCGTCGCAGTGGCAAGAAGGTGAGTAAGTCTGGCCGGGATGGGTTGGCCTGGACACGTAAGTTTGGTGTGAGGTAATATGTCGTCTATCCCGGTATGGCCAGGCAGAAAGATGAGTAGTTGAGTGAGAATTAGATGGCGCGGGCAGGGTGAGCGTGGTCAGGTCCTTTGTGACGGGCAGGGTTCAGAGCGCAGCCGTCTCTCTGTACGACGGCCGAGGCGTGATTTATGAATGAGAAAAGGGGAAAGGAACAAGAAGAGAGAAACGATTTCTCTCCCAGGTACAGATGCAGGAACAGCACGGCATTTACGAGCCTCCTGAACACTGCCAACAATCTGTTCCTGTTGGAGAAGGACAGAAGGGCAGTACTAGACGTCAGATGAACAGATGGACAGATGAGCCAAATGTCAACTGGAGAGCAGGCGACGGCGGGGAACGGGAGAAACGGCGAGGGAACGGGGTTGAGCTGACTTGAATTGACGGGGGGAGGGACCTTGGGACCTTATGGGAGGGCCTGCTGATGGAGTCTCAGCCTCAAGTAGTTTATCGGCCGACCAGTATGGCAAAGATACCATGGTAAGATTACGCTGCTCTAGCAGCAGCTCGAGTCTTGGAGTGAGATTCGCTCCAGAGGTCAGTCGGTCAGCACACACAAGCGATTTCAGTGTGTGGCCATAATTGAGGGACGAAACATCAGAATTACGCACTGGCACTGAGCATGGAGAATGAGTTTGGAACGCGCGAATCCGCAGGTTAAAGAGTCACCGAACCTTGTGGAACGAGACTGGTGCCTGGGACCGGTTGGCCTTGGGGTCTTGGGGAGGGAGAGAGGGGAGGAGGAAGATAGACTGAAAAGATGGGCTGGCCGGGGCTACAGGGCTTCGAACCGAGCACAGCGCTGGAGGCCAGGAGGGGAGATCGTTCTCATTTGAGATCTGATACGGCGCCAGCCCTGGTCGACCGAGGGGTCAAGGTATCTCGCCGGCGAATGTGTCGTGCAAAGTGACATTGCGTTTTTCGTGTGAGCGAGTGTTCAGCAGTTCATCGCTCATCATGCCAAATCGGGATGTTGACCATTGCGGAGCCACAACGCGTCTCATTCACTCGCTTGAACGGCACGCAGCTCAAAAGATCAGGATGAGTGAGACGACAAGTCGACAGGTCTCGCAGGTCTCGCAGTGCCCGCCAGGCCCTAGGCAGTTGACCAAAACCGGAGGCAACGGAGGTGAACGGGACAAAGTCACTTGACCTCTCCGTATTCACGCGTAGAGGCGAATGAGATGAGAACTGTATAAACAGAGACAGTGGCCCATCCGTGACGGGGACAGCTGCGGAAGTAGTTTCTTATGAGAATACTGTTTGTCCAAAGATTCAGACGGAATTGTCAGGCTGATTTGACGCTGGCCGCAGGTCGCAGAGTCGGATAGGTATCGCGAGTCGGAGCAGGGCTATGACACTGCGAAAGGAGTGGATTACAATGAATCTTGGTGAGTCGAAATGTGCCTCGGATGAGTGAGAACGGCCGCTGAGCAAGGAGTGTCTCGGTGATTGGCTCTGGAAGCGAGGCTTGATGACTGAGCCATCCCGTTGGATTTGTGTCGCCGCCTCTCGTCATCCACCCCGACTTTGCTTCTTCATCCTTTTCCCACACTTTTTTCGTGCCGTGGCGGGAAGCAGGCTCTCACTTCTGTTGCCACGAAGCTGAGAGCCCAACTGAACAATCCGAGCCAAACGGAGAGAGGGAGAGCCTGGCACGCCGCCGGCCTGACTGCGCCCGGGCCAGGTTAAAATGTCGTCTCGTGGCTTGCGTAAATGGATACGCTAAGACACATGCAGTCTTAGTAAGCACTCTCATTGGCCAGGGCCGAAGACACCATGCCACCCTGTATCATTTACGCATTTTCCATTGGCTCGCTAGAGTGGCGGAGTCGAAGAAAGTCAGGCTAGCCCTGCACTCGTGTCCCGGTCTCGTCGGACACGGCAGGGATCTGGCGGCACCCGCAGGGCTAATGTTGGCGCTAGCCAGCGCTAGCGTCGCCGGGTCCCTTGCACTTTCCCGTCATCTTTTCAATTCTCTCCGGCCGCACGTGACTTTTGGCGATGTTTTGAATCGGCCTGATATTCGTCCGACTCTGGCTTCACCACATTGCGTTCCGGCACCCCCCCGACCAACTCATTCCCGCGCTCCTCAGTGTCTCCACGCCCTGAAACCGTCCATCATCACCACCAACGAGCCCATCAACACTCCCCCATCTTCGCGTTTTGCTCCTCACGGACACCTGAACATTCACAATGGATACCCTCTACAGTCGCATCTAAATGTCTTCCATGTTGTCACTAAAAGCCTACCGTTTTTACCATCGAGCAAGCCGAAGCCACGGGCCTCAACAGCCACCCTTCATCCCCTTCCTCCGAACCACCTGAATCGACCTTCTCTCCACTCCGACTTTCTCTACCATTCGACTACTACGCCGCGTCGTCGACTCTTCTCCTCAGTACCGCTACGCCCTAACATGGACGAACCGGGTTGTGCTTGGCCTTTCTGGAAGTTTGGGATGAAGAGAGGCGATCTCTCCACCAAACTGCACGACCAATACAACACTATTCCCTCCAGCATCCAGGACCCCGACGCCTTTCACCATGATGTCTGCGAGATTTCCCACGTCGCCGATACCGCCGACGACTTTCACCGTCTGATGGCCGGCCGTAAGGAACAGCGCCTCAAGGAACTCAACGCGTCGCTTGATCTCGCTGCTGTCGAGATCATCGCCAACCCCAAACTCGTCGGCACGGCGCAGTGGTCGTACGCCCTGCAGCTCTTCCGAACACGCTCGCTCGACTCCCTGGTGCGACTGTTCTCAAGCTACCTCCCCGACGACTACTCTTGCACGCAAGGCTACTATGCATCCTCCACCGGTACTTCGTTCAGCGATCGATGCAGCTCCCGCACGGCGAGTACGAACCTGAGCAGTCTCGACGACGGTCCCTGTTTCTTTCACGATGATGATGACGATAAGCCTGTGATGACGCATGAACCCTTGCATATTTCAACTTCTATTTCTTCGTCCGCCATGACCACGGACCTGCCTCCCTCCCCCCGTTCCATGACGATGCAGTCCGACACCTCTGCGTCGTCCCCCATCGACCGCGACCATGACCACGACTACCACCTCCACAGCCTCACGCCCGCGCGAACATTGTCCTTCTCTGGATCTGAGTCCGGAAGACTTGAAGGGAGACGGCTTCATTGTCCTCACGTCGAAGACGACGACGAGGAAGAAAATACCTCGCAGTCTGAAGAGCCCGACTCCCTGACGACGTCGGTCTCGGATCTAGAGGAGCATCGTTTGACGCGTGAATCTACCGTGGAGGAGGAACAATCTAGCGAATACGCCGATAGCGCCATCGAGGAAGACGGTTGCGAAGATGAGTTCCCGACAACCCAGCTTCCTTTCGACCTCTACGACGACCTGATGGAGTCTTCTGAAACACCAACACCCAAACTAGAAACAACAACAACGGCGGCGGCGTCTTACCTCGACAGCAAATCTCCTTTCCGTTCGATACCCCAAACTTTCCGCGCGTTCTCACCAAAGATACCCCATCTCCGTTGTCGTGACGCCAGCCCCACGAAGGGCAGCAGCAATCGCAATATTAGCAGGAGGACACCCGAAGAAGCAGCGTGCCGTATCCAGAAGCCACAGCTCGACGCCGCACGCGTGCGGGCCTCGGCGGCGAGGGATCGTAGGAGAGATATGGACTAGCATGCAGGGCGGCCGGGGACGGCGGGCACTGTATATATGTCCATCAAGTGTACATACAAATGTATCATGAGTCCTAATCCGTTTTCTGAGTTATCTGACCTCTTCCTTCGGATTTGTGTGATGCACGCGCGCGAGCGTACCCAGTTATAAGCGATCATTTTGTTCTGGTCCTTCCGTCCAGAGGTCTCCAGACACGTTGTTCTAAGATGGATATGACTGTCTAACGGCGCATGCCGCGAAATACATGCTAACGTTCCAGGGATAGGTATGTTTAAGAAAGACAACGAAGTGAAAAGACTATCGATAACTTCGATTCTGTACCCGTTTATCTGATCCGTTTGGCATTCAGCGCGACAACGTGATGTCGGTGTCGTGACGGTTCGGTTTCTCCGGTACGTTGGGCGCGGCCAGCGTCTGACACTGTCAGGTGGCTTGCTTGTATCTTTGCCTTGTTTTGGTGGTGTCGAGTGACCTACCCGCCGACTAGTGTCTACTCTCACCTCACCTTGCCTCGGGGTTTTGTTTTTGCCTCACCTTGGGAAGGTGACGTCAAGGGAGACAAGAAGTTCTTTTCTCTTCTCCCTTTTTTTTTTTTGGTTTTATTTTTAGGTTGAATTACGGAGCAGGTCATGCGCAAGTCCTTTACGGAGTTGTGGTGGGCGTTTTCGGGCTTTCTTTTGCTGGCGTCTTGAGGGGGAGGCTATTCGGAACTGCCTGCCTCGCATGGAGCGTGCATCTTTAGGTATGAAGTTGGATGAGAAGTCATTGCCAACGTCCTGTGTACCATGCTTTCTTATTGCACTGGTCGGAGAGAAGCGACTATTCCACGCGAAGAAAATACTATATAGACTTGAGGCATATCTTTGTTCTATCTTGGTGCTCCTCCAGTAACGACGGATGCTTAGTCGCTTCTGATACCACCAGAGATCAACTCCATAATCCACTTACTCCATTTCTAACTCCATATTGATAAGTCGCGCCATCTCACGTGTATTGGAGACTATATAAAGCCCAGCTGTTGCTCTCGCACTCCCCGCACGATTTATACAGCGAGCCAAAGTTGTTTCTCGGGAAGTGGAAATGGACCCTGAGAGGCGTGCAAATCGCGGACCGCTCGGTTGTGGGGGTGATCCGGCCACCTGCCAAAAAGACGAGACGCGGCCTTGGCAGAGCCCGCTGGCTTGGCGTGCGGCAGCAGAAAGTGATGAATGAGAAGGATAAGCTTGGTTCGAAGATGGAGCGGTCACTCTAGCGATCGTGGAGACACATTGCCAGAGTATTTCCACATGTCGCTTGACACTTCCGAGGCGTCTATCCTCGATTACGTGAGTCTTGTCTGAGCTGTGAGATTTGGTGGTGATTGACTGTCAAGTCTGGGATGAGGGTAGGCAGGATTCAAAAGTGTGCGACTGTTGGTTTGCGTATCACAGGTGTGATTGTTCTAATCGAACCGTGGTGACGAAGGGTCAATTTACTGTATATTGATCTCTGCGTGAAGTGGAAAAGAGAGGTTCCAACCGGAGGTTGGACCGTCAGTTGAACGCTGTTATAGAGAACCTCAGATGGCCTCTGTGCTGGCGCTGACTCGAGGTCGAATTGGGCCTCCAATCCGACAGCGACCGAAGGAAGATGAACAAGCGACCAAAGTTCTATTGAGTAGGATGGAAGGTGGCAGGACAGGAAATGGCCAGGGAAAACAGCAGACCGAGCACGCTGAGAGCCTGCTTGAAAACATTTGATGTGAAAGGTTCCCGAAATATGAAAATTAACCAAAGTGATGTTAGGGTGAATGATTTCACTTTGGGCGTCTGATTGGTGCTCAGTAACAGTCTTGTCCAAAAAGAGGTTCCTCCTTTTGTTTAAGAAAATGTCTTCAGTAAGACCAAAAACAAATTAAAAAAAAACATGGAAAGAAACACAAGAACCGGTTCTGAAATGATCGTTGAAAAGCCAGACAGGGACGATCAGCTCGATATCTATCATGTACTCGCATTTGCATCATGAATTGAGAGTAGGTAGAGAGAACAAGAAATTACGATCCAGGATCCTACAAGGCCATCGCTAAAGCCGGAAAATTTTCACCATTCAAAACCAAGTTCTTCTACATCTGCTGCCTCCTCCACAGAATCCAACGTTGCCAAAGGCTCAATATCGATATAGACGCAAACCACCTCTCCACGGGGTGTTTCTGCGATGCAAGCCCGGATGAAACTCGTGAGAAGTCGCTTCAGAGACTCGAAGCCGTCTTCTTTCCAACAAGGGACTGTTTCCTCTACTTCGGTGTTCCGGGCTACCAGCCGAAAAAGCAGGTATTTGAGCTCGGACCACTCGAACTGCAATGGCAGCCCTGGCAGCTCCTGTACTAGTTCGGCGAGCGTCTTGCTCCGGAAGCTTCCTTTTGGCTTCCAAATGTAGCTTCGGCGAGTTGGTTGACGGATAATCACGCGGTACACGAAGTCTACTTGCGATTGCCGCGACGTGGTTGTCTGCGGTGCATGGTTGATCATGACTGCCTTTTCGACGATTGTCTCTGCGCTTTTGATCGCCACAGGTGAAGAGACCCGGTCAGTTTGTCCCGCAGCAGCGACTGTTGGGAGTGAATCGCCAGGTGTCGCTTCAGTTGGCTGCACTGGTGCTGAAGGTCTAGTGCTGTTGGGGCTGTCTTTTGACTGAGGTGGAGGCATCTCAGTTTCGGTGTTCAGTTGGATGAGTGCTTCATCAACAAAAGCATTCACAGAGCCGTCTTCGTCCGTGACATCCTCAACAGTGGCACGGAAGGGATTTGGTGCCCTCTGAAGGCTCGTGGACGAGACGTCAGCAGCAGCTGAGTGCGATTCAGAAGCCGTGGGGCCGTCGACAATTTCCGGGCTTGAGTGGTCCTCTAAAGATTGGAAGATCACGGTCAGTTCCTCGGGTGGTGGGAAACCTTGTTGCTGACGCAACTTCCGCTTGCGCGGCGAGATCCTAGTTGTTCGCAGACCAATGGGAGTTTTGCCGGCCCTCTTCATCGACGTCGTACGTGAAGACTTTGCATTATCAAGCCTTGGTCGCTTGGTAGGAGGGCCCATGTCAGCGTAGGGCGCGAATTGACGCTCGTCGTTTGGGATAGCAGACGACGTGCTGGCAAAGATGTTCTGGTTCTGGTTCTGGTTCTGGTTCTGTAAAGCAACAGGTGTTAGAGCGATGGATCAAGACAAGCGAATGGTAATGCGGAGCCAGGATTGCTTACTGAAGTGTCTTGGACGTGTAAGTCTGGACTTTTGGGAACTAGGTACGGATCTCTGCTGACTTCACGCCCATTCCGCAAATCTTGTTGAGGATCGCCCAAGGCAGGATCTATAACGCTCGCGTCGACATCCTCGGGATGGAGAGTAGGTTCAGGGACCGTAGTTGACCTGTGAAATGTGAGGGGAAAGAAATTGATGAAAGACGAGCCACCCGATTACATACCTCGAGCTGTCAGGCATTCCCGTCAAGATGGGACTCTCAAGTCTATCCTCAGCGACATCTAGGTCTATTGGATCTTCGTGACTGAGACCTCTTCCACTCATTATATCGACGCTGCCTGCCTTTTCTTTGTTCTTCTTGTATTTGGCATTGCGATGTTGTTGGAGATTCAGTCGCCAGAAAAGCTGCTGCATGATTCTCTTGATCCTACAACTTTGTCAACTGCAAGCCTCGTTGTCAGAAGTTGTAATATGGCTTACCGTATGCAATCAGTAGAGTACTTGAGCTTGTTGGCTCGACCTTGGGCGTCGTCGTCTGGCCAGAATAGTTGCCCATTGCCATGACGCTCAAGATATGCTCGTGCCATCTCACTCAGAGCACTTCGGTGTTCCCGAGACCGCCACTCGTGAATCGTGCTGCCTTCCCAACCTTGGTTTGTTACGAACGTTTTACGGAAGACCCGAACACTATCATAGAATGCCTGGCATCTTGGCAGGTGAGGATCGCCATAGTCGAGTTGCTCCCGCAGGTTAGTGATGGAGGGGATGGATGTAGGGTTGATGGAATTCGCCATGACAGCGGTAATTCACTTGTATGGGATTGAATACAATAATGAGGACTGAAAGACGAGAAGATGGTCCGTTGAGAAGAAGAGAGAAGAGAAGAAGAGATATGCGCAGGTGAATCGGGAGAGGGAGCATAGGTTGCCTTGGGAAACGTCCTGGACGCGGCGCGTACCCTCCATTACGACAACCCTGGGTTCAGCTGGCATGGTTTACAGCATCTATCACACCGACTTGTGGAGTTCCGGGGAGGGTGGAACGTACACCGGTTGGTCCAACAAACTTGTGTTGGTTATCCTGCATACGAATTTGGATCTGAACGTTGGAACTTCATCTATCCCTGAGCGGCACAGCTAGCTCTTGTCTGAGGCCTCCTACAGATGGGCCACAACGGGCCCCTGAAATGAGCAGCCGAGATTATTGTCGAAGAGCTTCAAGTCCATGGGCTCATGACAAGAAATAGAGAGTCAAGTGGAAAAAGTCTGATGATGTCATAAAGCAACATTGACCATTTCACTTCTCAAAAACTATAAAAAGGGCCTTTCGCCCTTCCCAGGCATGTTAGATGGCGCAGTACTCATGTTTTTGTGTGCTCCTCCAGTCTTTCCTTGGAAACACTCAGGTACGGCTGCAACACATTGCTATCAAAAAGACCAACAGAGGAAATCCCTGTGCCTCTCTTTGAGCTCGCTAACATGTCTGGACTTATATCTGCCTGTGATATACCTGTCTGCGATAGCTTGCCCTCGCAAATTTCCCTTTTCCAAATTGGATCAGTGTTTGCAGGTGTGAAAATAGTTTTTGAACTCATTCATTATTACAATCGGCCAAAGTCATCAGGTACGTTAGCTATCGTTATTGATACTCCTTACGTGGACAAGAAGCCTGCATCTAGCTGCTAACTGATCAGCAGAATCTTCACAGACGCGAGACTTGACCGAGACCCCTATCCCGGCCCCGCCGATTGAGCCGTCATATTCACCAGAGGAGCGAGCCTTCTACAGAGGCCCAAGCGGCACCCACGAATGGCACAGGGACTTCGAGCTCAAGCTCAATAAAGTTGTGGCCATCCTTCTGGTGTATCATCTATGCAAGCTAACCGATTCTCCGTAGGCTTCGACGGTGCTGACGCGTCGATAGAAGTAGCATAGATCATGAAGCTCTAGTAGTCGGCAGTTCACGGGTTGAACTGAAAGGTCAAGCCCCTGAATCGAAGGGCAGAACCGTAAATGTTATCTCATCCGTGAATGTTTTGGGGGATGTTTGAAGACATGATTGGTTCGTAGACGGATGTGCCACTTGATTTCATTTACGTACTTAGGGAATGGAGTTGGACTGATTTGAAAGCTAAAATTACCTTCCTTATTCCATGTATTATTAGAATGATAGAATACAGCAAAATGCAGCAAAAGTGTTGTGGTCCCCAAAGGATATCTCCTTAACTGGCTTTGAGTACTTTACACACACCAACCTCGCCATAATTCAGGGAGGGAGCAGGCCCGGGTGCTGCCAATCTCTCAGTCTGGATGTCTCATGTGCCGTGCGACAGCCTGAATGATAAGATGCAGCATGGGATTACAGGGTGTTTGACCTGCCGCTTTGGGAAGTCCATGGGTCAGCATTGTCGACTTCACTGGCAGCGGTGGCTTCGCTCGTAACTTTGTGACTCGACGGTTTCGGTACAACTTTTGTACGGATGGCCAGGCTTGCAACCTATTTTTAGGGTGCCAACCCGAGTAGAAAGATTTGATGAGCGGCTGCTCTCACTGCGCTGCCAGGATGATAGCGTCTGAAACTTATTCTCCAGTTCAGTGGTCTTTGCAGCTCACCGTTGGCTGTGCCGTAGGCTTGCATCATAACGAAGCGCAAACTTCCCGGACCCAGGCATTCTGCCTTGCCAACCCAAACGAGTGCTGTCAGGTTGACTCAACCACTTCACTGGTGGGTCTTCCCCGGGGATCTTTTTGCCCGCGAAAATTGGTGGGTTACGAAAGGGTTTGGCTATGGAGCGCGGAATCTGTCAATTCACTGGGAACACTTGGCTAGAATCCCATCCCTTGGCTCAAGCTGCCTCATGCAACAAAGCAGACCATTCAACTTTTGGTCATTCCACTAAAGATCTGACGGGCGATTGCGAGCAATACCGAACACCAACATGTGTCTGCGAGATGTTTCTGATTCGTCTTGAGCACATACACTGCTGAATGAAAACAAGACTCTGATCAGTTGAAGAGTCGCCCCCGCTTTCAGATGGTTGAATGGCCACATGCACCAACCAAATCCTTATGTGCCAACATGTACCTTCAAATTACCTTACCGTCCGAATACGCCAACAACAATCCTCGAAAGTGTTTCATCATTTCCTCTGCCATATTCAGATTTTAGTTGACATGGCATTACATTGAGCATGGATAGGATATTTCCTTGAATGAAGTTTTACCTCTGTGCCTAACACATCCGAAGGAAGGTGAAAGGGGTCAAGTGTTGATGGCGCACGGCAGGCTACTCCGACTACCTTAGTGAATCATTCCGCAAGAAAAGGAGCGCGTAAGAAGCCACAATTCATAGACAAACTCAATTGAATGACATCCCATCAAATAGCTAGAGGTGCCACACAGATAACAAAGCTATTTAGGCCTGAGTGAGGCCTTGAATCAGTTCATCCCTGGTACTCTCCATAATGCGATCCACCTGCTGTGCGTCATAAAACGCCTCGTTGTAGCATACACTGAAGGTGAGTTTCTCTCGGAATGTCCATAGGTACATCTGAAAATCACCAGTCATCATCGTGGAGCTCACCCAAAAGTTCGAAATCTCCCACGCTCCATATCGGGGCTGTAAATAGTCATCAACGACTCCCATGCTGGAAAGCGAAGGCGTACTGCTGGGCGGCACACCGCCGCTTTCAAGAATCTGCCGGGACATGGCCATGTAAGGACCAAGGTAGCCAAAGTCATTATCGGCAAAGGCGAAAGGTGTCTTGTACTGCTTGTGCAAGGACTGGCTGAGAGCATCGAAGGTGCTGTTCTTGTTGAGGTCGGCTGCGAGAGGCAGGGCAGTCTGGAGAGACCCTATGGAGTGCTTGTGTGGGACAAAAGAGGAAGGGAAATGACGACGGAGGTCGATGGTGGTGAACTGGACGTAGGATGCGCCGTCTTCGCCGGCTGCCGACTGCATTTTCTACAACCGGGGATACTCAGTATGAAGCGGCCAAGAAGAATTCTTGCAAGTGAGCTTACCTGCGTCGTCAAAGCAAGCGCGGCATGCCAAGCTGAAGTGACACTGACCCCCTTTTCTTTGCATGCACTTATGATAGTAGAACTTGTCTTCTCGTCTACCACGAGATCTCTGTGAACTGGTCTCTGAGGTGTGTTTGTAAAGTCGACACCAGGTAGTCGAATCGGCTTTTCTTGCTGCAAGACGCGTTGGAAAATAGACTGCGCATCAGCAAAGTTCTTCGCTGATGGTGTAGCTGAAACTCCCAACCAGTCGTCGTACGGCTTGGAAAGATTCGGCGCTTCAGCCGTCTCGCGTGTTTGAGAGCTATCGCCCGGCAGAGCTGCCAGTGTCGTGAAGAGGGCGTGGTATAGGTACAACATGCCGCGCCCATCGATGAGAGTGTGAGGTGATTGGAGCAGAAGCTGATTCGTGTCTCGAATATAATGGAGCGTGATATGAAACTGGCTCTTGAAGGCAGAGAAGAGTTCATCCGCGGTCGTTCCGTCATGAACTCGGAAGCTCTTCTGCAGCCATTCGTTTGTGATGGCATCTTCGCGAACCACAATCTCCCGCGACGCAGGATCCACAACGCCGCCAATGCAAGGGAAGTCCCATGCTAAGGCTTTCCAGGCTTGTCGGAGAGAGCCCTCATTATTGATATTGCTATCGTGGTTCTGGACTGTCACGCTGCAGCCGATCATCCAGTGTACCGGGTAGCCTTCGGGAGACGCCAGACTCTGATAGAAACTCTCCATGGAGCCCAATTGACGACTCCAGACGCCATGTTGCTTGTTCCATGGATAATTTGCGCTAGGAGCTGGCGCGGGCTGTTGAAGCTTTTCTGGAGCGCCGTTAGTCGCAGCCGGCTCATTCGCCGTAATCGCTCCTGTCGCCATCTTCCCGAATTTAAAGAGTCTTGATCGTTCTAGAGAATTGAAAGTGTTGAGAATTGAGAGAATCACGAGAATCGGGGTTGAGTGTATGGCAGGAACTGCTACTTAGCTACAGCTTTGTTAAACACATATACATAGGGACCCCAAAGAATCGGCATGTGAAGATCATACAGCCGACTAAATGTTACAATGCACCCTGCGTACTTCTAAATCAATCAGACGCCAAGGACAAGTCGTATTGGAAAGTTCCTACCAGGTGCTGGGAAAGGCACCGAATGCACATGACCGAATTGAAAAGGGGCCGAATAGGGCTGAAGGAAGCCGAAGCTGACAGGCCATGGCGCCCCATCCAGACAAGGTTTATAATTAGATTAGGAATCGACTTAAGATAACAGGTAGGAACCGTCTCGGCATCCATAGCCGAAAGCATTGGCCTAGAATTGACACAGTTGTATTTTGTCTTGGATGGAGGTGCTACCAGAAGCCATGCTAGCTCAAGTGGACAGCGGCGGTTGTGTTTGGTCTCTCTAAAATGACTATGATACGAAGAACCTCAAGGGGAAAACCTGAGATCAACCGCCAAAGTATCATTGATGCTAAATCTCAAATGACAAGCAGGTGGTAGAAAAAGATAACCAGCAATGACTGGCTCTCCTCGGAATCAGACACGTGAACATACTGGAATGAAGGCAGCTGAATGATCTCCCAGATTGTTATGTATCTCTTGCAACAAACATAAAAAAGCTTTTACATGCTGAAATCCACCTTGATCCCGTACCATACCCGAGGCTATTCCCCCGTCGTCTATCATGATCATGATGCCCTCAAGCACTTCCCACTCTTACCACAAGCTTTTGTCCTCGCACTTGACCTGATTTCAGCATCTCAAGACCTCGGATAATGCCTTGCCATCCACCGGGAAGTTCACGAGCCGGATGACATTTCAAACGTCCATCATCCACCAAGGCCTGAACCTCGAGCGCCCACCGTGCTCCCAGATCAAATTTGGACTGGTCCGCGTCACGGTGGTATGCACCATCGAGCTTGACTTCGCGGCCCATAACCACATAGGTCATTGGCATATCCATCTTGACCGCCTTCCTCGTCCTCCACTCGTCGGGGGCGTGTTCGAGAGAAGCATACCTTGCGCCTGCACGACCAAGAGCTGTGAAGCAGCACTTCACCGACTCTGGCGTGGTGATACAGTCAATTGCTGCTCGAATGGATCCCTTTGTCGTATCGCGGATTGTCTCCCCGCAAGTCGGGGAGGAGTAGGGTGTCGTAGAAGCAGCTCCGTACTTCTTTACAAGAGCGGCAGAAGACGGGGAGCAGGTAGCGATGGGGTCATAGCCGGCGCTGCAAAGACTTTAGTTTATTACATGCTCCAAGCAGGGCTCGCAATGGCATCTACTGCACGTACCTAGACAGCAATTGGCAAGCCATAGTGCCGGTAGCTGTAGCACCACCGTATACCAATACAGGCTGGCGGGTTCCATCAGACCGCAATGGAGCAGGTTTTGATGGAGTGCCCGTCAGGAGGAGCGAGTCTTCCATGGCTAATGCCACAGTCGCCCATCCCACTCCTCCGAGCGCCGCCCCCTCGAGATCACTCCAAGAATCAGGCACCCGCACAAGAAGACGTCTATCTTGGATGAGGTATTCGGAAAACGCTCCGGAGTCTGGGTTGCCCGGGTTCGAGCCATGCATGGGACCGCAGACCCGCGTCCCGACACATGAGCCGTCGACTTCGGGGCCAGCAGCGACGATGGTGCCCATGAAATCGCAACCCATGACGGCATTTGGCACCGGATGATAGTCTGGCATCTTGTAGTCGGTCGGGTTCAGCGCGACGACCGAGACCCGGACCAGAACTTCGTGGGGTTCTCTGATTTGGGGCATGTGCCGGTCTCTTGAGACCAGCGGCGGGCCTCCGCCATTTGGTGATTGAACAAGAGCTGTGATTGTCGTTGCTTTGGCCATTTTCGCGACTTTGTTGTTAGATGTCACCTACCGGTATCTAAAACCATTGTCCCTAGGCCGCCCTCTTTTATTGCGATGGTCCCAGCCTGTTCGTGCACCGTGGAGTCTTGTTTTCAGCCCTTGTATGCAGGGTCCTTGACAGGTCTCCAAATGCGTCTCTAAGGATGATGCATGAGACATCCAACGGAAGGAGTCTGCAAGTCATCCCCGGTTCGGATACTAAGCCTCCGAATAATCGTCCGACTCCGGGCTCCGACCCGAAGTGGGTCGGGCCACACGGACGTCTCCCACGAAAAGCCGGTCCCTGTTCGCCGTAGCGCTTACAAGTGCCCGAAGCCGGGTCCGCCCGCAGAACGACCCGAGAAGGATGCCAAACTCCAACCTTTGTGCTGCACCGGCTTCGGCCTCTTCCATCCGGTAAGCGGGTTGAAGTCCCTGGAACCCAACGACGGGGGGGCAATAAGACGGTTTCGTTCACTTCGGGCGAGGGCCCTGCATGAAGTGTCATGAAGGATTCTCGCATCACCCCTCGCATGGCCCTGGTCTAGATTCTCATGTTCTTGGCCGAATCTAGGCTTCTAAATAATCCCATTTGCGACGTTGCTCACTGGCTGCGCGTTCCCCCCGCACAAGCAACTTGACTGAATCACAACGAGTAGCCCAGTTGATATATCTAATCGAACGTACAGAATCTGAGGAAAAGCCTTTCAAATAGTTGTTTTCCAAGACCCTGTCATTCTTGCGACAGAGAATAGTACGGAACTCTAGGCAACTATGGCCTCGTCTATCCCCTCGGCCGGTTTGCCCACGACCTTGGCCAGCAACTTGACTGATTTTGCCGGCAATGTCGTCAGCGTCATCAGTCCATACATCCCGGATGCCATCAAGTCCAACCTGAACACGATTGCGTCATCCAAGCTGACACAGGAAATGGCAAAGAGCTGGAATTGGGCGGCGTACTCTTCCATACTCATCGCAAGCATCTACGTGTTTGACTGGGGAGCGAAATCGCGGCGCGACAAGAGGCTTCGCGATTTTGGTTCCCCGCCCCCTCTGGTTCCCTTCAAGGCCCCGTTTGGTTAGTATCCATGCCTCGAGAGACATCGTCCATCGCTCACAGACTTCATCACAGGAATTGACTTGGCTGTATATTCATTGTACAGATTCTTCAAGTTCACATTCTTCGAGCTAGTCAACAGTTGGCTTGAGGCCGTGCCTGGCCGCACCGTCGAGATGCGCATGTTTGGGACAGGCCTTATCTTCACCGATGAGCCTGCCAACATTAAGGCAATCATGTCTACAGAGGCAAGTTCAGCATGATTTAGGAGCCAGACTTCTAAACGGATTTTAATAATGGACGAAGTCTAATCCCGTTGAACAGTGGTCCAGTTTCGGAAGAGGCGAAGTCACCAAGCGTATCTGGGGAGACATGCTCGGGGAAACGCAAATTTTTGTTGGTGAGTCAGCTGAAGCCCCGTCAGATCTTAAGAAAATACTGATGTGCAATAGTGGACGGAGAAGACTGGCATAACAGCAAAGAGCGCATCAAGGGGCATGTAAGTATTATTGTGACAAGCCAATCGCGCCGCGCCGGTGCATCACAATGTTACGGGCTGACGACGTAAACTCTGCAGGTCATGAAGATGCGCTCAGACGATCTTGAAATCACCGAGAAGCACGCACAGCAGCTTTTTAGGCGCTTCGATGTGGGAAAGCCCATTGAGGTCTACGATGTCGCCGACCGGTATCAGCTCGATGTCGTCTCCGAGGTCTTTTTCGGTGAGTCGGCCGACTCCCTCACTGGGCATCACCCCTTCAGAGACCCCATGGAGACGCTCCACCCAATCAACACGGCACGAATGCTGTTCGGAAAGAATGCGTACTATGTCAAGGACAAATATCTGGCTCCCAAGGCTCTGAAGGAGTTGAACGGCTACACCTCGGGCATTGTCGACCGAGCGTATGCGAGAGACTTGTCAAAGAAGTCTCCCGAAGACTACAACATGCTGGATGATCTTGTGAGCCAGAAGAAGAGTGTCAAGGTGAGATGAGATTATTGGAAAGCAAGCGGAAGCATACTGATTAACTTTCTAGGATATCAAAGACTCCATGATGACTATCATGCTCGGAGGAAAGGTACTTGGACCCAGTGAGACAATGTGCGATTCCATAATCTGATCTGACTGTTTAGGACCCCTCGGCCATTCTCATTGCATGGGCCATCTTCCTGATGGGAAAGTATCCCAATGTCATGAAGAAGATGCAAGCCGAGGTCGCACGAGTGTCAGTATATCTCCTTCCACAGAAAATGCGCCATACCCTATTCACTAATATCTTGTCAGATCTGGAGACAAACCGCCTTCAGCATCTGATCTCAAGGAGATGGTGTACATCCGCCACGTCATCAACGAGACTTTCCGATTGTATCACCCTCGTAAGTGGTGGATGCTATATTCTATCAGAGACCGAGAACTAACCATGACCAGTCGGTATGAACGTCAGAATGGCTCTTAAAGATGCTACATTGCCGATCGGAGGAGGAAAAAGTGGCAGAGAGCCCGTTGCAGTCCCCAAGGATACAACCATCAGTAAGTTGCACAGTTGAAAGAGCACTTCTGGCAAGATCTTTGCTTACAATAGAATAAAGTTTACTCTCTAGGTGGTCTTCAGCGTCGCAAGGACATTTACGGCGAGGATGCGCTCGAGTTTCGACCTGAGCGTTGGGAGGGAGCTAACATCAATCGCTGGCACTTCATTCCGTACAACCAGTAAGTTTCCAAACCATTTGAGACTTGACTCTTGAAAAGATATGTAGGCTAATATGAACACCGCAAAGTGGCCCTCGTCATTGTTTGGGTCAGAAGTTCGGACAGCAGCAGATGGAGTACATCCTGGCGAGAATTTGCCAAGAGTACCAGGAGATTCGGATTCCCGCGGGACAGCCCGAGCAGCAGATCCGCATTGAGCTGAACTTGAAGATGGCGCACCCGTGCATGTGTGAATTTGTCAAGAAGGGCAAAGGAAACTAGAGCACGGAGCTAGCTAACGGCCATCAAAATGCGCCGTTCTCTTTTGAGGACTTGACGAAATAAAAACCCAAAATTGGACCTTGTATTCAGTTCAAATCTCCCCAATGTATCTGAAGGGACCGTAGAAAGGGGTGGCGACACTTCATGCGCTGCCCCAAAAGACTTGAAATCCCAAAGTGGACGTCCTCAGATGGCTTGATTGACATTAGACAGCGCAGGTGTTACGACGTCACCGAATCAAACTCTATCAAAACTTTCCGGGCGATAAATGTGAATCTGGATCGCCGCAAACCACTTTGTCACAAAAGTAGACATTTCCAACGATAATAGCACGATGCCAACTAAGTTTGGATACGAATAGACACATGTGAACATGTCGTAGCTTTGATTATCTTAAAACCAAACTTCATTAATCTGGACTGATGCTGACTAAAGCTGATATTCTGCCAGGATTATCTAAAATGTCTGCAAGCCTCATCAACAGTGGTCTCACTACCCTGAGGCGAGAGGAACACGGCTTCGACTCTCGCCCATCTTCACAGTCCAGTTGCCAGCCCACTCTTCTCGAACGCTTACACGCATTTCAACATCCTTTGTGGGAGGTGAGAGAGTAGCAAGGTCTGCATGGTTCAAAGCTGGATTCTTGTCCCAGACTCCACTGGCAGGTGTTAAATCGGCCCTCATGGCAAGCAGCGCGGCTATGATGAGGATTTCGGTTGCGGCGAACTGTCTCGCTGGGCAGAGGTAGGGCGCAGCTCCCCACGGCACAAAGCCACTGGCTGTAGAGACATCTCGTTCGCCGCTTTTTTGAGGCATGAACCGATAGGGATCGAATTGCAAAGCTGTCGGACCCCAGATGCCTGTTTCGCTATGGATGACGTTTCCGGGCACCTGGAGATAATTGCCCTCTTTCAAAAGGTACTTTTCGTCCAGAAGCGTGTCTGTCAAGACTTTGCGAAAGCTGGGATTGACGTGGCGAGTTCTCTGCGTTTCTTGGAATACCGAAAGGAGGAGCGGACACTGAGACTTGAGTGAGGCGACATCCAGTACGAATTCTCCACTGTCCGGTTTAACAACCGCCCGTGTTTTGAGTTCCTCTCTGACCTCGTCGAGAATTTTAGGGCGGGAGAAGAGCTCCCACAAGGTCCAGTACAGAGTCGGTGCCGAGTTGCTGAAGGAGGCAATGGTGAAGATGGCGGCTTGCTTGGCCTTGTCCGTACTAGATATGCCAGCCTCTGCCAGAACACGCTGGTGCTCTTTCATAAGATGAGAGCTCTCCTGAGGGAGCTTCTTGCAGTACTTGATGTATGACTGGAAGACCTTTTCTCTTGCCGCGTATCCCTTCTTTGTCACATCCAGCCAGCCGACCAGATGCGCAGTAAGATATGTCATCCATTTCCTTTGCCATCCGATCAGCATGTGCGACTCATTTGACAGAATTACAGTAGGGGGGAATTACCAGTAAGAATTCTCGATTTCCTGGTCAAGAAAAGGGTGCTTTTCTCCATAGACAGCGCAACTTGTTGCTTGAACAACAGCATGTCTAGCCCAAGATAGCAAGGGTACTTTGTCCTCGGAGGCGAGCAAGTCATCAATGTCGACCAAGACTCTTTTGCCCATTCTAAGACTTAGCTCGTCAAGATGACGGCCAGGAGCCAAGCTCATCTTCACAGACTGGCTCAAATCATCGGGCAAACTGCCTCCAAAGATTTCATAGGCCGCATCTGAGGCATCGCCGTACTTTCGTGCAACGAGTTGGAGGAAAGGCCGGAAAGACAGTGCCCTGGACTGCTTCTGGATGAAGGGGAGAAGTCGGCTAGAAGCGCTGATGTACACCTTGAAGTTGAAACACCCCAGCGTGTAAATCTCGGCCTCGGTGGAATTGCTGCCGTGAGTTCGGGTCATCAGATGCCTTTGCAAGTTGAATCGTCGTTGAAAGTTCATCTCACATACCTCGTCTTTCTGTAGTAAGTTGGTCCCTGGCTCATCAGTCCCAGGACATGTCCAATAAGTGGGAACCTCGAACGTATCCGGATCGGCTCATTAGGTTCGTCTCCAGCATTGTAAACGAAATCCGCGGCGTAAGCAAGCAGAATCAAGCCTGTGAGCCCATACAAGAGTTCGCGAAGCATTGTGACAGTATCGATGGCAAGGGATCTCTACTAGGCTCAGGAGACGCGTTGCGTTGTGCTGTGGGTGTCTTCAGGTCTGAGTCTTCAGGTCTGACAGTGGTTGGATCTAACCATGGTGAATGCTTGGGTATCTAGATGCATACGTAGCAGTTTGAAGAGTTCCTTGTCTTCGAGATTGAACCGAAGAACAAGCCCTGCCACAAGTGTGGATCGAAGGATCCCAAGCCACACGTTCATCCGTAATTCAGAATCCCACACCGGGGGAGATCGTCTGATTCACACATAATCTTTCGGGTCTTTTTGTAAAGTGGCCGAACGACTCCTTACACGTATGTCCAATTTAGGTGAAGACGCTGACTGTGTCCGGGATATTGCTGACTGCATGGTATTGGTTGTTTCTGCCAGGGCTGAGGGCTTACTATGATGCACCACTGCGGCACCTTAGTAGACTCGACGTGGCTTTGTGGATGCACGGCATCTTAACCGGAACACGCGGCCCGTACCATTCCCCGCATATCAATCCTCGGCGGGCTTGTCCGAGACGCTAAACGTTTATTCACTTTACGGAAAACACAAGAAATGGACAGATCTGGCCATGGGCCCCGACCAACGGGTCTTGCCAGGCAAAGGATTGCTCTGATGCGGGGATTCCCACAATGAACTCCTTCGCCGGCCCGATGGTAGTAGCGCTGTGAGTAAGCCAGCGACTGGAGTCTCGCGAGAATCCACCTCAGATGCAACCCGTTGCCAAGCACAGCCTTCACTGCAGCTTCAAGGCAGTTGCCTAGAAAATGAGACTAGCAGGAGAGGGAATTTGCACGAATAATAAGCCGCATTGTCCTGGTATAATTGGGCATGCTACGCGAGTGGCGGGGGACCTGGGACACTAGTGAGTTGTCGATGGAACCCCACGAATAACACATTCCTACAACCAGGGTTCTCGTGAGTAATGAGCCTGTAAGATGCCCCTATCACTTCCCTCTGGCGACATGTCTTGGGCTATTTCACAAGATGTCAAGTTTGAGACATTTTCATAGTTTCGACTTGCATGAGCGAGGGCCCTAGACGGCCCAGTAGTGTTGTCTACCGAGAAGCAAGAAAGTGGGCTGGGAAACGCGGAACGTACGTTAAGACAGATCAGGAAAGCGTAGGATTCAGCGATTGAGCACTAGAATGATACGTTTGTTCGTCTGATAATCGTTGGAAAATATAATCCAAATATCGTTCGAGGCTCCGAAAGTCTTGGCTCCAGTTCCGAATGACCTCAAACACACCGAACCATACACGTCCGCGGAATAAAGAACCCCTGATCAATTCGCAGGCCGATTTTCCGGAAAAGACTCCTGGTATTATGAACAACCAGACAGCAAAGAGATATGCTTGCGACCGGTGCCGGGAGCAGAAGCTCAAATGTCCCCGAAGCCAGCCGGATAGTGGCACCTGCGAGCGCTGTCTCCGTCTGGGTGCCATGTGTGTCACGAGCATCGGCCGGCCACTGGGACGGCCTCCAATACACGCGAACCACCGTGGCCAGGTCGAGGACAGTCGATCGCTGTACGGCACCCGGAACGGTCGCCCCTCAACGAACCGCGGTGTGCGTGTCACGATGGGTACAGATCCTGCGACGACAACACAGAGCCAACCGCCAGATCCAGGTCCTTCCCAATTTTTCACTACCGTCAGGGCACTGGATCACGTTAATACAGCCTCGGCCATGTGGTTAGACGCGTCAAACTTCCCGACTGCGATGCCAGCGTCCGACGAGCCCACCATCCCCTCTCCACGAGCACATTCGCACGTCTTCTCCGAGCTAAGCGTCCCCGATCTCGACTTTGGAGATCTGAACGACATGGCAGAGCACCTAAACAGGGATCTCCACGAGCCAATGACGGATGTCGAAGATAAGGTTTCTGGTCACAGCGAGATTGCCACGCCCACTACATCAAATGCTGGCGATACGGGGGTCTATGTGGTAGGCCTCCTCGGCAGTATTTCCCATCAGTTGGCCGAGCTCAAGGACCAACCTTGGGAATCTTGGAATCCGCATCTCACGGAAGATGCCTTTCAGCACGGAAAAGGAACGGATTCACCCGGAGGGCGAGACCTCAACGTTTGGAATCGCATTCTGAACGTAATCATGCGATTTGCAACGGTTCTAGAGACGGTGAATCCGGCATCGCCGCCAGCGCTCTCTTTAACACTGATGCTTTTGTCAACATACGTTCAACTGGGTGAGCTTTTTGAGGTCGTCTTCAATCGCATGAGTAGGTGCCTGCGTGAGGGGTCTGGATCGGGGACATCGGCCGCTGCTCCGGCTCCGCTTTCACCACAGCCGACCAGCATACAGCTCATGATGATGACCCAGGTCTTTGAGTACCAGATGCATACTGTGGAGCGACTGCTGGGTCTGCCTGCAGAGTTCCGAATCTGGGACCGCCGGGATGGCGCGGTTGAGGGTGGAGCTGGGATTCTTAGTCGGCAGGATACTTCTGACATTGTTCGAGCGGTAATGAGACAGACCCGAGAAACATTCCAGACTATTAGACAGTCAAGCAATCGTATAAAAGGCTCTGCTACATAGAAGCTTTGGTCAAGGGCGCGGAACGAGACGCAGGCAAATCCAACGGCCTAGAGAAATGGCTGTGGTTGATAGGATTGCCAAGCATTTGATGGGAAGAATATATGCAAAGAGTAGAACCATAGATCTCTCAAACGAATTCCAAATACACATGCAGCAAAGATAGAAAAAATCTCGACTTTGACCATGGGTGAATGTTGTCATTACCGAAGCTCACAGTGAACTGATCGTCAGTTTAACCTCTTTTGCTATCCTTTTCCATTAGAATCACTTACATACGGTTCTAAACAGAGACAGGAACAGTAACAGGAAACATTGCATGCAATGCACTTGGGAAAAAGATTTGATGCATCGAGACTAAAGACCGGCTAAATATGGAGGCCTATCGAAAACCAGAAAGGTGTGGATTACACCTTTCTCTCGAAGGGAGTAAGGCGAACGTGCACCTTTGGCTTTTGCCATACAATGTAAAGTCTCAGATCCCTATCCCAGTCCATTTCATTCTTGTTCAGCAACTCCCATTGGAACCTCCAGCAAAGCTTCGCAAACATAATGCGAAGAACTAGGTACGCCATGGCTTGGCCGAGGCAGTTGCGAGATCCGGCACTGAAAGGCCTGAAAGCAGCTCGGTCATCACCATCAAAAACATGATCGTACTCTACGTGGTCTTTGGGAAGCCATCTCTGTGGTTTGAACTCGTATGGCTTACTGAAGTACGTCTCCGAGTGCGTTGTGGCGTAGGCGCAGGAAGAAACAATGACCTTGCGTAAAATTAGTTTCAAGAATTTCCTAGGATTTTGCTAGATCGGCAGATACAAGGAGCAAGGAAAGCAAAACTTACTCCTTTCGCCACATAGTTTCCATCAACCGTATAGCCAGGGCTGATTCTTGGGAGTCCGTAGGGAACATTTGTGTGTAGCCGAATGACCTCCTCGATAGTCGCATTCAACCACGGCAGGTCTTGAAGTTTATCCTCCGTGATATCTTCATAAGACTTGAAGGTCGTTCTCAACTCCACCTGTAGCTTCTTCATAATCTCATCGTTTGTCGTCAAGAAACACATACCAGCTGTCAAAACACTTGATGATTCATAGTGATCAAGGATTAGATGGCCGGCCTGGGAAACGAGGAAGCCATCTGTCGGAATTGCCTCCTCGTTCTTCAAAAACTGTGCCATATAGTCCAGGTCCTTACGGTCATGGCGTTCCTCGACACGGGTTCGAATGAGCTTTTTGCTCGTTGAGTGAGCTCTGAAATAGCTGAATGCAACTTTGGGCGGGAGAAAGACATAGGAGAGTGGGTAGAGAAGGGGGAAGCGACGCATGACGTTGCGAAATGTGGCCCAGTGACCGATGCGCAACAGTGACTCCAAGATGGGATGGTTTTGGCCTTTTTGGGGGTAGCGTTAGCCATGATTCCAGAACAAACGATGGGCAAGAGTCCACGAATACCGCAGATAGGATTGGGCGTACCGGATTGAATGTTTTTGAAATTGTGTCCAAGTGTAATCGAGCCACCGAGATCGCAAGTTGCTCGTTCAAACCATGGGGCGATATCAACGCCTTCATCAACGGCGGGTGAGTTCTTGAGCACGTCGACGAACTCATCCACGTCGGCGTGAATGATCGGTTCATATTGCTTCAGCGACCGGGGGCTGAACGCAGGAGCCAACTGCTTGCGGGCAGCGCGGTGCTTGTCGATGTCTCGCTCCGAAGCCAGTCCCTCGTACTTGTCTCCAGTGTCAAGCATATCAGACTTGACGAAACCGGGCCTTCCATTGATGCTGCTAGTGTAGATATCTTGCCAGCATCACATCAGAAAACTCACTTTAAACGTGCTGTTGGCTGTGGACATACCTGTGTAAGCCTTGGGGGTGATGAAGACGAGCTCGTTTGGTGCTATTCGAACTACATCTCCTACTTACAGTTAGCAGGCCATCTGGTACTCGGACAATGAATTTAGCTCACCGTATTCCCGAAAGGCTCGCTGCATAGCCCAAGGATAGCGGCCAGATAGCCTGTGGACGGCCTCGTCAGCTTCTTGCATTTCTTCCCAAAGGCAATTCCTCTGTGGGATTCCATCAACCTACCATTGATACCCATACCACACGTTGGAAACTGCTGCAATCTTGGGGCCAGGATATTTTGCCAAAGGATGAAACCAAACCAGGTAGATGGTCCGAATCAAACTATAGACGACGATCTGGGATAGTGTTAGACATTTACCGTTGCGCACAGGGCTCCAAGTCAGGAGTAGGAATCACTAACACCACCGAATGCGAGCGTGGCATAGTCGCGAGTCGTCAGACTCAAGCCGGGAAACTCGAGATTCAGCATGGTGGCGGCTGTAGAAATCGTGCGCCAGATTGAGCGTTCGATCCAGTCCCAACCAATTCTCAACTTTGACAGAACGTGGCGACTACATGTAAGACCTCTTGCTTCGATCACAGATCAGAAATGAACAAAATCTTATGCGCTAGACTGGCCATCCGATTATTCGCCAGATTGGACAGGCAACAGTACACAGAAGGCGGTAGTTTGGCCTCCATATCTGCGGAGAAAGTCACCGACTCGGTGGCCGGCTTCCTTCAACCTGATCTCCTGAATTCCAAAAGAAGGCATTAAGCATTCGCCCCTGTCCATGTCTGAAAGATCGTTTGTGAAGAAGGACTTTGGCCAATCGGCTCACCGCCAAAATGTGCTTGTCAGATCCTAACCAGGCCTTTCGGAGGGCTTTCTCACAAGTTCGGAGGCATAATACGGGATCCTGCCGAGCTGATCCTGCCGAGCCCACTTGCTCCTGACGTGGGGGTATAAACCGGCCCGACCGCGGGTTCGGAGCCCGCTAAGACAGAGCTGCAGGGACCAGTTTGCTTCAAGGTTCTGGACTGCTCTGACAGGTGACAGGGATCTAGATCCAACAAGTGCCTGGTCGATATTTGCCTCAAGTTCTGGATTCAGGTCGGGTAAGCGATATGTGACTATGTGACCGAGCCGAGGAGTTGAAGTCTGAGTTATGGTTGTCTGAATTCACTCATTGATCAAATAGTACAATTGAAAGGAGGAGCTTGAATTGCCTCTCTGCGTCCGCTCCTTTTGAATGTATCTTATGGTCCATTAACCACCTCTGGAGCGAATCAGACCGTAAATCAATATCAACAACCAGCAGACAACCACAAGGAGTCATCTGAGATATCGACCTCAACGTCAGAGAAACAGCTGGTAGCACCCGTCACGGTACTCAGTATGGCATCTTCAAATGTGGCCTTCCAAGGCAACGAGCCTATTGCAATCGTTGGCAGCGGCTGCAGGTTTCCAGGAGGTGCCAACTCACCTTCCAAGCTGTGGGACCTGCTCCGGGAGCCTCGCGATGTGCTTTGCGAAATTCCCCCGAGTCGTTTTGATGTTCGCGGGTTTCATCATACAGATTCTCAGTTTCCTGGTCACACCAACGTCAAACACTCCTATCTACTCCAAGAAGATGTCGCCAAGTTTGATGCCCAATTCTTTAATATCACAGCACCAGAAGCAGTAGCCATGGACCCTCAGCAGCGCCTCCTTCTTGAGACAGTATATGAGGGCTTGGAGGGCGCTGGCTTGACCATCGAAGGTCTCAAGGGCTCCAACACTGGTGTTTATGTCGGCGTTATGTACGTCGACTACGAGTCTCTGCAATTTCGCGACTTGCAGCACGTCCCAACATACCTTGCCATTGGTGAGAAGTGCACTCCGTCAAGCAACTGATAAATATCACTAACAGTCTTAGGCACCGCCCGGAGTATCGTTTCCAACAGGATATCATACTTTTTCGATTGGCACGGTCCCTCACTGACGGTCGATACCGCCTGCTCTTCGAGTTTGGTTGCTGTGCACCAAGCCGTACAGGCTCTGCGATCGGGAGAAGTCCGTGTCGCATTAGCGGCCGGAACCAATCTCCTACTCGGCCCAGAGCCGTACATCCACGAGAGCAAGCTGAAAATGCTGTCTCCCGATGGCCGGTCTCGCATGTGGGACCAGGGTGCTAACGGTTACGCCCGCGGTGACGGTGTTGCCGCCGTCGTCCTCAAGACACTGAGTGCCGCGCTGGCGGACGGAGACCACATCGAAGCCATCATCCGGGAGACCGGCGTAAACCAAGATGGTCGCAGTCGCGGTATCACGATGCCCAGTGCAGCGGCGCAGGCGTCGCTTATCCGAGCTACCTACGCCAAGGCAGGACTCGACCCGGAGTCCAAGACAGATCGGTGTCAATACTTTGAAGCCCACGGCACGGGGACACCCGCGGGCGACCCGGTCGAGGCCGAGGCTGTGCACACGGCGTTTTTCGGCAACGGAGATCCTGATGCGGACCGCCTCCTCGTTGGTTCCATCAAGACCATCATCGGTCACACGGAGAGCACCGCCGGCCTGGCCGGCATCCTCAAGGTCGTGCAAGCAATGAGACACGGCTACGTCCCGCCGAATATGCTGCTGGAGAATCTCAACCCGAACGTCTTGCCTTTTTACAGTCACTTGAAGATCCCCCAGAAGCTTACTCCGTGGCCACAACTTCCGCCGGGTCAAAGCCGGCGAGCCAGCGTGAACAGCTTCGGGTTCGGTGGAACCAATGCGCACATCATCCTCGAGAGTTTTGAGCCGTCCACCTCCGACGAAGAGAGAGACATCCAAAGCGCTGCCCCTTTTCTTTTCTCCGCACAGTCAAAACAATCGCTCCTGTCCAGTCTCGCAGCCCATGTCCAGTACTTGGAGCAGCATCCCGACACCAGTCCTTCGGATCTTGCTTGGACTCTGCGATCTCGCCGCTCTCGTCTCCCTCTGCGACTCGCGTTGCCGGCGTCAACCATTGAGACACTGCAGAGCAACCTAAAGGGGATCATTGGCAACAGCAACTTCCAGCTAGACTCCAAGGCCGCCGGTACCAGCACCAAGCAGGCTCGTCTGCTGGGTGTCTTCACGGGCCAAGGTGCGCAGTGGGCTCGCATGGGCGCCGAGCTCGTCGAGACTTCCCAGTATGCGGCCGACTTGCTAGCCGTCATGGATGATGCCTTGGCACAGCTGCCCGAGGCGGACCGCCCGTCTTGGACTTTGAAAGAGCAGCTGCTCGCTGAAGCAAAGACGAGCCAAGTTGGCAGTGCTTCTGTTGCGCAACCTCTGTGTACCGCTGTGCAGGTCATTCTTGTTGAGCTGCTTCACCAATGCGGCATCAGCTTCGCTGCTGTTGTTGGACATTCCTCGGGCGAGATCGGGGCCGCCTTTGCCGCTGGGGCTCTGTCTGCTCCTGACGCTATCCGCATTGCGTATTATCGCGGTCTTCATTCCCGGCTGGCTGCAGGTCCCGAAGGAGTCCAAGGTGCTATGCTGGCAGTTGGGACAACTTTGGAAGATGCCGAGTCCATCTGCAACGATGACTACTTCCTGGGCAGAGTCAAGGTCGCCGCATGCAACTCTGCCTCCAGTATCACCATCTCAGGTGATGAAGATGCGATCGAGGAGATGATTGACATTTTCGAGGACGAGAACAAGTTCGTCCGACGTCTCCGGGTGGATAAGGCTTACCATTCGCATCACATGGTGCCTTGTTCACAGCCGTACTTGGAGTCTATGAAGCCTTTCTCCATCCAAATGAAGCAATCCAACTCGAACTGCACTTGGATCTCCAGTGTCAATCCGGATCGGTCTCTGGACGTTTCAAACAGCCTTGATGCCTCATACTGGGTGGAAAATCTTCTTTCACCAGTGCTCTTCATGCAAGCAGTCGAGAAAGCCATTAGACTCGGTCCCTTTGACGCCGCAATCGAAGTTGGTCCTCATCCTGCTTTGAAGGGGCCTGTTCTTGACACTCTTCGAGACCAAAAGATTGAGATTCCATACACAGGATTACTTCAGCGCAATACCAACGCAGTCCAAAGTGTTTCCTCCGCAATTGGATATGTCTGGACGCATGTCGACAATCTCGTCATCGACTTTGACCGCTACGAATCTGCCTTAGGTGGTCCGAAGACGCATCGCTTCATCTCGAATCTGCCAACATATCAATGGAACCACTCCCAGGGATATTGGCACGAATCCAATCTTTCGCGAAACCTGCGCACAAGAAGTCAACCTGTTCATCAGCTTCTTGGAGACCTGCAGCCCCAGAGCTCAGCACATCAGGTTACATGGAAGGCGATCTTACGACCCCAAGATCTTCCATGGGTTCATCACCACAGAATCCAAGGGCAGACAGTCTTCCCGGCAGCTGCATATGCGGCTACGGCATTTGAGACGATCCATTTCCTGGCAGATGGAACTCCTGTTCAGCTCATGGAAATTAAAGACTTATTCATCCACCAGGCTTTGGTTTTTGGAAACGACGAGCAAGAGTCTGGCATCGAGGTCCGATCGGTGGTCAGCAACATCAGCCACGATGATCCCGCAACAATCACAGCCCATTTCACTTACGAGGCGTGCATTGGATCCCAGAAGGATTTCCAACTTGTAGCAAGCTGCGAGATATCAGTCTTCTTAGGCGAGCCGTCGCGAGATACGCTGCCCGCAACTGCCCGTATCGAGCCCTACATGGTCGATATCGACACCGAGCTCGCGTACTCCTCTCTCAACGAAGTTGGCTACGGATACACGGGTCCCTTCAAAGCCCTGTCTCGCTTGAAGAGGAAGCTCGGCAAGGCGTCTGGGTCCCTTGCCTTGACAGCCCCGGAGTCCAACGACGAGGTTCTCATCATTCATCCCGCGGTTCTGGACGCAGCTTTCCACTCCATCATCTTGACTTTCAGCTATCCTGAGGACGGCAGGCTTTGGAGCCTCCACCTCCCCACCCGCATCAACAAAATCAGGATCAATCCTTCGCTGTGCGGTCGTCACTGGTCAGGCGCTGCTGAAGTCCCATTTGTCGCATCTATGTCCGATGAAGCGGAATCAAGAGAGAACTCTGGGTTCCAGGGTGATGTTGATATTCACGACCAAGATGGGGAATTCACTGCTGTCCAGGTGGAAGGACTCCACGTTGTCCCCTTCACCCCGGCTTCTTCGGCCGACGACCAACAGCAGTTCTATGCTACGCATTGGGTTTCCTCCGAGCCCAACGCCGACATTCCGGGCACTTACGAAGCCTCGGTTCAAGATAAAGAGATGGCTATCATCCTTGAACGTGGTAGCTACTTCTACCTCAGACAATTGGAGCACCAGATTCCAGAGGACCACCCCGGGCGGTCTGACCCGTACAACGCCGCTTACCTGTCTTTCGCCTGTCACACACACAAGCTCGTCCAGCAAGGCAAGCATCGGTACGCAAGGAGGGAATGGCTCAATGACACGCTAGAAGACATTCTCGCCTTCTCCAAGCCATTCTCTGAGCAACCCGAGATCAAGGCTATGCACATCGTCGGGGAGCAGATGCCGCGTGCGATACTGGGAGAGACTACCATGCTCGAGCACTTGATGAACAACGGGCTACTGGCTGACTACTACGCACAAGCCCGAAGCATCACCCGAGGCACCAACCTCTTAGCGGAGACTGTCGTGCAGATTCTGCAGCGGTATCCCGAGAGCAAGATCCTGGAAGTTGGGGCCGGTACCGGGCAGGCAACTCGCGAAATTCTCAAGCGCGTCGACGACAACTTTTCGACTTACACGTTCACGGACGTCTCGGCGGCATTCTTCGACAAGGCCGAGGCGGAGTTTGAGGCATTTGAGGACCGCATGCTCTACAGCGTTCTGGATCTCGAGCAAGATATGAAGACGCAAGGCTTCGAGGAGCATTCTTACGACATTGTCGTCGCCTCCTTCGTCCTGCACGCCACAAAGAGCATCGAGCAGACTGTGCGTCGCGTACGATCGCTTCTGAAACCGGGTGGTTATCTCGTTCTCTATGAGGTGACAAACACCGACATCATCCGCGGTACCGCCCTCTTCGGGTGTCTCCCGGGATGGTGGCAAGGGGTTGAAGAGGGCAGAACCCTGGGTGCGTGCGTGTCCGAGTCCAAGTGGGATGCCATCTTGCGCAAGACCGGGTTCTCGGGAGTCGACACCATGACGCCCGTCAAGGACGCCATGTCTCTTCCCAACTCTGTCATGGTCTCGCAGGCGGTCGATGACTGGGTCGAGTTTATTCGAGAGCCCCTCTTGGCATCGCCCTCGCTGTTTGTTGGACAGTCTGTCATCAAGCATCTCTTCATCATTGGAGGGTCCACTTTGCGAGTCTCTCGCTTGGTGCAGGACATTCGAAAGCTCATCCACGCTTTCTGCGACGACATCACGGTGATTGAATCTTTAGAGAGACTAGATGATACGGAGCTTGACGAGAACGCCACTGTCCTGGTTCTGGAGGACCTCGACCACCCCGTCTTCAAAGACATCACTGCAGCACGCTGGGACGGCCTCAAGTACCTCTTCGGATCTGAGAAGTCCATTGCGTGGGTCACCCAGGATCGCATGGTCGATAACCCCTTTGGCAACATGGGTGTCGGATTCGCGCGATCGGCCCTATGGGAAATCCCGGAGATCCGCTACCAGTTCATCGACTTCCAAAATGCGCACCGAATCGACGCGCGGGCGTTGGTGGAATCCGTGCTGCGCTTCCAGATGTCTGGTTCCGTTCAAGAACAGAGCCAGCGAAAACCCCTCTGGTCCGTAGAGTCTGAGATTGTCATTGATTCTGACGGACGCCAGTTGGTTCCTCGGATGAGGCCCGTCAGCACTGCCAATGATCGCTATAACTCGGCTCGAAGGACCATCGTTAAGGATGCCCAGACTCTAAACTCTCAAATAGCTATTGAGAATTCGGATGATCAGTACATCCTTGTCGAGCGGTCTCCGCTGGCTCGGGACCGCTGCGACAGTAGCACGGTTACCTTGAACTTGACGCATTCCAGCTTGCGAGCCATCAAGACTGACCTCGGCGACGCATTTTTGATACTGGGATTCTGCGCAACAACTGGCACTCAGTACCTCAGTCTTTGGGACTCTGTTGCCTCCGTCGTCAGCATACCGCAAGAGAATCTGGTCTCTTGTTCTGTTCCCCTAGAGTCCGCGGCGTTATTCTTGACAGATGTGGCTGCACACCTCCTCATGCCAGCACTTGAGGGCTCTCTCATCGAAGGCGACACTGTCCTGGCTCATAACGCCCCCGATTCGGTGATGAAAGTACTTGGTGGCCGTCTCAAGTCGGCTGGTATCAAGTTGGTCTGCACTACTTCCTTGAGGGAAGTTGCGGAGCAAACCGATTCTGTGTATATCGGCCGATATATGCGCCAATCCGAGGTGAGGGCGCTTCTCCCCGCCAACATCTCTCGATCCATCGACTTCACAACCCAAGGCGGACTGTCATCAGTCGCTTCCTGCTTGCCGATCAGTGTCCCTAGAGTCAACGTGTCTTCACTGCTTGCCGAAACGGCAAAGATGAACCGGGCGTTTGGCAACGATATGAATAAACGTCTCGCAGCTGCAACGGCCGATGCACACTCAGCTGTTGCAAACCGCACACGCAATGACACGGCGACAAGCTTGGTCAATGTACAAGATCTGGAGACAATCAAGGAAGCTCCCAGCGCACTTACAATCGTTGACTGGAGCGCCTCATCCGTTTCCATCAATGTCCAACCTGCCATAGCTCATTTCAAGGCAGATCGGACTTATTGGTTGGTCGGACTCTCTGGAGATCTTGGAATCTCTATTGCAGACTGGATGATTCGAAATGGTGCCAAGTACCTGGTCATTACCAGCCGCAACCCCAAGGTAGATGAGAGCTGGCTGAAGATTACGGAGGCAAGAGGGGCAATAGTACGCATCGTGGCATGGTAGGTCGACCGCCGGATCGTGTTCAAATCATTTACTAATATGAGATATGCAGCGACCTTACCGACTACGACGAACTCGCACAGGCGCACAACGAGATCTCTAGCACACTGCCCCCGATCGCCGGTGTTTACCAAGGCGCCATGATCCTTCTAGACATGGCCCTTCGTGACATGGGACTCGAGGACTTTAGCCGGGTTCTCCGTCCGAAGGTCGAGGGCAGTCTGAACCTCGATCGCGTTTTGGGAGATGAGCCACTGGATTTCTTCATCTTCTTCTCTTCCGTCGCCACCGTCGCAGGGAACCCCGGCCAGGCAGGCTACACGACCGCCAACTTGTTCATGAGCGGTATGGCTCAGCAAAGACGCAAGCGCGGTCTGCCGGCGTCCGTTGTGGAGCTAGGCTTGATCATGGGCACGGGATACATCACCCGCGAGAAGGGCAACGTCCTGACGCGGCCTTCGTTTGAACGAGGACTCTTGACGATATCCGAGTATGATGTTCACCAGACGCTGGCGGAGGCTATTCAATACGGCCACCCTGAGTCGGGTGCCGAGTGGCAGATTTCCATCGGCCTGAGACGGATGCCGGCCAACGCGCCAAACCGGCCTCAGTGGTATAGCTACCCTCAATTCGCGTGTCTCACGGAGAGGGCCGCGGTCGAGGACACGAGCGCGGCTAATACGCAGGCTGGCCCGTCTATCAAAGAGCGTTTGGCCACGGCGACGACGAGAGATGATGTTGAGAAGATCATCACTGGTAAGACCGTGACCACTCATTTTGTTCCCCTTCCATGATCTGCAAAAGACTAACACGAAGCTAGAATCCTTCATTGCCGAAATGCGCAAGATGCTCCATCTCAGCGACGACTATGCCATCACCCCAGCAGTCCGTACTGACGAGCTGGGGCTCGACTCCCTCGTCGCCGTCAGAATCCGATCCTGGTTCCTCAACAACTTCCAGGTCAACATTCCCGCACTTCGGATTCTCAAGGGTGAGGCGCTGCAGGGCCTCATCGACCACGCCGTGGATGAGATCCCAGAGGAGTTGGCACCCAAGTTGTTTGCCCTACAATCTGAAGACAACTCATCATCTTCCGAAGAGTCATCGCAAAAGTCAGGCTCGCCGCCGTCTACCGCTCCCGAGACGGAGACTTCATCTGTCGTCAACGGCGATCTCGAGATAAAGGAGGAGAAGGAGCCAGGGCCACAGGAAGTCCAGTTGGAAAGGTTCGGACGCTTGTCTTACACCCAGTCAGTATTCTTGTTCGTGCACGAGCTCTTGCCTGACAAGACCACTCTGAACAACACAGTTATGCTTCATCTTAGCGGAGAAGTGCGCATCCCCGATCTCTCCCGCGCCGTCCGGGCGTTAGGAGAGCGACATGAGTCGTTGCGAAGCTGTATTTGCGAACGCGATGGCCAGCCTAGCCAGGGAGTTATGAAGGCCCCTTCTTTCGCCCTCGAGCACAAGAAAGTCTACACCAAGAACGAGCTTTTCGACGAGTACGCAGCACTCCGTGGCCATGTATTCGACTTGCGCCGTGGCCAGACGAGCCGGACCATCCTGCTCTCGTACTCGCCACGGGATCACTACCTCTTGATGAGCTCGCACCACATCTTCTTCGACCGAGCCAGCAACGACGCCGTCATGGGCGACCTGGAGCGGTTGTACAACGGATATCCCCTCGATTCGAGCCCTCTCCAATACCTCGACTACTCTGACGACCAGCAAAGACAGTACATATCGGGAGAATGGGACGAGGCCATCGACTTTTGGCGCCGCGAATTCACCACCATACCCGACCCCCTGTCCCTCCACCGCAGTCAGATCTCCGAACGACAGCCCCTCGAGCGCTATGCATCCCGCATCCCGGACTTCCGCATCGACAAGCAGCTCTCGGCAAAGATCCGTCAGGTCGCGAGGAAGCACCGCGCCACTCCGTTCCACTTCCACCTCGCCGCCTTCAAGGTCCTCCTGCACCGGTTCCTCGGCACCACCGACGTATGCATCGGCATTGCGGACAGCTGCCGCAGAGACGACCAGATGCGCACCGGCATCGGCCCGTTCCTCAACATGCTACCCCTGCGCATGGCCGCCAACGCGGAGCAGCCCTTCCTCGGCGCCCTAGACGAGGCGAGGGAAAAGAGCTTCGCCGTTCTCGCCAATTCGATTCCTCTGGAGGTCATTCTGAACGAGCTCCGCGTCTCTCGTCAGGCCACGCATACGCCCTTGGCACAGGCGTTTATGAACTACGCCGAGAATGACCTCGAAGACGGCCAGATGTTCCTCGGTTGCCGCATGACGATGATGAAGCAGGAGATGGCCGAGCTTCCCTACGATATCACCTTTACCGTCATCAACAACACCACGGGCGACACGCGCATCCTCCTGAATTTGCAGGAGTCCTTGTACACAGATGCTGATGCTCAAATCTTGCAGCATGGATATGAGGACATTCTGCGGGAGTTTGCAAACGCGCCGGATCAGGCGGTGGGTAGCAAATGGCACTTCAGACCTGCTGTTTTGCAAAAGGCTCTTGCATTGGGACGCGGTAAGTTCACCAAAAGAAAGATTTACTTATTCAGCACAAGCTTACTGACGTGCGTCCAGGCGCGGCTTTCAACTCCTCTTGGCCGGAGACCCTCGTTCACCAATTCGAAAGCTTCTTCCCAGCTGTCGCGGAGAGAGTCGCGGTTACCGATGACACTGGTGGCTCAATTACCTACGCACAACTTTCTGCCCAGATGAACACGATTGCATCTGAACTCCTCCGCCAAGGTGTGCAACCTGGCTCCAGGGTTGCGGTCTTCCAGCACCCGTCAGTCTGTTGGATACCTTCCCTTCTTGCGATTCTCAGAATTGGCGCCGTCTATGTCCCGCTGGACGTCAACACTCCGATTGCAAGATTGTCCCTGATGGTGCGCGACTGTCAACCAGCCTTGATCCTCGTCCACGACTCAACGACGGACGACGCAAAGAAGCTGGAGACCGAGCCAGGCACATCTCTAGTCAATGTAGCAGCTTTGGAAGAGTCAAGTGAAACAGCAATCCCCAATCTCGCCCAGCCGGACGCACCAGCTATAATCCTGTACACCAGCGGCTCAACCGGGACTCCGAAGGGAGTTATCTTACGCCACAGCAGCTTGAAGCACGAGTTCGACCACTGCGCTACCATTTATCAACTCAACCAGCACGACGTCGTGCTTCAGCAGAGCGCGTGGAGCTTTGACTTATCCGTGACGCAAATCTTCCTGGCTCTCGGCGTGGGAGCCCAATTGCACACAGTATCCCACACCATGCGCGCGGACTCGCACGCGATGGCTGAGCTCATCGCGAGTCGAGGGGTGACAGCCACCTACGCCACCCCAACTGAGTACAAGAGTTGGCTGAGGCGTGAAAGCCAGGCCGTAGTGCGGTCTTCGGCCTGGCGCCTAGCCCTGGTCGCCGGAGAAGCCGTCACGGAGCCGCTTCTTCAACTCTTCCGCGAGGTGGACCGCGATGGCCTCCGTCTCTTCAACGTGTACGGTCCTACTGAGACGACGTGTGGATCGACCAAGATGGAGTTATCGTACCGAACTCCTGGGATGTATCAAGGGACCATTCCCGTTGGTGTGGCGTCTGCGAATGAGCGCTTCTACATTCTGGACCCCAGTCAGAACCTTCAGCCAGCAGGCCAGACGGGTGAGATTGCCATTGGCGGTGTTGGAGTTGCCATGGGCTACTTGAACTTGGATGAACGCACTCGGGCGTCTTTCTTGCCTGACCCTTTTGCAACCGAGGACGATTCAAAGCGGGGATGGACGACCATGTACCGAACAGGCGACGTCGGGTTCCTGCAGTCCAACGGCACGCTCGTCCTGAAAGGTCGCATCGGAGACGACACGGAGATCAAGCTCAATGGTGTTCGGATTGACCTAAAGGACGTGGAAAAGACCGTCCTACAAGCTTCCGGCGGTGTCCTCGCCGATGCTGTGGCGTCTCTTCGCAGTACCTCGGAAGGGGCGGTCAAGTTCATGATCGTTCACGTCGTTTTTTCGGACAAGAACTTTGCTGAGGATAGGAGCAAATTCCTCAAAACTCTCCTCGCTGAGCTCCCGTTGGCACGCACCATGTGTCCATCGGCTCTCATTCCGGTCGACGCCCTTCCCAGAACCGTGGCTGGTAAGGTTGACAGGCGTGGAATCTCCTCTTTGCCCATCTCGCAGGGACTTTTCCACCGCGCCGAACAGGAGATGGAGGGTACCTCAGGATCGGCGAGACTTTCCAAGGCCGAAAGCACACTTCAAGCTTACTGGGAAGCGGTGATTCCGGAGGAGCTCGTCGGTTTGCACGAGATCGAAGCGAACTCGGACTTCTTCACCATTGGAGGTAATTCTCTCCTCTTGATCGAGCTTCAAGGTCGGATTCGCGCAGATCTCGGCATCTTCATCGCCTTGCCAAAGCTCTTCCAAGCCACGACTCTGAGGTCAATGGCTCGACTTCTTCCCGGGATGGACGACACCGAGCCGGAGCTCGACACCCAGATTGATTGGTCCAGCGAGACCGCTCTACGTTCAGGAGATGCCATCTCTGAGCAGTTGTCTGCCAATCCAGTTGCGAAGCTGCCTCGCACCGTCGTCTTGACAGGAGCCACAGGTTTCCTCGGCCAATATCTCGCGAGGTCCCTCGTCGAAAACGAGCAAGTCGAGAAAGTCATCTGCATAGCGGTACGAAACTCAAAGGACCAAGCCCGCCAACATCTCCTCTCCCAGCTCGGTCCCAAAACAGAGTTCCATGAAGGCGACCTGAGCTCGCCCCGCCTCGGTCTCACAGAGGAAGCCGCCCTCCGCATATTCCAATCCGCCGATGCAGTCATCCACAACGGCGCTGACGTCTCGCATCTCAAGACATACTCCTCCCTTCGCGCCGCTAACCTCGGAGCAACCCAAGAGCTCGTCCGGTTGTGCGGTCCTCGGCAGATCCCGCTGCACTATGTATCCACTACGGGTGTCGCCATGTACACACCCTTCGAGGAGCTCGACGAGGTCTCGGTCCGCGAGCACAGGCCGCCGGTGGACGGCCGACACGGCTACGTCGCCTCCAAGTGGGCCAGCGAGGTATACCTCGAAAACGTCCACGCGGCTGGCGGCTTGCCAATCTACATCCACCGCCCGTCGAGCATCATGCGCCCCGAAGCCGACAGGACGGGCGAGAACCCGGCTGCTGATGTCCTGCAGAATATGCTCGACTACTCGCGGCGCGTGCGCGCCGTGCCAGCGGCGCCGGGTCTGAGTGGGTTTGTTGACCTGGTGAAGCCCGAGACGGTCACCCGCGGGGTTGTCGGCGCCGTCATGGCTGGGTCTAGGGAGGATGGTGTTGTTTATGTTCACGAGTCGGGAGACTTGGAGTTGAATGTGAAGCAGATTCGGGAGTATTTGAAGAGTGAGACGGGAGAGGATGTTGAGGCGCTGCCGCTCAATGAGTGGATTGGTCGTGCCGAGGAGATTGGATTGTCGCATGCCATGGCTGCCGTATTCTGGAGTTCGTTGGGGTCTGGAGAGTCGATGAATCTTCCCAAGTTGCTGAGGCGACGACTGTTGGGTTTGCTTGAAGTTTAAGTTGTATCTTATTTTTGGCGTCATTAAGGGTTGGATTGGTATTGGAATGGAGTTGAACCATTCTCTTGTTTGCTATAACCAAGGCTTCTTCCCGTATTCAGATAATCTACATCGTGATACCTTACTCGTAAGCAGCGTTTTTTACCCGCACATCATTATCAAAGCTCCCTCTACTTTAAGCCATTAGAAGAATTAGCATTAAATTATCCACCTGTTATGAACGATCTCGTAGTGTTCCAACCGGGTCCCATTGACCCAAATATTATATCATACAAATCATTAAATGATGCCGACCGTCTCGTGAGATAAATCACAAGGCCTTTCTGGGTTTCCTTTCCTGTACGGCCGCTTGCATGGACACAGTTTCAGTTCCAGTAACACGAGATGGGTGACCCTTTTTGGATCCCTCGAGCTCCTTGGCTGATATGTCTACAAGTGCGGCATTCTTTTGTTGAAGAGACGGCCGATGCGTCGAAGCCTCTTCATCTTCCGATCTGTCATCCTTTGCAACTCCCAAGAAGACAAACTTGTAGGCGCTGCGCAGCAAGCAATACAGCCAAAACAGATTGAGCGCTTGCAGCGCAGCCAACAGCCCAAAGGTGATGAAGTTCGACAAGGGGCACTTATACTGCTCCGTTTCCCAATTGAGCTCATATGGCCCAATGGTACTAAATTCAGAGCCAGGCAGCGCCGAGTAGAGAATTCGCAAGTTGGTGTAGTGCCGGAGGTAAATCCACACGGCGATACACACCCCAAAGGACACCCCCTGAAGCTTATTGTCGAGATAATTCAGCGACTTTGACACAGCGAGAAAGAAATCGCTAATGTCGTGCGTGATGTACACGGCGATACCCATATACGCAAAGTGGAAACGGTAACTCAGCGCGACAAGCGCAACTGTGACGACGTGGTGCGCAACAAGCTCGTGGAAGTCCTTGCGCCGCTGCTCCAACCCGAGGACCATGACGACCACCTGCTGCGCCCAGAACGCCGCCTGCAGGAGATAGTAGCACTTGAAGCTGGCGTCGTGCGTGCGGTGCGGGAAGCCCGCGTACATGCCGTGGGTGTCAAAGTACCACACGGGGGTGCGGCTCATGACGTGCAGGCCCCAGGGCCCAATGGCAGTCACGTAGAGTGCCGTGTACATGTTCTCGGCGAAGCGCGCGCGCTTGGCGCGTGACTTGATGCCCCATGCGCGAGCGAGCGGCGCGAGCATCTCTTGCATGCAGACCTCGCGGGTGAAGGTCAAAAAGACTGTGTAGAAGGCGACAAAGGCGATATCCCAGGGCCCCTTGCCGTATTGTGTCGTCTCGGCGCCGCCATTGTCGAGCTGGTAGGACGGGAATATGAAGTGGCGCGTCGGGTTGGAGTCGGTCGGGTTGACGGCGTAGAGGGAGAGGATCGCAATCGTGAGGAACAAGGGGAGCGTCCACGTCCGACGGCGCAGGAGAGCAAAGGCTTTTGTCTTCTTGCGCTTCGAGTAGCCCTTTGTGTGACGGCTGGCCAGCATTTGAGGGGGGACTTGCGCGCCTGGCTGTAGCTCCATATAGTTGGCGCCCATGCTGTGATGGACCGCTGCGCTGGGCTGTTTGTCTCGATGTGAGCTCGTAATTTTCGTCGAAATCGGGTGTTTGTGCTCGGAGGTAGGTAGATACGCTTGGTCGGGAAAGACAACGACGAGACGGAGCGATCTTTGAGATCCTCCTCGGCTGACACCCAGACGATGCGTAACAGCAAAGCAACTGCAAGACTCTAGATCTTGAGAGAGAGTCAACTGATTAGAGTGGGCGGCCTCAACAACGGCAGGACGTTCCGGCGCAATCAAACAGCTGTTCGTCTTGGACTAGCTTCATGCAGGGGGTTGATGTTGGCTGGTGGGCACACGGTTAAATAAATCGGGGAAGTCAGCAGATGGGCAGAAATGTTTTGCTTATTCCACTCAAGGACCGGGAAACTGAATGGCCCATTAATAAACAGCTTCGGTGCGGAATAAAGCGGCACGGCGACTGTCAACACGCATCGACATCAAATCCGGGAGTTACTCGCATGGCTGCCGTTGGATTGAAACTACTCGTTTCTGCACCGCGATCCTTCTCAGCCAGACTCTTTGGATGGACGTTGGCCCATGTCTCGGCAGCATCTGAATGTAGCATCAAGCCCCACGTTTTCAACGTTGCTTGCCCTTACCGTGATGGGGGGTTATGGAATCGATCCGGGGGCCTTGAGGAATGGAAAAGGGGGAGAGAGTCGAGACCGGCTAGGAATTTATTTACCCTCCGATTCGGAGGGTTTATGTCGTCATATTGCCCCGAACAGAGTGGATCTCATCCAAGAGTAATCCGTGAGGGGGCGCCGGGGACTGCACACCGCTTTCAAGTGATGCTTTTGCATGGATCGATCATGAAAGTGCTCAACCACGATCATGGCGGTCTATAAGAATATTCTTACACTACAAACATGAGCTGTGGGGATGGAGGCATATAATCAACCCCTCGGTTCGAAAAAGGATCTTCTTGGGTTCATCCCGAGTTCAAGCTGTCGACAAGGTAGACAGAAGACAGACTTAGACTAAGCAAGTGATATGCCATGTATTAATAGTAAAGATTTGTTTTATTCGCCAGTCTTGGCCACCCGATTGAAGCGTAACATGGCTATACCCCTCAATCAATCTGCTTCTCACACCCAATTCTGTTGAGTAACTCCTTCCGCCCGCTGTGCGTTCTGACGGCGCTCACCCTCGAGCTCGAAGACTCCTTCCTGGCAGTCGAACGTTCCCAAGACTTCAAGTCAAGAGACTCTACACCGACCTCCTCCTCAATCGCCTCCACCTCCTCATATTCAATCTTCTCTTCCTCCTCCTCCTCCTCTTCCTCCTCGTCATCGACCTCCACATCGCTCCTCACGTCTTCGGCGGGCGCCCCCTTGAGCACCCGCACCGTGACGCGGATAATGAAGAATGACCACGCGCAGATGACGACCTCGAGGGCCAGGAGAAAGGTCAAAAAGCCCTTTGTAATGCCGTTGGTCATGCACACCGTCCCCGCCGGATCCTGGAACGGCTCGAGGAGGTGGGACCAGCCCGCTACGGGCGGCGCAAAGGGGCCCTCGACGGCGCCCGCAGCGCCGCGGAAGCAGGGCTGTTTCAGGGATCGGGGGAGGTCGTAGTAGACGCTCCAGCAGGTCATGAGGTAGAAGACGTGACGCGTCCATACCCAGACCAGGAGGAAGACGCCAAAGATGACGTCGCAGAGGGTCGTGAAGCCGATGTACTTGAGACACTTGGCCAGCTGTCGTGACTGTGAGCGATACGCCTAACAATGCTGGAGATTCGAATGGAATGAGGACTCACTGGGAAGATTAACTCGATTACGTCCATGAGGACCAGAATGAGATGGCCGACGCGGGTCTGGTGATAGGCGTAGCATGCCGCGATGAGGGCGATGGTGATGGCGTGGTGCACAATCATCTCCCAATAGTCCTTGCGCCGCGCCTCAATGTTCACCGAGATGACCTGCTGGACCCAGTATGCCCACTGCACCATGATGTATCCCTTCATCAACCCATCGAGTTCCCTTTGAGGCCAATTGGCCCAGAGCCCCTTCATGTTGAGGTAGTATGGTGCCTTGCAGTAGAGGTACTAAGGGTCGCCGGTTAGTCGCGATTTCCATACAAAAACCTCGGCTATTGGGTGAAGCGGTTCTACACATACCATTCCCACCGGCCAGAGAACGCTGTAGTATGCCAGCATTGAGCCCTGTTCCGAGAACCTGGCGATGTCCTTCTTCTTCGATATGCCCCAATGACGCCCCAGGGGCCCGAGGACGTGGCGCATCAGCGCGGCGCGGATGCCGATGAGGAGCACCACGCAGAAGGCGACGAAGCAGAGGTCGTCATGGCCGGCGCCATACTTGTCCGTAGTCGGGTTGTAGTATGAGAGCTTGAAGAATTTGGATGTGTACGGACGCGCCGCGGGGACGCAGAGGTGTGTGAGGAGCAGAGGGGCAACGGTTTGGAACGCGAGGCCTGTTCGTTCAGACGGCTCTTGTCAGCATTGGCTCTCGGGAAGGACGGGTGCGATGCATGGCATCCGTAAATAGAGACGATTCAGCTTCTTTTCCCCCCTCCCCCCTCCTCGCGACGTACTGGTTTGATTGTCAAATAGCCATTGAACGAGCCTCTTCCTCCGGCTGTGACCCATGGCTTTTGTCTTTTTTGGGCGAGCGGGCGTGGACGCTCTCAACGCGACGGGTGACATGCGCTCAGTATGCGCGATCTCGGTGGTGGGTTCGCTCATAGTCGATCCTTGTCACTCGTTAGGCGGAGGAGTCGAGGCTCAGCTCAGCTCCGCTTAGCATCCACGATAGAGGCCGAGGCGAAGAGAATAATAAACAGTGTGATATCGTGCAGATTTGTGTGCGACAAAACTGTTGAGAAAGTGCCCGTAGGTGCGTGTCGCTTAAAGAAGTATTGTGTTTTCCTGCGGCCCCCCCTCCCCAACAGGGCGAGACCAACTGCCAGCTGAGCAGGTTGGACCCTTTGCTCGCGCCTCACAGGGGGCGGTGAGACAAGGCTGCGGGAATGCAGGGGTGTTCATATTTGGGCGGCTGGATCTTTGAACTGGCGGCCGTTACGATCTTGGAAATGTCCAACTTCTAAGCTTGCTTGTCGTCGGGTAGAAGGCGTGTCTTTGCTAAAAAGCTGGGTTGTGGAACAACAAGGCTGACGTTGAAGAGTCCTCGTCATGCTTGATACCAATTGTTCATGGCATACTGCAAACATGACAACCTATAGGCTAGACGTTCACTTCTCAATTGCCATCTTGTGTCAATTGACCGTAAAACATGCAGGACATGCAAGACTCAGGGGAAACGAGCATCAGGCCATCCCCGCACCAATCAGAACGGGCTTACATGGGTGCTTGTCATCGTGTCACTGCCACAGGTCCGCAGGATGGATTTCGCCGGTGGATCCTGTAGGTACGCCGCAAGCCCGCGGGAATCCGGCAACGGGGTGAGAAAATCTTAATCAAATACTCTCGGCCCATTGCAATTTGAACTCGAACGCGGTTTACTCCATTGCAACGCGCCAGGTCCAAATCTGAGGGAGGTGGAGGCTATCGCCGAACGCTGTGCTTGTTAGTCGCAGAGGAAGCTAGAAGCAATTGCCAGAGCCGAATTCTAAAAGGGGGTAATCAAAGCAAGAGCAATGCGGAAAAGACGCGGACAGACAATTCGCGCTTTTCAGTAGATCCGTTGAACCCACGTAGAACAATCGCTTCATCCGGTGGTTCCTCCGGCCGTCGTAGTTCCATCATCCGAAGGCCCCCGAAAGTATCGAGCCGGGCAATTAGTGGCAGGTAGCGCACCGGATGATGACCCACTTAGAGCCGAATACAAGCCTTTTGATTCGCTTACATATCGGCCCTTCGGGGATCCACATCTCCGGCGACCGATGAGGTTCGCCGGCCGCGCATATCCAGCATACCATTGAACTATTGATGCCTGGCTGTGATTACCATTCCGGTGGACAGCACGCTTCATCGAAACAACATGCTTTCACGTGGACGAAGCTTCTATCATTCTCACATTTTCTCTGATCACCGTGGTGGAGAGCTCGGCCAGATTATATGCTGACTGAAAACCCGATTCGCCGTTCGGGGTCTAGCGGGGAATCGGAGAAAGTAATACATGGTGTTCAATGTTCACCGATACAAACCGGAATAACCCATTGAGTCATACTTTGAGTGAGACTCTTTCCTGATGTTGATCTTCCTCATCAGTCCAATTCATCGTCTGACATCCTTCCTTACGAGCACCTCGTCACTTTCGCAATGGCTGCTGCATCTCCTGTCATCCCGGCCCAAACCGCCATCTACAAGCCCGGTGGCCTGAATCTCTACTCTCGCTTCGCTCTCGCCAGAGAGTTGGACTGTTCCATAACCCATGCAGTCTTCACCCCTGTCGACGTGTACGTTGATCTCGCTTTCATTCTTCGCATAGCCCGTACCCAACCTACAATGGTACAGCGTCAAGACGAAAATCCAGCTCGAACCGGCAACCTAAAACCGTGGCATGGTTACCAGTTTCCGACAGCTTGTTCGCAACGAAGGCATCAGCGATCTACTAACGGGCTTTGGCCCGACTTTTATCGGCTACTTCATCCGATGAGGCAGCAAGTTTAGCCGATACGAACTTTTTCCACAAGCAGACGATTGAAATAATCGGACTTTAAAAGGCAAAAAAAAAATCTTGCGGCGGTGTATTCCGTCTCCGCCGGCTGCTCTGGATGCTGCTCCCGACCACTCTTGGTCCTGCAGAATCCACTCGTATCCGTCTCGTGTCTATCTCTGGCTTCGCCAACGGGTTGATTATTTGGGTTTGGAAACATTATTCAGCATGAGGGCATCGGGGCGTTGTCCTCTGGGTTTGGGCCAATATTTTTGATAGTAGGTTAGTTTTTATTCCGTAACTTGAGCTTCGGTGAGCAGTTATCCAAGGCGAGAACAATGCAAGCATCGACACAGCCAAAGGGTTTCATACACCATCACGAAATCAGTCTCAGTTGAAAAGATGTCCGGGGCAATATTTGCCCGCCTCGACAACCCGGAGACATCCAGTAACACGCAGCCCATAATCAACATGGAAACTGGACTCTTATCAGACAAGGGGCGGAAGCGGACTGGGGCAGCGTCCAGATTGAGTATTAGCTTTTTCCGAGTTTCATCTCATGTATTGTATCAGATTCATGTCTCGTATTTCACCAAGATCAGTTGCTGTTTTAGCTTCACCACTTGAAGTTCAATCTCCGTTCAACCAGTCAGGGACGTATCCGGTATCCAATTGACGCAACCTAAGGTAATCCGATGTCGTTATAAACAGAGCAGAGATGACACATGACCAACTTAATTGCAGAGTTACTCAGCCCTTCTTCCAGATCTCTCAGACACGCAGATCTCTATATTACCTTATTTACTCTGGAAACTTTTATGACGTATCGGCGTAGATGGCACACCAAGTCCATTCTTTCCAACAAGAAAAGCCCATTTTTGAAGTCAACTGCGCATGCCTTATTACGGTTCACAAGCTTCTTAAAATGAGTGCCTGGTCCATGATTTAAACCTCAACCCAATTTGAAATTATGTAAATCTAGGTGCAAATGTATTCTTCCGAGGTCCAGGTGATCCAGGGAAACACAAGGCTGGGAACAAGCTTCGGCGATAACTCGCTCTAAGCAATATGCTATGCGCAAGCACCTAGATTGGTTGAATCAATAAAATCTAGTTAAAATTGTTTTGCATGTTGACTGGTATAATCTGTCATAAACAGTCAGTCAATAGCCTAGTATCGTATGGCATTACTGAGCATCACGGACCAGAACTTGTCATTGGTGAAAGTTGCATCATAGCAACTGCGCATTATAATTATCCCAAAGACGACCCTCACCCAGAAAGATCCAAAACTCCAAGCGTCAGAGCGCCGCGCTCCGAACCTTTCCAGTTCCCGTCTCCCAGATAAAATCCTTAGTCCGTCAAATCATGAATCTAGTATTACAAAAGCTTTGCCGGGGCCCTCGTGGTGTGCTCCATAGTGCCTCAGTTGATGCCCAACATGGACGACTTTCTCCGATCCACAGGCTTCTCCTGGAGCTGTCTACGATACGAATCCAGCTCCATCGTCGCCCACACGAGCGCAATCTTGCCCTTGTCGAAGCGATACATGCAGTGCTCGTGGAACTTTACGCTCTTCCCATTGGGCTTCGCGTCCGCAAACTCCTGCACCGGCGTCCCCGAGATCTGCAGCCGCACAGCAACCTGCTGCGTCTCCTCGTCGACGAGCAGCTCCTGGATATTGAACCACAGCCCCGAAATCGCCTCCTGGCTGTACTGCATGCTGCGCGCGTAGTCCTGCACGGAGAGCACGCGGTTGTTGTGCCGCAGCTCCTTTTTACAGTAGCGCGGGAACTCCTTGACCATGCTGCGCCGGTTGATGCTCGCGACGTACTTGCGGTACGTGGCCGCCAGGTCGACGGGCTCCGCGGGCAGACTGCGCGTGAAGAAGCGCGGCGTCGTCGCGGCCTCGGGCGTCTGGAGGCGGATGCCGTCATTGTCTTGCAGGGTCAACATGCGCGCGATCTTGCCCCTGTCGTCGAACCACACGAAGCACTGCTCGTCAAACTCGTATGTCGTGCCGACGGGGTCGACGTCCATCATGGCTTCGGCGAGGGTGACGCGATTGATGTAGCGCACGGCGACGGCCTGGGCCTTTTTGTCGACGAGGAGGGTGTCGATCTTGATCTTGAAGCTCGCGAGGCCCTCGACGCGGGAACGCAGGCGGTCGACGTGCTCCTCGCGGGTCTGAGTGCGGTTGTTGCGCTCTAGGGTGTCGGCGAGGTGGTTACCGATGACGTCGAACTTGCGGTTGTTGAGACAGTCGAGGTACTCGCGCAGGCGGGCACCAATGTCGACCTGGATGCCCTTGCCGTCGCCGTTCCATCTCTTGGAGGAGGGGCTTCTGCTCTTGCGGATAGGGATGCTTGTGGTGCTGTTGGTGTCTGCGGCTTTGGCTTCTGGGACCTCTGGGGCCTCTGGGGGTTTGAGCTCGGGCGACTCGGGAGGAGTGAGGAGGGTCTCGTGGGGGAAGCACGGCGCTCCGAACTCGTCCATTGTGACGGTCGTCATTTTCATCATGATATCTTTCGGTGAGGGTGTGGTAGGGGGTTGGTGTTCTGTGTAATCGACTGTGACGAGAGCATGTGTTGCCTCGATGGGATGAAATTCGTCGCGATTTCGATAGGTGAAGGTTGGTTTGATGGGTGACTGGGGTGTGCAAACAGGGTAGCACTCGGGGACGGGACGAGCTGAACTTCTTCACGGCATGAATTGTACTTATGGAAGTTGAGCTTGGGTCGTCGATCTATGCAGATCACGGATGGGAATCAGGCCACAGAGGTGATTAAGGGGAATTAGGTAAGGTAGCTTTAGTATGACAGCGCTCTCGAAACGGTCCAAGGATGGGAAATGCGAGAGCTATGAGCAAAACAGCGGGCGGACGTGAACGGGCTGTGGACTGAGATGGGCACGAGGAGTAGGCTAGAGACAAGAGACACAGAGACACAGAAAGAGAGACGAGAGAGCACGAGAAAGGGACAAGGAAGATCTCGAGCTTTGCGCCACGCCTCACGCGTGGATGACGTACGGATCCCCGCAATTCCTGACATCACCCGCATCCCTGTGGCGGCCAGCCGAACATCTTATCCCTCACCATCCCAGGACATTCATCGCTAACCCCAAGCGGGACGCGCGGACCTAACCCAAACAGCCACCCACCACGCTAGTCCGCCAGATTGTGCACTGGAAATAGCCCATGGGCCAGTCGCCAGGAGGGAAACCTCCGCTACATTCCCATCCGGCGAGCTAGTGCTGCCCCAGGTGGCTTGGGTGGCTTTCCTGGGGCAACCGTGGGGGGGGACGAGGGGGAATGATGTTCGAGACTCTCAGATCGTCTCCCAAGCTGCGGATGACATAGTGGAATGAACCCCCAACAAAAACCTGGAAATCAGTAGAATCATCTCTACTCTACTTCGTATCACGTCCCATCAGCCATCGGACGAAGGGTCCTTGCGGCGGGAAGTGGAACTCCCCTCCATCCCCCCCTTCCCCCCCATCAACCCAAATTGCCAAACTAAACCACCCCGGTCCTCGCCTCCCGAGATCCCGGCATCCCGGCTCTTCCGCACATACGCTCAGCAGCCGACCGGGGCCGCTCCCGGGTTAATGTAGCTCGTCGGCGTGGGCCAGTACGTATGCTTGGAACAGGATCCCCGGATCCGTCGACTTGTATGCCCCTGGGAACGACACGAGGCCCGACGGACTGGTGTTCCCACTCCACCAAACGGAAACCTGCGCGCACGCGAGGTACAGCTGCGTCTCCGCCTCCGCCGCCGCGCCATGGAGCGCCAGGTGCTCGACGCGGGCGAGGTACTCCCCCGACGAGATACACGCCGGGATCTTGATGGAGAGGACTTGGCTGTCTGTGACGTATCCATCATCAGCTCTGCGCCTGACTTGTAGAAGTACCAGACAGTAGCAAGGTAACCCCCACGAGCCCACAAAAGACTGATTCAGCCCTATGTAGCGGAAATCCGTTGCGGATTCGCGATTCACAACATCTCCACAAAAGTGATGGAGTGGCCCCTTTTCTTTTGATACCCGCAGATTCCTTAGTCTCTGCGTTTCTCCTCTTTTCTTCCCTGTTTCCGCCATTTCCAACATGTTCTTCGGCCTCCGTCATGTCATTCTGTAGACACAAGAGAAGAATTCCGGAGACAAGAAAGAAAATTCGGACAAAAACTCATTAAGAGAAGCCCACTCCAACCCCCTGCTCGTAATCGACGGCCTCTCGTGGTAAATCTTGAACCACATCGCCCCGCTTCCGTCCAACGTTGCCGCCGTCTGGCCCACTGGCACTTTTGCCATGTAGTAGAAGCTCGCCGGTCCGGGCTGTCCAGAACCCCGTTGGCCACGAACCCAATCTGCGGGCCCGCCGACACCAGCAGTGTCGTAACAGTGCCGTGGTCCTTGGCGTCTGCTTTGTAGCACTGGATCCGCGTTGACAACCTGTCCGCAGGGCCGTTGGTGTAAAAGTTCAGCATCTTGCGCACGTTTCTGGATAGGGTGTGCTGTAGATAAGACGCTCAAAGGTGTCTGTAGAATGATTTACCAGACCAACAACTCAAAATCTCTTTCTCAGTTAAGGGTCTTCTAGAATATAACTGATAATCATCTGAGTGCATCTACATTTATGAATGAATTGCATGATGGACAATTAGTGTTATTCAATCCGACGCCTCTTCAATGAGGCCACGCCTGCAACTGCGTTGATGGCCCAAGAACAGTTTCACTCCGCGGTGTATTCCTCCGAAGAGTTGGTCTAGACATCAATCCTCGCGTCATTATTTGTCTTACCAGATTGTGATTAAGAAACATGGGGAGCTGAGGTGGGGCACGTAGTATTGAAGGTATTGAGCGTGGCAATTGAGCAGCCGCTGCAGGCCCTTACCACCAGACATTTAAGCGTAAGTCCTTGTGCTTAAACCCGATGGCGTTCTCCACCAGCTACAGTGAAAGAACTGTCTGTTTGAAGTTTGCTTGCATTCGACTGGGAATTGAACCTAGGGCAGGAGACTTCAGAGTCCATTATCAGGCTGGTTTGATGTGTCAAGGCGCCTTCAATCAGGAAACACGTGCCATGGCCAGCCGAGGCAAGGTTATTACAGTGTAACAGAACTTATTGCGTATCGCATGATATAGAGGAGACTTGATCAATGATTTTCACTGGACATGGTATTGGAAAGCATCAATCTAGCTGTATGCTCTTGGCTCAGTCACATTGATTCTATTCGGGTCCCGAAACGGCATTGCGAACTCCTGGTTCCTGAACCCCCCTTGCTAGTCTCAAGCGAAGAACTACTCAAACTGCGATCCAGTATAGGCCAAGTCTTCCTCTACATGATCATTCTTGCTACCCTTCTTGTCTTCCTTGTGGCTAGACTTATTCTTCTTTGTGGTCTTCGGGTTCGACCTAGACGGCGAGCCACAGCGGCCAGTCGTGCTCCACGTATCGTTGTCGGTAGGAAGGGAAGGTGCGGGTCTGCAGATGAAACGTAAGCGTCGTGTAGTAGAGCAGGTAACTGCCAGAGACGAGCACTCACGCGGGCTGATTCTTGTTACGTGAAGAACCCATGATTACAGGAGAACCTCTACAGCTTGGGTTGCTTGGCGAAGGAGATTGACGGGGTGGAGGGAGAACGTGTGGAGGCGATATGAGATGTTGTTATGTCGATAATGTATTTAAATAGGCAATAGGCGAGGGAGATGAGAATCTTTGATAATTGGAAGAACAAGAGGCGAAGATGAGAGGAAAGTAGACATATTATATATGATTCTTGGGAACTTCTGGGACGACCATCGACAAGTTCTGCCTGGGTTCTAACTCTAGTACCACCGCCCTGTTAAGCTGCGCCTGTTACCTTGCAGCCCGATGAGAGCGGGCACAAACGAACCAGATCTGCGTCGAAAAGCTAGCATGCAAAGGTTTATGTCGACTATATCCCCAGTCTCGCATCCAGGACCAAAGCCCATTGGCTGTTCACCTTTTGTCGGTGGCCTCACTGAGACATCGTCGCCAGGCGTAAGGATTAACACGGAACGGGCGACTACCCATGCACCCCAGCCATGATGAAGACACAGCGAGTGAAGTGACGACCGTTTGAGAGTTTGTAATCCAATTGGTTATTTACCTTTTGTTCATCGCAGTTGTTGGAGGAAACTGACTTGGGAAAGTTTATGTGGGCACAACACAAACTGCAACGGACATGATGATTTGAGCAAGTGACCTAGACGGGGCCAGATGCAAAATCTTATTGGACAATAGCCTTTTGTTCTGTCCGACCATTCGCTGGCCAAGTCCGAATAAATGGGGGAATCGTTTGGGCTGGAACGAACTGAAGACAGGAAAGGAGCAGCATGACATCTCAGCAAGGAACAGAGCCTCCTAGGAAGCACAACTGTCAACCTGCCTAGGGGGGAGGTGAATTATGGAGATGTGGCTGTCAGTCCCCGGACTGATTGGCCTGTCTCCTTTTGTAAAGCCTTTCATTGGAGGTGTGCTTGGACCTGCGGAGGCTTGGCTATTGCAGCCATGATAACGAAGCCTCATTTCCCGGGCCCTGATTGGCGAGTCGCCTTTTGTGAGTTACACAACATTCAATCACGGGCTGAAATGCAACTTTTGCTGCATACCGTCAATTTCCAAGAACGAGGCAGCCGTTGCCTGATGGTTTAAGGCAGCCGGTTTGGAAGTCAGTTGAATAAGAACCACACTTTCCGACTCCTTGAGGCATTCCCATTCCTGTCCTTCTACTCGCATCTCGGTCGACATTGATACCTGCATCATTGAATATCTTTCCCGTTCAGTCTGACGGAGTCACCACATGGTGCTTCCCAGCACATTCTCAAAATTTTCTTCTATTGTTGAAAGAGCATCTGGCAGTTGATTTAGTCCCCGGTCTTGGTGGACCACACACCACGATCGTCCTCTTCGCGACACAATCATGGATCCCCCACTCGTCCTTGGCCCGGCCCCAGTGGCCACATTCCATCATATTCCCTATGAACAACGATGGGAGCCCCTCAAGGACATCATTGTCAAAGCCTTTTTGGGGGACGATACAAGCCGACCCCTCACGTTTCCAAAGCTTTCCGAGTTTATGACGAAGCACCACGGCTTCAAGGCGTTGTTGGTCATCCTCTATCCCAAAAATGACTCCAGTACAAGCTCATCATCTTACATATGCCATAAACAGGCCTGCTCAATACCGATATCGCCTCAGTCAATGGGGCATCCGAAAGAATACAAAGAAAGATGAAAAGACAGCTTTGATCACCGCTATTGGGAAGCGCAATCGTCCCGGGAGTCGTATATCCGATGTGGAGATTCGACAAGGGGAGTTGATGAGGCCTGTGGACAGCAAACAGGTGAAACGATTCATCAACGACACTATTCGCCACTACCCTACTCCGCCAATGACTCCTGGCATGTAAGTTGCCATCTTCAATCTCGATTCAACGGACAAGAGTGTAACAGATTCCTAGGTTGTCGCAATGGAATCTTCCGTACGCAGCGTACCGAGCCTCTCTCACGAGGCAAGACGATCAAGCTTCTCCTTTCAGCCACAACCCACCTACCCCGCAGTATCTCCATGTCAACAGCCCCGAGGCATCTGCTGGCCAAACTTCAGACATGACTCCTACTTCTGCTTTGATTCGGAGGAAGACGTTGCTGGACCGGGCTAGCCTCCTCCTACAGGGCCGCAGAGAAGAGTTGTTGAGTGGATGCAACGTCGATGACAGAAGGTAACATCTTCATTCGGATGTTCAAGATGGCTCATAGTCCTGACCATTTCAAAGAACAATCTCTGACTGGCTCCATGACTACTGGATGCACTCCTTCGTGACGGCCAAATTCTGGGGGGTTGGTCCTCAAGAATGGACGGCCAGGCTGATCTCAGAGGTCACCCTTGGCTCGGCCGCAACTGGAACACCTCAAACCCTTCAATCGCCTCTCGCGTGGGCCTCGGCACCCTCTCCGCGAGAGCTACTCCTGACCGAAGCTCCACAACCAACAAATCTATGTCATTGGGTCATCCATTCTGTAGACGGCGTGGTTTACGAGGACGCAGAATCTCCACCACGAGAAGAGCAAGCTAGATTTGATCTAGACGACCAATCATCTTGGACTGAGTGGCCGGTTTCTGCTGGGGACCGATCCTACCAGAGCTCCATGCAAGAAGCCTTCACCCACAACCGATTCAGCACCATTGCGCCGGACGATGTACCAATCGCCAATGAGGTCGTTTCAGAGATCATTTCGAAATCGCCCACGCAGTTGAAATTGGACTCGTGGGCATTTGCCATTATGGCTGGCAACCTGGAACTCATCTCCAAGCTTCTCATTGACCTGCGTCATTCATTTAGTCCTGTACCTGATTTTGCAGAAATCCACCCGTATCATCTCGCAGCATCTTTTTTGGATGGAGGCAACGTCTGCTGCCTAATGCTAGACGAACTTACCAGAGTCTTGAAAATAAATTATCCGATCGCACTAAAGAATTTGGATTCCAATGAGCACACTGTACTAGACAGTCTCATGATTTCGGTCCTGCGTTCCCACACAAACCTTTCACCCGCGGAAGTGAGCACGAGCTTTCTTCAAAGTACGCGCTTTCCGGGCGAAGAGAAGGACATCTGCGGGCGATGGGATGCCAATTCACCGGCAGTACGACAACTCTATAAATCCGGACAACCCAGAATCCCGGAACAGTGGAAGCACAACTTTTGTCACACCTCTGTACAGGCCGTATGTCACAGCATGATGGCAATATTCCTTCCACCATCGAGGCCGAATATCAACGCGTTCAGCGGCCTCTTTCGCCGACGATGTACCAACTGCGGGCTCGAGATGAAGCTGGGCCCGCTACATACACTTGTAGTCGTTGCGTTCCATTTGGCGGAGAATGGCAAGAGCGGCGAAACATTGTTTGGGGCACTGGCTTGTCTCGTTTGTCTCCTGGTACTTGGAGCTGACGCGTCTCAAGCAGCGGACCTGTCGGTACTTGCTATTTTCTCGTCTCCGGATGAGGAAGAATGTCGCCATAGACGCGTGACTGCCATGGAGTTGGCGGAGCAAGTTCCAGAAGAATTCAGTGATGGGTGGAAGCCTTCTTGCAAGCTTGGCTGGAGATGCCTGTTGTTGATTCTGCGTCACGCAACGACATCCCCACAACAAGAAAAACCCTTCGTGAAGTTTAGCAACAGAACCAACCTATGCTGTTTCCCTTTCGATGACACGAAAAGCGACGAATGGGATGACCTGTGTCCGATGTTTGAAGAGCACGAATCTGTCAAACTACCACGCGTCAACCGGAATCTGGGGGACCTCTGGGCGACGATACAGACAGAGATTTTAACATACCGAAAGATCACTTCTATTGATCCAAGCATCTCAGACCACTTCCAGTTATCTTCTCTTTTGAGGTGGTTGGAGCAGGAGACTGAAAGCTTCGAAACCCCCTTGCTCACGGACGGCATGATTAATACTCACACGCCATGTGGATGGTTTGGAGCAGACGACACGCTCATCACGGTCGTGGCAGGCGACATGTGTTCAAGATATTTCATGAATCTGGATATCTGGTCACGGGCCTCATTCGTTGACGTCATGGTTCCCATTGGGTACTCATGATGTGTAGATGTAGTAGTAAAGAACTCCACTTAGGGACTGCAGAATATCTTTTAGGTCTATTTCACATTGTTCCGCTCCGTAAGAAGCATAGTTTCGCAGCGCCACTAGTGATGCTGCCTTGCATACTGCCGTATAAGGCTGCCTGACCGCCTAAAGATGGATCCGTCGGCTTGCTCCGTGAGGCTTATATATAAAGACCGAACACCCCTTGTGGAAAAAGTACGCCGTTCGGCTAAAACACCAGTTGACGCCGATAGGAAGCGAAAGCAACTCCACCTCCTCAGCGAACTTCCGTTTTCAAAGTGGGAGATTCCCTTGGCTGGATTCGGCCACTTTCTACTGCATATGTCTCACTTGATCTCTAGGTATCGTGAAAGATTGGTCCTGGCTCCTCTTGCGCGAATGCGCATTCTCGCGGTCTGGCAGCTTTCCTCCTGGATTTCTCGAAACAGACAGGATCTGGTGGAAAGCCGGGAAGCAGATTGAGGGTTTTCTGTGGTTTAGGGGATATATGACTGAAATATTTTGCAGGATGAAGACCGGCCAGGGCCATCATTGTATTGTCCCATGGAAACTGCTGCCACATGGGCTGCGAGTGAATCAATCGCAACATGTGTAACGGAGCGACAAAAACAAGAAGCGACGAGGAACACAATCCACTTCACCTTGGGGCATGTCATTAATTTGGTTTAGATGTAAACAGTATTCACTCTTCTTGTTTTACAAATGCAACGTCAGTAAGTCAAATGTAAGACGTCTTGTAATATCGAAATGTCTATACTCAGCTGACAGAGAACAGAACGAAATCCTCATCTTCGGAGTTCTCAGAAATTAGAACGCTGAGATTATCCAGCTCAACACTCCTGCGCGACTGTATTGACATGAATCTTGGCTTTCCCAGGTCCAAGTGGTGTCCCTTCCGTGACAGTCCTCAGCTCAAAATTCGGGCGCAACCAGGCGACCAATATCTCCGGCGGTGGGATGGCCTAGACAAAGTTGTCAACTCGCTGAGTAGACAATGTTGTCTCGGTGCTCCGAGAATGTCCAGCCCCAAATTTCACGCCGGGGACATCGGCAATGTTTCTTCTACCTATTAGTTTGGTCCATTCTAAGGCATCGATCATACTCATATGCGAGGCTTGGAACCTCCCGATTTGCCGTGAGAAACCCTTCGTTCGAACTTGGCCCCTTTTCTAAATTGATCCCCGATACCATGAACAGCTTCCATGTCCCCCCCTGTGTGCCGAGACCAATAAACATACTGTGTCGCCATGTATTCGACTCGCATGTTCCCAAGGAAAGAGGAAACGAAGACGTTCATTCGTATTGATGAATTGGTCCAGGTTTTTGACATTAGCAAAGATGCTTCGTAGCAACCGGGTTCCAGAAGCTTCTCAGTGAATTACCTCGCTTGTCTATAATGCCGCGGCACAATGGGTTGGGTGTACGACAAACCAGCATTTGCCCATTTTGGAGATGTCAAATTGCTACTCGACTGAAATATTTCTGGTGCGCAATATTCCCTACTGAGTCTTTATTCATGGACTTTGAGCTTGTAAAGTTCTTGAGATCGGGCAGCCGTTTGAATGATGTATCATCATGTCGGGATCCGCGGAGGCAAAATAGGCCGGGGACTCGTTTCACAATTGTGTATATTGGCACACCTGGCTCTAGTCTGCCTTTTTGCTTCTCAGCTCCAAAGCCGTTCGTCAGAACAGCATGAGTCCTGGAGACCTGACGGGCCAGCATATAAAGGAGCGGAGTCAAGTCGGCTGACTTGTCAGATCAATTTTACATACTCCTAACATCTCTGTTCAAATCACTCCACTTGGAAGTAGGCTACATGGCATAGTCAATGAGAATTGGAAAAGGCCAAGCTATAGAACTTATACCACGTTTCATAAAGCACCCCCATACCTCGGGCGAGTCTCATGCATGTCCTCATGGCCCGGTAGCATAGCAATTGGCGCAGTCCTTCCAATCAGTGGAAAACATCCAGATGTTTGGCTGAGTTATGATACTCCAGTCTCGTTGCATATCAGAGGAAATTTGTCCCAGACAAGTAGAATTGTAACTTGACATAGCAAAGTGCTTTTACAATTCGTTTCGTTTCATTTGAAATACCTAGTAAGGAGGTCTACAGTCCATCCAAGCGCACTTGGGCAGGTCTCTTTGCTCCCTAATCGAACTCAACGGCTGAACTATAGCGTCAAGTGCCAGTACTTCTCAAAGTTTTGAGGAAGCTTTCGCTTTCATAATAGAAAAGGGGATGATGGATTATGATCAATTACGTTGAGTTGATTTTAAATCCTCGGAAGTCCAAACCACCCTACTCGAAAGCATGACATGGATAACTAGGTGTTGATGCCGTCAAGATAAAGTCTATCAGACACCGCGAAGCACACAGAGGAGAAAGTAGTCGAAGTAGTCACAAACGCTAAAAGTCCGAGCATATCGGAACACCAAAAATGAAAGAAATCAAGCCTGACAAAAGGGAGGAACGGCGTGTTGGTGACTGGGAGGCAACAGGTTCTGCGAATGACGTGTTGTTACAAGACAGATGAAATAATATGGGACGAGAGTCGGTATCAGCAACAGCTCAAAATCTCTTCTTCGCTCAGTGGCCTCTTCGCATACAGACGATAATTGTTTGATCTCATCTGTTGCAACAGAAAACAGACATTAGCACGCTTCAACATCACCCCAACGTAAAAGCTGAGTCGCGGCAGCCCTTCTTCTGACACATACATGCAATTGATAGTCATGACCAAATCGATCTTCCAAGAGTCTTTGTAGCTTCCGCTTGTTGACAAATCTCCCAGCTATATCTTGCTGCGCATGGCCTCGGCTATATGCCGATGACGATGTTGTGGAAGGAAAGCCCGTGCTTTGTGGACTGGAAGGCTGCGAATAGCCGTCGTTATCACCGCGATAGTACGTTGACCTTGGGGAGATTGAAAATAAGGCGGTGAAGTAATTCATTATTGATTTGGGTGCTAAAAGTCCAATCGACTATCCACCAGCGTTGTTTCTAAATAGGTGCTCAATGTGCTTAGAAGTTGGGCCAGGTCATTGAAAAACAACGCAAAGACGTTTCCAAAGATTAGGGACGGGATGGCTGCGTGCTCCCTTGAAGTACAAGTTTAAGCTTCCGACGTGCAACTCTACTGTGCCTACCACCAAGCGGAAGAATCTTGTCTTGGGAGAAGGAGGGCGTCTTCCGTTCCTCAGAAAGTACGCGTAGATGCCGGGCATTCCATCAGATCGCGTGGCGATACGCCTAATCTTCTTACAACACTGCTGCAATGCACCACTCCTTACGTTCGGTATGGTATGCCTTGAGCTACGAGACCTCAGTGAGCGGCCTGCCGGTGCGGGGCAATCCGCAATGCTGATGGATGGTGACATCGCCCATGGATTCTAACTGTCTCTCATGCGTCTGTGGCTTGCGAAAATGCTACCGGCCATAACGCGGCTTGGGTGATTTGGGGTGTGATGCTGCAGGCTGGGGACTTGGTAAACATGATGTGATGTTGATGAAAGTCCATGTATGCAGTCCTCAGCTACAAATTCTCCCCATCAAGGCAAATGATCTCCCCTACTTCCCCAACCTCGCTATGGGCGAACTTCGGACGAATGGGCGATGGGCTCGGTGTCTAGTGCGGCCAACTCTGCCTGCGGGCTGCCTTGACCTTCGAGTCTCTTTCGAATCTGCAGGTTAACAGAATGTGTGTCCGTCAGCTGCGCATGGTGGTGTGGTGGCTATGGCACTGCCGCGCCAGAAAGAGGTAGCGAAGGATGAATGAGCCTTGCGCCATTTTTACAACTCAAAAACGCACTTGCGTCCAACTCGTTCGCGGATCATGACCACCACGCTGATCTACATATTCCCGTCATATCCAATCCCGATTGCACCAGTACTGCCTCCTCGACTACACCGAACCACGTCCCCCCGACATAACCTATCATGGAGCTCTCTCCAAGCCTTGAAACGGTGGGTTGCTCTCTTACTGCATGCGTCGTTATTTCGTCAGATATCAAGACGTCGCCCTATGGCAGAGCCAGCCATGCGTTCTGCATCCACGACATAGAATCCACTGCTGTGCTTCGTTCGCATGGCGTTGCCTATCACAGATCAAGACCGATTGTTCTGCACTAATCAGCTTCACAAACCAGTGATGGCCGCTAAGAAGTTGTCTACAGATCTCCACAACGAGTCCGGCCCTTGGGCATCTTGATGCCTTATCGCCGCAGTCTTTTGATGCCGGAGCCGCCAGGGATGAGATTGCCTGCATCCTATTACATACTTCCCGCCAGGACCTCAACGACAAACGCAATCGTTTCGTTCCACGCGGTGGCTTAATGTCCCGATTCGACTACGAGAAGGTTTCAAGCTTGCTTAGCGCGTTTATTACCACCGACGAGGCAAAGGTCGCCGAGATTGCTCGTTTTATCAGTCCTGGCGACGAAGAAAGATGTCCATGTGAGAATGATGTTTGCACGGGATTAAGAATTATCTTTGCGACGTTATTCTTATTGGGGAAACAAGAATTGATATTGGAAATTTATCAGTCATCGGTTCGAATATGCGATGGAGCTTGGCCATGCAGCGATCCGACTTCACCGACCTACTCTACTCGGGCTGCTGAGGCTCTTCGGGAAGTCCTGAGACACCTAGATGCACATGAAGATGAGCTCTTCCACCAGCTGCAATGGCAAATGAGGTCTCCGTACTTCAGGAGGGGCAAAATATCTACAGAGCAGCCTTATCGCCTATTGCAGGATGAAGTGACGTTGCCGTGGTCGGAGCTCAGTATGCAGGGGAAGATATTAGATGGTCAAGTTTCTTTTGTGCAAAGAATCAAGATTCACCAAGATCATCACGAACTATTAGATGCAAGTTGGCAGGTTGGATCGATAAACGCCGGAACCACATTTACTAATGATTTTGCGTGTTTCTAGCAAGCCCAAACTGAGCATTTTGCCTTGAAAATCCTCGACAAGCGACACACCATTGATGCTGCTGAAACATCTTTCAACGATGAGATTGCTGCCAACCAGAGAACGAAACATTCCCGGATAACGCCACTGCTCGCTGCCTTCAGACACCGAAATCGATTCTATCTCCTGTTCCCTTGGGCTGACGGCGGCAGTCTCCTTGACCTATGGAAAAAGCATGACTTACACTCACACTTTCCCGGCCATTGTCCGCCTTGGTACTCCGTTCGGTGGATGATAGAACAATGCTATTACATCGCCGACGCCTTGGCCACGGTACATGGCTATGATTCCCGAGAGGGAGGGCATTCCTCCGAAGCACAGCTTCATCTCGATATCAAGCCAGAGAATATCGTCTGCTTCGGAAAACCTCGGAACGGAAATATCTCTTACGAATTGAAGCTGACGGATTTTGGTCTGTCCAAGCCTTTTGATAGGGGTTCTCCGCAACGGCCGAGGCAGAAGGCAGAGACGAAGACATATCGACCGCCCGAAAGAGACCTTGAGGGGACCAAAGTGGACGAAATGTTCGACATATGGTGCTTGGGATGCCTATTTCTCGACTTCATCACATGGGCTCTAGAGGGGTCGGGCGGAGTCGAAAGGTTCCGCGAAAGCCGTCTTCAAGAAATGGATGAGGTTGATGTCGATCTAGAGTTCGGTCCGGTACAGGAAGATACTTTCTTCAAAAAGAGGGTGCAACGATGGGTATGGTGGTGGCCAAGACAATTTTCCCGCACCATTGTTGCAGATCTAAAGCCGTCCGTGATTTCGGTAAGTGCTTTCCAAGCATCAGGGTGTGCCCAACCTTTCGTCGCTGAAAAGACATTCGGTGTCAGCAATTCCAACATCTCCGATACCTTGCAACAGATGAACCTGACCTAGAGAGATTCCTTGGTCTCGTCCAATCGAGAATGCTGCTCATCGACGGCAATGCGCGAGCAACGTCGAATGAGGTGCGAAATACCATGCATGTATGGAAGCAGAGCTTCACAGAGCAAGCAGTCCAGACTTGAAACCTCGACCCGACTGTCGCATTCATGGGCGAATCAATCTAGGTGTTCGCTAGTGCGTCTGGGAGGCCTGCCGATGAGCAGGAGGAAACCGAAGCCTGCAGCACCCCAACCTTGGATTTGCGGGACATGGCATAGACGTGGCACGCAAGTATTGGAAATAACCGCTTCACTTTTGAACACGGTAGGTATGATTAGGCAAAAGAATGCAGGTTGAGGTACATTAAGATCTAAAAAATGAAGCGAATCTAGTTACAACAAACGTCCCTCGCGGTCGACCTTTGTTGATTGCGGTTTTGTGCCCCGTCCGTTTATCTGGCTTTTCTCATGCTTCATTTGCTGCTGAAAAGGAAATGTGGCCGGACTCCAAAAGAGACCTCGTGCAGACCGACGAACCCCACTCATCCAGGAAAATGGCCCATCTCATGAAAACATCTTGCGCCAGCTGACAGACGAAATGCCCAAAGTCAAGACGCAAGGATGGATGCAAGTGCGAAGACGGACTCGACTTAATCTTCGGAGTTTTCTTCACTGGCTTTCTTGAAAGCAGCACGGATTTCCTCGACTTCCTCCTGGGAACCATGGAGTTAGACAGCAAAACAAACTGATAGCATATCCTCATCACCAATACTTACTGCAGTCAATTTTCGGGGAAGCTGAAGCTCGAAGCCGTTGCCTGCTGTGGCCTGGATTATTCATGAGCAGGTGATCTGAAAGTCGATGGAATAAAAAGATTCATTTGGCAACACGTTACCCTCATCTTGATCGCCCCTTTAGGGAATTTAAAGGCCAGGAGCGTTTTCTGCAACACTCTCTTGTTTGCATATCGATCGACTATTGTGTCGGTCACGACGAACTTGTCTTCGTTGGCCATTTTCTCTCGTTTGCCGAATGTCGGGATGTAACTCTTGAGCCTCGATGCCCAAGATCGGATATTAGTGTCATCCATGGGAGGCAACAACGGGGTTCTTCAGAATTCAAATACAACTTTTCTGGCTGAAGAATGTGTTGTCTGGTGAAGGCTTCGCGAGTTATACCGTGAGGGTGCACACACTTCAAATTCTCAATCTCTGGTCAGCAGAGTCATGTGTTCGCCAGGCTCCAGCGAGGCAAAGTGCTCTTTTCACTTAGGCAAACCATTGAAACCAACTTCGGTGTCAGCCAGATAAGTGAGTGGCTGAGTGTACGAGGCATTCTCCAGGCATACAAGCACCTATATCCAGACAAACAGGTCACCATAACATGTAGACGTACTCCGATGTGAGCAAGAGGGTGTACGGCCGTCAGGCAAAGTCACAAAACACCTGTCGTCCACATTCGTCACCCCCCATTGCCCAGTTGCGCTAAACCAGCAGGCTGTGTGCCAAGCCAATATAGAGACCGGGCTCGATTCTAACTGTCGGTTTTGTCTTTTCTTGCCGTAGCGCAGCATGCCGGCGAAGCTGACTGCAGGCTGGCAGAAATGGTATCTTGATTGGCTTGGATTGCATCTGCAGTCAGCATGGCGCAGATAATGGCAGAATACATATGTAAAATTCCTATCCACGCAATGTGCTAGGTGGGGCCACAGCGCCACGAACATGCCGTTGACATGTGTCCGGACAGTTGGGTACCCACGCTGCATATAATGATAGATTGGACAATGCGTGATACAAGTTATGGCTGAAACTCCGCAGAGCTGGTTACATCTATAAGCCGTGACAACTTCCCGACTATGAGCTTCAGCCCGTTGGATTCAGATGCTGAAGTCGTGGCTCCGTCATTTCCATAATGGAGTGGTTCAGCCAGAAATTGGACTTTCTCAAAAGCGACTTGAGATTGTTTGAATTTTCTTCCGAAGGCTCTTTCAGAATACGGACTGTGAGGTTACAGAAGACTGATCGAAATGTGAGTTCCCAACTCATTTCCTTTGGCCCAGCTCTAACCGCGTATCAAAGCATGTCGTGCCCCCTGATGTCTCAGATCACACAACAGAGGATGCCTTTCTCGCATGGCTAGCATTGGTAAGTATAATTTTCTGATCCCACACGATTCGTCTTGCTTATTACGTCCTCATTATAGGAAGAATCGTCACTAGAGCTTCCAGGTTTGGTGCTTGTGATGCATCAAAGACTAGATGCGATCGATCCTCACGGTGCTAAGGCGTTGCCGTACGCAGAGAGTACTTTCAAAATACTGGCTCGACGACTGTATCAGCACCGTTCGCTCTCCTTCCTTCTCAAGAGAGCCTCTACCGCCGTCTTCAATTGCCGATCTGTGTCATGGGAGGGAAGTCTGGCGTCTATGCCATCTATAGGTAGGAATTCCAGAGCATTCAGATCTGTTCGCTGGGGACATTTCGAACGATGTTTCTACTAGGCAGATGCCACCAAGGAGTTTCAAGGCGATCTAACAAGAAGAGTAGTTTATAACTGCAAGTCTGACATCGAATCCCCACCACCGCACGTAAGAAATCCAAACGATGTAGCATTAGCAGTCACTTCGTTTCCGACCATTGGCACAGCGTACGCAGTGATGTACGGCTGTACGCAACCCATCATCGACTTGGTTTCCAAATACCTGAAAGGTTTTGGAGGACAAGCCCTCCACCCTCTCGTTATGCCCATGATATTCGCCGAGATAGAACGCAAACGTTTGTTTGATCTTCTTGATGTGGAGAAAACCACGCTCAGGCGACGTATACTGGATTTGGAAAACAAACTTCGAGGGGAAGCCCAAGGTTCAATCTCCGAGAAAGGAGACACCGAGCCATTTTCAAGTACAAGGGACTGTGAATCAACAAAGCTTTGGATCGATGTCAGCTCACTCAAAAATGGACTCGAGAGTCTCATGGTTCAGCTCCAGAACTTGATTGAACATTCGGGGAATCTAGCTACGACGCAATTTAAGCCACCTGTCGATGGCAGTCATGAGGTCGATAAATATATCGAAGAGCGAAGAACCGGAAGCCGGATCGTGATGAGACTACGCGAAATGGTTGATGAGCTCGGAAGCAAGATTCGAAGCTGCCAAGGCCTCCTCGGCGGCATGTCACTAGCTGCACAGATGGTGAGCATATATGCATCGCTCTCATGATAAATACATCATTTGACGCTCAATTCTAGGAATCAAACTACTACACAAGACGCGACGCCAGAGTATCCATTTATATTGCGAATGCTACGCAGAAAGATGGCAGCCAAATGAGAAGCATTTCACTCCTGGGAATGATCTTTTTGCCCGGGACATTTCTTGCTGTAAGTTCAAAATTTCCGCACCCTTATGACTTCTTTGGGAAGTCCTGTACGAGCAAGTAAGCTTATACGTCCCAAGTCGCTTTTCTCGATGTCTTTCTTCAACTGGACTCCCCCAGATGGAAATCAAATCATCTCTCCGTGGATCGCACTGTACGGCGTCCTTGCAATCGTGATTACACTAGTCACTGTTTGGAGGATGAGAAAATGGATGGATGCAGAAGAGAGGAAAGCTAGAGATCAGATGAGGAAGGAGGTTTATAGCGATGGTGACTCTTTTGCATGAATTCGTTTTGAGTTCGCACAACGGGCTTTGGAGTGTTTGCGCCTTGACCAAGACTGCGATGAAGCGTTGTTGTGAACAAGATTCAGGAAAGACATAGGCCAACAATAACTTTTGCAGTGCCGGATAATTACGTGCCAGTGCCCGACGCTTCCGTGATGGTTGAACGCAAAGGGCCCGGCTTGAAGGAGGTCGAAGGAAAATCGTCCCAGAATAGCCCGTCACTTTGAGAAATCGAGGAATAGAAGTTGGTGACTATCTCCGATTTATGGGATAACCAAGCAAAGCCCTTGTAGAAATTGAAGCCGAGAGATATATTCACTGAAGTCATTCCCGTCCCCCGCATCATCCCGCCCCGGCATCGTTGACCGCCAACCGATCGACACCTCACAAACTTATTCATGAACGCGAAGGTCTCCAGGCTCTTCCCCAACTCTCCCTTCCATGATTCGTGCAAAATCGACCTGGTCGAACAGCAACGATGTAGCTTCGACGCTGGCCCCAAGAAATCCAGCCCGAAAGTTCAGTGAGATTGAGCAAACACGACCCTGATGCCGCGGAGACTCGGCCGGGCCGGCAAAAGCCCGATTTGACGATGCGGAAGGAGCTGGAGTCTTTTCTCAGGAGGCCGAAGATGTTGCCAGACGAAAGACTTGCGGTGTCAAGGCTAGCGGAAGCAACACCACCGACGACGCGCCTGCTATCGTCGAAGCGTTCAAGCAGTGCGGCCGGCGCGGCAGGGCCATGTTCGAGCCAACGACATACTATGGCAACTCCGCTGTGAATGCCACATGGCTGGAAGATGCCAAGATTGATCTCCAAGGAATTCTGCTGTTACGACACCGTCCTACAAAAGGCCTGTCACCCCGCTCTCAGATCTTGGTTCAATCTGCACGTTGCGCCAAGCCAAACACTACCAAGACTTTCGTTTGATGGCGATCCGCTAACGTAATACCTACACCCAAGAAGCGTAGTACAAAAATCTCATTATGGCTTGGCAACTCGTTGGACGTTGGTATTCAGAATCTGCCCACTGCTTTCACTCTTGGTGAGAGCTATGTCTGCCTCAGCGGTCAGTGACAGGGCTTTTCGACGGCAACGGTAATTACTGGTATGAATGGATGAGACAGCAGAAGAACATTTCCAACTACCCTCGTCTCCCACATTCTCTCACTCTCATGGGTTGAGAAACTCTGTGGTGAAGGGGGTGATTTCCTTGAGGAGTCAGATGTGGTAAGCAATATTTCAAGTTGTCCTGTGTGCCTGTGTCCGTCCCATAATCGCTAACTTTGACAGGGCTATGCCCATAATATACTCTCATAATGTCGTCCTGGATAGAATCAATTTTAGTCAACAACACTGGAAAATGATTTCAGAGCTGTAAGTCCAACATTCTTTGCTTAAGGTAGAGACCCGCTTTGAGTAAGAGAGTGAACCTTTCTAACCTCACTTAGCGAACACGGACGTTGCCGACACGATTCCATCTTCTGGTATTAAGCACAAAAACTGGACTGTCTACAGCGGCGACGATTTCATTTCGCTTTAAAAAACCAGCACTGATGCCAGTATCACAAAATCCAACTTCTATAATGGCTTAGGTATTGCGCTTGGTAGCATAGGACAAAACAATGATCAAGAGGTTGAATGTCGCAAATTTTCTGTTTGACAACACGTTGCATGCAGCAAGTCGTCTTTGTCATTCGATATCAACATGGAGTTTGGATGCTTGCAGGTTTATCAGGTCTACTTCAAAAGTCGGACAGACGACCAGAAAGACTAACCTCCTGATGGCGGCACACTCCGAGTTCCAGATTCGCGACAGCACCATCGACGGCGAGGTCGGAACGACCGGAACGACCAAGTCGGCCCACGTCGCCAGTCTCCAGTGCAGCGCTGTTGCTCCCTGCATTTACATTGGCCTCTTCGATGTTGACTTGCAATTTGCCAACTGGACCGCTGCCGCTTCATGCCTTCGCGGAAACGCTGTTAACACGCGCGGCTTGGAATGTACTGGAAAACCTTGTGTAAGAGGGAGCGTAACAGGCGAATGCTAAGCGAGGATATTTCCGGATAGATCATCATGCTTGAAATGGTTAAATAGATCATATTCGGCCGGGTGGGTGCCTCACCAGGACTGAGGTTCCGGTGATTCCGGAGCGATCAAGGCGGAGTGGTAAGGCCTTGCGCGGTCTTTCATACAGCCGTTTTCTTTTGAACAGGCTTGCGGAAGTTTTGTGCGTAACGAAAACTATTCTCTGTCGCCGACCGACATTCTCATACGAGTGATATTAACCTCATAAGCTTGTTCGCATCCGAATGCGATCCAAATGATTGAGCAACCAACATTTCAAGGTTGTGCCTCAGGTTGTTACCAAAACCTCAGAATCTACGTCAATGAACTCACACCGGCACAAGTTCCCGATTTAGCAAGCAAGGGGAACAAGTTGTCAGTATCGGTGAAGCATCGATGACAAGTCAAGTAGTTGACTACTCTATGCACAATTAGTAGCAATTCGTGCGAATCCGTGGCATCGCGGCCCGTAACTACCGCGAGCTTTGATCAGCCCATTGATCCTCGCAAAGGACATGCTCTCGGGTTGTGGCCGTGAATCAAAGTTTCAATTTACAAAGCTTGGCACATTGCGTACGTCGAAATACACTCATCACACCCCACAACAGCCCGAAACTCTGACTCAAGCATCTGCCCATAGTTTAAGTGGATTTTGGACGATATCCTCGACATGGGGCAGGTCGGTTGGGGACAGGACCCCGTGTCTACGGAATGCGGAGCTTGGAACCTAGCCAGAGTCGTAGTGCTGCCTTTTTAGCAGAATTAGTTCAAGGCTCATGGGCCTACGCCATCTCGTCCGACTAGCTATTGCCGCTAGGCAGCTTATGGTTTGTAAAGCCGGATCCCACAATCCGCGAAATTTGTTCTGGTAATTGATTTTGTGCTGCAATAAACAAAGGTTAAGTGAGAGTGGTTTCTTAAGCGAATGAGAGATGTGTTCTCGAGTTATCAATCCGCACCGCGGCCAGGTCAAGGCATCCCTTCACTCGTCGAGTGTTGCCGCGTCACAGGCCCGGGCGCACATATTGGAATCATTATATGGCTTGTTTAAACACCATCGAAAGGCTACTAGCCGTACACGTGTAGACGATAGAGAGGTTGTATCATTGCAATTCCGATCTTGCTTATCGAGCGTTGTTTAGATTGTCTCTCCCTTCACCTCCTTGCTTCCCATTAGACTATCACAATCGGACGAAATACGTCTGGTTCGAAGGCTGCCGATCAGTGGAAAAAGGAGATTTCCATCAATGAGTTGCCGGCTCCACCGCATCCATCGCATCCAGCAGGAGGCTTGGCACGATGCCAAGACACGGGACATGTTCAATGTTGTTTCTCGTGGGCAGTTTGGCCAATCTAATATCCAAGATTCTTAACGGTGCGGTGAGACTTGGCAAGGGTTTGCAGTGCCAAGAACCTTAAATGGCCTTAGCCTCGACGCGCTTTGCTTGACTCGAAGCTCTTGGCGTTGTCCGTGCAATTTCCATTCTCTTTGCCTTCTTTACAAAGGCCCCTCTTCTCAAGGTCTGGCCGCACTGCTGTTCAGTCTTGTGACACGGAGAAAAGCCCCGGATTCATACTGCAGTACCGGAGCACGTCGTCTTACAATTCCGATCATGATCTACCGAGACAAAAAGCCACACCCCAGTAACCCCAGACCCATGTCTGCGGGATTAGTCACGGTAGTCGAAGTGATACGTCGTTCCTTTTTCCGTAAACGCCAGAAGCCCTGCCATTTGTGCGGCATGTGCGCAAGTAAACTACTGCTTAGCCTGGAATTCCCAGCTGCAGGTTGGGGATATAATATATTCTGCTCGCCTCTTTGATTTGAATGTCACTCAAACCGCGATGATATCAGATAGCCTCAGATAACCGTCAGGATTCTACTAGCGCACCTGCCGCTTCTAGCAGTGCCTGACACACACTGGGAACCATTTCCTCATGGAGAACGTTGCCGGCTTACACCACCTTTTCGGCCCCTTTCTTTGGGCGATGCGCCGCGTTGCGTGATGCTCTTCCATCTCGAAACTGTGTCTAGCCCCGTTCTTAAAGGTGACTAGCACGAAAGCGCACCCCGGTCTTGAGCCTCTTGGCAGTGGTTCAGACATGGATCTCGGAGGATCCATCGGAGGGGTCTAGATGCCCAAGTTGAGATTCAAGCCTCCGTGGCGCCGTCTCTCTGCACCCACACTCTAAACCACCGACTTCCCAGAGAAGAGACAGACATCGTCTACATTCCCTGCACAGCAAGCATTTATTCCCTTCTCCATTCCCGATGAGACGCACACGCAAAAGGGGGCTGTGCTTGAAGACATCCCCGTATCGAGTAGATTATCTGCCAAGTCCTACCAGATCAGAAAGGGCGCACAAGATGTGCTCTCATTGGCCTCACCAGGTTGTTTGACCTCGGGGTCCGGAGGCCACGAGGCCAGTTACCATTGACCACTATCGCCCCCAAAGACCACGTCCCAAGTCGTCGAAAAATGAACGGATCAAATAAAGCACGGCCGTAGCGTCTCCACACATGATAGACTGTCCGGGCCCCTCGACTACCGGGACAAGGTTGAAGGCTTCTATGTCACGAAGAGCCCATTGGTGGGTTAAGGGCGTCGGTATCCGGATATGAGAAGCATGGATACTTCGGCGCACAGCGCGGCCGCCACCCACGTACTCAGGCGAGGAATAGGATCCGTTGGTAGCATGCCAGAGTTGATTGCTTTTGTATTATATCGGTGTCAACGTTTGAATTTCCACCAAGGATAATCTTGGACACTCGGCTCTCATGATTGTAGGTGGAGATATCGGAAGGTTGCTAGTAGGCTGGTGTTGTACGGTCTGGACTTTTACGATCAATGTGAAACTCCTTTTCCGCGATGGAATATTGAGGTTTCTCCTGGGTGAAATTGTCATGGTGCTCGTGAGACGACTCTAAATAACATAAATACTCCCAGAGTATTCTCGTGGTTGGTCTTGCTCTTCTCTCTTCAGCACGCTCACTCAAGACATCTTCCAACTGCTTCACAGTCTCTCTACTAGTCTCTTCCAGAAAGCCCCAAGCCAACCTCATTTCTCAAAATGCAGACCAAGATTTTCGTCTCCGCCCTCCTGGCCGGCATGGCCACCGCCCAGACTCTCAACATTCCCACCCGCAGCGGCTCCATTGTCTCCCTGTCCGCTCCGTCCACGATCTCGGGCTCCAAGGACTTCGCCAATAAGGAGTTCGATCGCGGCCGTGCCTGCGACACCGACGCCGACACGGGCAGTGAGTCTGCCGTCTTCATTCTCGAAAACGGCGCCACCCTGAGCAACGTCATCATTGGCGTCAACCAGCTTGAGGGTGTTCACTGCAAGGGTGCCTGCACTCTCAAGAACGTCTGGTTCCGTGACGTCTGTGAGGGTACGTCAACCCCTATATCTCCCCTCGAAGCCCTTCAAGATAAACTCACTAACTCCTACTTTCAGACGCAATCTCTGCTCTCGGCAACGGCGACGTCCTCATCCAGGGCGGAGGCGCCCAGAACGCCGTCGACAAGGTTGTCCAGCACAACGGCCGCGGCACCGTCACCATCGACGGCTTCACCGTCGTCTCCGCCGGTAAGCTCTACCGCGGCTGCGGCGATTGCACCAACAACGGCGGACCCCGCAACGTCATCGTCAAGAACGTAAAGGCCAAGAGCGTCAAGGAGCTTGTCGGTATCAACTCCAACTACGGCGACGTTGCCACCATCTCGAGCACCTGCGGCTCCAGCGTCCCCAAGGTCTGCCAGGAGTACAAGGGCGTCAGCAAGGGCAACGGCGACAGCTCCAAGGTCAGCACCACCGCCAACTGCAAGGGCCAGACCTCTTTGTCTGCTTGCTAAGCATGTCGGGCGTTGGGCCTGTTTGGCCGTTCATGATTATGCTTTCCCGTTCTCCCATGTTTGAGCGTGGAGTTTCATATCACATTGAGCTTGTATTTGCTTCTTTATCCCGTGTCATCAGACAATCGTCTGGGTGACTAGACAACTTCTCTGTACATAGTAGCTCGGCTTCATCCGCCTATACATATCGCTGTATTGACAGCAACTTTCCCTCATAAATCGTACTGGATTCTTTTCATCTACTTCGTTTAGAGTTTCATCATTGGGACAACCATACTGAACACATTCGGCTGATCGTACTTCGTCACCAACACCTAAGACCTCCCACCCCGACGACCTACCATACTGACGGTGTACCTTCTATTAGAGAGAATACATTATCTCTTATTCCAGTGCCTAAATAATCACATTGCTACCCCGCATTTCGGGTCTCTAGAGATGTTTTCTTCATAGATCTTTTGTCAGCATTGTAGGGAAACCATTCCGATTCGAGAGCACAGGATCTACGTGTAGGTATCCGCATACTGACAGCCGCGCGCTATCACTACCTACGTTAATAACAGATGCATTTATTCCAAGAGACAAGGAACCAGCACCAGACTTCCTCTGAACATAGTCTGTGTATTTGCTCATCTATCATGGCGGCTGCGCAAGACCAAAGATTACCAGTCTTAGAATCGACTTGCAGTCAGGATACAATCTGGCTGACTCCATCGCCTGGTAGGGATCCTTCATTCTTGTTTAAAGGTCTCGAGGCTTGTGACCCATCCAAAATATCGAACTTGGAATAGGCTAGGAACTTTCCCAGATTCCCCCCCCCCCCCCCCCCCCCACCCCGCCCCCCCCCCCCACCCTCTCATTACAACCCTCCTTCCACCCCCCCCACCGCCCCCTCCACCACCCACCCCCCCCCCCCCCCCCTCCCCAGAGCGTTGGTGCACATGAATTGATTAATTCAATCGTGTAGCTCATGCCCTCCACAGCTCATCTACGTCCTCAACCAAAACACCCAAAACCATGGTCTGGGATTGCTACGGACATAGCAAGCTGGCTAGAAACTTCTTTGGGATATACCTTGACACCCAAAATGGCCCAGAAGACCACCAAGGTCAAACGGCGTAACCATGAAAAGTCGACATTTGCCATAGACCACTATGGCCAGAACTTCTTGAATGAGTCACTGTGTGTGTTGGGTTTTTCCGGGGCGCTGCTTGGTAGATTTCATCTTTTCACCGGGATATTGACAAGGCTTTAGCCATGATGACAGGGCCGTAAAGGTTCTCGGTCTCAGGCCGTTAGAGGGCTTAGAACTTTATAAACGATAGCTGGCCTTACGATCTGTCCCGGTCAGTGTGATAGCCTTAGGGCCCGTCCATTCCGGGCACATCTTTTGGACTGGCAACTTGATCGCGTGTACGAACACAATGTATGATTGACAACCGGACCAACCCCTTTTAGCTGTGGTTCAGGAAGGTAGGAAGACCCCCGAGGCGGGTAATACCGGGGACTATGTTCTATTTCTTCAAGTGTGCCCGGCCTGTTGGAACAGGAGAGACGCGGCCTCCAAGGAACGGTGGCAAGTAAATATTGGCCTTGGTAAAGAACCTTGGGAGATCCACGGCCGCATGTCAGTACCTTCTCAATGTCACCGAAAGAAAGTTACACCTTTACAACGGTTCCCGACCCGGAGTACCCACCCCCTTTCTGAGTCCATAAACTTTTCAACGGCTTGGGAAGCTTCCCACAGGGTCTAGTTCAACCAACGGCCAACCTCAATTCCACTTGCACTCCATACCGGGAGCAAGTATTCCGAAGCAAGTTCGTGGATGGTCCTCCAGGTCACGAGATGGAAAAATCTACTCTATCCAAACTCCTTTTACCTTTTCTGGTTTACCAGTAGGCGAAAAGATCCTATATGTTCCCATCATCCCCCCCCGCGCAAGCACTTCGTCTTCTGGTTCTGCCATACCACAACTCTTTACTCCGCTTCACTTCACTTCACTTCACTACACTCTACCTTATCCACCATTCACACTTAATTGCAGTCAAAGCAATTTCGTCTGAATACTTAGTTGTCCTGTTACTTACTGTCCATCAGTGTACTGACAAATTCATTCTACTCTCTATTACCCGGGCACCCTCTTGACAATAATGTCTTCCATCCAGAATAACGCTGCTCAGAATGCCGCCTCTACCTCAAAGGCCGCAGAGCAAGTGATTATTCGGAAGATGATGGGAGCCGAAGTAACCTTTGGTCCCGGTCTTGAAGTGAAGGACGTGGCCATCCCCTCCGCCAATCCTCAAAACCGTCCCCTGGGCTTCAAGAAGAACCAGTACACTTCGGTTACCTACGCAAATGTAGTCAGGCTTCATTGGCGCAATCTCTCAAAGTCGGCGATCCTCACATACCGCGACAGCAAAGACTGCCACGCAGCTGTACGCCACTTCGCCAATGGCACTGCTGAAGTCTGCGGCAAGGTCGTTAGGGCCGACTTTCTCGCCAGCAAGAATGGCCCTCAACTGCTTCTGTGCAGGGTGCCTCTCGAGGCCGTGGCTTCGGACATCGTTCGCGATCTGCCCTTGTCCATTCGGCCTATCGGTACCTTTCTGAGGAGTCCTAGGGACAAGCTTGAGCCCGTGTCTCAGCTTGCCGCCATTAGTCGTCTACTCTCCGACTTTGGTCCTCTCTTGAATGAAGTCAAGATTGAGAAGAAAACCGACATATCGGAAGCGAGGGCTACTTTCATCAACGAAGCCGACGCAAGGCAAACGGTTGAGAACCTCCACAATACCGTCCAGAGGTCTGCTGGCGTGGCCCAGCTCTTCGCAGAGATCGTCTTCACTGTGGAGTTCAGCTTCTCGGCCCAATGGCTTCGGAGCATGAAACAGGCTGGTCGTTTCGATGGCACCAATGGACTCCAAGATGGCATCAACGGAATCTGTTACAAAGCCTTTGGAGAGACTGGACGTCTTGTCATACAATCAACCGACGGCGAGGATCTTCTCAGTTCCAGGAAGCTCATTGAATCCTATCTCCAGCCCTTTGTGGACGCATGCGAGTACGACGAGGAGCCACTCGGATTCCAGTACGCATGGAGAAGAGGCTCCGTAGGGGCCACCTGTGCCATCTGCTACGACGTCCCCAAATTCCCAATCAAGACGAGTTGCGGCCATGTCTACTGCGACGAGTGCTACGCTCATACCGTGGAGTCCAACGCCAAATTAACCTCGGAAAATGGTATCAAGTGCTTCGGCGACGAGGGCAAATGCAACCAGCTCCTCTCCCTCAAAGAACTCGACCTGAACCTCGGGTACAGAGTCATGGACGAACTCATCGAGGCTTCTCTGAGCTCCTACTTGAGAGCAAACACCTCCAAGTACCACAACTGTCCTACCCCGGGGTGCGAGCAGGTTTACAAGCCCACGCCAATGATAGAAGACAACAAAGGCGTCATTGCAAGATGCATGGGATGCCTCGAGCTCCTCTGCACGTCCTGTCATGTCCAGCATGAGCACAAGGTCCCCTGCGACAAGGCGGAAGACGTGGCCAATTCAGCGCTCCTCGCCACCCTCAACATCAAGAAGTGTCCGAGCTGCAAGACACCGATTGACAGGTTCGATGGGTGCAACCACGTCGCCTGCACCTGCGGCCGTCACGTCTGCTGGGTCTGCATGGAGCACTATGAAGATGCCATGGCCTGCTATAACCACATGCTGGAGGCCCACGGTGGAGCCTTTGCTGGTATCGAAGGCGTCGATGAGTTCGGAGGCAGGTTGGACGAAATCTGATGCTTGCAGCTCGTGGTGAATAGGCAATAAACTGACAGCCTCACGTTTCTGCGCATCGGGATTCGGGTCATACAATTGGTTTCATTTCATTTCTTGGATACTGCTCCTATGGGGAGCTATGGGTGCTTTGCATGGTTTGATGGTTTTGGTTTGAGGGAGCATTGCATCGCATAGCCCGGTCTCAGTCATAAAATGACTTGACTTGTTACATGATTATTCAAATTGAAATGAAATGACAAACCCAAACAAGTTCTTTATGTGCAAAGCAAACAGCAATGCAAGTCCTCTAATTGGTACCGAATCTTTCTCGCAGTACCACACCCCCTGACAGAACATCATGTAGCAAATGAGTGTCATGATTGAGACATCAAGATCCTCGTGTCTCTCCTTTACGGACTGCGCCTTCATCCGCGACACGGGGTACCGCCACGTCGGCTATACCTACTTCGTCTCCGATCCCAGCCAGATTCTGGGTCCGGGACCGCCGCAGGGGCCCAACTGCTATAACCCGTGGATGTGGTACAAGACCTGCATCTTTGGCGCAAACTCGGACAATTTTGGGTGGACTTGCGGGGAGGATATCGGAGATTATAAACCTGAGACCCGTGTATATAAGTAGACGTGTTGGCCAATCTGCGTAAAACAGTTGTGAGAGATAGCATCAACAAATCCCGGTGGACGACCTTGTTAGTGTCGGGGGCAGGGCTACTGGTGTCTGGGCTGGCTATCCGGACCGGAGGAGAGAGTCGTACTGACCAACTAGGCCATCTGGCACACTTGAGACTATCGCTTCTGGAAGTCTATCAAAAAGGGTGTTCTCAGAACATGGATCCGACGACTGCTTGATTCGCGGCAGCGAGTATTCTTTCAACATTCGTCCTCGTCTTGAATTGTGGTAGCTCTAGACTCATTGGGCCTATTGCCTCTAGTATGGCTCTTTGTAACTCCTGTTCAGAAAACATTGAGCTAAGAGACCTTGATTAAGATAGTCAAACAGTCACTACTTTCTGTGCACTTTTTGAAAGCTGTGACTCTTTACACGTGCTGATTAGTTTGCCATGTTTATCGACTTTTCTGTTTGTTCCGATAGTTGGTAATTTCAGTTCATCAAATCAAATTCTAGATAAATTGTGCCCCCTGATAATAGCGTAGCTCTGTAGGTCACCCATGGTTTGCCGTTGAGCACTTAATCAGATCAAAGATGTTGGCGTAACCCTCTTTGCCGGTTCCGGTGATGTCCATCTAAGCGTTGCCAAGTCTTGCTCAATGCTTCCGTCTTTCCGCTGAGTATCGATAAAAAAGTTATGTCGATAAGAGCTCTGACGTCTAGCGGATTTGATTAAAGCGGGACACCTTCACAGTGCGCAGGTTCTTTAACCGGGGGAGCTCCATCATCCGGGCACCTTTCACCCGAAGCCAACGGCGCAGCTCACAACAATGACCTGATCAGCCCGAACACCGAGACTGCAATCCTCTCTTCAATCATTCGATGGTTGAACAATTACATGGAACGAAATATGCTACGAGGTTAACAGCGTTCCGTCCCATCAGGTGTAAATGATACCACCGTCCACAATCTGCGTCTGCCCAGTAACGTGATCGCTGTCCGGCCCCGCCAAAAAGCTCACCAGCTTGGCCACGTCCTCGGGCACGCTCGTCCTCTTCTGCGCAATGAGCTCTCTCGTGTACTTTTTAATGGTATCCCCCTTCTTGGCGCCCGTCTTCTCGCCCAGCTTCTCGTCAATGAGGTCCCACATGGCCGTGCCCACGATGCCCGGAGCGTAGGCGTTGACGGTGATGTTGTGATCGGCGTACTCCATGGCCGAGGCCTGCGTCAGGCCGCGGACCGCCCACTTGGAGGCTGAGTAGTGCGAGAGGAGGGCAAAGGGTTTGAAGCCGACGATGGAGGAGCACTATTTGGCCCGATTGTCAGTTTGTGTTCTCAGGGACGGAGTTTTGTTGTGGAGGGATGGGCAGAGAAGGGGAGGATGGAGACTTACACCGATTATCTTCCCGGGCTGCTCGGGCTTGCAGTTGCCCTGCTGGATCATCTGTCTTGCGGCGGCCTGGTAGCAGTTTTGGACGCCAAAGACGTTGACGCGGAACATGTTTTCAAATTCCTCCTCGGTGATATCAAGAAGCGGCTTGACCTGGGCGATGCCGGCGTTTGCGATCCTGTATTCCTCACGATTATCAATTTCGCAGTTCTCAACCATACAGAAGAAGAAAAAGACACGCAGATTTCATCTCATAGGGCAAACGGGAAGAAGCAGAGCTTACATGGTATTCAACGGACCCAGCTCGTCAACGGTCTTGTCAATCATGGCCTGCACCTCGCCCAGCTTCCTCACGTCGGCGGTGGCGACGACGGAGCGGCGGCCGAGGTCGCGGATCTGCTTGGCCACGTCGTGAGATCCGGCCTCGTTGGCGGCGATGTCGTTTACGCAGATATCGTAGCCGTCGCGGGCGATGCGGAGGGCGATGGCGCGGCCGATACCCCGTGAGGAGCCCGTCACGATAGCGACGCGGCTGTGAAGGGTGTGTCAGCGAGGGATCTGTGCGTGGCGTTGGCTTTTTGTATTGCGTCCCATTGACGAATCAACTACATGGATGAGCGTAACCGGGGCATGTGAGGCATCATGGTGTGAGAGAGAGGATGACGGACCTGGCTTGGGCCGCAGCTCTGGTTGCTCCTGCAAGTCCGCTCATGTCTACTTTGTGGATTTATGTTTGAAAGGCTCGAGGATTCAGACTTAATGAGACTTGTATTGAATCTTAATACCAAGGATACAACTGAAGCTCAAAACAAGAGTTTCCCCTCTCCTTTAAGAACCCAAGATTGAGACCGAAACTAACGACCCCAAGGTCGAACGACGCGCGAGACCCCGCAGCGAACGGCTCACAACGCGGGGTCACAGAGGCCGAGAAACCTCCTCACCTTTCTCCAACGAAGCCGGAAATCCTGTAACGACCCCTACGTCCGGTGAGAAGGAATCCAAGCCCGGCGAAGCCAAGCACTGGCGGGAAAGGGAACGGCATGTCACAGTGCCAACCTTGAGCAACGGTTACTGCTCTAGTGATTAGTGGGTCCGACTAAGGCAGGCACTTCAAAGAGGCGGGGCACAGCTTCGAAGCTGAGCTCTCCCCTCTGCCCCCCTCGGACCCCAAAGCTCTTTGGATTTGGACGCTTACCTAATACTCTCCGTTGTTGATTCCAAAGACCCGTGACCCGGGCAAAAGATGAGTGGGGCCCAGGTACATACGTCTTGGAAAAGGATCTCCGAGCCGGCCGCCCCGATTTGTCATGCACTCCACGTTTTCCGCGCAGTGCCACATGTCTGGTCCCTGGGCAAGTGGTGACTCTGACACTTTTTTTTTTTTGTCCCCTGTACCTTTCTTAAGTGAGGCAGTGCCAGAGACGCCCGGAAGCTTCAGCACAGCGTGGCGGCGACGGTGTGGAATCCGTCTGACGCAGGAGACGGTGTACCTCATTTTTATATGCTTTTCTATCCGTAGACTTGAATCCAAACCAGGGCGTTCTTCCTTCTGCATTATCATCCTGTGCTGTTCGCGTAATCAATCTTTGGAATCAATACTGCTTCCTTTCTATAAGAGAGCGCTCCAAAACACCCATCTCATCACCTTCCTATTACAACCTGGAACCAAAACACCCCCCTCGCAATACCGCCCAAAAATCACGATTGCCCCCAAACGCCAACCCCACCGCAAGCTCCAGCAGCTGCCCCTCCTCACCATCGCCCTCGCCCTCGCCCTCTTAACAACCTCCCTTCTCCCACAACAACCACAAGAAATGGTCCTCAACTTCCTCTCACGCCTCACCCGCCCCTTTACATCAACAACAAGCATGTCCGTCGCACCCCCCGCCCCCGCCGCTGCCCTCCCCGAAGGCGCCCAAAAAGCCACCATCGCAGCAGGCTGCTTCTGGGGCGTAGAACACCTCTACCGCAAACACTTCGCCTCAAAGGGCCTCATCGACGCCCGCGTGGGCTACATTGGCGGCGACCTCTCCAACCCGACCTACCGCGCCGTCTGCGGCGGCGACACGGGCCACGCCGAAGCCCTCCAGGTCGTCTTCCGCCCCGAGGACGTGAGCTACCGCCAGCTCCTCGAGTTCTTTTACCGCATGCACGATCCCACCACCGCCAACCGCCAGGGACCGGACACGGGCCCGCAGTACCGCAGCGCGATTTTCTATCACAACGAAGAGCAGGAAAAGGTGGCCAAGGAGGTGACGCGGTTGGCCAACGAGCAGTGGTACAAGGGCAAGATTGCTACGCAGGTTGCGCCGGCGGGCCAGTGGTGGGATGCGGAGCAGTATCACCAGTTATACCTTGACAAGAACCCGAGCGGCTACGAGTGCCCCAGTCACTTTTTGAGGACGTTTCCGCCTTTGGAGGGATGACTCTGTGACGGCGACGATGGGAACGGGGTCGGGAACGGAAACAGGGACGGGGACGGAGAGGGAGGTGCGAGAGTGAAGAGGACGAGTAGTATGTAACGATACGGGACGGGGTATTCCTTTTCAACTTGAGGAAATCATAATGAGGGTACGGGATGTATCGGAATGGCATGGAGGTTTCTTCTATTACGCATGTAGAGACCAGCTCCGAGGCAATGAATAGCGCTCAACCGCTTTGATTTTTTATTCATCAGTGTGTTGCTGTACTGAGTGTCATGTCTGAGAGAGTGATGGGTTTCAGTGAGCATGCTCCGGCTCACGAGGGGGCAAGCTGCGAGAGCAACTCGCAGCGCATACGATAAACGTTATGGTAGTGGACTGCTCGAAATATGCGCCTGGATCCATCAATTTTTTGCTCTGAGAACAAGCACTTATTGGGACGTGTGGTATGACCGGATTTGAAGTTTTTATTGATTCAGGTATTGTACAACATTAAAAAACCAACTCTGAGCCTGTAGGCCTCCTTGGAGTCGTATCATGAGAGGGGTTCCTTGAGCCTCTGTCTTTTTTTCCGCCCGCCGTGGGGTATATACATCATGCCACCGACGGGATCCCATTATTCCCCCAATTTCCTATCCTCCGCTGATGCTACACTTCACCTCGGGACCAGCTTTACTTTCTGCGGTTCTGCTGCATCATCAAAATCTGCACCATGCGGACAAAGATGTTGATAAAGTCAAGCTCGAGCGCAATGCTCTCATTGACAGCATCCTTGCGGATGACGCCGCGCTCGGCAAGGCGGGCGTGGTGCAGAATCTTCTGGACGTCGTACAGGGTGAATCCGCCAAAGACGGCGAGGCCTCCGTACAGGGAGATGCTCTCGGTCAGGGCGAGGGTGCGGACGGCGGTGACGGGCAGCAGCATGGGCGCGAAGCTGGAGGCGATGACGACGCCGAGGCCGGCGAGGAGGGGACCGCCAATGTAGAGGTACTTGTCCTGCTTGGCCGTGGCGCCGACGATGGACAGGGAGCCCATCATGGCGACGGTGTAGAGACCCGCGCGGGCGAGGAGGGCGCCGGGGACCATTGTCAGGAGGGGAGCGATCATGGCGGCCTGGGTTGCGTTGAAGGCGGCCCACATGGCGTACTTGGGGATGTAGCTGTCGATGGTGTCAGTCATTGTTCTGCGTCATTGCTTTCTAGCAATCGCCTTTTTGCTTCCTGGTTTCTGTGAAGGGGGTGGCTTTCAACTTACTTGTCAGGAGAGATGGCACGGGTGCCGTACATGGTGCCGAAGCTGAGAGCGAGACCGCCGATACCCACGACCCAGGGATTCGTCACCATCAACCTATAAACGAAACCAGACTGGATCATCTGGCGGGCGCTGAGGGCGATGATGCCGACGCCCAGACCCGTGTGGAGGAAGGTATCGTTGAGGTACTCGCGCTCGTAAACGGGCATGCCGCCGTCATCGCGGGTCTCGCGGTTGAAGACGACGTTAATGGCCACGAGGGTGCCGCCAAAGATGGCGCCGCCAACAATCAGCTTGCGCAAAGGGCTCGCCTGCTGGCCCTGGACGCCAGGCGCGGCCTGCTGCATGTAGGTTCTCGCAGAGCCGTTGCGGAGCAAGGCATTACGGGCGGCGATCGCGGCGGAGACGGATGATGGTCTGGATTTTGACGAGGCCTGGTGGAATGCTCTGGTTGCCGTCGTACGGAAGGCGGCGGCTGGTTGGGATAGTTGCGGGAGACGCTGCGCCAGGCGCGCGGGCCCTTGGCGGAGGGTAATGCTGAACGACATGACTGTGTGTATCGATTCGTGTGCGAGTGTGTTTTGGTATGCGAGGGAATATAGGGTGAAGATGTGGTCGTTGGTCGGTTTAAAGACCTGCTTGGAGGAGGGAGAGGAGTCGTGACGAAGCTTCTTCGCGGGAGGCAATGACGAATGACGTTCCCGATTCTGGCGGACTCTCGGGGCCGGATTTTGCCTGAGGAATTAGAGCTGGGTTCGGTTTGGCTGAGGCAGATGCTTAGGTAAAGCTTTTTACGGTCATGTGAGTGGTCAGAGAGAAACTGGTGGAAATTCCGGTAGGTTCTCTGCGCTGCCGTCCGCCTTAACCCCGATGCCCCCGGACGGAGACTGGACTTTGGCGGCCAGCTGGGTCCATCTGGGAAGATTCCTTGCCAGCTGAGATGGAAGCCCCTCCTTCACCCCTCGGCTCGTGTCCACCGGCCTGGACCACTGCCGTTGGTCGCATGCCTCCTTGGCGTCCAGAATTAGCAACTCTGGAATCAGACAGGAGGGCGTAGCCGCTCACCCGCTGTAACGCGCAGATGCTGGCTGCTAGCAGTCAGGCCCTCTGCTTAAGCTGTCGATAAACCTTCGTATCTCTCAATCTAGCGAGCAGCATCGCCGCTGAACCATTGAAGGCAAGCAGCTATAGCGCGACGATCCTTACGACATGACTGAGCCCGCATCTTCCAGCATCAAAGCATTGAGAAACACACAACCTCTCTCATGCCCCTCCCACATCGACATCCCAGCACCTATACCTACACCCAAACGGAAGACACACTCCAACTCTCTGACCGCCTAGAGCCTAGGAGAGCAGCAGGAAAAGCTAACAAAAACCCTCCAACTACGGTGCAGTAGCCTCCTTTTACCCCGCCGTGCCTGGCCAATCTCTCAACACCACCTAAATCACCACCGTTGCATTGGCGCATGTCTCTCCCGTCTGCATATTGCCAGAGAGGCACACACACAGACGCACCGAGTCATCCATGAATTCACTTTAACCAAACTAGCTACTATACAACTTCCCACTAGGACACCAAGACGGATCAGAATACCAATGGGAAAACGGCACCTCCAACGGTTATCCGGCAGAAATCCAAGCCAGACAACCCCAGCCATCGCCAGCCAAAGCCACCAGCGCCCTCACTAAGATGCAATGAAAACTTAACCTTGGCGTTGACAACCGGACCCTTTCATCCAAAGCACAAGTCTACTTCGCGCCGCATGAGCCGACTACCTGGCTTCTTTCGCGTCCAACTGGTCGACCGACCCCCCCATCGTGGACTCATCTCGGCGAGGTTGCATGCTGCTACCTCACCATATCGGACGAGTCATGATGTCTGGCAGCTTGTGTCACATGGCGCGTGAATTGGCTCTCCCAATGGAGTTACGCTATTGATGCTTTGGCAAACTCTAGCTCCCTCGCCTCCTGGACGAACCTGGACCCGACTACCTACCTCGGGTACCGGTACCTTGAACGAAGAACATTGTCTCCATCCTAACAATACAACCAATTGACCACACCAAAAGAGTCTCCAGCATCATCCCACCACACCTCGATCCCAAAACAGTAGAGAAGCAACAACCTTTCCGCACTTTGTCTTCGATATCACAACCGTAGGTAGCACTCCGTAGCACCTCCTTCCCTACTTGGATATTCTTCCTCTCTCGAGTCTCTTCTCCCGATGAACCGTAACATTCCAGACTCAGTGCACGTCTTGGGCTGGGCTATATGAGACACCTGATCAACCCCTCGGCTCGGTTCCAGTCTCCATAACGGGACCGGGTACGGGAAGTGGGACAAGATTGGAGATGTCGGAGCTGGGATGTTGGAGGCAAACATGACCCAAACGTGACGTCCAACGCGGGGGGCATCAAATTTAGTCGAGTCTTACCGTTGTAAGTAATTGTGCCGCAAGTTTTTTTTTTCTTCCGAAGAGAATCTTGCAAGAGAACAAAGGACAGCTTGAAAATGAGAGAGAAAAAAAAAAGCACTGACTCAGTCTTGACACTAAATTCTCATCCGTTATTTGAATAAAGGGTTACAACAAGAAAATTAAAACAGAAAACAGGCGCGTTCCTGGGGCGAGGCGGCGCCAGCGCGGCGCTGATGTGATGATCTACAATAAGCACCATCCTCCCCCTGAAGTTAGAACCAACTAGCTCTAACCAAAGCTAAACCGGACCCCCTCAAAGAAGCCTTAAAATTTGAGATCTATGCTTTACTTTATTCACTAGGTGTAGGTAGGGCCTGATGCATTTGCAGCAGCAGCAGCAGGGCAGGCTCTGGAAACTCCTCCGGCGCAGCAAAACAACTGCCGAACCAACACGGGGTAGGTAGTAGCACGTTGCATGCATCCAAAGGTGTAAAAGAAGAAACAAAATAAAATCATGCATGAATTTTGGGGTCGCGATCGCAGGCATTAGCGTCCCCCCCCCCCCCCCCACCCACCCCGGGGCAGGTAGGAGGGCGGGACGTGCAAGCAAGGTAGTAGCATAAAAAACGAAACAAAAGGAAACAAAAGATAAACATTCTCGAATCCAGGGATTACCTTCGCGTCCCCCACCCCCCCCCCAGCCTAACCCCATCCAAAGTACCGTAACCTTTCAACCCGTATTAATACCTCTTCGATACTAGTCTAACCTTTGCTCCTCCGTTCCCTGTGCCACCTTTTTC